CCAGAGCCATTTGGCCAGTGGTTAAGGTGTTCGACTTGATCAGTCAGCACTCATGGATCGAACCCGGGAGAGGGTGAAAATCCAGCCACAGGTCTAGCAGACGGCGGAGTCCCTTGGCTAAGGACACGCAATTCGCAATCCGCTAGCTACCCCGAAGAAGGTGAACACCGGAACGGGTTCACTCTGAAGGGGAAGTGGCAGCCTGATCAAACCAGAGATCACTAGTCTCAGGCTGTGAGTGCGAATTGTGCAAACAGTATCACTCTCAAGCGTTTCTCACCGAGAAACTAGACGCGACTTAACAGTCTGTGTTCGAATGTATCCAACATAAACTTAACACTACCTACAAATCAGCTATCAGAAAGGAGGAACAACAAGGGGATGTGTCAACAAGAACAAGGCAATTGAAGGAATAACCTACCAGGCTCGACGATAATCTTATGAATAGTACTCAGAACCACAGCCAGCAGCAGGAGCAGCTGCACCGCACAATAAATAATACTACCGTTGTCACAGGCATCAAACAGTTAATTTTTGTTTACGAAGTCCACAGTGAGAAGTGAATGTTCATTTTATGTATTTGCCCCCCTACGACCAGCTTTGGCGAGCGCGAGGCATGGCCACATAATAAATGTCAAATGGAATCAAATTGGATTTATTGGTTTTGAAGAAAGCGTAAGCGACAGGATCGACTATAACATTACAACATGCGTAACGTCCTCTGTAGTATTCTTGAGCACGAACAGCAACAGGTCTTGATTCGAAGTGTAATTAGTGTCTGCTGATAACTTACTAGTTGTAGCTGTAGCGCTTCTGTGTCTGTCATATTTCATCTTTATGATCATCTCAATAGAGAGATTACTACTACAAGTACAACAACACTTATAATCAAATTATTTCCACACCCATAAAAATATCAACATCACAATAAATCTCTTCATTTGTAGTGTCCCAATCCCTGCTTCCTTGCATGATTCTTTGTATGGAAGCGATCCTGCAGAGACAAACCACTGGAGAAGTCGAAACTGTTGGGATATTTTCCTCCTGGCAGCACGGACCCGGCAGCTGGCTCGTCTCTCACCTTCTGCAATAGCTTCCCGAAATCATTCTCTTCACGCTGCCGCCTCTGTCCGAATAATTGCCGCCTGGATATTGTTGTTGGTGGGGGAATGACAGTCGGAGACAGGGATTGATACCAATTGAGAAGGAGGGATACTCTGCAGACGTGATCATGGCGAAGCTGATGGAATCACACTAAGAAAAGAGTGCCATCCTTCTATGACTCCTATTTACTAGTATTCGAAAAACTGAAATGAGCAAGTTACTACTTTGAATAACCGAGATACTGAGAAGGAAGAACAGCGTAGCGACTCTTTGATTTCAGGTAGCTACTCGCTTATTTTAAGTTCTCGATTATGTGCATCGAGGTCAATGTCAAAAATAAGTACTTATACCTCTGATAAGCTTTCGTCTTCACCCAACTGGGTCTTTGGTCTAAAGGAAACCACATTTCCACGTTGTCCTGTAAACTCTCGTCTGAAAACATCTCGTTCTCGTTTCGGACATTTACCTGTTCGTGTTCTGGTCGTGGTGATACTGTGACGATTTTCTTTTTGAAGAAGAATTACTCTTCTAAGAACTACAGGAGTGGTTGCCTTGTTTCGTAGGTGAAGGTAGAAATGTGAGTTGTTCTACTGTCCTTTTGCAACAGAGAACAGCTCTACAGCTCTTAGTACACTTACATGTACCTGAGGAGTACTCTTAGTACCCTAGGTTCAAACAGCTCCGCACAATTGTCGAAACAGCCTGCTAGATCGCGATGTGACCGGAAACATCTTGGTATTCTCCTTATCTCTGCAGTGCTCTGTGATCTCCCTAGCGCGCTAGGCCTGTCGTTTTCGTGCACACGTGACTGCGGGGATAACGAGATTAGCAGGGGGTTGCTGGCAGGGGAGGATGCCAAATCTAGCTTCATCTACGCAAGAATGGAAAACTACATCTACTAAAATTAAGCCAGACGACCATAAAGACAGTGGCAGCGGATAGTTCGGAGCAGTGGGTCTGAAGTGCACTTTCGCTGAAGATGAACTTGAGCCGTGTTGTTCTGCGAAACTGCCATTCGCCACCGACTCAAAAGTCGGTGGCTCCTTCCGAGGACCAAACATCTTCTTCTGCTTGTTAGGTTAGGTTAAGAAAACTAGCAGACATCAGTGTGATGTGCCTGCGATGTTGCTCCAGGTCTATGGTGAACAAGTAGATGTTATGGTGATGGTGCCCGATCCGAGGTTAGAAATTGATAAAGATGAAGCAAGATCACGCCTACTTCTACTATGAAACAAGATTCACTCGCGTAAACGTACGCACGAGCGCGATCCTCACCCGAAGCTTCAGCGACTCCGACGCGAACAGTCAATCCATCTGATGATTCTGCAAATCGATGCTGACGACGTAATTTGCTGCGGGTGCGCGAATCCGTGTTTACAAGTACGTTTAGTCATGATCATGGATGTCCGACGGGGTTCATTGTATTAATGTACGCCCAGAAATAATACTCTTTCTAGATGTGGGGTGTCAGCGTCAGACTCTAATGGGTCAGAGTAATACCGTTTGGGAATTGCTTGATGGTATCTCAGGGTGTACGTCGCTTTATATGGAGAGGAATGGTCAAGATCATGTAGATTGTTCTACATAGCTGGATGGGGAAGTCTAGTAAGGCTTGAGGGATAATATCATCTTGTTAATATTGGGATGGAGTGAGCGAAAAGGGGTTGAAGATTCTCTTGATTTTCATTGTTATGACATGTTCTTGATGCTTATCCAGATAGGCTAGATACCGCTACTTTTTTCTTGCCACTAGAAGTAGAAACATGAAGATACAAAACAACTGCAAATGATCTGCTACGAAGATGGGAGCAACATGTTCATGTGGTGGTATAATTCATGCATTTTATGTACTTACGAATCTGGTGGCTGAAATACGTTTCAGTTTCTTTTGGGGTGGTAAGTGTAAGGTAGTTCTTTCACTTACTTCGCGTTCGCGTTAGTGTGTAACAAGCGGGTAATAGGGTCAAACTCGGGCTGACTTTAACATTTGTCTTGTTCAAGAGGAATAACGTCAGATTGGGATGTTCTTGCTCTCAAGCTGTTCATGCGATTCTAGTACTACAGAATGTAATGATATCAGGTAGACGATGGCGCGTTCCTCTTGATTCATTGTTAGGTGTCGTCAAGAAGGTAACTGCATAGTACTCTTCAGTGATTGATGATTGTTCAGAAACTGTTTAACTTGCGTGTCGTTATCGCTTGGAAGGAAACAATGTCTTTCTTTGAATTTGATAACTTTAGTTGTAGTACGTTTCGTTATTCTTGCTAGTATGACATAAGTAGAATATCTCTTCAATAGTGGATTATTCAAGTGATGTTGTTCTTGTTCTGTTCATCTTTTATGCATCTGTATCCTGTACAACAATAGAATGCTCGTGACGAAATCTTTACGTCGTGTACGCAATGACATAGATGTTTCATAGATTTTCAAAACTTAAGATCATTCGTTCAAGATAGATGATAAATGTTTACGTCAAAACTTCTATCCATTTACGTGGCCATGAAAGTGATTCTTCACATCATCGAAACGCTTGTACAAACATCATCGTACAGAAGTTCTCTTTCTCAACTTACAAGAAGAACATGGTGATAATTCTACTCGTTTCGTCAATACTAGGTAGTGATGTGCTCTCTTACGTCCTCAAACGAATCTTCAATTTGAAGTTCATCCTTTTTTCAAGTGGTGCCTCCGTATTTTTCTCGTTGAAGATGAACCTCTCCCCCTGCTGAGGCCATCTTCATTTAGCCTGTCTTCCTCTTCCACCTCCTGTTGAGGCTAATTTCATGTAGGTACAACAAGTATACTCCCCCTAGATGACCATCTTACTGCTCATCACTCCCCTCACCACTGCTGCCACCATTAGACGCATGCTTCATGATATCCTCGAAGTAGGAATCCGAATGAGCACGGTAACTGGAGCTGGAGTGATTTGTGATGATTCGCAGCATTTTGCTGATCTTTGGTTCATGATTGCAGGAAAAGTGACTCATTGTCATGATCAGGAATATCTAGCTCCCGGCACCTGCTCGACTCCGAGGATGTTGACAGTTCTTATTTACACTAAATTAATACATAGTATTGAGAAGTTAGTACTCATTGCGGCTCTTGGTGGATCCGCCTCTGGGTGCACCTGATTGCCGAACCGACGATGCCCGTGTGGAACGACCTCCCACTGTGTTTCCGGAAAGCCTGCTCCCGTCTTCCAGCAAACCCTCATCTTCATCGGAAATAGGTTAGAAATCAAACTGTGATGTTGATCTTGTTGTATTCTGCTATTCACTGAATAGTATTCATCAGATGTTGTTCTTGATGTACATATTTATAAGTCTAATTTTTACTACAATCAATGTTCTAGAATGTGTGCCCATAATCACCAGTTGCTCCATTCGAAGCGACAGATGATCGTCGAGGAGCCGGTCCCGCGAACCTGTCCTTGGCCAGGAACGCTGCAACAAGAAGGAGGGCGATTAAAAGCATGACAACCCCGCAACAACAGCCACTGCAGATTTCTTAGAGTGTATGGTTCTGGTATTTGGTAACCTGAATTTGATCTTAAGGGTTCTCTTCTTGTTTTCCCTTATGACATTACTCACTGAGACTAAATACCATCGGAAAGTTAACAACTTCAACGGAGACTGACGTCGCTAGAACAAAACGTCGTGTAGTCTTTTTGGTTCTTTATCTCTTGACTATGACTTCATTCTAGGTAACTAAGTAAAAGGTTGTTTCGTTTTTACCGGAATATCTTGAAGATTTAAATGAAATTCTTCAATATGTTAACGAAAGTAGAGGAGATCATAAACTACATCTTCAAAACACTAACATAACATTCCCCATCTTCTTCTGCCTCTGGCGCTTCACGTGTCGCTCTTACAACTCCATCAACGTCATCGACGTCCTGCGCATCGGCATTTACATTAGAGGAAGTAGAGCTAGAACATTCTGAGTTCAGGAGAAGGTTAAACTAGACAAGACACTATTTTCAACACTGTTGAGAAACAGGTCCACTTGACTATTAACAGAAGAGAAACAGGAGGTGGTCCAAGAATTCCAATTCCATAACTCCTCCAGCAACGTTTTCGGTAGATCCGTCAGCGTTGGTGACAACCTGTTGCGTGCCATCCGGCGTCTCCTCACCACAGCAAGAAGAAGAAGAAGATGATGATCCTGCTTCCTCCTTTGCCTGACCTTCCTCAACGGCAGCTCCTTCAGCGGCTCCTTCAGTGCCTCCCTTCGGATTAGAGGATAGCACCAGGAAGACGTACAAGTACTAGATAGGCAATTAATATGAAGTAAATCTAAATTATGTAATAAATCTATGTATAATGAGACAAAAATTTGTGCTAGTTGTACTAGAAACTGAAACAACATCAGATTACCTTTCATCATTGCATGTATTGATACGATTCAACTCAACCCTTATCCTAGTCCTGCAAAATAATATCTTGCAATAGTACAAGGCGCTACTCCGACTACTAGGTGGATGCTCTCCAAAAATTAACAAAACTACTGCAGCAAGTGCAGTACTACTAGCGAATTACGGCTAGTACCAAATAAGTACCAACTATATTAATTATTTCCAAGAACAGAGAGCATAAGAGTAGTCTTCGACGGTGGTTCGTCGTCACCACAGCAGGAAGAACCGTATGAGCCATCCTCATCAGGGACGTCAGTTGCAGCAACCTCTTGCTCATTCGGGGTCGGGCCAACCTCCTGCTCATTCGGGACTGTACTTAGAAGAAGACGAGGAGATCATGAAAAGTGGCCCACAGCAAGACTAAAAACCACAGGCAGCAATTACTAAAAAACAGAATAGGTAGAAGTAGTAGTGTATTGTGAGGAAGTTCAGTGAAATATGTCATGGAATATGGATATCAAGTGGTGCTCCGGTAGTAAATGATCTTATAATCTTGGCCATGTACATGTCATGGAAATCATAGTTCTTGGAAAGCCATGGTTAGTATGTGTGATGAAACTTGTTGTTGCCATGGTTACTATGACGCAAATGCATGATGAAACAAGCTTTTACACAAAGATGTAGATGGATTTCTGTACAGTCGTAACTTGTCAGTGGTCGCAGCAGTCGTCTTATCTGCTGGTGCGGTGAGCACCTCACTCTTCACTGGCTCAGTTGTAACCGCAGGGGTATCAGCAGCAGGAGTAGCAGTAGTAGCAGCAGCAGCATCAGGGACTGAAACACGTGCTGAGGCAGAATCCGGCGCAACAGGAAAAGCTGTTGGAGTTGCTTTAGGAGTTGTACCCGGTGTTGTAGTTGCTTTAGGAGTCACGACGCTATTCTCCCCCTCTTTCTTCGTCGTCTTGACTTGTTTTGCCTCCTTGACCTCCTTCTTCGTTGTTGTCTCCTTCACCTCCTTCGCCATGTCTTCGAATATCTTCTCTTCCTTCTTCGCGACATCTTCTTTTTTCGCGACATCCTGTTTCACGAGCTTCGACGTCGCCAATAACGCACCAGAGGCAACCAAAGTGGCCAAGACACACTTCTTCGGAAAGAGGAATACCTAGTTGGTGAAAGAGTGAGTGTCAATAGTCGTGGAAGATCGTGAGTGTCAATAGTCGTGGAAGATCGTGAGTGTCAATAGTCGTGGAAGATCGTGAGTGTCAGTAGTAGTTGATGGTTGGATCAGTTTCAGTAGTACTAGTGGTTGTATTTGTATTTAAGCCTACTTATGATACTAAGAAATTTTCAAATCAAACAAAAAACAAAGAAGAACCTGCTTCCCGACAGCAGTGGAGTGTCCGGAAAGGCGTGGCATTTTGTGGTTGTTAGTTGACGTGCTTGAGTACACTAATTTATCTCCGTTCTGTACGTACAGAATGGGAATCTTGATCTTCTATGAAGATGCAGTTCTTCTGGGCCTGGAGAATATGACTAGATGAATCTTCTTTGATGTTATTCCTTTTGTTCTTGATGCTTTTTATGCCTTTAGTTCGCGTAGTACTGACGTAGTTGCTGCACTACAGCGTCCTAATATCGACTTTTAAATTTGATTTTGTTGAATTTCTTTTCGTTCAACTTCAACATCAGTAAAACATATTTTAGTGCTCCTTGTGCGTCATCTTCTTTCGACCTTTACGATATCGAATTTGGAATCTCTCGTCTACTCTCCTCTCCAAATGCTCTCACAATTTCCCTCGTCGAGCATTCTTGCGCACGATCTTTATGATAGTATCAGATTTTAGTACGATTTACGATTGAAGACGAGAGGACGATGTCGATGAAGGTTCATTCAGTCGTTCAATAACAGCTTTTCTCTGTTTGTCTGATTCTGCAATAGACGTAACGGCTTTTTCGCCCGAGCTGAAGAAGGAAGTCCACAATTAGAACAAGGCAAAGCCCTCCAACCACGACAAGGCAAAAAAAAGGGCGATCGCGATGCTCCATCTTGATATTAGTTTTAAGTCCGTTGAGTCTTTTTTACAACAACTATGCTGAATGATTCATGTTTTTTTTTTGGAAAATCTGAGGTAGCTTCAGCCTGCACTTGGGTTCTTGAAATTGTGCTCCTACACGTGGGCTCTGTAGTCACTTGGTATATGACACCTACTAGCAGTAGCTCCCTCGAGCTTGATTTGTTGAACATCAAATTCATAAATCTCTAAATTGTGCGATACTCCCCACTTTTAATCGGGGTTCTCGATTTTACGATTGGGAGCTCCGCACGGCTGTGGTTGGCTCATCCTCATATGGTCGTACTGGCCATCCATTTCTTCATCAAATCGTTGACATTGAAGCTGATCGCCACCGAAATCGGTCCTTTTAAATAGTTCATCGAAAGGCCTTGAGATTAGAGGGTACCAAGATGAGCGTCGAGCCTCCCAGAATGATGGAGTTCTCGTCTCGACAGATGACTTCCTATTTCTTCATCCAAGTCTCTAGCAACAACGTGAACATGAAGAGCTTTGATTGATGTTCCTCGTTAAGTAACAGGATGCATCTACCTGCTCCCTGTAGTTGTCCATCATTTTCATCATGCTCATCATCATCATCGTCACCATTGCCTTTTTCATTCTTGTTCGTTTGTTTGTTTCGATGCGCTCCGGGCGACGCGTACGATCCTGCCGGATTTCTTTGTGCTCTGTGTGTGTTATGCTATGGTCGTCGTTGCGATAACGACGTTGCTTTTTCATTCTTGTTTGCCATAATTGAAAAGTCCTCTGCGCAATCCCTCATTGCTCCATATCTTGCGGATTGCATCAAGCTCGTTACGGAAAGTTCCTGCTGGCATCACCTGCATCCGTCTTCTCGTAATATCCAAAGGATAGGTAAGGCTCTGCGCGACTAATCCAGCTGCTGCGCCTGCTCCTAAGCGGAGGCTCAAAACTTGCCACTCGGGCAAGGACGTTTCGATTTCGCCTTCTCCAGCAGCGGTAGGCCTAGAAGTAGTGCTGTCTGGGAGTAATGTCTTGAGATTCTCGTAAATGCCAAAGGATAGCCCAGCGTAGGGCACAATGCCTAGTAATTAGCCCTCTCCCCAATTCATCCCTCTAGAACTCCCTCAAGCGCATGCGTCGGTATCTCCCTGGTATTGGGAGGCATATGCAGCTTGAGCGATTCCTATACAGATGGAGGAATAGGAGAAGGGGAAGCCATAAATTAAGGTTGGACGTAAACCTCTGAAAAGACTGCGGAATCCTTCGTCTGCGTACTGCTTTGCAAATGCCTCGCCGTAGCCACGATAAAGCGGCTCTGCAGCCCAATGCGCAGCCATCTTGGCACGCATCAGGTCTGAAATTAGAAAGGAAGATCAAACTGGACGATGATCATGCATGGGTACAATACTTTGATTTCGAAATTCACCGCTAGTTTAGCGTCCTTTACTAGGTTAGATTAGTGCCTTAACAAAGGATACGTCATCGTGGTTGCCACCATCCCAGTCAGCGATCCTGCCAGGAACCGAGAGGTAACTTGAAGATGTTGCTCGTCTGAGAGTGGCAGATAACCTACCAGTCCCTCCATCTCGGGAAACACCGTGAAGCTGATCCCCGCATAGGGACAGACACGCAAAAGCGTTGCACCATGTCCACGCCAGAATCCACAAGTGGTTAGAGGAGGGGTCAAAGAACTTGTTCTCGAGAAAGGTAGAAAGGCAGATAAGAGAGCCAAGAAAACAAAGCTACTTCATCAAATGATGAAAAGAAGTCCATCTCTGAGGCACCATAAGACACCTGCTGTGCGATATATCCTCGCTCCAGTTTTGAAAGCCGCAGCCCAGGTAAAGATGCGACTCGCGTTGGTCTGATACAGGATCTTCACTCGGTCCCCAGGCGCAATAACTGTTTTAGCACACGCACCAGCGACCGACCCGCAGAAAAGACGCTCAATCGGAGTCAGCGTTCTAAAAGCAAGCTCTTCTTATGAAAAGAAAAGTCGTCATCATTATCATGCTTTTCTTCTTCAGAAACTTGATAATGATAACAGATTTTCGTTTCATACTTCTTGCGATTGAAGTTGTTCTGGAGGTTGTGACGCTGAAGCTTGTTGCTCTGGACGACGTGGTGTGCTGGATGGAGAAGTTGTAGACGAGGCTGAAGAAGATCCTGAAGCAGAGGAGCAAGCGGAAGACGATGATGCAGATGTTGTAGATAGTGTTCTTCTTGACGATGATGCTCCTGTTGCGCTTGACCTTGAGCTTGATGGCTCATCATAATTTGAAGAACTTCTGGGGGTGGATCCCTCCTGCTGGGGGTTGTGTCTGCTACTCTCCTGCCTGCTGCTTTTTGAAGCGCCTGATGTCGTGTCTTCTACATTGCTAGAGACGGAAGATGCAGCAATGGCAACACCCACGTCAGTTCGAATGCTGCCTGTGACGGTTAGAGCTTCCTGTTTACTTCATCTTGGACAGCTGCATCTTTGACGTGTTTTGCCGTTGAAAACGTGTCGAAGATTGATGCTTCTTCAGATGGAATTTTTACGGAATAAAGCCTTAAGATGGATGCAAGTTGTCGCTCTATATAACGAGCTCTTTTTTCCTGTTCCTGTTCGTCCTCGTCCGAAACGGATGTTGAAACATCAACTCCACCACCACCAGTAGCAGTAGAGCTCGAACGTCCAACGGGTCCTTCTTGTTCCACGACTTGATGTATTTGGGCTGCTAGTGGTGGACGATAGGACGATTGTCGGTGGAACAAACCTGCGCGTCGAGCGTCGTGGTCCGTGAGCATACTCTTGACAGCGTCGTTTGTCGCGAAGGCCACTGCTACGGTCACCGGACCTTTCACCAACGTGATGGATGCGCCTTTGTAGAGTCCTCGCGCGACTCCCTCCGTTCTCCAGATCGACACAAAGGTTTGCAACATACCCGGAGGGGTGGGGCCCCCATAGCTTGAAAAGGTCAAGAAAGGGCGTAGTCTATGTTTGGAGCTCAAAGCATTTCATTCCTTGGGTTCATTCTGATCTCAGAATCTTCAGAAGGAACGAAACTAAGAAACAATAAGAGCCTGTGGAAATGAAACACTTTGACCCTTAATATACCGTCCACTTCGGGTTCTTATCAGATTCTGCAAGACAAAAAAGCGACTTCTAGACCCGGCGTGTGGAAGTTCTGAAGTGATGGCTGGATTTGCGCCTGCGCTGGCGGGAGCTTGCTGGCTGCTTGACGTGGTCGGCGGTGCAGATGTTTGCGAGCTGCTGGTACTTGGACTTAAAGAGAAGATTAACGGGGTTTCCACACAGATAGATACAACTAATAATACCCAACTCTAGCTTTGTTCTAAAATTCCAAAATACGGATAAAGAAATCATTCATGGTATCTACCATCTTGCAACCATACCTCCCACTCCTTGCACACCGTTAAAGGCACGACCAGGGTTATAATACTCCACATCAAAGGGCTCGTGCACCTGCATGCGGCGGCGCACCACGTGAAGAGGGTAGCTGATGTACTGTCCGATCAAACCGCCAATGCCTCCGAACAGCAACCGCACAGAGAGTGGGATTTTTTCCTTTTCCACGGCCTCAAGGTTCATTTGTCTTTGTTGAGCAGCAACTGATGGCTCTTTCCGCACTTGTCGCAACGACGCTATTTCCCGCAAGAATGTTGACGTTGTTCTTGTAGATGTTGATGACGCCGTCGAACTCGACGAAGCATCTACCTCCTTGTTCTGCTGCACGACATTGTGCACATACCACACCTTTCCCGCTTCAAAGACACCAAACGAGATACCACTGTAGGGCAATATGCCGATCAAGGTTGGTGTTAGACCTCGCGTCAAAGCAAAGGGTCCTTCCCGTTGACAAATCTCTGAGATCGCGGACAAGGTGGAAACGTAACGCGCTTCTGCAGCCCAGTGAGCGGCCATACGTGCGCGGACGAGGTCGAAGGGATACGACGATTAGAGAAATATTCACTACAACATCACTTCTGCCACAGCCAGTTGTTGTTCTCCATCTCCTGCACTACCTGTAGTTTGTACACGTCGACATCATAGGTGTTGGTCATCATCACAGAAGATACTCGTCATCTGTTAGAAGTCACAGATACAAGAACTAGAAGTCACAGATACAAGAACTCGTCATCATCACACCAGTTCGTCGTGCATCTGGATGCATATCTCGTCATAAGTCAACGCCGTTGCTGTAGCGCCTGCGAGCGACCCCGCACAAAATTTCGCCAACAAAAGATCCCCCAACTGCGTTGACATGTACTTTTCATACATCGGGAACGTCGCGAATTGAATTCCAGCGGGTATTAGATTGATTGATTGGCATCCCTAGTACTAGTACTCCTAGACCACCGGGAGAAACCTAGCAAGGAACAAATTGCGCAGGAAGTGCACAACCACGAGGAGTCTTCCTATAGGGGATAAGCCTCAGGATAGAGGTGAAAACTAACCGGTTGTCTTGATATTTATGGATAGCGCTGCTTCTGGTTAGTCTTTAGAACGACCGGAAAGCTTGGGAATTTCGGAACTGGATCAGGATCAAGGAAGCGCGACAGGACTTAGATCTGAGCATTGTATTACGCATTCCTTCTGCATGGTCTACTCCTGTAGTACAAAATAAGACGTGGCACTACAACTACAACGAGGTGGAATCTTCTCAGATGAGTCACACTCAAACAGCGCAACGTCCTCATAAGTAAGGAATCGTTCTCAGAGCGACCGCTGAGTTCCCGCGCCACAAGGCATGGAGTCCCACATTCGTATAAATCGTCCTGGCCGTCTTCAACGCATTTGGCACAGAGAAGAGTTAAAGCGCAGCCTTCAATGGTCATCATGACTCTGAACGGAAGGGACCCCCTTCAAAGCTCTCCCCTTTCCCTTCGTTTCTTTCCCCTGTTGGTTCTCTCAAGAAGGGGTCGCCTCTTCGATCTCAGTGACTCCAATCTCAATGGTGACTCCAATCTCAACGCTGAGCCATAAAAGAGGCGTTCTGGGTTCACCTGATAGAGAATCCTCACGCGATCCAGCGGCGCCGTGGCGGTCTTCCCTGCCAAGCCAGCGGCACTTCCCGCCAAGAAGAGCAGTGGCGCTGGGAGCGAACCAGGAGGAGGGAACGCATCCTCGGAATCTTGATCATCATCGGACCCGTCTTGTTTCTCTTGTTGTCTGCAGCTCCCTTGGCCGCTCATGGTTGCGCTATATGCCTTGCGTGTCTAGTCTAGTCTTCAATCTTCGAGGAACCGCCGCCGGAGTAGAGAGATTTGCTCGTTCGGTGCTTCGGATGAAAATTCTGCAGACATTTTTAACAAGGGAGGTTCACTCCTGATCATTTGTTGAACTCTGTTGAGACTCCTCCCATCTGTTGAGAGCTATAGAGCTAGAAAACTGAACGAGGAAAGTGCTACGAGGTAACTGCTTAGGTCTGTCGAGGTCGTCGCTAGTCTGTCGCGCGTGTTCCAATAAGAGGATAAAGGTGGAGCGTAATTAGGTAAGTATAAGCATACTTAGCGAGATACGTCATCTATACTAGAAATGCACGGTATGACATTGACAACAAAAACCAAATCTATACTTCAATTCTCATCAGGTGTTTTATGCTTTGACGAAAAACCAAAACCTAACCCGAAACTTATTCTGCCTGCTTGGTACTGTTCGCCCCTTCTAAATCTATCGGTAAGATCGAAACCACTCGAGTAGGGAACTGAGTGAAATTCTTCATGGTAGCGTAAGTTTAGCTTAACCGCATAACGATCCCACTAGCATAGTTAGAATTTGTAAGTCACTCGTTATAGTTCACTGAATTCGTAGCATGCTGTTTGACTTTGTTTGACTTTGAGTAACGGCCTTTTCTCTCGAGCCCAATAAGTAAGTACTAACGATCTTAGTCACACTCCGTAAAAGGTTAGCAGGTAGACGCAGCTCAAGCTTTTACAGCGTTGCAAGAACTTACAAGCATACTAGACAGCGTAGAAAGGTTTACTTGAAGCACTTGAAAACTTCCATTTTGCATTACGGATTGGTGTTGGATATTGTCTTAGCAACCCAAAGGAATTCTTCAGCTTGTTCGTCATCGAATCTCCATCCTCATTATTGTACTTATACCACTAGGAAAAGCACTGAGCAAACGTAGCGTTACTCGTTATAGATTGCTGTAGATTGTTTCCTTTCGCCGAACTTCGTCCACCTTAGTACCTCCAGGAAGTATTTGAATTGGTATTGACAGTTATTGCGCCATCTGAAGCCACTGGGTTTTTTTTCAGTAAGCTAACCAGTAACTACAAGAAAAACGCACTATCTTCACTCTATCAGGTTCCCCCGAAAAGCGTAGGCTTTCCGTTTGAGTAAAAGTAGCGCATCAATATAAGTAATTTCAAATCTAGCGGGGCATAGTTAAGATAGTTAGTTGTACCAGCAGGCTAGGTAACTTGTTTAAAAGATTTTTCTTGTTGTTGTTTTTTTTCTTACGCCGGACCTTATAATACTTTGCCGCAGTAATAGTACTACCTGGGTTACGCACCTTCGCCGCAGCTATTAGCAAGATGTCGACGATGAAGATTGATCCCAAGATCATCACGCCATGGGGCGCAAAGCAGAGCTGGTCTGATTACATGCAGCAGGTCATCAAGCTATGGATGTTGACCACCGAGGTACCCGCCGACAAGCGAGCTGCTCACATTGTACTATATGGCATCCGCCCGGAGCATGAGCATATTGCGCGCGAGCTGAACTTGCTGGACACTCGCATTCTGGTTGAGGCAAAGGACCCCGCAGCTGATCACCAAGATGCCCAAGTGAAGGATCTGCTTCGGAAGTATACCCCTGTGGAGCGCATTTGTTACCTTGTCGGCACGGTGTTAAAACAATCGAAGCCGCTTGAAGGATGCCGACACTATAACTCGCTGACGCGCTTCGAGCGCCGAGCCAACGAAAGCTATGCTGATGCTTTGAAGCGTTACAAGTCCTTAGTGGCGACGGTGCGCACTGACGGACGCAACCTTACCGAGCGTGAACTATGTGAGCCTCTTTACTTTGGCATGTTTTGGGCCCCCGCTGATGAAGTTGCTCTACGCACGCATTTCCAGATCTCGGAAGTTGGTACTGGCCGCAACTTGTTCCACCACCTCTGCGATTCGATCGACTCGCTATTCACGGCTACTACTACGACGATGAAAGGCGCCGGCGCTGGTGGAAGCTATGACGCTCAAGGAGATGCTATCATGGAAATTGTCGGCTATGGTTACAAAAAGGGCACCGGTAAGAACGGTAAGAAAGGCGGCAAAGGAACCAGCAAGAAAAGCGGCAAAGGATCCGGCAAGAAAGGCGGCAAAGGAGCTGGCAAAAAGGGCGGCAACGGCGGCGGTAAGAAAGGTGGAAACAAGAAGGGCGGAAAGAAGTACTACGCAAAATACTACGATAATAATGGCAAGTGCTACTTTGTTGAAGTAGATGATGACCAAGAACACGGAGCAGGCGCTGCTGGTCACGCTGATGCGTGACTACCGGATCCTGCACCACCAAAAGAAAAGTTTTTAGTACAGACGAGCTTCGCGGTAAGCAAACTCCACGAAGCCCGTCTTGGATGGATCATCGTTGATAGTGGATGTTCGAGATCGATGGTCGGAAAAAGGACGTTAGAAGAATTCGAAAAGGTATACCCACAGTACGTAGGTGAAAGAAGAAATATTCCCGGAGTAGTTTACAAGTTCGCAGACGGCAGCACTACTACATGCACGAAGGCAGTTTCTATTCGTGTACTAAAACAAGAAGTACTATTTGTTATCAATGAAGCAGATAGTAGCGATTCTAGCATACCTTTCCTCATTGGGAATGATGTGCTAGCAGGGTCACTCTTAGACCTCAACGACAAGAAGCTGAGGCTAGGGGGTGACGTTATACCCCTCTTCTACAGCAAGGGCCTCTACTTTGTGAATTTCCTTACGGCTTCGGTTTTTTCGATTGCAGAAGGAGATCGCCAGGCAGAGCCTGTAGAAGAAGACGAAGATGAAGATGAAGAAATAACTGAGATGGTAAGTTGGTTGGAGACTGTCTTCAACACTGTGGCGCCAGAGGAAGTCCTGACGTTCAGTGGTATGAAGAAACTACATCAGCGCAATTGGCACGTTAAACCTAAGGACCTCCTTAATCGCTATAGGACATTAGTGGACGCAGCCGCGGAAGAAGATCCTGAATTCGACAAGAAGTTTCTGGAGTACGCCGAACAAGTTACAAAAGCATGCAAAGTCTGTTCGCAGTTTTTAAAAGTTGTGGAGAAGCCCAAGTTTGGCAGAAGGCCAAAGCGCGTTGGTCAGTTTGTTGCTATGGACACGTTCTTCATCAACTTCGAGGGCCGACAACATGCTGTGCTACATCTTTGCGATTATTTTTCCAAGTTCTCGATGGTCTTCGCTTGTCCGGGTGCCACAAGTACCGGCGATGACGTTTCGTCGGCTTTACGAAGGTGGCGACTTGTCTTTGGCTCGTATCCAGAGGCAATAGTGACTGACAACGGCAACGAGTTCTGCAATTCCAAGGTCTACTCTTTGTGTGCTAGTGCATCTATCAAGCACATTCGGTCTGCGCCTTATGAGCATTCTTCGAACGGTTTTATTGAGGTCATGAACAGAATCATCAAAGAAATACTGAAGCGACTTCTGGACCGGCGTGCGTCGGATTTTAATACGTTAAGCTTCGAGGATGTTTTGCTGGAGGCTTGCTCGTGCAAGAATGGTTACGTTCGCAGTTCTGGCTTCTCGTCGCAGTTTATAGCCTTAGGGAACAATGTCGTCTTCGACGGTGTCACAGGATTGGCGCACTCGCCTGATATGAAGCCCGCCGAGTGGATCCGGCAAAGGGAGGCGCTCCGGCTTGAAGCGTCTCGTCTCCAAAACTTGGAGGCTGAGCTAAAAGAAGTAAAGGCGATCTTGCGCGAGCCTGCCCGCCTCGGAAACGTTACGCAATTTTCTTTGGGGGATAGAGTTATCGTCGCGTCATCGGTGGACAAGAACGATACTGGACTAGATCGCTGGTTTCCGGGCGAAGTTGTAGGTGTTCGCGGGTCGCGAATGGTCATCGTCCAGGACACTGCTGGAGCTCTTCATGAAGTCCACTCGCGCCGGGTACGTATGCTGCCTCCTTGTGACATTGTGGACGACGAAGCTGAAGATGAAGATGATGCTGAGCCTGAGGCCCCGGAAGAACACCCTGTTGCACAGCTTGACGAATTGCCTGACGCCGAGCAGAGTGACGCGGTGCCCTTGGCCCAGGACGCCCCGGCTGAAGCTCCTCGTGATGGCCAAGGACGTGATGCCGAGGAATCTCAAGATCAACCTCCACAGCAAGAACCAGGCGCGGCAGCAGTAGAAGGCCGCCTTGAGGACGCTCCTGCTCAGGCACCGGCCCCGGAGCAAGCCAGCAAGGAGGTTGAGGACAAGATAGCTGACATCGTTAAACGGAACGCGCAGTCCCTATTAGATGCAGCACGGCGACAGAAGACTGCGATCAAGAAAAGCCTTTTCAAGGGTGTCGACGTTCGACAAGCGTACTGCTACAGGGGAATAAAGGAGGCTCGTTTACCGGCCCAGGTTGCGCAACTTACAAGACAAGGCGACCGATGTTTTTCCATGCAGTTTGCTCTTACCACCGGTCGCAGGTTGCTTAAGGTTATCCGGGCGGAAGATTATCCGGACTCTAGTGTGCCTATTCTACCCCTTGGTCGGTCCACAGCTGTACTGGTAACTGTTGTCTTTACAAATCGGCAAGAGCCTACGGTCGACCTGAATCCAAACCAAGAAGTTCGCGAAATTGGTTCTGCCAGAAATCGCGGCGCACGTTCTACTACGGTTCCCGATGATCCTGCTCGCTATACTGCTGTGCCAGAAGATATGCAGAATCTGGAATCTTTGCCGCAGCTCTCGGCGAAACAACTCCGATGGCTTTCGGTCAAGTGTGGCGTTGCGTTGACCCCTCAAAAGCGAGACATGCAGAGCCGACTTCGTGCACACTACGAACGCACTGCTGACGCAGCAGGCTTCGCCGCGTTTGAGTTGGACGATGATGAATTTCAAGAAGAAGCTGCGGAGCTTGCCTTTACCGCTGGTCTTGGTTTCGATGTCGCAAAAGCTACGTGCTCCAAGTCGGAGCAGCGTGTTGAGCTAGGTTACTTGCGTGACACTTGCAGTGGACTTCTGACGAAAGCGAATTCTGAAGAGATATTCTTGCAGCCTGGAGATGCAGCATTTGATGCACATTTTATGCCGCTTAGTTCTAGGAAGGCTGACTTGGAATATGTTTTGGTGAGTACTGGGTCCACTCGTGTCAGGACTTGGAGGCAGTTACATAAAGAGCACGAAAGTGATATATTCATACTTAGGTCGTCCCTACCTGCCTTAGAGGCATTACAGCAAGAGACGTGCTCTGTGTCTGATATAGTTATATACTTCTTCTACCATAAGGACATAAGTAAAAGTTTACAAAAAGCACCAGTAGAGAAAAACACTGCTGGGGCTACTGCTGCTAAAGCGTTTAAGCTTCCGTTTGGAGTTATGGCCAAAGGCACTGTTGAGCTGCCTTATGAGTGGTTTAAAGAGAACGACCTACTTGACGAACTCTACGCAGCATTTAAGAAAGAGTTTGACTCCCTTAGAAGTAACGAAGTCTTTGACGTAATTACTCGCCCTGATGGAGTAAAGCTGATCACCTCAAAGGTCATCTTTGCAGTTAAGTTCACTCCTGAGGGTGCCATAAAGCGCATTAAGGTTAGATACGTCCCGCGAGGTTTTTCTGACGTTCGCGACTCTTTTCTACGTAAGGACCAAGACGTAGTCAGTAACGAAGGCTTAGTTTTTCTTTTAACCTTAGCAGCGTTAAACCAGTGGGAACTAAAGACCACTGATTTTATGACGGCCTTTCTTCAGTCTGAACCTTACCGGGATGATGAAAAGAATCCCTTAGTTGCTCTTCCATATTTGCCCGATCCTAAACTCTATGATCTTCTGAACGTTGAACGGGGCAAAGTATTGAAGATGCGAAAGGCTGTCTATGGGCTATATGATGGCCCACGGCGGTGGTTTACTACGTTTTCTACTTTCTTAAAGCAAGTAGGTTTCCGTCAGATTAACGCTGACTGTGGTTTGTGGGTTCTTCCCTCACCGGAAGATCCGCGCTCTAAAACTACGTCTGAGGAAAAGTCTCACCTTGAACAAGCTGAAGACGCGCTTGACCGTGATCCTTTACCTAAACCGCCTAAGACTAAAATTAGTGGAGTTCTCTGTCTTCATGTAGATGATAGCTTGCATGGTGGTGATGAGTACTTTCAACAGGTTTGGGCACAGGTTGAGAAGCGCTTTAAAATAGGTGAGACCGAGGACTTAACTAGTGACGGCGTCTGTTTTTGTGGGCGTATTCTGCGCAGGGAGTTTGACCGTTTAACTAGAAGACTTTACTATACCATTGATCAAGAGTTCTACACCCAGAAGATCACGCAGATCGATATTCCTCAAGGAGTTGCTCTCAGTACTCCCATGGGTGATAGTCTTACTCTCTATAGATCCCTGATAGGCCGCCTCAACTGGATCACTTTTCGAACGCATCCCGAGATAGCTTATGATGTGCACGCTTGCTCTAAGAAGTGCACTAGTGCCACCTGGCAAGACGCAGTAACGTTAAATAAGGTGGCCCGGCGGGCCATCTATAACAGGTCCATGCGCATCATGGTCAACCCCGATCCTGGCGGACGGTGGCAGATAGTTTGCTTCTCGGATGCTAGTTATCCGAGACCTTCTAGTAAGCATGTTTTACCTTCGCCCCCTTGTGTCGGAGTTGTTATCTTTCTAGCTAACATGGGGCCAGATTCGGATACTTTTTCTGTTGATCAACTACACTGCGTGCAGCCCGTGAATCCTGTTAAGTCTCGCCATGTGTGTGCTATCCCTCTCTATTGGCGATCTCGCGACGTTACTAGAAAGATAGAAACTGTTCTAGACGCAGAACTTATAGCGACTCAGTTTGGCTACAACTTGAGTAAGTACCTACAAGGCTTCGCGATAGAACTAGGACTAAGCCAGCCTTCTGATCCTGTATTAGTCTATAACGACAACAACTCTAACATCTCACACATTAGGTCGTCTAATCGACATAGTAACCCTAGACTAAACAGTTTGTGGTCTTGTTTACGCACGTACTACCAAGATGGCAAGATGGTTCTTCGCCATATCTGTGGGAAAACTTTAAACTTTTCAGACGTTCTAACTAAACCATCTTCGCCTCTCATCTCTGTACTCACAAAAGTCATCTTCAGAGGTAAGATATATATACCCTCTGCTAGGGAAAAGTTCTAAAGAGAAAAGACGCGCACAAAAAGGAAAGAAAGTAAGAAAACTTTGATGGGTATAACTTGAGTAAGTTTTTATCCACTATGCATAACCATAAGTAAGACGAGTTAAAACGTACTCGATGATTACCTGTCGAATTCGTTCCATGGACACTGCTGATCTCTGCCTACTTGTATACTTGACGCGAATTATTTCACTTCTTCACCGATGTACTTGCTAAGTTGTAAAACTAAAAGGAATGAAAATTGCTGATTATATATAATGAAACATATAGTAGCTAGTATAGGAGCATACTGCTTTCTGTAGTGTGAGGGTGTTTGTTTTTGTTTGATTAGTTCGCTTGACTTGCCGCACCACGTCGAACAACTCACACCAGGACCATCTGCGTATATTTGTTGAAGAGACCTCTCGAGGAGAATGGCTACAGATACGCCTAAGCTACTTTGGACTCAGTTCGAGATGAGTCGACTAAAAAGAACTCTGAGGAGAACTACCAAAGCACCAACTAAAACACCTTGGGCCATGGCGAGTGGTCTTTCACCTAAGCTAGCTAAAAGACAGTAAGTAAACGTAAGAACTTAGGCTGAGCTCAAGTCAGATCTTTTTAGATGGAGGTCCTATCTTGTAGTGTACTCTATTAGGTAGGTAGCCGGCACTCCAGAGGAGTTAGATCTAGACTATAAAAGTAAAAGAACGTAGACGAAAGTAGAACTTGAAAAAGGTCAAAACAAAAAGACTCCTACTGCGATGACTATTGTTGTATACTTGTCTATGTCTCCGGTTTGCTCTAGTTCCATAGCACAATCTCGCTAACTTGCAGCTCCTTAGACTATAAACACCGCGACACGACAGACCTCTACATATAACTAGCACTAGGCTAAAAACGCTCAATCCTCAACATCTAGAGTAGTTATATGATTGATTATTAGAAATAAGCCTGATCACCTTATTTCCAATAATTTTTTAGTGGGGGGAGTGTTGAACTCTGTTGAGACTCCTCCCATCTGTTGAGAGCTATAGAGCTAGAAAACTGAACGAGGAAAGTGCTACGAGGTAACTGCTTAGGTCTGTCGAGGTCGTCGCTAGTCTGTCGCGCGTGTTCCAATAAGAGGATAAAGGTGGAGCGTAATTAGGTAAGTATAAGCATACTTAGCGAGATACGTCATCTATACTAGAAATGCACGGTATGACATTGACAACAAAAACCAAATCTATACTTCAATTCTCATCAGGTGTTTTATGCTTTGACGAAAAACCAAAACCTAACCCGAAACTTATTCTGCCTGCTTGGTACTGTTCGCCCCTTCTAAATCTATCGGTAAGATCGAAACCACTCGAGTAGGGAACTGAGTGAAATTCTTCATCATTTCAAAGAAGATCATGAGATAGAGTAGATACGAAGAAGAAAGAATGAGATCATAATTCTATGTGGCTCTGTATTTCCTAGATACTTTCTCGGCAGCGATACAGAAATGCTGCAACTTTAGATTCCTGTTCCTCATCGTCCTCTAGTGTGCAATCGCAGGCCTCTACTGCCTCCCTCTTAACAGTCTCACTTCTTTGATGCTCCGTCTCTACTCTTCTCCATGCATTTGCTTTGAGGGTCCTGCGTACAAGACACGTGACAGCACAGCAAAAGGAGGACTGTAACAGCTCAAGGCGAGAACCTTTTGGAAGAAGATGAGAATAACAATAACGCAATTGTGGCAATACTCCGTAGTTAGTCGTAAGACCCTTCAAGCTGTTCATCTTCAAACGAACCAGCTCCTTTCCTCAGTAAATCACAGCACAGCAACTTCTACCATGAATCAGTTTCAAGGATGTCAAGCTTGAACTTCATAGAAATGATGCTTCTACTGCAATGAATCCACTGTAACATGATCACAAAGCGTCATGGTCATGGCAGCGATTAGTATTAAGAAAGTCAAAATGAAAACCAATGATACCTGAACTCAAAGAAGAACATGATGCACATAATGAACTTCCTTGAAGTTGAACTTGAACTATCAGCTAAGTATGAAGATTCTCCTAGTAGCTACTGGGGATCTACTTCTCGATCTCGGAGTTAGTTCATGAAAGAAATGTAGATGATGAACAACTAGTACTTCCATCTCATTTGATGAGGCTGTATTCAAACTTCACAAAATTATCTACATTGCTGTACATTACAAGCTCAGATGCGGTACAAGAAGAAGAACCACTTGAAACAAGTCATGCAGTTGCAGAGGGTGAGGGAGCTGTACATCAAGATTACAAAAGTAGTGCAAAACTTCTCAATCTTCAGTCTACTTCTGTATAAACACCATACCCCATTCTGTGGTGCTGGCCGAATATTTCTGGTTCAGTCTACTTCTGTGTAGACCCCATCCTGTGGTGCTAACGAGGCTAAGCTTACAGTATTGGGAACGAGTGCTGCTGGTCGGCTTGCCGCTCGCATCCAGGTGGGGGAAGGGACGACCACATCATGGCTGGCAGTATTCCTGATGACAGCAGGTAATGCTGCAACAAAAGGTCCAGACTGGTCAAAACCTCCACCTTCGTTTTGATTTACTACGTCGGCAGGGACTGTACTGGTTCTGATCTGCTGATTGTCTCCTCCTGCAGCACTTCTTGAGGATGTTCCGGAACTACTGGACGACTTAAAATCAGCTGACTCGACGTCTTCTCCTGTTGTACTCGTCGTATCAACTGTCGTTTCTCTTGCAATGTCACCTCCTCCTCGTCCTACACGAGATGTAACGTTATTTGCTTCCAAGTTTCTAGCACGTTGAAGATAACGATCTTCTGAATCCAAATCATCGTCATTGAAGCTACCACTTTGACTTTGTCGCGGTCCAAAACTTGATTGCTGCACTACTCTTCCTCTCGGCGCGCCACTGCTGTTATTTCCCTCTCGATCTCCCCTGTTTTGTCGCCTTATGATGTAATTAGCTCCTTCGGGTGCAACGTGTTCGCCACCCTTTAGCTGCCCTGTTTTGTGCAGGGAGTATAACCGTCGAAGCAGCGCAATCGCAATAGAAGCGAAGACGATGATCACGAAACCAGAGGTTAGAGGATGAAAAGTGGTACAGGTATATCTTCAACTGATGTTTTTAACAAGCAGGAAAGATGACAATCACTCACATCATTATCATAGCTCTAGATCAAGAATCTCGAGCTTCCTCGTCAAGGATCTTTCGGCAGTAGCTCTAACAGTAACAGGAACACAACTGATCTTCAACTATCATAACGTTTAATCAAATCCATCGTCATAACTGCAAACTCAATTTCGATTCTTCGCGTCTTCGTTTTTCAGCTGCCAAATCTGCTTCTCTTTGAGCTTCCGCAGCACTCTGTTGCTGACACTCTGCTGAAGCTGGAGCAGCTTGATTTTCGAAGTACTGTGCACAAGGATCGAACGCAGCTTCTTGTGAAGAGGTTGTGTTACTCGGATTGGTGGACGACGCTGTTGAGGTTGAAAGGTATCTTCGCAGAAAGTCAATAAGGACACTTGAGGAGGACGGCGTCGACCACTCTAAATGAACACCCCTTGTTTCCACCTCGTCCTTCTCCTTCACGACCTGAGCGTTGATATTGTTTTCCTTTGTTGAACTCGTCGACGATATGCCGCCTCCTCGCAAGAAATGCTGCAGGTCGGTGTGAGAACCAGATATCTTAGGCGCACTATGCAGCTGCCTCTTCTCAGACGCACTTCCATCCTTTAATTGCCCCTGGTGCTCAGCAGATGCTCTATCCATCGATCGCTCCTCAGGTATACCTGTGGCATATGCCCTCCCATCGTGCAAATGCCTTCGTTCCACTTCCGCCTCCTCCATGTAGTGGCCTTGCCTTACAACACTTCTTGTTTGACCAACATCGTATCTAGTGCTGCTCGCTGCTGCGGTATCGGTTTCACTCTGGCCTGCATCAGTTGCCCAGCACCTAGGCAATAATGCCAGTGCGACAAGTAGGTAAAAATGATGTAATGGGAATTTCATCTTCATCATGTAGATGTAGTTTGCACAAACAGAAAAAGAACTGGTTATGATCAAAGGCAAACATTTGTATTTGAGCAAAATGAAAATGAGGTAACATGGTTAATATAGGGATAAGTTCACAGGGTCAGGGAGGGGAGGTCACATGAAAGAAAACTAACCGGCGGCGCGTTGAGAAGTTAATGCATGAGTTGGCGACATATACCAACAGACCAACCGAAGATAAGTCTTGTTGTATCTGTATGATCAGCCCTTCTAATGACGCTCAGACACGTGCTCTTCTTTCTGTGGCTCGTATTGACAATGCACGCTATAGTATAGTGCAAGAACAATGCACAATGTTAATGGCCGAACATGTTGAGGAATAAACCCTGTAGATCAACAAGGCTTCACGTCTCTCCCTAAGATTGACCTCCTCGTATGTTAACAAACTTGTCTCAGAAGATTTCCTTTACGTTTACATCTCTCGTACGAGTACGTTCTCGTAGTTGTTGATGATCTCGTCAAAGGACAAATTCAAATTTCTTACAGTTTTTCTTTACACCACCTGGTCGTTGTTGAGTCACAGTCAGTTAATCGCAATCATTGAGTCACTCCCACTTACTAGACAAAATAAAGGTCCTCAAAAGCTTCCTCTCTTGTTCTCTTGGTCCTCACGGTATTCGATCCACCAAACGTTATTATCCTCACCACTTCTCGTCCTCGTCACTGTATTCGATCCACCAAACGTTATCATGGGCAACATGAAGTTCCAACTTCGGTGGTCGAGGACCGTCAAACCGCGGCCTTTGGCTCATCGTGATGTAGTCGGAAAGAGCTTCCCACACTGGGAAAATCGGGGAGGGGTGAGGTGCGAGGTTCTTAGAGACTGCTAAAAAGTACATTCATTCTGCTGCTGATGTTTCTGCTCTGAAGACGAAGTAGATACAACCTTCAACTGATCTCAGCAAGAGCCCCCTTCAAATGAAAATTTTCATCTACTTCTTGAGCCTCAACATAAGTCTTGCACTTCAATAGAGTTGAGGATGCAGTCTTGAACAACACTTTCTGTCTACTCATAAGTCTTGCACTCTCTCCCGGCAGCGTGTATTTCTCCGAAATAACTCGTCGCAGCTCTGCGTAACCCTTCTCTTCTAGTTGTTCCTTAAACACTGCTTCTATTAAAGCTCAGCATTCCTTGGTCATCATGACTCGGAACGGAAGCGACCCCCTCCAAGGCTCTCCCCTTTCCCTTCATTTTCCCTTGTATGTTCTCTCCAGGGGGCCTTCTTCGATTTCAGTGACCAACCTCTATGACCAATGAAAGTTGAGCCTTAATTCTACCCCTGCTGACACAGGAACCCAATCAATGTCATGGCCTGCAACGATGCCCCCAGGACGGACTAGGTTCGGCCACACAGCAAGATCCTCACTCACTCCTTCATATGTGTGATCACCATCGATGAAGATGAGATCGAAGGCAATGACGTCGTTACCATCGGTCGTGTGGCTCTCACTTGTTGCAGTTGATGTTGGGGCACTAGTAGCGAGGGGGCGTGAGATTAGAGGAATACTTGTAGTTGTGCAAATAGTTATAGGCTAGGATTCTTTTTCAAACAGGTTACCGACTGTCATCAAAGTATCTGTACTATGATGTGCTGGTCAAATTCTCTTCAAACGGCCGACTAGAGGCCTCACAATTCACAATTATTCGCTCCATAACACAAGTCCACGTCTAAGCATTCCTGCGGCAACGACACTCGGCTTCGGAATGATCGTGAAGGTTGATGTCACGTTGCTCTTGCTTCCTATCAAAGCCGTTCCCAGCTCTTGGAAAACTAGAGTGCTAGAGTCCAGTACCACCTCCTCTGCGTCTGGTACTGTATCCACGATTTTTTTCCTTACTTTGTCGGCACCACTCTTGGCTCTCATTTTCTCTATAGTTTTCGGCTCACTTGCAATGTAACGGTCGCTTGCTTCCGTTAAAAACGGATCTACCGCAACGACGTGAACCGGACCACAGTGTTTCAGTAGTCGAGCCGTTGTTTCGCCTAGGAAGACTCCGATTTCGGCTACTAGTGCCGGTTAGAGGAACAAGAGCCGAAAGCATGATGACGATTTGAATCCAAAAAAAAAGTGCTGAAGATGTTCCTGACGACTTCTTCCAGCTAATATAGCTGCATCAGCTTGTGCTTCTGCTCCTTGCTATGCTTTATATAAATATATTTCATGATCATGTTATGTATGTAGGACATAAATCTTCCTTCCTCCACGTTTTGTCCGCAATTTTTCAATCAGCGTGCAGAGCATTGGCATCCTCATCAACGGTTGTGGACTATGAGTGTGCCAATGTGATTTTACAATACCCGAGGCCACCAGAGGACGATCGCGCTCCTGGTCCTGCCTCTTCACCATGATAATAGGAAAGTACTTCGCATACAATGCCCTTGTCATCGCTACAAAGGTATTCCAAGATTCTGCTCGAAAGCTAGTCGAAGTCGCGTAGAAGAAATAGCGGTAGATGCTTGTCACAGCGCATTGGTGAGTTATCTGGTTACTAGTTTCTTGTACTTGAGCTTGATTAAAAATACTGCGTTCTCCGCCATCTCCTAGTTGTGCTTTTTCCCTAGTATATATCGCAACGAGGAGCATGTTTTTATGGCATTGCAAGAACATGTCTGGTAAGAGTTCAGGGAGGCTCAGGAACTCGTGTGGTGATAATGTTGGTACATCAGTCTTCGATTCGTCTCCATCGTGATCGGTACTTGGCAGCTTTCTCCGATGTCCCGTTTGCAAAGCGTTGAATGGTGTGTCCGAATCAAGCGCGCTAGCCAATCGCTCAATCCATGTCGTTAGAGGCTGCAAAATGAGGTCGTTTAGGGATTGCCTTTGATGTACAATTGTAAGACCACCTCCAGACTTTTTCTCCAGCTTTCCAAGAAACTCTTGCGTCTCCTGTTGCCAATCAGATCGGATTTGTCTCATTTGCGAAGCCATTGCTCCAAACGCGTCACCCGCTATTATCTCCCGCAACTGAGTTACTACACCAAGATGATGCTCCGCATGTTCCTGCGTTTCCTCTATTGCCGTCGAATATTCGCCTAGTACTGCAATCGCGTTGTATATTGCCTCTGCAGCGGCTTGCAGCCTTGTCCCATCGGTGTCTACCAGATCCCATACTGCAAAGACCTTGTCGATGACGTTCGGAACAGCTGTCTCAGCAAAGTGTACCAATGCTGAAGAAATACTCGTTCTTGAACAGGCTTGAGCTTCTTGTTTACCCGCTAATGCTCCTTTGTCATCTCCTCCATCCGATCCGGGCTCTTTGTCCCCCAACAGGTCTACCGCAGAAACGGCCAATCTCGTCTTGACCATGAAAGTGTTTCTCAGCCAGACATGGTCATGCCTCGCATACCTACGATCGTTTCGCTCTTCTTGATTCCGTATGTTTTCGCGTTGGTCATATGCAGTTTGACCACCCAATGACGCGATGTCATTAAGGGTTTTCTGGCGATGAATATCGTCATTTGCGTTCGCCGCAGCAGGTTCGCTGTTGGCGAGTAACCAAGCTATTGTCGTCAGAGACTTAAATCGCCTGTCATGACGATCGCGGCGGAGCGCCAAGAGACACATCTTTTTTCTCTTCCTCATTTTGATTCGGACATCAACATATGTCGCATGACATTGACATCTGATCCTAGTACGACAGAGAGAGATCCATACTTGATCTAAAGTTCCTAACCGGATCCGTGTGCAGTGATTTATTCGAACCACAAATGATCGTCACATTGTACTATGAAATGGTTGTATTCAGCAACAGCTGTTTCACACAACAGAAAACTACCGATTCGAAATCTGACGCTCCATCATCCACACACTGTTGAAAGCCCCACCAGGCATGGCGGTTTCTTCTTCCCCAGGCACTGATTCGTTTTCCTCGTTCTGATTCTTTTTGCTTTTCATCGACCTTGCGTCCGTAGTTGACAAATTGTAAAATGGTGAATCTGTGTCGATGTTGCCGTACATGCTTACAAATATATCTGTGGTCGGTGTGATCTGCGTCTGGAACTAGTGTTTATATTGAAAGTAGTGAAAGAAGTGACAGTTGAATTGAAAGATAATTGAACGCGTCTGGAATTGAAAGATAAATGAAACCGGAAGAATGAAAAGAAAAAAGGAAATCGAAACGAGTTCATTTGCATGTACCTGTTCATTTCCAAGCGAAATGGTGTTCATTTTCACTACGTTCTTTGGTTCCAAAAAAATCGAGCGGTACACAAACAAAGTCTACAAACTGAAATCCGCTATACTAGAAGGATCTGTCTCTAACACTTGCCCATCCTTCTGTTCTTCTGTTCAACACATTTAATTACTGTTCTTCCAAGATCTTGTATGCCTCCTTCAGAGCTGCGATTTCTTCTTCGCGCTTAGAGACACGTTCTTCGTAGCTCACTTTCTTCACCACGCACATGGGCTGTAGGCTGCCCCAGTACTCTTGCGCAGCCTTCAGCGAGTTGGTCTTGGCAGTTAGCGCCTTCTCGGTGCGTGCGATGTCGGCATCCAGCTTGATCGCCTCAATCTTGGTGTCGGAAATGGCATCACGGTTCTTCTCCAGTTGCTTCTTGGACACAGCCATGAACTCCTTGTAGGTAGTAGCAGCCATGCTCTCCGCTGCGCGAGTATCGGATTCCAACTCGGAAAACTTGGACTCGAAAAGATGAAAGAGGAATTGAGTATGGGGCTGACGCAAGTTTTAATTCACGACATGATGATGATGGCAACTCCTGAATTGAACAAAAAATGAAAATCCGAATCTTCGAGCTGAAATCTAAATCTTTCTTTAGCCATGTCTGTCACTGCCCGTGCTTTCTTCGTCCTCCAGAAATCACGACTTATAAACACAAGCTCCAATCATAAATAGTCTGCATCAATCCGACGACTCCAGTGTTCGAGTCTCCCATACCACCGTAGGATTCGATCACCGGTTGAGACTCCGTAGTTTGCAACAAAGCCGACTTCCCATAGAATTCGTCTAAGACCTCGATTGCCTTAGCGACAGCCTGCTGGGCAGCGGAAGCTTCGGCGATGGTTTCTGCGATGTGTGGGTGGGGAATAAAGAGATGACTTCGATCCTAAGTGAGGCCATTCACCAAGAGATTCGCATAATAATTGGAGGAAGATTTATAATTATGAATACTCATTGTTGTTTTTTAACCAAATCCTAATCCAAAACTTTTAGTACGTTCATTCTCTTTCTTCTCAGCCTGTCTTTCCGCAGTCGTTTCAGCGATGGTCTTCTTCAATTCTGAGGTTTCCGTAGTCAATCGCGCGATTTCCTCTTCTGCCGCAGCCTTCTTAGCCTCTAAACCCTCCTTCTTGGCGGTCAAGGCATCAACTTCGCCTCGGTAAGTATCGCGGTCCTTTTCGGTAGTGGAAAGCTCCTTGTCGCACCAGGCCTTATGGGCCATCTCTTCTTCCATTTCCTTCGTCAAAGTGTCGATCATCTCCTTGATCATTCCGATAATCTGTGTTGGGGAAAGAGGAAGCAAGCGTTTTACAATGAATTATCGTGCTGTCGGTTATCGAAATCTAAAAAATCTAAATTCCAATACGACCTTTTATCTCTTTTGCTGAGTACTAAAGCATCATCTGAAGTATCAATAAGTATCATCAATAAGTACAGTACCTTATCGAACGTTCCTCCGGTCATCATTTGCACCGACAACATCGCCAATCGCTTGCTTTTGACCTGGCTCAATCGCTCCTCAACTCGAGTGAACCGCGGATCTGGCATCTGGCCAAGCTTGACACTGGATAGCTGGAGGAACGACTTTGACGATGATTCCTGAAGAAAGCCTGGAATATGCTTTTCAGCTCCGGTGGTAACAGCATCGCCCTTCATGATATCGATGGCCTTGTTGAGGGCCTCAAGCTCCTCCGTTCGCACCTTCTGGTTCTGCGCGAAGGAGTCGGACTGGGCCTGGTGAGTGGTTTTTTCTTCGTCCATAGACATCCAAATTTTTTGAATCTACTCAACATCAAAGATTATCCCCGAAGAACTAAAAAGTATACCTTGAAGTACATCTTCGTTTCCTTGAGCATTTTCTTCGCTGACGCCAATGCATCCGCCGCTGTCGCCTCCTTAGTAGCACACTCTCCCGACTTTGCTTCTGCCTCACCCTTGGTTTGCGTCTTCGATGAGATCTGCCTATCAATATTCTCAATTTCGTTCTCCATGTCCATCTTGAACATCGTGAAAGCGTGTGCTGAGTTCGACTCGCCCTTCTGAGCGTCCTTCAATTGCTTCGAAAAATCGGCGAGAAGATCATCGAGCATCTGCATGAGCCCACCTGAATGAAGATTATTCTTACACTTGTTTTATAGTTGCTGAATGATAAATGGAGAAAAAAATATTTAGATTTTTTAGATTCACTCGAACGGATGAGTGATGACAAATCCATGGGTCACATAATATCGGGGTCATTCCTAAATCAGAAGATATGCGCCATAGGTTGTTTCTCATCGTAAGAACAGTATAACAATACCACTCTGGTTATCGTATGCTGTTTTTGTGGATTGCGGTTGCTGCAGAAATGCCTCCAAGTCGGCCGTAGCCTTTGTTCCGGTTGCTACTTTTGATAGAGTGTTCTGCAGAAATTCAGCGCTAACGCTGTCTGGCTGTGATTTGATCACTTGGATGGCCCTTGTGAGGGCATCTACTGATTCCATCAGATCCTTCTCGGTCTTCAAAAATTCTGGATTATTAGAGAAGCGGATGCTCGTGCTTACCACGCTGCGTTCTTTCTGAAACTACGTGCAGAGGCACATCCTTGTCAAGCTCTAGCTTTTTTTTACTTTTTTTACCTGGCTCTGAACAAAAGATGCATGTAGATGCGGATGCTGCAGTCAGATGCAGAATATAGCGTGGTATGAGTCTTAAGCCTTAACATTTTCTTCTTTCCTCAGCGCTGTCTTCGCAGATAATTCTGCGGCGTTCTCACTATTCTCTTTTTGAAGGCCTTCTACCTCGTTTCCTAGCAACGAAGCCTCGGCGGCGGACTGATGTATGGGGAAGATAGGATTCTTAATCTCGGCAGTTATATATCCGAACAGGAATTGATTCACCTACTAACCAGCATACATGATGAAAAAGAGAATAGAGAACAACTATCTCATAATTACACGGTCACCACATCAAAGAGAAACACATCCGATGAAAGATCGCGGTCGGAAAAATTCTCCATAACCATAGAGGTCATTATACCGCTTCCTTGCACGCCGTGTATTTCTCGACCATCTCTATTTGATGTTCAATTTCGATGTTCGTTTCTGTTATTGTGTTTGCTACTGATTTTTCTATGCCCTTGAATATTTCTGCCTCCTTCGCCTTGCCCGCTTCGCCATCTGCTATCATTTTTGACAGCATCTCCATCACCTTCCCTACAGCATCACCCTTCGTTCTGGCGGCTCCAACGCCATAGAGGGCAGGAAGACCGAGCAGGAAAGGACTACGACCCTTCATATTTCTATTTCTCTTTTGTATCTGAAGATATGCCGCCGCGGCCTAGTTGTCGCAAAGAAATGGAACCGACGAATTTATCATCGCGCATGTAGAAAAATGGATATTGGAAATGTCATCTTGTGCAGTCTCAGGAGGATCTGCCACTTCAATTGATCTTTCCTCATGAGCAAGTGTTAGGATCGCCTACATCGAGAGCCGCATCACCACCAAAGGCCTAGCGTTAGGGAACATCAGAACAATTGCTCCGCAACCACGTATTACCACCAACAACTTTTCGCCCGTGGTAGACGCGCTATTTTTTCTTATATATACAAAACAAAGCATTTTAATAATGTTGAAAACAGTTCGCTGTGCAAAGGGTTATCTCATGTGTCGCATTAATTGTTCTTACGGTCAATGAATGACATAATGGTGTTGAATTGTATGCACATCTGCATCTACTTTATCGATGAATTGATTATTCGGATGCTGCGTAAACAACATGAAAGAATTACGAATTGAATCGGATGTATTTGTATCTTCTACTTCTAAGAAAGACTGCTAAATCTAATGGTAGAAGTTGCAGATATATCAATGACATTGATGTGTGGGTAACAAACGATGACTGCGATGACGATAATGCAAACTAGTGGAGTTCTCCTATGTCTAGTTATTTTTGCTGAGAGCGATGCGGATGCCCCACCACCTCAAATTTGATGGATGGCTGTATTCTTCAGAAGAATATAATTTCCATGAAAAAATAAACACTGTAGTTATATTTTCCGCTGTTCTAAACCTCTACTTTGTACACTACATTCTTTTCATCTGAGGGCGACACTTGGTGAAGATACCTCGTCTTTATTCACATACCACTCCTCCTTCTATTCAGCTTTTTCTATTTTTTCTTTACAAATCTTTTTTCATTAGCATGATGTAACTGGGATTGCAACCTTGTTTGTCGTACGTTATTAATGTCAAAAATGAACTTGTCTACTCTCGAATGTCAATTCATTCTTGTGTGTTAGTATCGAATCAGTCTACGAAAAAAATGAAAGTTCGCTTGATCATCCCGGCATCTTGCTTTTAATCAGCACCTCTTGTTACTCGTGTTCGTCGTCTACTGCAGCTACTTATAAAAAATCACATTCACAACAGCTGCTACTACTAAGTACTAACTCCACCACCATAAGTCAAGTTTTCTACTCCTCCTCCTTTACTCCTCACCCCGTACCTCTTCATCTCCCAGTCTACTGCTAGAAGATTTTTCTCACACCTATACCAGATTACGCAAAGGTGTCTGGATCAAAGTTGCTGGTGCGCAACCTTCCATAGGCATCCTTGAAGACCGACAATGGTCCTGCACTCTTCATTGTCATCTCCACTACCGGTTCACCATGGCTGTGTGAGGCTGAACCGCCTAGTTCCGAGTTGTGGTGTGCGCCTGAGGAGAAGAGAGAATTCACGACTGAGCTGATCGGTTGGAACACAGCATCTAGGATCTTCTTGTCGTGCTGGACAAAAGCAGCGGGCTTGTCGCTCTTCTTGTCGTGCTTGGAGGATGATGAAGTAGACAACTTTTTCGATGAAGATGATGAAGACTTTTTTACAACATCATCGGCTGCAGGTGTGTGCTTCTTGAGTAGCTTGTTCCTTGCTGGTGCTGCTGCTTTCTTCTCGTCTACAACGGCTGCAGATGATTTCTTAGATGATGAAGATGATGCCTTCTTTGCTTCTGATGATGATGCCTTTTTTGCTTCTGATGATGATGCCTTCTTGCCCTTCCCTGCCTCAGACTTCTTTTTATTTGCACTGGATGCTAGCACTTTCTTCTCATCCTGTAGTGCTTTCGCCTCCTTCAAGACATCGGTTGTTGCTGCCTGGAGTGGCGTTCTAGCATGGCTCATGCTCTCTGAGCTGCGACCGTCGTGCTTCGCGCCAGCAAGGGCACGGGCAGCCTCCTTCCAGTTCTTCACGCCTTCCACAGCCTTCTTAGCATCTGCCTTCTTAGCTTCGACCTTCTTCTCCAGTTTGCTGGAGGCTGATTTTGATGACGAAGTGTTCTTATTTCCTCCAGACGTGTCCAGGACTGCCTTCTTCACAGCAACTGAGGATTTCTTGCTAGCATCCTTCTTCTTGATGTCCTTCTTAGAGGAAGCGACAACGCCTTTCTTGTCCACCTTCTTGACCACGTTGTCCTTGTCTGAGCCAGCTTCACTACTTCCTTCCTCCGCCTCATACTCAGTGTCTTCTGTCTGCTGTGCCTCCTGGGCAAATCGGCCTTTGATCACTGCTCTCTCCTGTTTGAGGAGCAACTGAGATGGCTGTTCTTGCAGCTCCAGCTCCGAACCAGAGTGAGCGAGAAGACTAGCGACCGGACTGGTACTGTTCAAAGATTGAATTCCACCACCTCATGTTAGAAGAGAATTGATGGAAGGAAAATGCGTAGTTTCGCTCTATCACGAAAGATTGTTAACGTCTTCATCCTCTCACATAAATTCAGCATCTGTTCCACCTGAGCTCGACAGGCTGCGTCGACTTGGATCTTGTCTGCGGGAATCGCCAGGAGAGCTCGCAAAACGGTCTCTGAGATCGGAGCACTAGCGAAAGCCGGAGACTCGCAGAAGCTGTTCACTTGCTCTGCAATGGTCTCGTTGGACGATTAGAAGAGACACAGGATAGGATAGGATAGGATAGGATAGGATGCCGCCGCTGAGCCGCCACACCAAGTGATATTGCAAGTACAAGAACGTGAGTTATTTCTATCTTCTGTACTTGTCTGTGTCTGCGTGCTGGCTAAAAGCAATCAATGCTTGCTTTTAGGTTCTTTAGCCTGCTGCTTGGCATTGAAATTTTTCATTTCTCGTTTCAGCACTCAACAAGAATGAACACGAATATCTAGTTATAAATCAAAAATACCATGTCATAAAATCGAACCGCGTAGAAGACGCCCAAATCCGTCTCGATGCTCCAGATGTTGTCCATGATTTCTTCTGGGTCCATCGCTCTCGCTTTTGCCTGCAGAGCCGTATGATATCTCTGAGCCATGTGAGTCGAAGACGATTTTTCCAGGAGCATCATGCTAGAAGATGAAGCAGGTGTGGTCGAGTCGTCTTGGCCGGAAGATGCAGCAGGGGAGGTGGTTGAAACTGGGCCTGTGCTGACTGTGCCTGCGGGAGTGGTGCTCTCGGCTGCTCGGGCTTGGGAATTGCCAGTCGTAGTCGCAGCTCTGGATTGAGCACCAGCGGTACTAGAGCTTGAATCTTGTCCTCTCGTTTGTACACCCGAAGTTGCTGCACCTGGTGTGCTGGCTCTGGATTGAGTCCCTGCTGGGGTGCTTGAGCCATCGCCTCTTGTTGCCCCATCTGAGGTGGTTGTCGTCGTGCCAGGAGATCCGTTTGCCGGAGTTGTCGGGTTGGCAGGTGAACCCGTTGTGATCGGGTCCCCGCCAATTCGTCCACCGACGTAGAGGCCTCCATCCGTCGAAGCTGCGTCTGTCGACGATCGGCCGGCCCCTCCTGCTGACGGGGTGCTGTCAGGTCCAGCAGTGGACGAGCCGTCTCTTGATGAAGAAGCCGCAGCCGTTGTGGATGTGACGAACGAAGATAGTCTTAGAAGGGAAAGGGTCAAGAAGTACGTGCTTAGGACATGTATATCGAACATGCAGCCCCTCAAGGGTGTGGGTGTAGACCCGTATACTGTTTTACAAAAACCATGATTGACTTCGATGGCACGAGGGCCTTGCGACCTCTCTAAATTTTTCTACCATTGCAAGACCCAAATTGTTCGAGAATGTGTAAGTTCATAAAGAAGCTGCGCCTGTGCTGCCCCTCTCACTATCACTGATGGTTTTCGTTCCACAGTCGCTCAGGCGGGCCAAGCGAGGCACAAAGAACTTCTTGAAGTCCTCGATGTTCTTCACCACGCAACCGTTGAGCCTTTGCACGACCATCCCCGGGACAAGTACCTCACCTGCATCACTTCCGGAACGAATCCGAGTGTTAGAAGAATAATCTCAGATGCTCGTTTATTGTTTTTGTTACTTGTTCTTGCTTATTTTGGGTATTCGAGTACACGAGCAGAGTACAACCGTTCTCGTGAGTACTATAAGAGTTGAAAAGGTACGCGATGAAAGCGAAACTCATCATTCATGCATGATCTGCCCCGAAGGAGATGATCGTGAACCCGCGTTTGGCGGTCAACTAATGTTCTGACTAATATTATCATGCCGTAAAATTGACCGCCAAATGCGGGGTCACGATCTCCTTCGGCAGGAGCCAGCGGGAGATAGTCGGCAACTGCGGACTCAGTTGACTCACCAGGTTCGCGGTCATATCCATCAAAGAAATGTCGCCGAACATGACGTATTTGAGCTGTTGGTGGAATTGAGTTTAGTTGTATTGCTATTGAGTTTCTGATTGAAATTTTTTGAACTTTGTTCACAACTTGCAGCTCGAAAAAAAAAAGAGAGAAGACAAGCGAGATCTACTTGACTCTATAAGAACAAAGAGATCAGACCGACATGTCATGACCCACATAAAAAGTATAGAATACGTCATCCTTCGCAAACGCTGGCTCCGGAATGTATCGGATTCCCTTGTCATAGTTTTCATCCCACTGCAGACTGACGGTGTGCTTCTGCATGTTTCCGTCGGAGCATGTGTAGAAATCCACATCCTTGGATTAGAGGTGGTGCCGATCCGATGACATAATTTGGTATAGCCTGATTTTGATCATGAGGAAAACAAGAAGAATATCCTTGTGATCTTCAAATTCAGGTTACCATTAATATATACCAGAACGACCATACACTATACAACATCAAGCAACGACCAAGAAAACCATTGAAGACAGACTCATAATTAAACAGCGCATTGCAATCTGGACATGCCGTTCCGCAGGTGGTGCACTTGGTTTTGTCCCCTTGCAAGAAAAACAAGTTCTCAAATGACATTTGATCGGCCAGGTACTTCTGCTGCTTTCCTTGTCCAAATTTGTCAACCATCGAGTCTCCAATTTTTACGAGGTATGTGCCAACAGACGGAAGAGGCTTGGCGTTTGGGCATTAGAGAAAGGGAGAGAAAGGAATAAATGAGTAAGTAGCTGTCTATGGTTCATAGAGGAATGGAAAGAAAGAAAGAAAGAAAGAGAGAGGGCGCGCAGTGGTACTAGTTGAAGTAGTGCTAATATTGGTGAAATGAAAACACACTTGGAAAACAAAGTTCAGTCAATGCCGGATTTCTAGATTAGCTGTGGTTTGGTGGACTTCTGCTTCTCCTTGTGAGGGGACACAAACAGAGGAAATGCTTAAGGTTTGGCATTCAAATCGAAAAACAAATGGCATAATTGAAGAACGACCGGTCATCGATTTCGGTGATGAGGACACCAGTGCTGTTGCACTTAGGATCCAAATCGTAGATGGCCTTGTTCCCAAAAGCAACCCGGATCTCGGTACGAGGAATGCGAATCTGGGAAAAAGGGTGAAGATGTCTGTGTTCTTACAACACAAATAATTGCACTATGTAAACCATAATTATGGTATTCACTATTAACATTTAGATAGGTCGCAGATGTTTCTAGTAGTCGAGGTTTTGTTCGTAATCGTTGTAGGACGAAAGGATTAAGATGTATAATTACCTGATTCCTCGTCGGCACTTTGGCACCTCCCTTGCGTCTTTCATTGTTGTAGTCGTAGAGGCCAATGGATTCTTCCACACGCCAAAAGTTAGAGCTACCGCGCTCGCATCCCTGAAAGCGTCCTTGGCTACTCTTTCACGTAGAAAAAAACAAGCCAGGGACGATGGTGAGGATGCTTCAGCGGTAGCCATAAAAAAAGGGATGACGTAGTTGACGTTCTCACCACCTCCTGCTTTCGCAAAGTTGATGCCCACAACCTTCTTATTCTCCTCGAGTAAAAGAGGGCCGCCACTGTTGCCGGGAGGGAGTTAGAGGGTTTAGGGTTTAGGAGACCACGTGCGATGGAGGTGACATTGGCAGTGCGGTGGGGGTGGGACAAGCAGCACAAGTAGTAGACTGCAGCACCATAATATCTCTAATATAATAGCATGAGGTAACGTCAAAAAAGAATCAGATAACCCATCTATTTCCATCTCCACCTCTTGCATCGTAACTGATCGGCGCCGTCGACTGAAAGCAAATATTCCCGTCGACTTCTTGGTTTCCGGAAATTTCGCCGGCTGTCAACTTTGGCAAGTTCTGACCCAAAGGAAAACCCAAAGCCAGCACCTTGCTTCCCATAGGTGGCGTCTCTTCGGTAAATTGCAACGGGAGCAGTTGAATGGATGGCTCGGACGAGGAGAGGGCCTGTTGTTGTTGGTGGAAGGTGGATACGATTGTGTTAGGTTCTTTTTATGAGTAGGATGCCGCCGTGAAATGATCATTGCACGACGACACCATGGTCATGGAGCTAAATTGAGATGAAAATGTAAGATAGCAAAAAATCTTCATTTATTGTCCTCGATGCCGTCGTGAAATAATTATTACATAGCGCTGACAAAAAGGTTCAAGGTTAAAGGCTTAAGGTCCGCGGCTTTGCGGCCAGGCCGCGCCGTCCGGGACGACACAGCGGTGACACGAAGTCGTCAGGTACGATTACGAACAACTACTCCGTCGTGAAATAATTATTACACAACGGTATCTTCATAAGATAATCGACCACAAAAATAACAAACATAACATATAACACAAATCACTACAACGAACCTGAACCTTGTAACCAAAAACAAAACCAAGAACAAGTAAGTACCTTTTGAAATGCTTGCGGGTCCTTGAACCGCAACAACGCGATGTCGAGATCCGCGCAAATTTGGACTGTCTCTGCTTCGTAGGACTCATCTCCCAAAACCAGAAGTTGTAGTTTCACACTAACAGCGTTGGACACCACGTGAGCGTTGGTGATAACCAAAGGGTCAAATTTCGTATCGCCGTCATTAGCATCCGGAGAGGTGTCCGGACTCTGCGAACGGACAAGGAATCCGGAACCGAGAGAGACCTGGAGTTGACACAATTATTGGTGGATCATGCGAGATGAAGAGAGATAGAAAAATATAAAGACAATTATTGCCGCAGACGCAGCCACCACTACCATTAGATCCAGATGAAAATTTCAGAAATACTAACTCACGCCCAACAACCCATCCTGTTCTGCAATTAGAGTTGCACCAAAATTCTTGCAGCAACGGAAAAATCGTAGCAATAGCGAACCCCATTTCACTTTATGTGACCCGTTTCACTTTAGTGAAACTATTAATACCCCATTTCACTTTAGTGTAATACCCCATTCCTCGCCATATCGAATGGCCGCATGAAGTCGAACTCCGGAGAGACGGACTTGATGCGAAAAACGGAAAACTTCAAGTCGTCGTAGTTGAAGGTAGGTTGCTTTTCGATTTTCCTCATGTGAAGAGCCAAGGCAGACGAGGTGAATAGTAGAAGAAGCAACGAAGACAATAAGCCAAAGAGGTGCTTCGACGATGCTCGGAAGGAAGAAGAAGATGTCATCATCTTCTTCGCTGAGAATGAGATAGTTTGATGTTGTGTAGAAGAAGTAGCAAAAATCTGGTGCCTTCTGGTTTCCTTACTACTTCTGCTTCCAGTGCTTCTCATTCTGCTGGTAAGAGCATCCATGGTAGAGTCTGAGTGCTCCAACATCTTGTTTTTCTTCGAAGAAGATGAAGATGCACTACTTGCTGGTCCTTCTCCAACGTGCATCTCTTTTCTTCTCGCCACCTGAGAGAAAGCGAGCGCACAGCTGCTCGTTAAATTGCGATCTTTCTTGCCCCTTCTTCCGGCTGTGATGTATTTCTGCTGCTTGTTGTAGTATGTTGCTGATTATAGGTGCAGTGCTGCTCCTGGTTTTAACATCAATAAACTTTTCTGCTTTACAAGCTGTGCAACACGTTGTACTCCTCTAAGAATTCTTCTTCTGTAGTTCCACCTTTAAGAATGGATAGTGCACCAGTAGCAGTTAAAAGTGCTCGATGTTCAGAAAAGCTTGTCGAGACGACGACGAGCATCAACATGGGTTTTTCTTCTTTCTCCTCAATTTTGTCCTTCTTCATTTTTATACCTCGATAAAAGCAACCCTCCTCTTATAAGCTTTCGTTTTGCCGACTAAACGAACTTTTGTTTTTACGATTCTTTGCCACAACATCAATGGTTCGAAACGGGGATATCCCTTGAGCGATGCAGGTTCTGTGTTGTCAACTACGACCCCACGCGCAATTGGTGCTATAATGCAATTCTTAAGCAACACTCGAATTCAGTACTCTGCAGCATTTCGCCTCGAGGCCTCTGTTATCTTTGCTGTCTTATCTTTTACACGATTTTCTTTGCAGCTGTCTTTTCAGTCTCTCGCTCTAGGAGTACCTCTCTCTCTCTCCGACTCGGCATTATGCTTTCCTGCGGAGTGCAAGTGCTGTGCACCCATTTTTATAATATCAACATCTTCAAAAAGTTCTAGTTTGATCAAGTGGTCAAAAATTGGGTCTTTTGTGCAGCTCCGCCTTCGCCACAAAGCACAGAAGCACGATTACCTACACGATCGGCCGGTTCCGTCAGGGGAGGTCTCCTTTTTAGGTAATATAGAGGAGGTCTTATTAGGTGTAAAGGTCGTCAACGTGGGCGTTATATGGATACACTAGGCAAGTATGTAACTTTGAGGAGTGGAAGGTAAACCAGGTCAAATGAAATAAGGTCCTTGGAGTTGAAGGCTGAAATAAGTGGCGGTAGTTGGAAATAAGACGGGCCAAGCCTGTTGTAGTGCAATCGTCACCTTCAGCAGAGGCCGTAGTTATAAAGGTCTGTCGACAGTGGCCACGTCGAAAAAGTTGTCAACGACTTGTTATTCGTCACAGTTATGTCGTAGTTATAGTCACTATATTTTTTGGTCAATACCTCTAGCTCTACGTCCTCTACCTCTAGCCCTACGGGAAACGGAAATAAGGGAATCTTTTTCTAATAGTTAGGAGTTCTCCTCGTTAGGTGTTGGTCAGTTGTGGTTGCACTAGTGCATCTACGTAGTAGAAAAATCAATTCTACATGTTGTCTCCCAATCTCAGTCGAAAAAATTGGACGACATTGCACCGTAGTGCACCTTCGCACCATCACGATCAGCATCTATCGATTTTCCTTATATATAAGGAATACGTACACGATTGATATGGAGACTTGTTTCTACAGTATCTATAATGATAAGGCGTTTTCTGTAGGAAATCGCTGAGGTGCCACCGCTTAGCGGCATCCTTGTGAAAGCAAGCCTCAAGGTGCTGGAAGGGGATGAAGCGTTGTTCTTGTTCGCTTCGACATTTAATAATGCTGGTGACTGATAACAACTACATTATCGAGCAAACGCCGGATAGCGAGCGCTTATTGTTTTTAGTAGATGGCGTGTTCGTTTCTTTGAATCCCCGCTCTGTGAAACCGCGTTGTTCGCCTCGCTGCTTCGTCTCAGGTTGATGTGCTAGAGGGATAAAGAGTAAAGGTCAGAAAAAGGGGGGGGCGGACTTTTAACGGCTGACTTTTCTTTCAATTCGAATTCTTACAACAGGCAAAATGTACAAACGTTAACGTTGTCTTGTAAATTATGAACAGTTTAACTTCTCCTTCATTTCCTTATATATCCTTCAATGATGATGTAGTAAAAAAATCTAAATGCTTCTATAATAAAGTAGTACAACAGGAGACTTTTTTACAATGCTTCTATGTATAACGTAGTAGCAGATGGAAGAAGTACCAAGCACAACAGGAGACGGAGATTCCCTTCCCCCGCTCATCGGTCTAGTCTCGGACATCGAGAATTCATCTCGGCTAATATCCGAATCGCTTCGGAAGCTAGCTGCTGCTGCGCCACTCCGAGTTGAGGCAACTCTGATCATTTTTTTGTCATTTGTAAGAAATTCTTGTAGAAAAAGGTTCAGAGATGAAGGCGCCTTTGTTCTACTACAATCGACGTAGATATTTGCAGTTCATCAAACACGAACAAGAAGTACGAGTAATACGTTGATCCCGCAGTGTATGACGTAGTATCAACGCTGTGCTCGACTATAGAAGTGCTGTCTTCTTCCTCTGCTGGCTCATTCTCTGAATTTCGTCCTGCCCAAGAAAAGCTCCGCCTATAGGGCTGTCCGCGACCACCGGCACCAACAATGCGCTTCTTCATCTGCATATCCCAGGCGGCGTCGTTGTCTGTATGAAAGGTGACGAGGGGGTGAAATAAAGACCATGAAGATGAGGATATGTACGGGGTTACCACTACCAAGTAGCAGTTAGACGAGACTCTGCTCCGAGGATGAGGAAATAGTTGAAGCTCTTCTCATATAATGACGATGATATACCCAGCACGGGGCTTCTTCGTTCACTTCGCCTCTCTAACTCTATAGTTCACTCACGTTTCTTCTAAAATATGAAGACACCCAGAGGACGTTCTGTTCATAGTGCCTATGCTTCTTCTTGCGACTGTCACTGCTAGTATTGCTCCCCTTGCTACCAACGCTTCCCTTGCTACCAACGCTTCCCGAAGAACCCTGTCGTTTCAATTGCTCCCTTCTTGTTCTGCTATCGACACCCTCTGATCCTTCATCGTGGGTCTCAGTTGGTGTGATTTTGTTCTTCTTGCTGAAAAAATTATTAAGGGAAAGGATTAGATTTGTTTGGTGGACCATGACAGACTGAAGCAAGGTAAGGAAAAAAACAATGGGAGGGACTGGAGTAAAGAAAATGAAAGTCAAACCGAACTTGAATTTATGGCTGTAGTTCTGTAAGGGCCTAATGCGTAACAAGTTCAAACATAAAATTGAGATGATCAAATTTCGCCATAAATAGAAGCTCTTCCCGTTTCGCAAACCCTTCTTCGAAACCTCCTCTGCCACTTTTTCTGGTGATCCCGGTGCAAAAGAAACCGTTTTACCTCGCCTTAGCATCTTGTCTAAGTCAGCTTTTTGTTTTGGGTTCTCCTTCTTCTTCTTGCCGACTTCCGCTAGATTATTTGCACTAAAACTTCGCCTAATTTCGCGACGGATCTGGTGGAAGGAATAGGAAATTGATGCTGCGTTTATCTACTTTATGTAGAAATCTACCACAGAAATAGATGTAAAGTCAAGTTATATTATGTGAAAGAGTTAGACGGTGAGTAACTGTATAGACGAACTAACCCCTGCTTAGGGAAAGACTTCTAACCGAAACGGAAGAACTAAGGGGAGGTAGAAGCTGTAGTCAAGTTATATTTTTTGAGTTACTGCCAGCTCATAGTCATACCAATAAACATCAAGTATCACGATAGAACCAAAAAAGGAGAAAAAGAATACCTCACTCATCATCCTCGAGTCATTTCTTTTAAAGTTATAGTTTGCTCGGCCACCCTTCGAGTTCTTGATAGCGCCTGCACCCGCCTTCAGGCTCTCTGCCTGGGTCTCGCGAAGACTAAAGCGACGCTTCACTTCTGGCATCTTGGTGCGCTTTTGAGATTGTTGAGTTTTACAAGAACGAAGAAAACTCGATCAATAACAAAAACTCACGTTCACGACAAGTCAACAAATAACTTCTGGTGAGTAACATCTACACCAAGTCAGTGGCCGTTGTTGGATGTTGAAGATGAAGTTCATATTGATCATGATGTAGTAAGTCAAAATGTCCCCATCGAGAGTGGTGGGCACACCATTTATTCAAGGCCAGGCAATCGGATATGACTCGTGTGTTTCGGCTCTTGTTGTATGTTTCTTGCCCCCCCCTCCGTAACAAACAACCTACCTGAGCTACGACCTTTGTCTTATCCCCACGAGGACAAGGAAGAGCATCCTAGACGCGAAATAGACCACGGCGGTTCGAATGTATTCATTGCCTTGACTTTATCTGCAGTAACAAACCTGTCAGCGAGGCCTCCCTTGCCACAAATTTGCAACTCTAACTATGTTTATTCTCAAGTTTTTCGTTCTCCACACATCATCTTGAGTTGTAACACTCAAGAGTAAGCAGCAACAGCATGGTAACAAAACTTATACATAAGAAAATGACTATCGGAGTGAGAGGGGTCTTCGCTGTAAACAGACTATACGGAATCGACTAGCGTGATATTGAAAGAGGACAATGTGATGCCAAATGAGCGATCTTCATGTGATTGACTAATCGTATGGCTGAGCATATATGATCTGCAGCTATTCTGGCGAAATGGAAATGCACATAAATGATCAAAAGCAAAATATTCATGACTATGCAGCACGCTATTTATTATGTCAACATTGACTACTTTTGTATTGAGGTCACATGGGCGGTTCAGGTCCTCTGGATTCATTTCTCCTTTGTACCACCACACGCACATCCTCCACAAACACCCTCTACTGCTTCACCACCAACAAGAGCACTATTTTTACTATTTTCACTAGTATTGTTCCTATTGTTCATTTCCTCTGTCTCATCCCTAGATTTCTGGATGTTCTCGATTTCTCTGTCCCAGTCCAGGAAAAAGACAAAGTAGACGAGATAAAACGACAGGTAGATCAGATATGCTGCTGCTTGTGTCCAGTAGACGTAGGGTAGCGCTTGCACCGCATGTGATGATGAAGACTGCTCCGCTTCGGCTAGTTTGCTACTACTGCTTGTGTGGGCCAGTATCTCATCCAAATGGTGTCCCACGAAAAACACCAACGGCACCTGCACGATCCAGCTACTGGTTAAACTAACCACGAAGAGGGTCCGGTTTTTCTGCAGGGTGACGAAAGTCTCCTCACAGAAAAGCGCTAAACACTGCAACGCAGCTTGAACGGCTAAGGCGAGCTTGATAGCGTCAAAGGTTTCGAAAAAGACTGGGTCGTCTGCAAAGAGAGGCGCGACGGAGGTTAGAGAAGCCGACAATGAGCATAATCATCATCTGGTAGTAGGCTACTAGTGTAAGACTCCTACTCCGCCGAACGCAGAAAGTACAACGTGTGAAAATTTTGCTACCTACAACTTTCTTTCCCTCTTATCGCATCGAGCACAATGGTTTCAAAGAAAAGTTTCTAGTGCTGTCGAAATTTTCGACAGCATGACACGGCCAACGCATATCATGAAAAACTGAAGTCCACCGACGACAATCCAACCCGGCCGGTCGTCGAAGTACATGGGTCTGAGGCAATTCGCAGATCTCCTGTATTGGATTGTCGTCGCTGGATTCCTGTTTGACACGATGCGAATCGGTCGTGTCATGCTGTCAAAATTCTCGACAGCATGAGAAACTTGCGTTTCAAAACGCATCCCCCACACTAAGCTCGATGACCACAATTCATTCCCATCATAAGTAAGGCGCACTCAAGTAAATCACCAGCCCTTTCAGAAAAACGAAGGCAAACTCGAGGATGAAGCCCTGCCGAAAGACGTGCTGCGCATCGGCTTTTGACTTCGCTCCGAGTGCTACTGCTAGGTACCGCGTTACCCCAGTTGCAAGGCCGTAGGTGCATGAGGCTGCGAGAAGGGCGATGATAGTCGTGGTTTTGAAAACGGCAACCTGATATGAGAGGATGTTGGGTGAACTAGTAGATTGAAACATGGTATGCTTGTTCAAGAAACCGAAAAAAAAAAACGCCATATTCGAGCAAAACGGAGGAAGAAAAAGAAACATCGAATATTCTATTCTTAGACCATGGACTTTTGAAATCGACTTCTACCGTGCTACCATAAAACTCTAAATAGTGTTAGTGAGAAGATTCTGGTATAACAATCTGATATGGAGGTGGGTTGAATAAAGTTGGAAATCCATAATTCAAAATTCAAGTTAGTGAAATTTTCAGTTTCAGATCTTCTGTCAAACGCCTCACCAGGAAATTAATTAGAATAAAACTGGATAAAATCAAAATTTTTTGGATTAACAAGAAATTTTTGACTATATTTCTTTTTTTTTTCACATTCAAATTTTCGAAATGAAAACATATAAAAGAAGCCTCATTTCGATTTCGAAAAAGGGGTAAAGGAACGTACGAATATACTCGTTTAGAAATCACGTATTTCAAGCACAGAATTTATTAGTGTCTATTGCCGTGTTGAATGTATTCAAAGTCATCAGAAATTCATCAAATTTTACAGTACCTCAGTCGTCCCCAGCGTCGCTACGACCCCCGATATCAAACTCATTCTCAGGATGTCACTGGCCATGGCCGTTTGTGAAGGCACATACATGCGAAAGTACTGCGACATCATGCCTGGTATTCTAGGGTCGAACATGCTGACATCCCCAAGACACTTCCTATGCCACTTCAGGTAGCAGCAGTAGTAAAACACAACGAAAAGACCGCAAATCCACATCATGCAGGACCATACAACTGGCACTGCGAAGAACCCGTAACCACCGATTTGAAAGGAACCCCAGTTGTCTCCTAATGGAACGCCGAAGATGACTTGTAACCCAACAAAAATTTCGAACAGGATAGCAGCAGTTGGGGCAGTGACGCCAGGTTCGGTGCGACCTTGTGCTGCGAAATAGTTGCTAAGCTCGAGGAAGAGAACAGTGGCTGGTAGGGCAAGAGACATGCGGCTTTGATAATAACCGCCGAGGGCAGCAATGCTGGGGTCAACGCCGAACCAAGTGGTTAAGACCCTGTCAAAGTTGTTGGGTGTAAGGTTGTTGCATGGAAGGAGAGAATGGGGAGTAGGAGTGCTGCATCAGAAACGAAGCAAACGATCCCAAGGTTAAGTAGAAGTGCCAGGTGTAGAAACAACGGAGCACCACCTTCACAGCTTCAAAATCAGCGAAATCCGTAGAACTCAGGGAAGTCGTAGGTCCAATCCGAATCGAGTAACGTCATCATCAGAAGTACCAGTTGACACTCCAGAAGATGATCATCACCGGCACACATACTGCATACAAACAGTACAAAGCCGTGTAGAGCCACAACCCGACTTCCTTGTAGTTCCCTGCACCATACGCCAGGGTCATGAAATTTCGGCTTACTCGTGACTGCAGGCATACTGCTGCTGTGTTCGTTATTATGTCTCCCAAGGCACTGGCACCCAAGTATAAGACCCCACAATGGCCTAAGTACGCTGTCTGGAGAAAGATGAGGACGTTTGTCGATGCTAATCGGATCAGAATCGGCACAGAGAAAGTGGCGATAGAAACACGTAGAGCGGACGATGACCGTGGGAGCTCATCTGCAATGATCTCCTTCGAAGCTTTCCTGATTGATGCTTGAAGACCGTCACGAGCAGAGTTATTGAGTTTTCTGCCACTTTCCGGTGTTCCGGCGAGAAGCTGTTTTTTCTCTAATAGTGGACGTTCTTTGCTCCCACCATCCTCGAAAAGAAGCCCCGGCGGCGAGCTTCCGGACTCTTCATTCACATTCAGCATCGTCTTCGTCGCGCTCATGATATTGAGTGTACCTGGAATTACCTTCGGTGCAGAATCTGGAGGAAGTTTGTGCCTAGTTCTTTAGGAATAGAGCGTCCACGAGTCGTTTGATTGTAGCAAAAGTTCAGGAGTGCAGCCCTCTCATCTTCTGAGATATATGACCCATTTTTCAGATCCAGTTTCAGTTTGGAGTAGCCTTCTCAACACCCATAAGATTGAGCAAGCTCGCTTTCCACAGTCTGAAGCATACTCATACAGAACGCAAGTCTGCTTGATCATGTCTTAGCAGAGCAGTCTCGCACGTACACGTTGTCCTAGTTGGTGACAAGGTGGTGCCGCATCCATGTGAGTGGCAGTCGTGTGACGTCTTCTTGTGAAGACACACAGCTGTACGTCGCTGTTGGCTTCTCCTTCTGTTTCTGTTTCCTTTGCTGCGTAGAATATTGAATATTGTTGACCAATGTGCTGTATAGAAAAAGGTTGTGACAAAATTTCATCATAATGCGAGGAGCAGCCTCAGCCTATGCAATGTGTGTAGGTGTGTGTGTGTCCTTGTTGAAATATGTCGTCGTGGTTTGCGTGACTCCGTTGAAATACAGCACTGATACAACAACTATGTTGATCGATTGAGCTGTAGCTACACATGATCCTCGCACCAAATTACCCAGCTGTGCATATTGCGTATGCATCAGGATCTACTTCGTCTATTCAGCTGAGGTTGTTACTGCTGAGATCACAAGTATCATGTTGTTCGTTGATGCGGTCTAGGAATAGGAATCTTGTTGTAGCTGCCATGCAAAAAAACGAATATCACCTATCCCAACTGCAAGAATTATGGTTCACAGATCGATGATGAGGATGTTCCCACAATTGTGATTCCTATACCTATTCTTGTTCCTTCTAGACAAGATTACAACTGTCTCCCACAATCCATAAAGAAAGTATGAACAACATGTCAGTAATGAAAAGCAAAACAGATTACCCCCGAAGTGCTCGTGCGCTTAGTATTATGTTAAACGAAGATAATAATTGTACTCAAATCTCGACTTGCTTTGTTGACCAATAGATACAACTCTAAGTAACATCAGACAGTATTAATATTTTTGCTAGTTAAAAACTTCAAGAATTAGATACAGTTACAGGATGCGAAAAATGTGGTTTGACTATAAGCGACTTGTTCATCATCTAGTTGATGTAGTTCTACTTCTTACTTGTACTCGTTCTTCTTCTTGGTGGATCATCGTAAACAATCTACAACTTGTTCAACGTACAACTAGCATCAATGTTCAATTCAAGCAGTTGTATTCAGCAGTGGTCCACCGGCACACTTTTTGCCATGATTAACGCCGGTCCTTTTCCCTCGCCTACAGCACCCTTCCATTGTTCGACGCTGTTCTGGGTAGCATGGGTGGCGGCCCATTCGATCTCGCAGAGAGCTGTAAGTTTGGCACTACCACAGAGCCACTGCGACTCGCACGTGAAGGTGCTAGTGGAGAGATCAGATGCTGAGGAAGAAGCGGGTGGACTTGAGGCTGTGGTTGGAGATATTGGACTTGAGGCTGCTGTTGTTGTGGAAGTTTGTGCTGTTCTTGGGCTCCACCTTGTTGCGATGGTTCTTGTTCATGCTGTTGAGTGGGAAGATTGGTAGTAGAAGATGAAGACACACGACCTCCAGTGTTGAGGTTGACAAACGGGTCTTGTGCGAAGACAGAGCTCATCATCAATGCCGAAGAAGGAGGGGCGCCTTGGGGTGTTCCTTGTTGTTGCCGAACTGGCGTGGCACCAGTCGCGTTCCCAAACGACGTGCGCGCACCGTTCTGGTTGATTTGCGTTATCTTAGAGGTAGGTTTTTGGTGCTCGCTTACCCCGCTTGTTATGCCTTTCCCCCTTAGGAGAGGCATAAAAAGCGGTAAGAAAAGCACCTTTAACCTACCCTTAATTATCGTTGTCCGTTGCAAACCAGGACCCAGCTGGGGCTGTTGTGGCTGCGCGATTTGGTGCTGTTGCTGGTGCGGTGTACTTGCTTTCGAATAGCTCTGTTGAGCACCAGTAGCTTGATTTGAGAGCTGGTGCCTCATATTAAGAACAGGCGGAACACCTAGGGGTGGAGCAGGCACCATGCCTCTTGGACTCGTTGCGCAAAATGACGACGCATGAAGCTGCATTGCTTGCAATGGACTTCTCGCAGATGGATGCGAGGGAGGGAAATGCGCAAAGGATGCAGAAGAAACGTGCTGCAATATTTGGTTTTTGGTATTGGTAGTTGCTTGTTGTTGGACATGATTCGATGAAGACGAGGAAGATGTGGCTTGTAGTTGCATGGAAGGGGGTGCGACGTTGTTCATAGGCCCTGAAGAGGCCATAGCAGAAGTCCTGACTTGAAGCGACAGAGGCCCTCTAGGGGATATCGCCATCCCTAAAGGAGCTGTTTGAGCAAAATTTTGGAATATGAATTCAGAATTTGGTGATCGTGCAGTCTGCCTCACAGCGGCTGGAACGACTTCGTCAGCAATTATCATGTCTACACTGGAGGATGACGAGGTGCCACTACCGCTAGTGCTGTCTTCTGTACCAGTGCCGGTTGTCGTGCCACCTCCAACTTGGTGCAGATTTCCAGTTGACTTTTCCATAGGTATGGGAGGCACTCTAGGGATGTTCAACATCTCAGAAGGTGTTGAGGACATCCCCGGATTCATCTTTATGGCTGTCCTGCTACTAGATGTTGCGGGATTTTGTGGAGCCGCACGTGCGCCAGGAGTACTGGTATTCCTCGTTGCAGAAGATGCTCTGTTCGCTGCTGAGCGTCCTGGCGCTCCTTTACTACCTGCTCTCGACGAAGAAGCTTGCTGTTGCTCTCCTCTTGCTGGACCAGACGAACTCACTCTTCCTGATGGCAGTTGTTGCGCCTCCTTTGATGAAGATGCTCGAGCTCCAGCAGTGCCTCCGCGTGATAGAAGTCTGCTCGATGGCCCTGTAGGTGTACTAGCTCGCATTTGGGTTTGCTTCGGAGCATTTGTCGGCACCGGTCCAAACAAGGGTAAATCAGCGTCGTTCACTGTCAGTCTTCCCACCTGATACTCAGAATATTCATCGTCGCCTGGTGGAGTGCGTGCAGTAGAGGTCGTGGGGGAAGTAGACACTGGTGGCATTGCAGGACTAGCGGAGCCTGGCACGACACAACTCACCTTAGAACTATTCTGCGAGTGGTGCCCCGTTGTCGTTGCTTTAGTGCTTGCAGCGGACAAGGTTGTGCCTGCGCCATTTCCTGGTTGCTGGACAGGTTTCATCGTTGAAGATGATGATGCGGTAGAAGAGGTTGTGTGAACCACAACGCCACCTGGAGCTCCTCCATGTGAAGAAACACCAGTTGCATTTCCTTGATGCATGATCGCTCCCGCACTTCCAGCTCCTGCCACGGCAGCAGCCACCGCCGTAGCGGAAGTACTCTGTGTTCGTTCGCGAAAGGACTTTCCAGGCGACCGTGCACGCCAGAAGTCCTCGGCTAGAGAGTTCTTGAGTCTGGTGCAAAGAGCTCTGACGCCAACGATTTCCTTGGTTCCCACGCCATCGCCAACAAATGCGTCGAGGCACATCATCAGCTGAGTCCGCAACGCGATTTCGCGCTCAGAAAAGTCGTCCAAGGTGAAGAGTTGCTCTGTCGTCGGGGACGAAACGGCGGAGGTCGGTGGAAACATACCGGATTGGTAAGCTGAAGGATGGAGCGACGTTGATTCTAGAGACCTAGACCTACAACTACACCTAGTGAGTGAGATCATTGTTTCATCGTACTACTTCCAGCAAAACACCCTAAGAATTACTTACCAGCTCCCCCAGCCGCTGCATACCCCGCCAACAAGTTGTGACCTCCTTCGTGGGTATGGTCTGTCCGGTGGCTCAGGGCTGGCGATGACAATTGTCGACTGCTCCGTCCACCAATGTCGAAACCGTTGAAGCCATGCTGGATCGAACTAGGCGTTGCCAGGTTTGACGAGGAAAGGGAGCCGCGACCACCTGTAGAGAGAGAGAGAGAGGGTGTGAGAGAAGAGTTACATACTAGGCAGAAGGAACAGGAGGAAAAAAGATCGGAACAAGAATAATTCTGTAGACACTTTTTATTGTTGTCCCCTGGTGGATAAGCACTTAATCCATCCTCGTAAGCAGTACCCATAGCCACCAACGGAGGTGCTCCACTTCCAGCTCGCACAACGTTCACACCACCACCCATAATTACACCTGAAGATGACGCAGAAGTGCCACCTCCAGAGATGTAACGGACAAATTCGCTTTGTCCGACTAACCAAGGATCGCGCTCTGGAGCCACGCGAAAGGCTGCTCTCAACTGTTCAGCCGTACATGAGGACTTCTCTTTGCACTCGCGGTAGAGGCGGCGGAAGACCAATAGACGTCTTAGGAAGTCCTCTAACTGCCATATTTGCACTTTCCGCATAGGAGATTCATGATTGACGAACTCAATCATCTCGAGTAGTCTGGTGGCTAAGTCGTCAGGGTGATGATGTTCATGTTGGACAGCACCAGCAGATGTTGACGTCGCGGTATGTTGAGTAGAAGAACCAACAGCACGTTCTAGCACAGATGTGGAACTCAACTTACTGCCTGTTAAGGGTGCTTGTCCACCTCTGCTTCCAGGATTTCCCAGTCCTCCTCTTGATGTCGCTGTCGCACCTCCACCACCAGACGATTTCTGGTAGAGACTAACCACAAGCTCACCTGCGGAATTGGTAGTACAAGAACTGCTAGAAGAATGCCCTGAGTTTCTACTTCTTCCTCCAGCTCCAGTTGTTGTACCAGTTCCTCTATGAAGACTTGGTTGATCGACGCCTCCTCCAGGAGTTCCCGCTATGCCACCTCCTACTTCAAAGAGTTCCTCATAGCTCCCGCAGACCTCTAGTTCGAGCCATAAGCCTTCGCTTGGTCTCAGGTAGGAAGTAATCACATTGGCTTCCTCGACGAGCGGTTTCACTTCCTCTAGTTGATTTCGCAGAAGAGCCATGCGGTTGTGGAGGACCTCTGGGGGGAGGTGATACCCTTGCTGAGAAGAGGAAGCGCTACGAGGGACGAACTGTGAAGAGGAGCGTTGCTTCGCACCGCCGCGTGGACCAGAATTCCTGCGTCGTTGCTGTGTGGTCGATGCGGTGCTGCCGGAAGCTGAAGAGCCGAAGATAAAGATGACAAGATCATGTTTTGTTCTTTTAGTAATCCTTAGGCGTACGTATGATCTCGTCCAACGATGAACATGAAATACACAGAGCTGAAAGAACAAGTAGAAGTATGATTCGATTAAAGCCAAGGATATGTACTGTGGAAAGTACCCGCCAAAGCATTCTTCGGCGACACCCCATCTCCAATGGGCGTCCTTGGCGATTGACCTCTAGAAGCACATCTAGATCGACTCCTCGTTCGGTGCACGGAGGCTGCCTGCTGCTCGTTTGACACCAGTTGTTTGGACATTTGCTCCCAACTGGATTTGTAGAAACTAACCAAATCCTCCTTCTGCGCTAGTTCTTCGGTAAGCTGTTCTCGACCAGTCTCGGCTAAGGAGAGTTGGGAGCGGAGGGCTGCTACCTATGCACAGCGGTGGTAAAATTGGGTTCGTTGACGAGGGTGATGTGAAACGAGGTGGATAATTCGTTTCGTGAAGGGTGATGTGAAACGAGGTCGTGCTTATGATTGATTGACCAAGATAAAGCAGAAGTAGCAAGTAGGGTGTATAGAATCACATCTACTATGAGTAGAAGAGCATTACCTCTTCCTCCAACGACCGCACTAGATCTATTTGCGTCACATTTGCGTTTATCCGAGGCTGTGTCTTCACTTCCCTAACATTCGTACAAAAGCGCAAAGTCGCGACTGTGTCTTCCATCAGGGTTTTCTCATGACACACGGTACCCATCAAAACCGTTTTGGAATTGCCGGTAAGAGCATCTGAGGGAGGCAGTAGGCTCCTCGTTCACGAAAATCACAGGATAATACATATCAAGATGCTCATGAATTTTGATTTTAGGAAGACGATAGGGATAGTGCAAAAACTGAATATAGAAGCGTTACCAGCCAACAGCATCGTCAATTTCGAGTTCCTAAAATCCAAGGTTCGTGTCGTTGGTTCCAAATCTGGTCTTCTTGGCGTTCCCATGTTCGAGGACTCTCCACCACTCATGACCGACTGACTGTTCCGTCTCACGCCTCCTGCTTGTTGATCTAAAGAGCACCCCTGAGCTAGTTTCTGAATGCAGTGACTCAAATGAAAGAGACTTCGATTGATGAATTGCGTCTCCCGTATGCGAATGTTGTTTTCACTAGTGATCTTTTTCTCCTGCTCTCTGCCTGCCAAGTCGACTAGGGTGACTTTATTGCCAATAGGAGCTCCTGCAATCGTCAAATTCTGCAATTGTTGTTGCTGTGATTGGCGTCCCGATTGCGGCTGGTTGTTTGTCGTATTGGATGTTGTTGTGGTCGTATTGGAACCTGCACTAGAAGCTCCACCATTTCCCTTACCAGCACCGTTCGGCACCAATTTTGGTATCAATCGCAATTGCACAATCGCATGCGACCTTGACGATTGCCTGTTCAGACTCGTAGAAGCCGAACTTCGTCTCCTGTTCCCGTATTCCACGCACTGCAGAGCCTCTTCGACACTATGAACTAAGATTTCGCTCAGGTTCGAGACAAAAACACCCACCTTAGGATGCAAATGGACAGTCGGTTTTGGTGGTGCTGCAGCTTTGCCGTTCTTTGTTGCTGAAGAAGAAGAGGAGTTTGCGTTCTCTCCGTTTTGATCTGTGCCGTCTGCATCCGCAGGACTGCTGGCTTGCATTGCGCCATTGTTTCCACTATTTCCTCCTCCAGTAGTAGCTGCATTGCTAGAAGACCCGAAAGGACTATGTTGAATTTGACCATTAGAGCCTGTCTGCCCACCGTTAGCATTTGTGGTGTTCGATCCGCCTGCCCCGACCCTTGTGGCGTTCAGGTCTTTCTTGAAGTCGTGTAACAAATCCCGTATCCTTTCGAGGTAGACCTCAAAATACGTCACTGCAAAGAAGAAGCGGTCACTGTGCTGATCAAGCAGCTTCCGGAACATCCGGGGAACAATTCCTGCAGCTTCCCCGAAAATTTGTGGTGTTGCGACGAGGCTAGATGCGGAGGGTCACGTTAGAAGCCAATAAGGTTCGATGCCATGACTATGTTGACAGCTACAGCACATACACATACTTACTCATAGGTACTAGGTTTGATGCACATACACATACTTACTCATAGGCTTCTTGTACAGCACTTCCACTAGTATAACTAGTGCTATCAATCTCAATGTTGATGATGGTCCAGACAGACTCTTACCTAGGGTACTAGTACGAGGACTTCTACACGAAGTAGATGCTCTCACCTCCCAAGATAATGATACATAAATGCAATTGTCCCCCGCCTCCAGCAACCAATTGCAAGTGTTCTCGACCTCCTGTCGAAGTATCTGGTGTTCCTCCCAACACCCCTGTTCCGGAACACGCCGATGAGGACCCTGGTGTCCTCGCGGTTGGCATAAACGGCTTCTTCTTGTAGTCGCCTAGCATCGTGTACGTCTTCCCTGTCCCCGTATGGCCATAGGCAAAGACGCAGATGTTGTAGCCTTCAACCGCAGCAGCCGCTAAATCGGCACAGAAGGCTTGATACACTGCGGACTGACCCGCTCTGCCTGGTAATCTGGAGTCGAAGATTTGATCCACTGCGAAAATTTTTGTGTCCCCCTTCTCGGTTTTGACGGCTATGGTACCTGCGCAACCACTCGATGTCGCGCCAGCAGTGGAAGATGAGGATCCAGCTCCTGCACCATTGCTTCCCAGAAGTCCTCCCGAGGCAGAGGAAAAACTACCTCTATGAGACTGGTGATTGGCATGATTAGATACGACAACAAGGTTTTCCGCTTTTCCGCTCTCACCTTCAAGCAGAGGTCGAATACGGACTGCGACGCGGATGGCTGAAGTCGAAGAAGCGATGCTTATGCTAGCAGAGGAAGAAGATCCGCCGCTTTGATGTTGATGTTGACTCTGATTTCCCATCGTTGTGTCATGATCGGATCGCGGCGGTAAGAGCGGCAACCCGCCACCGCGACTTGTGCGGCCGCCTGGTGCGGTGCCGAGCGGAGCTGATGACATTCTGAGTCAGACTCAAAAGACTCGTTTATTTGGTTGATGTTAGGCGATACACTATTGAGTTTTTCTCTTGTGGAATGTACTTTTTTGGAGTATCAGTCGGCTTATTTTTGATTTTCCGCTCGTTGAGAAGAGTGTGCATGTGATACCAATTTCTCAGTTTTCCTTTTGCGTTTCGCTTAGCAGTGCAGATGCTATGTATATTCACTTTTTAGCTTGCTAAAAACAGCAATCAAGCAGTGTGTTCGTCTTTTTCCGCTCAATTTTGTATCGCTCCTACTCAGCTCTCTACAAGTACTGCTATCTTTTCGGTTATAATGAGCTTTGGATACAGATGCAAGGCCCATAGTGCAATCGCTGTTTTTTCCTGTTGTTGTAGCTGCAACCCCCGCAACAGCGTTCGCGATACGAGAAACTTTCAAAATGACATCATGTGTGCGTACAACATTCCACATCCTTGAATGTATGAGCCATGATTGCCATTCTTGCCTTCTATAGGCCCACGCCCAGGCGTCGCTAAGTATAAGAAGTTTATCATGAGTAGTCATTATAGTGTTAACGGTTCTTGGCCTTGTAATTGGTTTTGGTTTTCAACATAGCAATATTTTGTTTAGCCCCGCTGTAGCTCCTTGAGGTTATTTTCTGTCATTTGAAATTCCCATAGCAGTTCAAATTCCATACGCACAAGTCGTAAAGTTCCTTGTCGGGTGGGTTGCTCCTGTCATCAACATCATGCTCCAAACTTCACAAAAGAGCCATCATCAGCGTAAGGAAAGGCCCAAAATTGACGGTTGTGCGGACCTCTCGCTGCGCCCGTGTCCCACAGGTTCACCCACTTACTTGGATCACTCGGTTGATGGCAGTAGTCCCATCTTACCCACTGTGTTGGGTCCGCGGGAGTGCAATGGCCTTCCGGAATCGCGCCAGCCTCCCAAGCCCATTCGGAATTAGAAGGAGTAAAGTGGAAAGTGAAGTCATCAGACGGGCGCTACGCGCTAGCAGAGAGGGTGCGCGTGTTCCTTGTCTTGTTGCGGAAGTGGCCGTGTATGTAAGTATAGCTCTACTAACCTAGCTGGGCGGGTCTAGGTAGATCGCGCTCTTTCTTTTCCAAGACTGGCGCTGGCGCGTGTGGCCGGGGGTATTCAGCGTCATGCGCGTCCCAACACTCAAGCCGTCCCTGCCGCCGCTGTAATTATCCCAGCAACCTATCTAGAATGGGACTGAGTAACTTCTAGCACACTGCTTACGACGATAGCTTGCATGCTGCGGCGCATCAAAGGGTCGGAGGCAGAAAGAGAGCGAAAAGAAGAGTAAGCATGTTTATCTATCAATCACCATGCCCCCCTGCTAGTATGTTTATTGAACAAAGTGAGAAAAATTGGTGGAGTGGGTGAAATGATAACGAAAAGGCAAAGCAAACGACAGCACAAGCCAAGCAAGAACCTAAGAGCACGCCCCCCGTTTCATTCTTTCAGTGCGCCAGCTTTGAAGAAAGAATACGAAACAAAGAGAGAACCCGAAAAGAGCCACCAGCGCGTGGGCTTCTTGCTCCCTCAAGCCCAGTGAGCGAACCCGCGAGCAGCAAAGAACAAACGCGCCACCACGTCAAACTCGCGCGACCGAAGGAAGCCCATCCATGCGCACAAGCTTCGCCAGCTGAGCCATGCGCCGAGCTGTCCGCGTGGGCAACTTGTAACAAGTTCCCACCACAGAAATGCCCCCGAATGGCCGCGCCACTCGCTTTCCCTCGCTCAGGTGAAGCCGGCGCCATGCGCCGCAAGCTCTTAGCCATATGGCTGGCCGACTATTTCAGCGCCACCGGCGCGCTCCTTGAAATGAAGGCCCTGCCTGCCCTCTTCACCTCCTCCACCGATGCAGCCCGATCAGCTTCTTTGTCACAATTCCAAACATGGAGCCCACCAGCGAGGCACTTCACCCCCCGCGCCGCCCAGGTTGCTTTTGATTGTTTTCATAAAACTCGCTTCTCAGGCGCCCTATCCTGCAGCCAGGCTCCTTAGGTGTCTCCGCCAATCAGAGGGCTTCCATGATTGATGGAAGCAGGTGCGACTGGATCAACCACTTGCTTCAATGTCCTTCCGATTGCTGTCATCGTGGTCCTCAGTTGAAAGAATCTCCGCCATCGTGGTGCCCTTTGGGGAGTGCTGTTCTGTCCTTCAAGTACCCCCGTCAGTTCCGCTCGCCAGCGCATCACCCCACTACTCACGATCCTCTTCAGAAGCGAGACAGACACTGACACTAAAATGCCACGCCTCGCCCTTGCCTGCTCCTCTTGACGTCGCGCTTTGAATGCCTCCACTGTTGAGGGTGGACACAGCCAGCTTGCTCGCCGCAGCAAACGGCGGCCCCTATCTAGGTGCTTCACACTCTGCGAGACTGAGTCGAGACACGCACCCACCGCACCCCGCTGGGAACACACGGCCTGCGAACACAGTAACAAACTCACCCCAGCGCCACTTTGTCACCAACGTTTAGAGCTATGCAGACACTTGCACCATCGAAAGAGGCTTGCGGCGTTCGATCGCAGCCCGGGCCCCGCTGTGTTTAAAGAAGTCCAGCGATATTATTTCTGGACAAAAAGAGGAGCCAGCTCACTCAACTCGGCGATCAGCACAGATGGAAGGCCTGAGCAACCCAAGGCCATCAACCTCCACAAGGGAGCGCTCCCCGTCTTCGACTCCCCCCCATGCTGTCACCGCTGGAATCAGGCGCAGGGGCGGTCGCCTGCAGCTCATAAGCCATCCCAGGGGCACGACGCTGCTGGAAGTTCTGCGCGTTCATTCTTGGCTCGTCTACGCGAAGGGGGCTAAGCTAGCCCCTCGGAGGTTTTTGGGCTTCAAAAGCGAAAAGCACGGCGCGAACTTCGCAGAGGCTACGCCATGGCCCATCTGCAGCCCCCTCAGCGCCAGCGCCTCCACCGGGCGGCCTTTTGGCCAGCGCGCCCGCCTTTCTTCGTGGCGTCCTCTTCCAACAAGCTACGAACCTCAAGCACAAAAATGCCAAGCCAGCCCATAACCTGGCGCCGGTCCAAGGCGACTTGGCACATTGGCCCGGCCATCGAGCACCTGCATCGGCCCCCTTCCATTTGCTCCCCAAGACCCCCGACCGCCCCATCGATCTCGCCACCAAAGTAGGGCGGCCCGCCGTGGGGTAGTTGCTCCTCCGTTTGTTTCGGTTCGCCTACCTGGGCCACGCCGGTTGTTCGTCAGTCATGAACAGCGAACGCAACGCCACACACGCCGCGGCCGACGGATTTGGCTACCGTGCGGGCGCCTCATCTGCCCCCTTCAGGGCAGGCGCAGCTGGCTCTCTTCGTTGTAAGCAAGCGGCCTCAGGGATAGAGGACGCCCGGCACTGTGCGCCTGCTACTCAAAGGCGCGGAGACCGGGGAGCCAACCGGCCGGGGCCGTGTGCTTGCAAGAGGTTTAATACGCGTAAAAATTATGTCTACTGCCATGAGCATAACAAACTTCCTTGGTCTAGGCAGCCTCACGGCGTGTTCCATCGCAGAGAATTCGAGAACCATGACTTCCCGGGTTGTCTTATTTACGAACGGCCACCTTACCTCAGCACCATGGACCGCGTTCGTATCGAAGATGAACCCACCAAACTGTAGCCCACTCATCTCCACAGCCGGCCCATAGCGAGGTAGGGACGCAGACTCTTCAAGGGGCGGTTGCTCTTCGACTGTGATGTCTCCGATAGGGAGGTGGAGCAGCGCGTCATCAATAGAAGACGTCGCAGTTTTCTTCGTCCCGATGTCATTTCGCGGCTGTTGCTGTGTACTACTACTAGTTGTAGCTCTTGCTACTCCTGTTATAGTACTAGAAGATGTTGAAGGTATGGAGTCTTTCGGCTCGTCTTCACTGTTCGGGGTAGTGGGCATGGTTATCTCATCCAGCTCATCTCGCTTCAGTTCTAGAGCTGCTCGTTTCCGTTCTTCTTCCCTTTCAGTTTCTGCCTCCTCTTGCCCATTCTCCATTTTCCTTGACTCCTCTACAAGTCCGAACTCGCTAACAACTGTGCGGTTTCGGAGCTTGTTCATCCCAATAGCAGGACCCTCAAAGAAGTGCGATGGCTCGAAGTAGTTCATTCGCTGCGTTCGGGGATTAGAAGAGCAGAAGTTTCTGTTTCTTGCAAGAATTGAACGTTTCATCTAAAAAGTGGGCGGTGCATTAGCAATAGCATCAAAGCCATAACTCTCAAAATCTTCGTTGGCATTCCACCTCGTCTGCTTCCTGGCACGTCTTTCAGATACACCCACGCCTTCAACCTAGTCCCACATCCGTCGTGGTGCCACCTCTTGTTCTCCATCTTTGGCGCGTTTCGCTCGTGAAGCCTATAATGGTCTGCACCAGTGTAGACGACGTCGCTGGTTCCAAGATACCCATGTACTAGTTTTCTCAAGAGAGAATTGGGCTGTAGCAAGGGATTCAGGTAAGAGCGGTCGAAACGAGGCGAGCCCCAGATGGAGTAGTCCTCGTCTTCTTCTTCATCCTCAACAGAACTAATGCTTCTAGAAGCTCTACGACCTCTACCACTTCCCTTCTTACTGCCTGTTCTCCTTTTCCAAGGCCGAAATCTTATCCGGCCAGATGCTAAGTGGCTCCATTTAGGCTCTCTCGCTGGTAACTCTGGCCAATGCGAGATTTTGAGAAAGCCGTCACGCCGAAAGGTTTCTATCAGTCTTTTTTCTTCTCTTGTCAAAGCTGGAGGACGTGGTGGGACTAGATTTTTGCTGCTTCCACTATTTCCATAACCGCCGACCCCTCCTCCAACAGGCTGTGCACCTCCACTACCAGCAAACACCGCTCCACGGCACTCCTTTTCCCATGCACCATTCCAATCCCAGGCTCTGAAATAGTTTGGAAAATCCACGTTCCAGAAGAACCGACGCATCCCGGATTTGTAGTACAAATCCCGCAACCACCTCAGCTGCGGATCTGCATCGTAGGGTGACCGCACAGCGGTGATTCCGTCATTCCGTTTCATGTCAGCTAGAAATTCCAGACGACGAGAACGAGCGGAAGCGGAGGAGGTGAGGAGGAGAGAAGTTTGGGAATTGGATGGAGAGGCTGTGGAGTCTGCGTCAGAGTCAGATGAAGAACTTGAAGTTTTCGATGCTCCTGTACTAGCTGAACTAGTATTACTTTTACTAGTACTACCACCTCCACCACCTTTAATCGACGCTATCGATTGGTCACTCTCATGCAACACCACCTCAATCTTGTTCGTCTTTGTTGCATCTGCTGTCCCACCCAGCAAAGACAACAATTCTTCTGTCGTTTTGCTCCCTTGGTAATCTCGTAGCAACTCTTGATCTCGGTCTAGTTGCTCTGCCTCTTCGCCCTCTAAAAGTGTCAGTCCGCGTCGTTGCAGCAGGTCTGTCAAATCCACTCCTAGTCCGTTGACGAACATCCCATCTTCTTGTAGTTCAGTCCAAGTGCCAGTAGCGTTCGGTACATGCCTAACTGGTCTGGCTGTGTAGTCCTTGTAGTAGAACTGGCGGCTTAATACCACATCTTCGTGATTTCGCTTGTGTGCTGGCGTTCTCTTGCGCTTTACTTCCGTTGTAGTACGGTTGCGCCGCATCGCTTTGTTTGAGGGAAAATCGGGGCAAAACGAGGAAGGGCAAAAGAGAGGGAAGATTCAAGATTTGAATCTAGAAGAAGTTGAATTCCAGTAGTGCGAGTGCGAAGAGTAACAGCTCATGTAGTTTACGTATACTTACAGAAGTTTAAAAATATTAAGGTTTTGAAAGTTGTCCTAGATCGATGTCCCACTCAAGTGTAAAATTAAAAATACTTCCCAACATACCTCTTTCGACACCCTTCGCATCCTTGGTGTCCTCAAATTTCTTCGATTCGACACAAATTCTTTCCTCTCGTCCTCCCAGAAGGCGCCGTAGGGCTCGAACCGCCTATCCGGATCTTGAAACTTGTGGTTTAACGGGTCAAACCATTCCATGATTTTGTTCGAGAGGTAAGGGTTTGGTGGGTGGGCGCGTGCATCTTGTTCGACTTCCTGTGATTCTTCTGCTGCTCCTACTTCTGGATCAGGTGTTGACGATTTCGTGACTTCGCTATGTTCTTTGGCTCTTCCGCTTGATCCGGACGCGGCTGTGGATGTTGAGACTGGCTTCTCCTTCTCTTCAAGGGTCGTGATCAACTTCTTGTCGCTAGAAGGAAGATAAACAGGTGTCATCTCCGTAGCACCGTAATCCGCTGCCTCTTCAAGCAGTTCATGGTCGGCTTCATTCATTTCCGGTTGAGGATCCGCTTGAGAGACTTCAGCCATCAGCTCTCTTTGTCTCTCTGCAGCTTTTATCGGGTTGTTGGATATACGAGATTCTGAGTCGATGAAAAAATCGTCATTTACAAACAGAAACTCTGCTTGAGAACCGGATGAATGCGTTGACGTCAGAGCGGTAGATGACCGTCCCTTCCCAGGCTGCATATGAACGTTGTGAAATCCCAATGACAGCAACAAGCTCTGGAGATACAACGCAACGAACAACGTAGAAAAGACGCACTCACCACCTAAGCGCGTGTGACGCAGTTGGATTTGCTCGACCGATGAGGTCAACATGAGGTTATAGCTATTGTGGTCTTCGTGTTGACCATCGTCTAAGGCTGCTGCTGCCGCCATGTCTTCCAAAAGATCATGCTCCAAACCTGGTACAGAAGTATCAATCTTGAGAGTCCTAATCTTTCTTCTGCGCTTCGGCTTCCCATGCCCTTGTCCATCTTCCACCAGCATAAACCTCAACAACGTCCGTGCATCAGTAAACATCCGAATGCTGGCCGCGGCCTGTCCCGTTCGACGCAAGAAGTCTTCGACGCGAGGATCTTCACGAGCTTTATTGACCACAACACCGCTTGACAAAGCGTATTCCCTAGAGCCACCAGGTGCCATGGTGCTTGAGGTGCGCGATGGTTGCGATGATGCTTTGGAGGTCGTAGAATCGTCGGCTTTTTGAGTGAAACAGGCGTTACTTAAGCGGCGCTTGAGGCACCAGGTTGAGGACACTTTTGTTGTGTCTTCCTCTGTCTGGTGGGCGCCACAGAGTCTTCGTCCGACGCAAATTGGAAGATGCTCGACGACCCTAGTATTCTTTCTTTCTTGATGATGTTCTTCTTCTTTTCCATTTTGTCGTTGTCTTCCAACTCCGATGTTTCGAGGCTGAACCCATTTGCCAAGATTCGCAGTGTCCTCAACACCCAAATGCGCAGCAGCACTTGATACGTTAAAACCCCTACGGGTGAGCGGAGCGGCCTTCAAGACAGAGTTTAGTTCGTCGATGAAAGCAGCGTCAGGCTTCACGTCTTCGACTGCACTTCTCAGTCCTTTTTTCCCAAGTCCAAGTACAGTATTCTCCTCTCCGACGTGGCTACTGTCCGCAATCAAAATCCTGGTTTTTGTTTTCCTTCGTGCGAGTGCTGATTGCCATGTAGATGAAGCCGAACCGATTGCTAGAAAGTTATCTCCGTCTTCGCCTTGGCCTTTGCCATCATCTCCCGTGGTGGCTTCAGGATTACACAAAATCGGACTGGCCTCACCCGCTTCCGCTGGTCCTAACATCGTCAAGTAGCTGCAAGCAAGGTGTGGGCGCAAGTGAGACCAGAATGCTTGCTCGGGGGCGTGAAGTGCAATGTCGTGATTGCGTCTTTTGCGAGCAGTACCGGAAGATAGAGAGAGAGAAGGTTGTAGTTTTCGTAAAATTTGCTGGAACAGATTTTTACGTTTACCAGGTCTGCTGCTGACTTGTTCTTCCTTTACGAGTTTCGTACCTTTACCAGAGCTAGAAGACTTGCCACTCCCGCCTGAACTAGAGGATAAGGCGCTTGTCACCAATGTCACAGTTCCTCCATTTTTACCTCCGCCACCACCTTTAGTCAGTACTGCTTTGTAAGCAGTCGTTTCCATTTCTTCGCGAAGTAGCTTTCCAGCAGAATGGCGTAAACGGGTCAACTTTTCGGATGTTGTACCCTGAATATCGTCGTCGAATAGAGCAGCATCTGCGAAAGTATTACCTGAAGTCCAATCCAAAGACTCGGCAACAGCTTCAAGGACATCGTGCTTTCTTCCATGATCGCGTGGCGCCAAGAGACGTTTGACCAGGCTGAAAAAAGATTCGTATGCCATGGCTACTTGGGTGATAGGACGAAGACTGTTGAGACTGGTGGATATTCTTCTTGTCGAGAAAGGAGATCCTGCTTTCGACGAAGAAAGCGGCGCGGCGCTCGTCGCTCCTTTACCCTTTCCTTCTTGCTGTTGGTCACCTCTTGCCGAACCTCCTGCATCACCTCCCACGAGCCCAGCAAACATTCCATACAATTGATTTCCCCACTTGTTATGATCAGAAGGCTTGCTGTTCCCTTCACTCGCGTTCGTCGGCCCTTCGTCACTTACAACTAGGAGGTCACCTGCTTGCTCTTCTTCTGGGCCCACTCCATCTTCCGAAGATAGCAGTCTTGCCAAAGCCTTCCTCTTAAACCGCCTATACCCGACAAGTGCGTTGTGCAGCAACACATGCAGTTTTTGCGACCGGGGCATGTCCCTAACGGAACGAGGAACTTGCATCTCCGTGATATCGCACATGTGTCGGTTCAGGCCAACTTCGGTGCCGATGTTCAGGAGCATTGGACCACGTGGAGGAGTTGAGGTTTCGTTCTTTTGTCGGACGGCATTCTTTCCAGTTGCAGCTGCCGCCTTGTCGATTTCGAGAGAGGAAAAGAAAGAGGCAAGAGAAGATGAGGACTGAGAACCTCGAACATCTTCATCCTTCTCCTGGCTCCCACTTTCGTCTGCAGCAACAGACGCGTGGAGAACCAAAAGGCAAGCAACCACGATATGATACGCGACGGGCCACATTTCGGTAAACCGGGAGCGAGTAAGTCTGAGCCAGTTGTTCTAGCGAGTGAGCTAGCTAAAAGACAGCAAGGGCATGGCGGGCATGATGATGCGCAAAGAACAAGAGCATGCTACAGCTAGTACGAGGAGGCCAACAATACATTGAAGATCTTGAACACCATGAGCTTGACCTTTATTGAAAAAAGAACTTGATCAACTCTCTTCCTCTTGCACATCTCAGATCTTGGTCATAAGATGAAACTTGCTCCTCTTGTTCTTGATGCTGAACAAACACCGTAGGTAGGAGCTCCAGCTGTAGAAGTTCTCCTAACGGAAGCTGAGCAAGGGTAAGATTCAGAATTCATCAACTAATCTGTACATTTCTTCACGAAACTTTCCTTTCTTAATCGCTGTTCATTTGCTTGTTCATCTGTGTAAGTAGTCTCTTATCATCTACTCAACAAGAACTCGATGCATTTTGGCCGCGCCAGACTTTTCCCAGACTTAGGGGACGATTTTTTTAGTCCGAAAAAAAAAAAGTGTTTTGACCCATGAAAAAAGTTGCTTTTCGCCGGTCGATATCTGTTTAATTTAGTCAGTCGAATTCTGTCGATTTTGATCGACCGTCTTCGACTAATTATTTTTTTCGTTTACCTCCAAACATATTTTTTCTACAACGAGCAGAAAAAGCAGAAAAACGAAGCGCGATTGCCGGCCTCAGTGGCCTAGCAAAAGCGAACGCCGCTGCTAGTGTTCGTTGCCGGTTTGGAATTTACTGAAGGGCGGCTCCTGGCGAAGATTTCTATGCTGCGTCTCTTGGACACAAACAGAAGAAGAAGAACGGCAAAGACAAGAGAGGGGGCCGGACTTGGCTGGCCTCTCTATAGCCAGGCAGAGAGGGCTTCGGGCTGCCCTGTTTTCTAGAGGAGTCACGCCTTGGGCTTGCTCTAGCCCTTATGGCTTAGGCTTATGACCAAGGTCACGCATCAGTTTCGGCATATGTATCGCGGTCATGCATTCACAACGAAGCGAGGCAAGATCTTACGGCTACGGGCAACGTTATGACCCTCAACGATCTCGCTGCGATTCGCCTCCACTCCCGGCGTGTCCCTGCTGTCTGTTGCTGTTGGTGCTCAGTAAGTTAAAGTCTAGGCATGGCAATGCTAACGAGAACGGCTATGGGATATGAGGATGAGCTATCCGCATCCGCGTCAGTGGCTCCAAGCGCGAGCGGCCTTCTGGCTCTGGAAGATCAAAGAAGATCGAAAACGCACCGAACGCAGTCGCGACATGGAAGCAGAAGGCGATCGCCTGCCTGGTACTGGTATGGAGATGCGCATCGCAAACGCAGGCGCCAGATGAGGCTGAGAATGGTCAGCGCTTTCGGACTTGCCTTTACCGTTACCAGAAACCAGATCCGGATCGAATGCGAATGGCGTCGCCATTGGGGAGCAGCGCCAGGACAGCTCAGACTAGGAGCGAGCACGGCTCAGTCTCAAGAGCGGAACCCGAGAGCCGAGAGCGAGGGGATGAAGATGAACAGACGAAAACGAAAAGAGGCTACAGGTGCAGCTACTGCGGCAGGCAGTCGCGCGCGCAGTGCTGGCGCAAGTAGTCGCACTGGTAGAGGCGGACCACAGCAATCGCAAAGCTGTCGAGCTGGGCAACTCTCATGGCTCTGCTAACAATGTCAGTGAGGCTCTGACCACTTTGCAACATTGAAGACTTGCTTCGGCCATGCCAAAGGCTATGGAGGTGGGCGATGGTTATGGCCGCTGAAGCTGCAGTCGAGACTTGCTTCCGCAGCGGTCGCCGAGCGCCGAGGCCGACGCCGCAGTCGATAGCGACGCTTTTCAGACGGCTGGCACTGGCGCTAGCACGTTTCTGCCCCAGTCACCCTGGTACTGCTTAAAGTCGTCAAGAATCTACTTCGTCATCATTCATCCTCCCCACGAAGTCGGAGAGGCAAATGCGCAAGCATTACTGCACGCGCATCGTCTGACTTGTTACCCGCATCTTCATGCTCAAGCTCATTTTCTTCTTCAGCGTGAGCGTGAGGATACCGCTACCGCTACCAGAGCACAAATTTTTAAACGATGCCGGTGAGCGCGAGGCTTAGCGGAAGCGGATCGCCGTGCGTGATGCGGTTCTCTTGTGGAGCGTGGTTCTTCTAGTTGTCTGCTGATCTTCTCCTTCTGCTTCTGGTTGTGCAACCGCATCTACTTCTAGATGTACGGCTAGCGCTGGAACTGGTATGACTATGAAACGATGACGATCATGATGCGCAGACCTACATGTAGACCTAGTTCCAGGCACACCTCTCGGCTCTACTTGAAGAGACGGCAGCACCCATCACCGTCATGAGTCACGCCATCGCGATGACATTGACACCATCACGATCACGCCACCACGGCGCCACGATGACGGAGCGCGCTTTCTTGCCCCGGTGATTATCTCCCTCTTCGTCCGTGCAGGTGCAAGCCTTTAGCGCTACAGCTAGATCAAGAGCTTTGTCTGGCAAAAGCGCTGGACCTGGAGCGTCCACGTCGACGCCAGCAGTCTTCTCGCCCTCGTTGTGTTGCTGTTGGCATTGCCACTCGCGGTGAGCGTGTAATTACTGCTTGTGGCCGAAGACGCTCGATGGACCGACGATCGTGCTGGAATGATGACGCTGGTGACGATCATGCACAAGACAAGCCTGGCCTTCCTTTTACCAGATAGCGAGAGGAACAGCGCGCGCAGGTGCGCGCCTGAGTCTCTATCTCATGCTTGAAGATGACGGATAACGCTGTAGCCCCTGACTGCAACACGATCGCAATCTTCTCTGCGAATGCAAATCCGATCTCAAGGGCAAGACTGTCCTTGACTTCATTGCGATATCTTCACTCTGGAGGAGGCTGAGGCGCACTCGTAGTAGAGGGGCGCTTGCGCTCCACGTTAGCGCCTGCGTGTGCGTCTGTTCTGTGATCTGTGGTCTGCATTCAATTAGAGCCGCCCGGGAGGGCGATACTGAAAAGTGGATAGCGCATAGCGAGCCACAGCCTTAGGGAGAGACAGGACCAAGATGAGTCTGGGTGCTCTATTCGTATCCGACGTGACGTGTACCCTATCACTATGACTATAGGACTATAGTAGAATTAGGATAGTGCTTGCGTTGTTAGTTGTTTTGTAATTGTGCTTGTAATCGTATACTTTAGCCTTACCCTTTGCCTTTACTTATGCGCTTACCTATAGCAATAGCTACCCTGTTACTGAGTAGCTAGCGCTTTACTGTGAACTGTGTAAGCGTGAATGTCTATGCCACGTGTCTGTCTGTGTGCTGCACAGTGTACGCATGAAAGGCGTGCATCTAAGTGCGCAAGTACATGCGCAAACGCGTGCGCTTGTAGTTGTGCAGGGTGATAGGAATAGAATGTAGAGGAAGAATCTAAGTCAAAATGTGCAAGGTAGACGAAGATGTAGATACACACGTAGACCGGATGGACGACTCTCATCACTGAGGCAAAGGAATCGAGGCCGTAGTAGTGGCGGAAGCTTGCAGAGTTGCTGTCTGAAGCAGGTCTAAATCGATGGACTCTAGTGCGCTGAAGGCTCTCGAAAGGCATAAACCGCCAAGAATTGCGCTTGCAAATCGATGGATTCTAGTGCGCTGGAGCCTTCGCTTAGGAAGGCTTACACAGAAATCACCCACAAATCGGCGGACACTTATGCAAAGTTTCAAATTTTCCCTGGCCTCTTTTTGGCCTCTTTTGGCGCCGTGCAGTGGAGGTTGGGAAAAAAATCTTGCTCGCGAATGGCCAAAAGTGCCACTTTTGGCGTTCCCAGACTTGAGGACGGACCCGCGCCAGACTTCAGAAATTTGGCCGAGTGTGGTCCTGTTTCGTGAAGTCTGGGAAAGTTGAACTTTTGCCTTTTCTGAAGTCTGGGAACGCCAAAAGTGGCACTTTTGGCCATTTGCGAGCAAGATTTTTTTCCCAACCTCCACTGCACGGCGCCAAAAGAGGCCAAAAAGACGCCAAAGAAAGTTTGAAACTTTGCATAAGTGTCCGCCGATTTGTGGGTGATTTCTGTGTAAGCCTTCCTAAGCGAAGGCTCCAGCACACTAGAGTCCATCGATTTGCCAGCGCAATTCTTGGCGATTTATGCCTTTCGAGAGCCTTCAGCGCACTAGAGTCCATCGATTTAGACCTGCTTCAGACAGCAACTCTGCAAGCTTCCGCCACTACTACTGCCCCGATTCTTTTGCCTCAGTGATGAGAGTCGTCCATCCGGAGCGATTGGGGCGCCCCTTATGATTGAGGCAAAAAGTGGAGGCAGTAGTAGTGGCGGAAGCCTCCGCCGAGAGTGCTCTCAGGAGCATCCCTAAGTCGATACCTATGGGCCGCCTCCAATGAGAATGACTACGAAAGGATCGACTTCAGCGCGCTCGCCCCCTCTCGTCTCTCGCCCTCGCTCTCAAGTCCTCTGTCTCATAGATGGAGAAGAAGCGCTGAGACAAATGCAAGCCAACGCGTCGAGGTGCGATGGTATTTAGGTCGAGGGTTTCGAGTTCTGGCCGAGTTCAGCGAGCAGCGTAGTCTAGCAGTGCTAGCTTCGTAGCGAGAATCTGAATCGTAATCGCAAACGTGATGGCGATCCTCCTGCTGGTAGACGTTGAGGTCGACCGGGTGCTAGTTCTTGTTCCACTTCCACGCATAAGGCTTACCGGTGTCGTTCTCCTGTTCGTCACGTCAAGAGGATCAAGATGAGAGAGGGTGAGCGTGAATCATATGTCTGCGAGTAGGACCACGACGAGCGAGTCCACGTGCTGCGAGTTCGAGCATCGAGATGCTTTTCGTTTTCGATGTCCACAGCCACACCCACCGCGCACCTTCTGCTACGCCGCGTTCTGTTTCTGTGTGAGAGAGTCTAAGTCCCAGCCCGCCTCCATGCTCCACCTAATGCTCATGGCTAATCCTAATCTTGTTCTTGTTCTTGATGCTGATGGATGCTAATAGAAACAGCAACCGTAGTGAAATGGTAGCGCTATTTTGAAATGCGAACCCAAACGCAATTGGTACAAGGACGAGCAACAGGGACAGGTCTAGCGTATCGCTACTACTATCGCCATCAGTATCAGACGAAGGCGCTGATGTAGTTCATGCGCGTGCAATGCTGACCCTGATGGCTGACGGGGATGGCTCACTCTGACACTAATTCTAGCCATAGGCGTAGTCTTAGTCTCCTCTCTCGGTCTTTTCCTATCACAATCTCAACCGCCGCCCGTAGCTAGTGGAAAGCTGTGTAGTCGTAGTCTCTAGATGAGATCTAGCACTGCTAGTTCTAGGAATAGGTCTAGGTCTAGGGCTTGGGCTAGCGCAAGCGCTAAGACCTAGGTCTAGCCCTACGTCGAGGCCTACCCCTAGGTATAGCTCTAGGCCAAGCTCAAAGCCTAGCATAGCTCTACTATAGACCTAGAGCTGCTCTAGGTCTCGCCCTGGCTCTAGCTCTAGCCTCTAGCAGCTGTATAGAGTTAGTAGTGGGCTAGGCCTAGATAGAGGCTGAAGTAGTCGTAGTCGTAGTCCTGTTCCTTCTCCTAGTCCTACTCCTAGTGTCCCAGAAGTGAAAGCATGATCGCTATCGATTGCCCATCTTCGCAAACGCTAAGACAGTGAGAACGACTATGAGTATGACAAAGACTATCGCTGTTCTTTTACTTTTCCATGCCCATAAATGATAAATCGTAAGCAGATGGCTGCTGCTTGTGCGCTCCAGTAGGCAGACTCATACTCGTGCGTGCTGCTCGTAAGGAACGCAATGCCAATGCGGAAGCGGGTGAGTATTCCCCCGAAGGCCGAAGGTGAGAACTCAGCTCCAAGCTGCTGACGCTGATCCAGATCCCCTGCGCCTACGTCGACTACTTAAGCGTCTGCATGTAGATGCACGCCGTGCACGTACTTCGTACGGGTGGAACTGGAAGTGCTTCGACATGGAGATCGAGGCGGACGCGTAGACCTACAGCTACGCCTACTCCTTCACCTTCAGCCTCAGCAGCAGCTACATCTTCTCCATCTACTTCCTCTACCACAGCCACACCCACGGCGACTACTTCTGCTACTACTAAGGCTAGCACTACTAGAAGCAGGGCTAGCAGCTCCTCCCCCTCACGATCCCGCTAGCGCGACGGCTGCGGCTACCGTTACGCCTAGCGGTGCTTGTTTCTTGCGGTTGAAGCTCCGGCCGATAGGTCTCTTTTTCAGCCTCCAACTCGGGCCCCATGTCTATGCTGTCGCCGTCTCGTCTTCACTCGGCACCAAGCTCCCGGCGCGCAGCAAAAAGAACAAGAAAAACGAGTGCCAGGCGAGGACGTGAACGGCAGGCGGAAGACCATAGCCACCAAGGGGCAACGCAGTAGCGCAAGGGCCTCAACATGGACGGGAGGGGCTAGGACTAGCAAGAGGATGAGGAAGAGCAGCCAGCAATAAGCATAGCTTATAGCAATCCCAGCGCCAGCCGTATGCTTATGCTATGGGTATGAGTATGCGCGTCTGTATGTGTATGAGCAGAGCGGAAAGAATTCACTGGAGAACGGGACCGCAAGCGCGATCGAAATCGGAAATGGAGCCCAATCTTATGAGCGCGCGCAGGTGCGCGAGGAGCTGAAGCGAAGGGAAGCGAGAGCAAGAGCGAGGGGCCGTCTCAGGTCCATGAACCAGCTGCCCCTCTGCGAGGAGGAGCGGGCCCTTCGTGGAGGTACAGCGACAGCGTGCGCAATGTCTCGGCTTCGCGCTCGGTTGGTGTAAGTCGTAAGTGAGAAGGTAACTGTAAGACTACGCGCGTGAAGTTGAGGCCTGAACTCGAGCAGTCGCCATAAAAGTAAGCGACAGCTCTCAGCCCAAGGCTGACACTGAAGCCGGAGCCACTGAGTCGCTTTTTTTTCCAATGAATAAAGCAAAAAAGAAAAGACGAAAAGCGTCGGTGTCTGACAGGCCGAAGTCTCTATCAGAAGTTGGGCACTGTCTGGGAGTCGGCTGGCACTGCTCCAAGGGTGTTCGTTTTTGTCGCTTTGCATTGAAGAAATGCAGAAAGCTGACACCGGCAGCCGAGTAGCTGGCGAGTAGGCTGAAAGAGCAACTTTTTTCCCCAGCGATGGAGTTTTTTTTTTGTGTGGTTTCGGGTGCTCTGATTTCTTTGAAGTCACTTGTTAAATATATTTTTTTTTCGTCCGTAAATAAGAATTTTTTTTCATAGGTCGAAAAATTTTGGTCCCTAAGTCTGGGAAAAGTCTGGGAACAGCAAAATGCATCGAGTTCCTGGTGAGTAGCTTATCATGCTGGAAGAAGATAGCGATAGGCGACCTAGATCCACTATGATGATGATATGAAGAAGTAGATTGATATGACAGCTTTTATGCGCTTTTTGACGGTAATATGACAGAAATGAGATGCGCCTTATTCTCGAAATGAAATTATAAGCTTTGAAGCAGAGAGAAATAAGTTAAGTGGTAAGATGAACCTAGGACTTTCTAAGATCAACAGTAATTCCACACTTTTGCCCCGTTTGACGGGCCGCCGGCCGCGGGGTTTTGCCTTGTGGCTATCAATCTGAACAATGACGAGTTGTTGGGTAAGAACCGGAATTGGCTGACGAAATCTACTTTCGAAACTTTCTGTCTACTTTCACTTTCTTTGGTACTAGAAAAAAAAATCGACGTGGTCCTGTCGTCCGTCCTCGTTGTCTTTTATGATCATCACAACTACCTCTTCCTCTACCCTATTACTGTTATAGTTACTCCACTTCTTGAAAAATCCTAACCCTATTAAGGAAGTTGTAGTCCTACTGCAGCAACTACATCATCACCTTTGGATTCATCGTCCACCTAGAAGTACAGCTACAACTTCTACTTCTACATCTACTTCCTATTCTCCTTTTATCTCCCGACTATTTTTGGTCTGAAATGGCTCCATGTGTTTGACCATCCAGCAGCATGCGCAAATAACGTAGGAGCAGTGACGATGACGTCTGTGGCGTTCCCACCCAAACGCCTTCCGTGATGGTATAGTGCCACGTCAGGGTCTAGGACACCGAAAGTTAGAGAGTGTCGAGCTGATGCACGAGGAGGTGATACTAGTTGGAGGAGTAAATACTGTTATATATAAATGTACTTGTATTTTTTCTAGTCACGATCTTGTTCTTCATCTTCTTGTTCTTCTTCTGATTTTAATATTAGAGCACCAACCATAATCCTCTGTAAACGTCTTGTTCAAAGCCTGCACGGAGTGCATATGCGCTGCGCAATGGGATCGTGATTGCGTACAGTCCAAAGGAGTGCCTCGTAGCTTGGAAAGCCTTGTCCAGGTGAGCTTTGAGCTGGCTGTTGTTGCTGGGATGGATCGTGTGAGCTCCAAGGAGAAGGAGAGATTCGAGGCGGGGAGGGGAAGGGGATATTGTCGATGTTTCTTGATCATTATAATAATAAGACGAGCCTAGGACTTTCTAAGATCAGTATTTCTATGGAGTGAATTTCCTAGCAGTGAATCTTGCAGCTTCTAATCCTAGTTGGAGGTAGTGAAAATTCTGAACAAGAATCATTCAAGAAGTGGAAATCAACTACAAGAATAGAAGAAGGAGCTCTCTTAAAGGAATGTACTATCCGGCGCTCTTTTCCACAGATCTTCACGGAAGGTCTTGGAACAGAAACGGGTGTCCCTCATTTCAGCATCGTCCTCAAAAAAATAGAGCCGTTTGGCGCCAGTCTTCATGGCTTTGCCGAGACACTCGATGTAGGCTTTTGTGATGCCTTCGCCTCGGGTTTGGGGAGGTTAGAGCCGATGATGCAGCTACGGGTTTTTTGAGGGTAGAGCTAGAGGTAGAGGAGGAGTACTAGAGCTGGAGCAGGTAGAAAGAGGAGGAAAGAAAGCACAACAAGTTGATAAGGATGAATGAGAGAAGACAACGACTAATTATGCAGCACGAGGAAGCACGGAAAGTAGAGTTCTCTGACAGTGAATATCAATATGATGTTGTTGATTTTATCAATAGATCTTCCTTCAAGATTAAGTAGATCTTCATCTTGACAACCATAATCAGGCACTCCAGCACACTGACGAAACTGGAAAGTTTGTGTTTCATTGCAGCTTTTTTGCCAACGAGAGTAGAATTTGTCCAGTCTACCATCATTGTTCTTGTGAGCGCCCTTTACTCCCTGCAACGAGATGACGAAGAAAGCCTCATCGGCTAGATATTCGATGTTTTCTGGGTTTGCTTCGTCTTGAGAGTGTTTCTTGTTTTCGGAAATGAAAGAGGACGAGAGACGACTGCTTCCTGAAGATGCTGCTTACAAGTTAAAGGCTGCAGCATTACACCCTTGAGCGCATCCTCGATCTATTTTTCACTTGGAAAAAGGTCAAGGATGTAAGTGGAGGATGTAGTAATGCGGAAGCCCTTAAACAACGGGGGGCTTACCACAAAATGAACTACAATGAATTGAAAACTCCATAGAATAAATCTTTATCTTTATCTACAAGTAAGACTTCTAGAGGACTTTCTAGTACTAGTGCCAGTCGTAACTATGGCTGACACTGCTTTCTGGTGTTGATCACCGACTTTTCCTTGGCTGTGCTTTGGTACGAGAGCAGAAGATGGAGATGCCTCTTTCTTCATCCTGCTCTGCTTTTCTTTCTCCACTTTACTAGTGATGCGCTTCCGTATCTCCTGCTTCTTGGATGTTGACGAAGAAGTAGAAGATATTTTCCTCAGCATCTTCTGGCCTTTCTTTTTGGAGGTCTCTTGCGTTTTTGCAGTTGATGATGATGTGTGTTTCTCCTTTGCAGTTGAGCCTCCCATCTTGATAACAGCACCTTTGAGGCGCTGCTGAGCTGGTGCATCCTTGTTTTTGTCGTCAGCGCCATATCCTGCGTCCATTTCTTCGAGTCCTCTTTGAAGCTCTAGCTTCCTCGATGGCTCTTCATCTTCGGCTTCTTGCTCCTCTTTGTAGTCCAAGTAGTCTACGTCCTCCTCATCTCGATCTTGTTCATCTTCTTCATCTCTAGAAGTTGCATCAACATCTTCAACAACGTCATCTCCCTGATGAAGATCTTGTTCAACATCTTCTACATCTTGATAATACTTTCGTTCTTCTTGAAGATCATGGCTTATCCTATCGTGACTTCTTCTTATTGTACTTGAACTTGATGAGGCAACTTCGTCATCTGCAAGAGTATCATCTTCTGACGAAGAGGAACGTGGTCGTGGATGATGTGGATGTCTACTGCTATGGCCATGCGCGATGGCGTTGGAAGAACGGCTACCTCTACCGGGTAGAAGACTCGCAGACGCACAAGACGACAGCCATAGCAGTCGCGTTGCACGCGCCTGAGACTTTCTAGGCCAAGCTATCTTCATTCTTCCACGGCTGTGCCTCTTCGCGGCTGCTGCTCACTTGGTGATGCTCTGGCCGCGAGGATTAGGCATATAAGTCTTCAAATATTCTTCTCTTACAAAATACGATCAGAATTCAAATTCATCATCCAACATGCTTTACCATGCATGATGTCCTTTCATTTTTTCAGTTTCACAGGTTACAATATAATCGATTAGCAACTCCTCTATTTCCATTTAGTGCCGAAGTTCGTTTGATGACGTATTTAGAAGTCGTCCATGCAGATTTTCAGGTTCAACAACAACAAATTTTCTCTCTCGAGAAAGCTTCAACTCTCATTTTCTGTTTTATCTCCACTCCACTTTTGAGTTTGAGTCGGGGAAAAGCACGATGACGATACTTTTGTGGTTGTGGAAAACATTTGTACTAACGACAGACACATTTTTATCCGCAGTCATCTTTGCGACTCGCCGAGACAGTGACAACGACAAGACGAGGTCGGCGCTAATTATAGTATTGGTAATGCCTATGCTGAGGATAAGGGAATATGTCGAAGAACATGTTGAGAGAAGTTTAGCTTTAGGTCGTTTAGCCGTACAGCTACATGATTCAGTACGATCATCTACTCAATGATCGTTATATTTATTATAACAAGCAAAGTGCATGATGTGGAATCGCTTGTGAGTTGCAGTAAAAGCAGTCTGGTTTTTTGCATCTCTCCAAATTTCCCAACATTTTACCGCATAACATCCACGCTGATGGCAGATCCACGATAGGATACTTCTCTTTCTCAAGTGGAGAACGAGAAGTTTGAGATTGAGAAGTTTGAGAAAACTCATACCGCAACAATGCGCCTTCCTGTTCTTGCGTAGCACCTCCACTTAGTAAAGGTGAGTACATACTCTTCTGCTCTTCCTCCGTTAATTCATGCATCCTTGTCAGAGCTCTGAGCTCGGCACCAGTATTGTGCTCATAGTATCGCCAGTAGGAAAGGAGCTCAGTAAGGCTCAAGACGCTGCCCCACCTGGATCTCTTGAAGTCCTCCATAGTATCGCCGTCCGCATGCAGACACCAAGGCTTGCGGATGTAGTGCACACTCAAAGCAGCACGCTTGATCAGATGTTGTGGTCGTTCCAGAGACGCGGCGACACCAGAGGACGTCGTCGTGGAAGTGGATGATGGAGCGGTACTTCTACTCGCTGTGGTAGTTGAATTCTTCTCTACTTCGGCCACAGTGAGAAAGAGGTTTTCATAGGTGTAAAGATTCATAACTTCTTCAGGCTTTTCATCTTGGGTTTTGGAGTTCTGCTCTCTACTAGTGCTAGTGGTTGTAAACCCGTGTACCATTTCTAAGGAACCATGGCTGGTTGTATTTGCGAAGAAGTTCTGAAGCAGTGGTAATGTTGTTGATGATGTGTCATCTTCAGATGTTGCAGGTGGTGTCTTTGTTGCCGCGGGGGCCCACAACAAGGTCGAAAGCTGCTTTGTCGAGGTCGAGGAATTGCTACTAGAAGATGCGTGATCGTACCATTCATCCGTATACTCTCTCGCCCTTTCTCCATGATGCCAGTCAAGCTCATTCGAATGCAAGGATACTGAGCCATCCAGTCTGGCTCCGCTGGCTGGCCAAGTGGCTGGAATCCCACAAGTTGTCGCTAAACGATTCAGCATGCCCTGATCGGTGCCAGTGCTTGGTAGAATGTCAAAAGCAAACCCACGAGATCGTTCTAGGAGGTGACTTTGACGTGCGCGACGGGTTTTCCTGTTGGTATCCGTTTCTACTTCGGATACAACAAGCGACTTTTCAAACTCTAGTGCTTGTCGGACAAATGATGCAGGTGTTCGTTTCAGATTTTTTGGTGATTTTTCTGTTGAAGGAGCTGTTCTTGATGTTTCTTCATCTACCAGTGGCAGTGCTTTCAGTGAAACAAGTGGTCCACTATTGAAACTGCCTCCACCTTTCGCTGGTTCCGGTTCCTCCTCATCAACACGCCTCAAATACGTCACATATTGCTGTGTCAACGCATGTTGCAATGTGCGATTGGCTTCTGCTAAAACGGCTAGCCGTAAGGTTTCCGAAGGTATTATCAGCATAGCGCAGGAGCACATGATTACGTGACAGGGGTTGATGCCCTGCATATCCGTGGCCGCCATTCCAGCATAGGTCCTCATAGGTTCTTGGATCGGATGGTCTTGATGAAGATGCTCTATCTTAGTCACGCCGATTGAGAACAGGTGGTCCATATTGGCCAAAGGGAGAATGTCCGCGTCGAGAAAAAAGACGCGTTGGATGCCGAGAGGCAGCATATCAAGCATAAACGCGCCAAGCTTGTCGAGGGAGCTCGAGGAATGAAAGGGGAGATGGTTGATGTGGTTTGGGGGGAACAAGCACTAGTAGATTACGATTAGTCCCTAGAAGTTGTAGAGTCTTGATACAACACTTCATTTATTTTATCATGTGAGAGAATGTCAGGGGGAGAGGAAGTTGTACTGGATCAGCAGATTCAGAAGCCTAATCTAAGTAAAGCAAGCTCCTCCCTTTACCTTACTTGCTGTGTCTCGTTCCTCTGACTCCTCTTCGCAGTCTCGCGAACACCGACTGCTCCTGTCTCGGTAACTTCGCCTCCAAAGTCGCAGTTTTGACCAATATCGTTTCGCCATCAGCCAACAATGGCGCTGCTTCATCTGCGGTGGGTCCGACGAGCACGAGGAAGCCCATCTTGGATTTCATTTTCCGAAAGGCCTCGCGCATAGCGACAACGCCAGGAAGGTAGTCGATGGAACTGAGAACGGTGGCGAAAACTGACGTCGTTGATGGAGATGACTCTGCAGTACTAGCACTTTGAGCACCACTTGTTGATGTAGTTTCAACAACGGGCTTGTTGTTCGACGTAGCTTCCTGTTGCTGCGCAGCAATCACCGCCATGCTATAACTTTCATGCATCCCACCATGAAATTTGGCAAAGCGATCCAAGGCCATTCTCTTAGGTTTTTCCTCCAACCGTTGCCGCTCACCTAGATGCCAGACGCAGTCTTGGGGTCTCATCGCGACGCCAAGTGGACCACGCGGTACCCAATCCTCTGTCCAGAAGAGACTGCGCCTTCTCCCAGCCGCTGTGGCAGCTCCGACATCACTGTGTCGATAGAGGAAAGCTGTGGTGCGTACTTCGGCCGGATGTTGGAGTGGTTGATTTCCTCCAGCACGAGGACTAGAAGAGCTCCTATTGTCCTCAGATGAGCTTTTCTCGTTATAATAGTGGAAGAGCAGCTTCTCCACATGCGATTCGCATCCCTGTGGCACGCAAACACCAAGGAGCTGGAAGTTCCCAGGAGTGTAAAACGCGTACACACCTTGCAGATCTATGCAGCGGTGGGCGTTGAGACGCCCGTGGGCAGAAGAGTCAGCTTGTGCGAGTGAGGTGCCGGACAGGTCTGCGAAAGAAGTCGTGGCGTCGCTGACTGGTTCCTGTGAGGACTGAGGTCGTCCTCGTTTACTTTCGAACTCTTCCCGGCAATGAGACCAGGAAGCGGCTGCAGGCGATGGTGTTGCCGCTGCTGGACCCAAGTTCATTATACTGAACAAGAAGAACATTCTCTTTCTCATAGTTTGATAAAAGATGTGGTGGGTCCCTAGTATTTTCATTTCCTTTCAGTAAAAAGTGATTGTGCGCCTCGAATGGTCCTAAAAGCCTCGTGGACTGGAGTTTAATGTGGCTAGCTTTTCATCACGAAAGATAGAAATATAGCTCGAGCCTCTCAAGAGTTTTTCATGTTCCTTATTCCTGCTCCCCAAAACAGAAGTGTCGGATACGAAGACAGCAGCACACGGACTGTGAGCATATCCGAGTTGCGTAGCATAATTCTTCATGCGATTACAAGCGCTGGAATGATCTTCCAAGCGACAGTTGTATTCTATTTGTTTGTAGCACTTCAACATCGATAACAAAATTAACATGTCTACATCGTCATTTCTTCCTCCACAAATAACCCCCTCTATGCTGCGACAACACTAAATATTCCCTACTTTTGTCCACAACAAAGTGCCTACTGGCATTCCGCGTTTGTATGTGGTCGAAGAACAGGCTTACTGCCCTAGCTGGTCCGAGCCACTGTCGGCCGTCGTGTCGCCACGTGCCCTCGTAGAGAAAGTCTAAATGCGTGTCTTGGACGATCAAATATTGGCCAACAGACACCAAATCCCAATAAGCCTGCATCTCCTTCCAAACATGAGGGGCTTCATGATCGCTGTCCAGGACAACCATGATTCTAGGTGGTCGCGTTCTGCGTTTTCCTTCGAATTTCCGTCTAAACTCCTCGACGAACGCTCTCACTTTCGCCACTACCCCAGGCTCAATCGAAGATCCCTGCATAAAAGTCACATGCCTTTTCCACAGAGGATGTTTGGTTACTTTTTGCGACAAAGCGCTGTCTCGAGATATCTCCAGGTCTTCTGGATGTCGTGGATCGATGGTGAGGATTTGAGAGACTGCACTGGCACTACTCGAGCTCCAACATTTTCCCTTTCTTCCTGCATCTCCAACATCTTCATCTGATTCTTCTTCATCTCCTTCTTCGCCCCAACCCCATCTCTGTATCATGTCCAGCAACGATGCGTAATACAAAGCCGATCCACCATTGTAGGTTCCAGTCTCGATAATGAGGTCTGGTCTTGTGTCCCAAAGAAGCTCTTGTAAGATCCAGGCATCTGAGATTAGAGAAAACAGGGAGCAGTACAACAAGAAAAGCTTCCTGTAATTATCTAGTTCTAGAATGATATTACAGTTTTCATTTTTATCGCAAGTCCTTCTAGATGAAGATCTAGTCTCCAGTGGACCCAGACGTTGTTGTAAAAATCTCACTTGTTGTAGTACATCTCAACACGACCGAGCCATAACAAAGGATGTTGCTGTATCTTCATGCCCAGAAAGCGCTGTTTCATGAAAATGCCGTTCCACTCGTACATCTTGTCGTAGGCAAAAGCGGACTGTTCAGCAGTTAGCGATAGGTGGTCAGGCTGCTGGGTTCGGAATGCGGTACGAGAGAGGGCGCGGCGGAAGGATTAGAGACGAAGCGCAGGCTTTTTTGTATGCATGCTATTGTCCCTGTTATCGCCGTTCATGGTGACCGTAGAGGCGTGGTCTGACAGGCATTTTTGTACGTCGAACTATGTACTATAGGACAATAAAAACACGAAGCCTTCATCATGTTCTTTGTGCCTTTCTTCCAATCTTTACAGTCACTTTTCCCATAACGGCGACATGCCGCATCATCTCCACAATAATCGTCCTCTTCAACTTCGTGTTCTTCCATGATGTTACTCATGTGCGCTGATGTCGGAATCGCTACTAGTTCGTCGCCACGTGATAGAGAAGGTCGTGAGAATGATCTTCTCGTTGTCATGGAAATTTCCATAGGCGTTCTGGCGTCGTCCAGCAGCAGTGGGGGATCCTCTGCCTCAGCTTGAACTGCTCGATTGTTCTTCTTTTCGCCAGGTGAATCATCCTCCGGATTACTTAAAGAAAGTCCTTGACCACCACCTGAAGCGTGATCTATTGTGACTGATTTTGTGGTGGTATTCGTATTCCTCTGTGGCTCAATCACTTGCTTGTATTGAGCAGGAACAGGATTAGAGCTTGATGTTGTACTTCTTCGTGTGGTCGTGGCACTGGTGGAGGCACTTTTCCCTGCTCCTTTCGTCGCTTCTTGCAGATAGCCGGATAAGGAGGAAAACAACCCAGACACGAAGCCCGTTTCGCTTCCAGCTAAACCTAAAGCCACTTCAGCGGCAAGTGCGACGACAAGCAAGACCCACCTAAAGCAGCCATACGGCTCACGCAAGAGCTTCATTCTGACTGTTGATTCAGTCTAAGGTTTTCCTGAACATAAGCCTCGATCTTGGCAGATTCAAGGCAGATCACACATGATCATATAGACTGCCACAGGATCAGGAGCGGTATGACGCAAACTCGAGAGCAGGTAATATGTTGAACAAACCACACGACAGGGCCAGCTTGAAGACTTGGGCGCCTTTGTCTTGAAAAGATGGCCAAAACAATCCAAAAATCAGAGAAGAAAGCTCATACTAGAATTCTGATAATGAGGTCTCGGCGGCTTCACATCACGACATGCAACATCTTGGCACCATCCACTCTTCAGCATGCCTGTTGAATGAAATCATGGATGTTCACATCGTCAACATGATCTTCCCACCTACAGCATCTTCGCAGCCTCTCCACCACGGTAGTCGTGGTCCGGCCTCACCCCGTTTTCCTGCAATACCATGTTCCCAGCAATGCTAGGAAGGATCCCTGAGTACACATGATATTCCAACCTTGGCAGGCATCTGCACTCTCGTTGTATCGTCGAGGCATCGTATTAAAACCGAGAAAATGCATTGGCAAGAAGGTCATGTTCACCCCGATGATGAAGACCCAGACCTGGTCGTGAAGTTGGGGACGAGGTAGAGGTTGATGTTCAGGTGGTATTCATGACTGAGCAAGAACTGGCATCGCCATACTAGCATGATCCATCAATTTCGACGAGGTGAATATAATAAATAGGTTTAGAGCAGTTCTCCAAGATGTGAAGTTGTAGCAAGTACTATTGGGGAGAATTCTGTGCTAGATGACGCAGCCGCTATTCCATTCTGTGCTAGATGATAAAGTCAAGAAGTTGTAGCAAGTGTATAAGTTTTCAAGATGAATACCCAGTAAACATAAAGCTTCGAGGTCGGAAGTGTGTACATCGGTTGAAAGAAGTAGTTGTGCTGCTGGTATCCATTCTGATTGGCTCCTGGAGCTTCATAGACATCCGTTGAGAAGTGATATCTTCTACTCAAGGTCTGTCGCAAGAGGCCGCCTCTTGCAAGAGATGAAAGTGAGTGGGGGTCGGAGGAAGGTGGGTGGAGTGCTGTTGGGGAGTGGTAGAGGAGGTGAAGTTTTTCCACGACCGAGGGGTGTAGCATGTACATCATGAGGCGAAAGGAAGCTTGCTAGATACAAGAAGAAGAAGAAGAAGAAGATGAAGACCCCTAAAAAATTAATAGACTGCAAGTACAAGAACGAGGTGATTATCAAATGTAATCACGAACTCCAACTGACTTGCGGTCTTCTCCCCGTCATAACATGCTTGCAGCAAAGCATCTCGATGCGTTTTGTCCTACTTGCGCCTCGGCACATCTTAATGACGGCCCGAGTCGTTGGGCCACTAGGCGCAACATCTTCCAAACAACAACCTGAGATTATAATTTTACTGCTTTTTATCTTCCTAGTTCCCCTTCTGGCGTTATTTCACGATAAACAACTGCGTGTTGTTGTGTGCGATGGTAGTTCCTGGTCGCTTGATGGAGCAAAAAAAAATAAGATTTTGTTCTTCACTCTGGTGCCTTTTTACTCATCGGTATCTTGCCTGCTGCGCTGTAGTCTGCGCCTACTCTTTCTTTTTAGATTTTGTTCATTCCACCGGTATCATCTCTCTCAGACAGTAACTCTCTTGTGAAGCGCTCTCTCTCGGCACGGCATAGCCGTCTTTCCTCTATTGTTATGCCTGGAGTCATACAGCAGCAGCTGGATGTGCCAATCGGTCTTCTTTTTCTCATATTCAGTGTTCCAGGTTTTACAAAATTTCAGAAATAAAGGGGGCCTGCAGTTGCATCACTGTCTCATGATAAATTGCCGGTTCAAGAACAATTTGATACACGAACACGACTATACAAAAACATAAGTAAACACGCTATCATTCATGTGCATAGCACCAGTCTTTCTGCCAGGGGTGCCATCGATGTCTAGCTCTACTAGTACACCTATTTCCCCACGACCCCACCTCTTCCTGCAGCAGCAACGTCAATATGCTCTGCTAAAGCAAAGTCTTTTTCGGATATGCCTCCACAATCGTGCGTTGACAATTCTATCTCAACACGATTGTAGACATTGAACCATTCCGGATGATGATCGGCTTTTTCTGCGTGTAGTGCGACACGGGACATAAATGGAAATGAAAGTAAGGCAAGTTGTGGATTATCTTTTCCGCGTGTAGTGCGAGGATGCGGGACATAAAGGGTCCGCGTGTAGTGCGATGCGCGACATAAAGGGAAATGAAAGTTGTACAATAGATACAATAAAACTCGCACAAAGTTCAGCGCAGACTAACATATTATGGCATAAGGGCGTCGTAGTTGTTCGTCACGATGATAACTCACGCAAGATTTCAAGCTAATAACTGCGATTGAAGTGGATTATCAGGCAGTGTTCTGTTTCTGTATCTGTCATAGACTCTATAGTACATGACTTAACGCCTTACTCAATCACTCTTTGGTGTCCAACGCGCACTCTATAGTGCTGACTGTGTGCTGCGAGGTCGTTTCCTAGACAACGAACAGGTGTGGTAAGACATGACTATCCCAACATATTTTTATAAATGTTCCAAAATCTTCATAAACTCCACGCTTCGCAAAAATTTCCGAATTGTACTGTCCGCTGAATTCGATCCGGTTTGCCTGAACTTGCTTCTTCAATGACGGTCCAATCTTTATGGAGGCTCGTTGATAGTCTTTTTGCTGCCTCTGAAGCTGCCACTCGCATTGGTGGACCTCGTCTTGCGTTTGAGGTGGTGAAGAGACCACGACTGCAGGCACTTCTTGACAGCTGAGATGCTGGAGACGCAGACGCAAGAGCAAGTCTCATTTTGATCGTGTGATAAAGTGTGTCTGGAGGTGGTCGTGCTGTGAAGGTCAGTAGAATGAGCAGGAGCAGGACAACTCTCTACCACTATGGTGTGGACATCTTTTCGTTTTGACTCACAGTCTTATTCCTGCGCATTTGTTCATCTCACCAAGAATGGCATTTCCGTTTTCCCAATCATCTTCGACTTTTTCAACTTTCATCCTGTCTGTGCGTCTACTATGTGAACACTAGGGTAGCGGTAGTCCTTGCACAAATCGAAATTTTTTCGCTGTTGAATTCACCAGCGATGTTTTCAAGGATTCATTGAACACGCACATCAAATTATCGAGTTCGTAATCTTTAATCTTCTTCGAAGAAGTTAGCATCTTGCACATGCCATCGGCTGGCATCCTGAATCCAGGAGTTCCAGTACTTATCTTCATGATTTCTTTTTCATCAACATGATCATCTTCCAGCGGAGGTATTTTTCTTTGTGTCAAGCCCATACCTCTCCAACGCGATCACTATGCCGGAGTCCCTCTTGGAATCGATGGCGTCACGCCACTGAGCGCTTGTCCGACACGCGTGCCCGCAACAAACTTGAAGAAGCGTAGGATCGCGTTATCTGAAAGTGGGTAGAAGATTAGAATGGAGAAACAGAGTCGGTGCTTGAGGAACAAGAACATGATGAGGCACAATTATTAGTATGTTGTCAAAATGAGTAGTCGTAAGTAGTAACAAGCTAGTACAGGATAGGCATCAAGCGAAGTGAATTTCAACGAGGACGAGAACAAGAGTAAGAGCAAATGAAATAAGGCAAGGAGAGTGGGTAGAATATTATTAGAATGGAGAAACAGAAACGGTGCTTGAGGAACACGAACAATATGAATAATTTTGAAACGACGACGACGACGACTTGATTTTGGTAAGTATATAGTTGCAGCAAACTATATGGAGTAGTACTCTCAATCGCCTCTGTAATCAGCTTCGCTGCAGCCTCAGCTCGTCTCGCCGCCTCACAACAAGCTGGCGGTTGGACTGCGCATCCTGCCGCTTTCCCCTTGCCAGACGCTTGCTCCAGAGTATTTTGGGCAGCCACTCCAGGACACGAAGCTTGCGGTAAAGTGGCACTTCTGGTGTAACTGCATTGGGAGAATGATGTCGCTGCAGATGTCAATGTCAAATTAGGGGTTGAATAAAGTTGGCATCTCTATCCCGCATATCTATGGCTTTCCTACTTGGAGAAACCATAGAGATGCTTATAGAGATGCCAACTTTCAAGCCTTAATCAAAGAGGACGATAATATCGAAGATGTCAACTCTGCTGGTTGACGTAGTCTCATCTTCGTTGTACTTCGGAGTCGGGGCATCAACCTTCTTGGGATATTGTTGAGTGATGTTCCCTCAAGATTGAAGTGCTCTGGGTGTGCAGGCACATCGCTGTTGTAGCCGTTCGAAGTATTCAGGAATGCTGTGGACGACGAGGACTGAGATCTCCCAACACGAAGCGCATCAAAGCTTTCACCCTGCCCTGACGGGAGGGCATCGAGAGCGAGACTCAATAAGTTTGGCATTTTTCTCTATTTGTTCCAGAGACTTGCAGTTGCACCTGGACCTTGCTTATAGCACAGTGAAATGTAGGTCGCTCAACTACAACTGGTTGTATCCATACTGTTACTGTCTTGTTAAAGAACAATCGTGATGGCGATGGAGTGAATCTTAGATTGTCAAAGCGTCAACTAGTCGCTGGACGCGGTGGCAACAAAGGAATGGGTGGGGCTGGCGGGATGGAACTAAAGGGTGGTCAAGCTGTGATGTTGCATGTTGCTTCTTTCACCTCCGATCGAGTCCCTATTACAGACGACTTTCCAGGAATGATACACCGATATAAAATGGCCTGTCGGCTGGGTACTTGCAATTCTACTCTTTGTATCTTCGCACTTCTACTCTCCTGCAAGACAAGGAAACCGATGGAGATGATGATCATGCAGGTGATCCTCATCAGATCTCTAATATCATAGGGGCACAGAGACCACCAACATACGACACGACTAAGGTAGAAGACGCGGCATTCGTTTTCTTGTTGCCCTTGCCCGTTGTCGTTGCTTATTCAAGTACAAGTACATGGTATTGGCCACGACATGCACATCAAAGTTGTTCAAAGATTCTTGGAATCGATTGAACAAGCGTTTGCGTTTTGGTAAAAAGTAGAATCGGTTCTGAATCAGTCATAGAGAGTAGGCAACGTTTGACTATATATTGACTGTTGAAATTATGATTCAAATTGATTGCAAAGACTAAAAAAATGTTTCTAAGTAGTCCTCTGAGTCTGAGAAGTCTAGGTGACATAACATTTTTACTTACCTGTGTGCTTGACGTTCATTTGGTTTCTCATTTTTTGCATTGAAGTTGAGACATCGCGATTTCTTATGACAAATCAAAACTGTATCTTCTGTTCATTTATTTGGTTTTGGTGATGACAAATCAACTACATGATGATCGAGATCGTTCATTTTTGTCGTCGTGCTATGGAATTATACTTTTTCTTTTACTAGGTACTAATGAGCTAAAGAGAATAAGATCTCCGGTCCCACTTCTACTGTCCCATCTTTTCTATATCCAGAGCTTCACTCTGTGCTAGCAGCTGTGCCGCAATTTCAGCTGCGGTCGGTGGGAGCGTATGCCTCTTCATGTGCATCATGCTGCTTGCAGATGCAGTGCTTGCAGCAGCGCCACTAGTAGACATAGTTGTAGTCGCGGCAGAACCTGCTGTTGTAGCAGCAGCACCTGCTGTCGTCGCGGCAGAACCTGCTGTTGTAGCAGCAGCACCTGCTGTCGTCGAGGCAGAACCTGCTGTTGTAGCTGCTGCACTTGTACCCGATGCAGCTGTACTAGCAGGATCACTAGTTGCTCCTGAAGGTGCTCCCGAAGATGAGGCTGACGGAGTGTTGACTATTGTGCCACTCTTCGTTACGTTGCCGATTGCAGCAGCTGTGGTGGAACCTGCTTTTGTAGTGGCCTTTGCACTAGCTGTTGAGCTTGAAGCGGTACCACCTGGTTTTGATGTTGATGAAGTGCTAGAAGTTTTGTTACCTCCACGTGGTGCTCCTGGTTCTGATGTGGTGGAAGTAGATGTGGTACTGCTCTTGTTCATCCCAGTAGAAGTGCCGGCGTTGCCTTGAATGCCATTTTCTTCTGTCATGTTCGTTCCAACATTGTTCTTGTTGTCAGGTGGTTCTGTCCTCGTACTAGTCGTGGTATTGATCTTCTCTACTGGCATTGTACTACTAGACGATGAACTCGGCATTGTTGTTGGTACAACACTCGTTGCGTCAGGAATAGTTCTTAGAAGAAGAGCTCCCGCGCTCGCATCCCTGAGAGAATCCCCGAGGCCTTTTTCCCCTTGAAAAAGAGGCCAGGGACGGATGATTCTGAGGATCCTTCAGCGGTAGCCTTAAAGTTCCAACTGATGTCGTTGTCGTTGTTACTTCATCTTCAGGTTTTTCTGTAGAAGACGTTGAAGTTGTAACAAGCGGCACAGTGCTGGTACTAGCAGCATGATCGGCGTAGACATCAGCTGAGAAGGGATTGGTTGTGGACACATTTACCGACAGAATTCCGGCAATTGGGGCTGCGCTAGCGGCCGAAATTTGCGCTGACAGAGAACCAGCATCGTAAAGTGGAGAAGTAGTCGTCGTCGACGTACTGGGCTCAGTCGTAGTCGTTGTGCTGGTTGGCTCTAACGTCGTGTTGGAGGATGCTGTGGCGATTGTAGTCGTTGAAGTCGAGGAACTAGTCGGAGGATTCGTGGTAGTGCTAGTCGACGTTGAATTAGAACTAGCGCGGTCGCATCCCTGAGAACATCCACCTTGGCTCCATTTTTAGGTAGAAAAAGAGCCAGGGACGGATGATTCTGAAAATGCTCCAGCGGTAGCCTTAATCGAAGTTTCATCTACTGGTGATACTGTAGTGGTAGTGGTGGATGCATTCCCTGACAATTTCCACGTAGGTGTTCTTGGAGTAACGGCAGCCTCCTGCACTTCAGCCACGAGCTTCGCCGCAAATGTCTTATCGGGCTCATCGGATTCAGCAAGAGCGCCCAAACGAGCAGCCAAGCTCTTTCGGAAGGTGGTGAGGGGTATGAAAGTAAAGGTAGAGGAGGGCGAGCGGTGGAGGACTCAACTATATTTGCACATCTTTGATGGTCACCAAATAAATAGAAATACGTGCCATATTTTTGATATTTGCAAAAATAGTATCGCATTATACTTCTTCATCTGTTGACACTTCAACTACAAGAACTGTGACAATAACCCATGATCATCTTAAATGGCGACATTTGCGATGGCATTTCTCCCTCCTGTGGCACGTATCGATCTCCACGGTCTGTATCATTGCCAAATATCGCATCATTTCGCAAAATCGAAGAGGCAATGGCAGAAAGTGGCCTCAAAACACCACCCACAATCGCATCAGCTGAGGTATCGTTCGTGGCCGCCGCGACGGCTCTATAAATGTCGGCTGAGACTTCACCCTGAAGCCAATGTTCGACGGTTGGCAGTTAGAGGAGGGTATTGGATTTGGAGGAAAATCATGGAACAGTGATAAATTTTTGTCATGTCATGTGTCTCCAACCTGATCTACCAAATCAGTTTTAAGACCAGGCCCAGAGGAAATGAATCCATTGTATTTGTAAATTATTAGTTCTTCATCAATATGACCATAATTAACATCATCCGTATCCCCTTCCGTCGATCGCTCGAAAGACGCATTTGAGATCAAATCTTCGTCACCAGAAAGTGAAGCATCTTCTGGGCGATTGGTGCTAGGGGCTAAGGGGTCTTGTGGGGAGTCTGTTGATGTCGATGACTCTGGTTCTTGGTGCGCTTCCATCTTGGACTGTTGGTTTCCGCTTTGATTCTTGTGGCTTTCTTTGACGAGGACGAAATTCTTTAGACTTTTGCTCTTCATCTTCGACGCACCAGCGGGATCATTTTTCCGCTCATTGTCAGTGTTGGAGTTCGTCTTTGAAGCACTAGACGAGGAAACTTGAGTGTCCTTAGACTTCTTCTTGGTTTCATCTTTCTTGATGTTTTTGTCCGACTTGTCCGACGATGAAGAAGCTGTCGTTTTATTTTCCACAGCATTGGTCGTTTGTCTCCTGTCCTTTTTCTTGTATCTGTCTACTTGTTCTTTTATCTTTTCGTTTTGTTCTTTCTTCGCGTGCCCTGCTAGTTGCTCTTGCTCTGCTTTTTCCTTTTCATGTTCTTGTCTGCTGGACAACAGAAAGTTCATCATCTTCTTTTTCTTCGATGCGGAAGATGATGAAGCTTTTCTGCTCTTGGGGTCAGGAGGTCCATTGTTCTCTTGGAGTTGTTCAGCACCCTCTTCCATATCCATGGTGGAATCCTGCTCGACGAGGGTAACACCTGCACTTTCGCCATTATGTTGATGTTGAGTAGATAAAGAGGAAGATGATGGAGGTGCTTCTTCTAGTTTAGTACTACTAGAAGATGTTGATGCCGGATCAACCTGAAAATGCAACTTGTTATTGGAAAATCCATGTTCATCTCCAGCAGCTGCGAGATCGTTGCTTTTCTTCCGGTTCCTCTTCACCGTGGCAACCTGCTTTTCTAGTACCTGGTGCTTCCTGTGCGCTTTTGCGCCAGTTTGCTCCTCCTGTAATCTTCCTTGCACTAGTGCAGCTAGACCAGTTCGAGTTCCCACCTCAAAAATATTTTCAAGTGCTGCTGGCGGCGGCCCAAGGCCGACGCCTAAGAGGAGAAGCTTCTTCATCCAGGCAAGACCCTCTGCGACCGGGTGCGGGTTCCTCCTTGTCGTTGCTAGTCGCGAATTATATTTTCCATTGTGTTCTGTTGAGGATTAGAAACAACTAGCTGTTGAAATACAGTCAGAAGGAGCTTTCGTCACATGAGTGGGATCATTAGGCGAAAACATCAAGTAGTAGTGGAGGTTTGTGATCTCAGGAGCATCTCTGTAGTACACTCTCGCTCCTCTTAGAGACGGCTCATCTTTTCCAATCCCAACTCACTTCCCTCTCATCTTCTTCCTCCTATTTCGCAATTTCATTTTCTCTTGTTTTTCGAGTAGCAAAAGCCTTTTTACCTGCGACAGTACACGAGTCACACGGCCTCGTCGTGTACAGCATCAACATCGTCTTCACCTCCGCAAGCTCCAAGCGATGCTTGTGGTTTTGCTTTTCGCTTGGAGCGGGATTTTTTCCATGGTGAATTTCTATGTGCCGCAGCATGGATGTATGGGACAACGTTCTTGTTGTAGTCGAGAAGGGGATGACAATTTTGCGTGCGGTTCAAACATATCTTCCACCTTGTTTGGATAAAGGTGGATAGAAGTAGGACAGTGAGAGCGCCAAGGGAATTATGTAGAAGCGTCTGGGCCCCATGCTCTGGGGTAGTAGTTCAACATCTTGGATGAGGAAAATATTTATAAGATTTTATTTGGCGTATTCCTTGATAGGAAAATTTAAATGTAAATTTTCTGACTTCTCTAACCCCTGAACATGAAGAACACGATAATTTCTATGTTGTGAAAGTAGTTTGTTCTAATAGCGTGGTTTAGTAAGGAGTTTTTTTCTCGAGTTCGAGATAGAGTTCGTTGTAGACAAGTAGTAGTAGTAGTTTAATTCATCGTTGTTTTAGTACTACTGGTAGAAGTACTGTCAACAAGAACAAGAACAAGAGCAAGAACGCTTTTCAATGGGCGAGTCTTACTGTCCTTTCCTCGCCTGCTTTAGTCTCTCCTCCAAAAGTTCGTAGTCGCCATCGAGGTTGGTGATCATTTTGATGTTAAACTGCTCTCGGATCCCATCCATCAGGGTCTTTTCATGATCGGTGACAAGGTTTACCGTCAATCCCTTCATGCCGAATCGCCCGGTTCGTCCGGTTCGGTGTAAATACGTTTCCCCAGCTGCTAGTCTTTCGTCGGCCCTGGTTGTATTAGGTTGTGTTCATGTTGCTGTGTGTTCATGTTGCTGTTCTTGGTGAAGGTAAGTAGTAGTAGTAGTAGTGTACCTCCCATTCTTGAGGTAGTTGACCTTTTTAATTAGCATGGATGAGGAGGTTGCCATGGTCGTGGTTGGTACTTGTAGGTCGTGTCATCAATGTAGTACTAAACTTCTACTTCTTAAAAAAGTAGACTTAGAGGACTTACTTTAATAACGCCATCAGACTTAGACTTACTTCAACTACCTTGAAACAAGTAGGAACAAATCTAGATACAGCGATCCTTCTTTCCAGCACTTCAACTAGCTTGAAACAATGGTAGGAACATAAAGGTAGATACAGCGATCCTTCTCTCCAGCACGTCGGGATCTCGTAGTTGACCACTAATGTGACTGCTGGCACGTCGATGCCTCTTGCTAGAACGTCAGTCGCTATCAGGACTTTGGTGATCCCTCTTCGAAATTCTTCCATCACCTTGTCACGGTGAGACGGATCCACCTGCTCGGGCCCGCTCTTTTGCGTTCCGCAGATCAAAGAAGTAGCATAGCCGTCACGTTTTAGTCGGACGGTTACTTCGTGCCTGTGGAGATATGGATGATGAGTGGTAATTGGAAAGATGTGCCATCATCAAAAATGCGTCGCAAGTGATTGACTGCAAGACGAAACCGTTGAAGGATCTACTTAAATGAGATTTAGAAGTACTTCTAGATCCAAAATGATGGAAAAAAAAGTGAAAGTAATACGCCAGTTTCCTGCTGTTCATGAATATGATGCTTTGTCCGACGTTGAGATGGGAGTATATCTCCTTCAAGGCTTCATATTTGTCGTCATTCGTCCGGCACAGCTGATAAAAACTTAAGATGGTGTCAATCGCCAAGTCCTTGTTTTGAACGGTAATCTTCGCTGCTGCTGGTACAATAGTCTTGGCGAAGTCCCTCACGTGGTCTGGGTAAGTCGCGGAAAAAAACAAAACCTGGCACTCCTGTGGTAGCCACTTGCGTACTGCGCCTACGTCACGACCCATCTGGTTCTCCTGGTCCAACATGACATCTGCTTCATCTAAGACGAAGACTTTCACGCGATCGACATTGAGGATGCGCTTCTTCACTACGTCGTACATCTAAGATTTGTATTTGTTGGAAAAGTTGTTACAGTATGCTAAAAAATAAGGGCTCCAGGTGTGGAATGGCATGGATCGAATGGCACGAATGGCACGGATGGCGGGGGCGCAATCCGTGACCGCGATCGACCTCGCCATTCGTCCCATTCGTGGACCAAATAGACCTTCGAGAGCGGGGCGCCCTTCGGGCGCCCTGCGTTCCGACGCGTTGCTCTCCCCACTGGGTTGCCACTTCCTGCTCGATGCTCTACGCCGATCGCCAAGAACCCCGCGGGCGCGGGGCGCCCTTCGGGCGCCAAACCCTGCACTCAGCCAAACGCACATCCCTCACACAGTTCCACTAGGTGCCAAGGCTGCCCCCCCGCTACGGGCGGGGCGCCATGCTTCGGCGCCACCTCTTCCCTTCTTCGTCGTCACGATGTGGCTTCTCTCATGGGCGGAATCACTTGCATGCGACCGATATACTCGGTAAGCGAATGAGACCAGGGGCGCCAGCTGGCGGAACCCTGTCAACCTGTGCCATTCGTGCCATTCGTGACACATTTGGGGTTTGTTGGGGTGTGCCATTCGTGCCATTCGTGCCATTCGTCCCATGCACCATTCGTGTTATAAACTGCCCTATGCTATGAGTATGCTGTTTTTGATTTTAGATGCACAGAGAATTATTAAAGCACTAGCACTTCTCAAGTAATTATAATTGGGTAGATGTTCTTGTAGATGTTGTCTTACTTGTAGTTCTACATCTCCGAGATGCAGACCAAGGAGAAAAAGAAAATCGTACAAAAATCATAATACCCTTCCCGGCGTTCCCACTACTACTTGCGCCTCGCATTTTCCCTTTTCTATTCTTTCTCCTTGCGGAAGGATTTTTAAGACTTTGATCCCCATATATTTTCCCAACTTTGACACTACTTCTTCTGTTTGGATGGCCAGTTCTCTTGTCGGCGCCATCACCATAGCCTGTGGTGCTAGTACTCTGCCATCGATCTGCGAGAGCATACCGAGACTAAAAGTCGCTGTTTTGCCACTACCATTGGCAGCTTGCCCAATCATATTCTTGCTCTTTGGTGGACAAATGAGAGGAAGAGCGGCTGCCTGGATGCGACTCGGACGGACGTAGTTCATGGAATGAATACCCTGCATTAACTCCCTGATGTTGTTTCATAGACAAAGAAATTGAAATTGATGCATTAAGTCGTCTTCATGCATTCGATTATGAATTTAGAGATTAACACTAAGTCATCATGCATTCGATTATTTTTAATTTAGAAGATCATGGTGTTGAATCGATGAATGCTACAGCTACCTCCGCTACAGTTAAAAACCTCTTCTGCACAAAAATCCAAAGAAAAACGAAATGAATATTACGCTGATAAATTCAGCGTATCCCATTCATTTGCTGCTAGAAGGGCTTCTCTGTAATCTGCATTCGTCCACTCTACTTGAACTTCAGCAGCTTTTTCACTGATCAAGCCTCCTCGTATTATCGGCGGTCGGCCACTCTCGCTTTCGTTCCCGGACATCGGTGCTGCTGGTGCTGAGGCACTGGCTTTCATCGCTTCTTCGAGTGGTAGTCTCCCGCCCCCACTGTGGCCTCCGCCGGAAGCTGTTGAGGCGGTCGGGTGTAAGGGTAAAATACCAGCGCCGAGGAGTCCAGATGCGGATGCAGAGATATTATTTTGTTTTGGTGTTGCTGTAGTCGTAGAAGCTCCATTCGTCGCACTTCCATTAGCAGTTGCTCCTTTTGGTGCGGTACTAGAGGATGAACCTCCAGCTCCTTTTCCCATCATCAATCTCGCCATCTGTGCCATGTACTGTTCTTCGGTCATTCCAACTTCCGCTAACCAAGCTGCCCATTGCTGTGGAGAAAATAAAGAGGCGGTGCTGGATAAAGAAGACAACAAAATTTTGATGTAGTTATCACTTGATTGTTGAACAGTTCCTGAAAGATTTTGCTTTCTTTTTTTTCTCTTCAACATTCACAACTATAAATTGTTCTTCTAAGTAGAATTGAACTACCTCAGGTGTATATTGAATCTGTTCTCCCGTCGTCAAGGTCGCATCTTGGATTGCTGCAGCAGACCAACCGGCAGCATGATAGGGGTTGTTCCCGTCTACCCCTGCGTGGTTATCGTGTAACATGGTAGCGGTTAGCACAGCGGGATCAATGTCACCCTCCAATCCTGGAGGTAAGGGTTCGGATGCCATTTTCTTTGTCGTTGTAGTTGTTGCGCCGAGGAGAGGAAAATTTTTACAACTAGATAGTACAGGTAGATAGTCGTGTCAACATTCTTGGAATTCAAAAATGGAGAAACGAGTCCGGAAAGAAGTCGGCGATAAAATCTATTTTCAAAAAAAAAGTAGAGCACTTTATCCGATTCGTCTACTCTGTGACGACCTGAAAATTAGAAGTAAAATGATCAAGATCACTCATCCTCAAGAAGTGATAAGCATAGAAGGTGGAGCTTCGTGAAATTTGGATCATTTCTTTTCTTCCTTACGTTTCTTTGAAAAGATCAGTACTAGTGGAAATTTCGTCGAAGGGATCTCAATGTGGTCTTTGAACACATTTCTTTCCGTGGAGGAACGCCTGATGCTCTCTTTTAGGGTTCTGTCAATCTGATCGACTGAAGTTATCCTTCAAGAACTTGTTTTATTCTTTCTGTACCTCTAAAACATATAAAAAGGTAGAGCATGATTACTCACCCTGTTCTTGAAGAGCTAGTACAAGTTGGCTTTTACTTGTAGATGATCTAGTTGAGCTCCCACTTACTAATCTGGAAGAGATCTAAATCATCATCATCCTAATGCACTGGAAATCGAACTGTACCTTATATCTAAAAAAAAATAATCCTCGGCGCTTCGTCCTGGTCATGTGCTTTCAGCATGACATCTTCGGCGACCCTTTCTTACACAAGTAGTTTCTTATTCTTGTAGTGATCCACTGTAGTTTCTTTGGGGTTCTTTCTTATTCGCGGTTCCATATAAAATAAACATAGACGACACGACCTAGGCGTATCAAGAAGTTCGTCAACAACAAAAAATGCCAAACTTCTGGCCCAACATCCATCTTACTTTCCCCCCGCTTCACCTTCCCTCTTCCCCCTCGCATTGATCAAGCTAAGCACACAGCCCCAAACAGAACCGCAAGAGGCCAAGTATGGTACGCGATAAGAAGCTGATACTACGCTGAAGTTGATGGTGTTAGCCACGGGCCAAAACACGCATCCTGCAGCAAAAGCTTCGGGTACTCGTTTTAGCACGTTATCTTTTATTTTCTCCGGATCGCGCATGCCCTCTGCTGCCCCCATGTAGGCGAAAAGGAGAGCGAGGTAACCGGGGAAAGCCTAAGAGAAAGTGCTCCAGAATTTTGTTGATCGTGGAAACGGCTCCGTTCATGATCACAAAGAGTACAAGTCCATTGATTCCAATAATAATTTTCAAAATAACAGTATGCACTACTTGAGGTAACGTTGAAAACAGCAACTCAAAAAAAAGCACATATTAGTGACAAAATAATACCATGTCAAGTGGATTAATTTTTATCAGAAGTCTTGAAAAAGAAAAGCATCAATGCTACCGTAAACTGCGCTGTCGCTGTCTTCAGCAACACTGTTGTCAAATTCAACGTGTAGTTTGCGAAGAGTTTGTCGATTTTTCCGAAAGTGTAGAAGAAGTAGGGACCGTGTATCATCAGTCCCGCACCGGTCCATCGAGCTGTGCGGTAGGGGTCATAGACTGCGGTCGTGGGCGTTGTATTTTTTGCATTTGGTGCTGGAGGTGAGCCGGATTGGGAAGGAGAAGTTGAGGAGCTACTAGAAGATCCGCCTTTCTGCTCAAAGCTTTTTCCTTCGATGCCCAGCTGTGTCAGGACGTCGGCAATCGTCAAGATTGTGCCACTTTGCAGCCCAGCCTTAAGAAAGGGAGCTGCTGCCATTTTTTTTCAACGGTGCTGCTGGTGTGTAAAGATTTATTCTTCTATGGCGATTTTGTACTGTAGATAGAGCAAGTACTGTGCTGTCATCTACATGAATTGCAATTGTAAAGCGATCGCGTCCGCAGCACACGACGCTGATTTTTGTCTGCGTTCTTTTTTCATCGGCGTAGAAGCAGGAAGCAACAACCAGCACCAGTAGAAACCTACTGAATCTACAGAAAGTCAACTGTGGAATCAGGGAGGCGGAGTGGGGGCAAGAAGGGCAAGATCGGTTATGATGTGAGGGATGTCGATCTCGTATCACACTACTAGCACCGATTTCTTATCTCAAGGCTGAATTCCGCGACTGCTTTCTACTGCCGGCTCATAATACAGATATCAATAATCTCGACAGGACAAAAATGCTGCAAGTCGTGCGACGAAGACGATGCTCATCTTGAATGGCAAGGTAGATGTAGAACAGACGGAAATAATGCATTGTCTCGTCGGAAACGTGTATCCGCAGGACAATGATTGTCTTTTGATGCGCAGTTGATCATTTTTACACTTGGATCCATTTTTATAACATGTTTTGAATTATACACGATTGCTCGGGTTGACATCTGCCAATTCTGCAACTATGCAGACCGTACAGGACGCGCGTCTCCTTTGTTTTGCGCTGTCTACCGCACAAGTGGCAGCAATGATCTCTCTGCTGAGACGACCACTGGAAAGCATGATCATTTTTACACTTGGATCCATCGAGATCGAACACGCGTGTAAAATTGGCGCGCAGTACTATCCACACGACGACAATTATCATTATACGTGGAGGGCCCTCGTACTAGGCTACTCCGGACAGGTACTACTCGAGGAGCTAGCTGAGATGCAACCGAAGTATCGGATCCACACGACGACAATGATTCGCAGTTCGCGCTTCCATTTTTACACGTTTATCCACTTTGCAACCACGAATTATACATGCAACGAGGCTTGTTTTTACACTCGTTTCATCTCGCGGACATCTAGTATCGTCAAGCTCAAGCGTCATAGAAGTGATAAAAAATGCGTTTCATAGATTCATTTAGTCATCATACCTTCTACTTCTTCATGCGGTTTTATGTGCACAACATTTCGCTTGATGTGCAGCTAAAAAGTTTGATCTTTAGTAGTTTCTGCGGGAAATTTGCAACAATATGCGGTGACGGTGTTCATTTGACCCAGTAACATGTAGAAAAATGATGTCATTTAGATTTCTACCCAGTAACCTTCATGCACATCATGTGGGATGTGACTCAAGTATAAACAAACTTCTAGCGTTAATGCTAGAGGTGATTCATATGATAGATCGAGGTAGCCTCCTGTTCTTTTTGTAACATTTTTAGATCCACCATCACTACTGTTATTTTAAGAGGGGAGGTATATTGGGTTTTTATTAGGGAATGTTGAAGATGGAGGAAGAACATCGAATCAGTCTTCAGATGTTTTCCGCGCAACCGCTGAACATGAAGAGGGTTGGAGAAGTTCGACGTCGTAGTTGGAGAAGTTCCACTTCGTCACGATTTGATCACGATTTGGCCGCTTCTCCGTCTACTGCACCTGCTGCGCATCCCCAGCAGCTCCTGCTGCCTTCGCCTTCCTACTTTGCTTCAGGCGCTCCTCCAGCAGTTCGTAGTCCCCGTCCAGATCGGTCATATTCTTGATGTTGAATTCTTTCGTGAGGTCTAAGAGTTGTGGCTTTTCTCTGTTGTCGACTAGAGATACTGCTAACCCCTTCATGCCGAAGCGACCGGTCCTCCCTATCCTCTGGACAAAAGTTTCACCGTTGGCGCCAGGGCTGTTTTGTAGTTTGAGGCTAATTCTAATACTAATTTTTTGTAACTAGTTTTTATTCTGGAAATTCGTGTGAGTGAGAGGAGGTGCTAGAAGTAGATAGAAGTCCACAAAATTGGCTAGTACTAAGTACTTTTGAAGCTGCCAAGAATAAACGAACTACTTATAATCAGCTCACAATCTCAAAAATCGTGGATAGAAGCAAGTAGAAGTAGTACCCATTTCTGTTGAATGGCAATTCGTAGTTGACGACTAGTGTGACCGCTGGCACATCGATGCCTCTTGCTAAAACGTCTGTTGCTACTAGGACTTTCGTAATTCCTCTTCTAAACTCGTCCATTCTTATGTCGCGCTCCTTAGGGTCTACGAAGTTTTCAGCGTGGCCTTTGTCACCCTTGCCTTTTCCTTTACCTCCGCTTCCACCTCCTGTGATCATGCTCACACTGTATCCTTCTGCCTTCATCTTCGTGCTCACGTCTAGGGCTGAGTCTCTGCTATTCACGAAGATGATGCTCTGGCCAATATTGAGGTGTGCGTAGAGCTCTTTCAAAGCCTCAAATTTCTCCGCAGGTGACGTGGTAAATTGGTGAAAGTTGAGGATAGTTTCGGGAACTAAATTGTCGTTCTTGACTGTTATCTTCGCTGCATTGGCGCCAACGGTCTTGTTCGCGAGGTCTAGAACTTTTTCGGGAAACCTGGTGGGGGGTGATGACGAATATCATTTGTTTTCCAAGGAAGAAACTCTTCAAGGACTTGCAAAGGATTACGGTGAGCTCATCACAGGAAAGAACTGAGGACGAATGTATCTTCAAATGGTCCAAATGGTCATGGTCCTGCAAATGGTGCAACCAAAATGATCGAAAAAAATATCTAAGCAAAAGAGTAGTACGTTGCAGAAAAGAACAAGACTTGGATATTCTTCGGGAGGAACTTTCGGACACCCGCAACCTGTGCGCCCATTCCCGTATTCTCCTCATTGAGCATCACATCCGCTTCATCGAGAACGAAAACTTTTACTCGGTCGACATTCAGAATTCGCTTCTTAACTAAGTCGAAGACCTTTCCCGGTGTACCAACTACCACATGGGCTTCGCATTTGCCAGAGATTAGAAGAAGAAAAAGTAATGCGATGGAGATTGAAGTTGATGTCTTTGTTATGCATTACATAGGATTCACTTAATAACTATTACAATCGATCGAACTAGAACTAGTAGTAAGGCCAATTATTTTGTGTTTGTATCTAAGAAGTAGGGCAACCTTTCCATAATCTACATAAGTGAAAAATAAGAATTAGATGAATATTGTTGATCCTTGAACCATAACTTTTCCATATGCTCCTCTTGCGGCAATACTTTTCTAACTTTGATTCCCATGAACTTGCCCAGACTTGTCAGGACTTCCTCCGTTTGAATCGCTAGTTCTCTTGTTGGCGCCACAACCATTGCCTGTGGCGCTTTCAGCGCTGGGTCGATCTGGGATAGCATTCCTAGACTAAACGTCGCTGTTTTTCCACTACCGTTGGCGGCTTGCCCGATCATATTCAGGCTCTTCGGTGGGCAAATGAGAGGGAGAGCAGCGGCTTGAATCTTGGATGGTCGGACATAGTTCATGGCGTAAATGCCGTCCATCAGTTCCCTGAGGTGGGGTTGCAAGAGTGATTGGTTCAAGAGAAGTGATTTTCAGGAGAAGGTTCAAGTCGTAGTAGAGTTGGGAAATAAGTTAGTAGAATGCATGATTGATGCATGAAAATGAGCGCTCTTGTTCCTTGTCCAACTGTTTGGGTTTGCCTAGCTATTAAGTGAAAAAAAATTCTAATAGATCAGCTAGTCAAAGTGATCAAGGTTCAAAACAACAAGTACTTCGACAACTGCAAACTATCCCAGGTTTCTGCTGAAAGCATGACCTCACTTGTGTCTTTTTCTGCCCATTCTACCTGGACTGCTGCTTGTTTTTCACTGATCAAACCACCTCGCTGAATCTCTGGCTTCGCGCCAGCCGCATCGGGCTGATGGCCATTAGTCTCTTCGGACGTCATTTTTGTTCTTTAGGATAATTATGTAGTGTTCTTGGAAGAAGTTGGTACTACTATGAAGGTCTTGGAAGAACTTGATGAACTGCAGAGTAAGAGTTCTAGATGTTGATTTTAGTACTTTTAGTTTTGTCCCTAGTTCTCCTGCCTCTGTTGAACAAAAGACTAAATATTTGATCTTCCTGGTGTTTTTTTCATTTTTCTTTCATGATTTGGAAAGAAGAGGAAGAGGTAGAAGAAGAGCCCTTGGAAATTTTTGTTGCTCGCTGTACGGTTATCATGATCAGATCTTTCATTTTTCTGATTTGACCCTTTGTTTTGGAACTTTTCTGTAAATTTATGAAGATCGTATTCGCTCAGATGGCCTTGATTCCTATCTACTACAGTAACTTTTTCTTTCATCTTGATGAACAGCAGTTGTTGCACTGGAGATCACCAGCATGAGCGTGGACATTTTTATTAGTCTTGCTGCTAGTCGTTGTTGGTTGAAAAAGTAAGAGACTGATGTTGGCGTTGGGTTACAACTTCATCTAGTATTTGTGCCTGTAGTCCTGTGTTCTTTATGTGTGTGGTTTTCTGTCCGCGACTTTTGAATTCGAATCAATATGAATCCGTTGGGTCTGGGTCTGGGTTCATGCTGCAGCAAGTAGTCGTAGATTGGCGCTTAACTACCTGGCGCTCTTTTACACATCAGAGCACGACGATATCTTGTCGCTAGTGGTTATAGTCAAGGTCGTCAAGAACTTAGGGTCTCAGCAACCCAATAGTTCGATCCAAGCTCCACACTGCCAAGTATCCTGGTCGCAATGGGTGCACCGCTACGCCCAGTACTTCTTTGTCAGCCACTTCCGGCAAGATGTGGACCAGCTTTGTTTCCCTCCCATCAAAGATGTACAAACACTGATCTTTCGATATGCCATAGACGTACGAGCCAGACCTCGAAACAGCGATATTCCGAAAGTCTGAGGCTGAGTCGAGTTTTCCGGAAGTGAACGTCTTCAGGACTTGACCTTGGAGGTTCATTTTGGAGATCTGGTTGCACTCAGTGGATACGAAAATCGTCGGATTGGACTTGTCCACTGAGTCTGGAGCTAAGACGATCTGATTGATCGACAACAGGTTGCCGGCAGCCCCAAGGTAAACAGGCGTAGGAGGATGGAAAGAGTGGAGAGCCTGAGGATGTTGGATGGATGAAGCCTGAGGAGGTTGGATGGATGAGAAAATGTGAGTGAATTCGACTTGTGTTGACAGACTGGCTCTTGGAAAAATGATCAGTACTAGAGATCATACAGTATCTTCAGTACTTTGACGAAAATAATTCGAATTACACTATTGAATTTGAAAATGTATCAACAAAATTCATCGTTCCGGATAGAAGGAAGCACCGTGCACGTTTTCGCGTCGAAGACTTTTACATATGGAACAATTTGGAAAAGTAGAAAGTACCGTGCATGTTTTCGCGTCGAAGACTTTTACATATGCGTCTGCTGACCCTGTGATGACCTTCGACATATCTGGAGAGTACAAAACTGTTTGCACATACGATGTATGTCCTCGAAATTCCTTCAGCACCTTCCCGGCGTTCAAGCCTGAAACTCTTGCTGTACTATCCGCCGATCCGCTCAATACTGCGGAGTCGTTGTGGTTCCAGCAGAGAGAAAGGATTGGACCGTCGTGTGCCTGTAGTCTCTTGTCCAGGTCGCCAGTCCCAACCACGAAGACACTCAAGGTGCCACTGCTATCGCCAACGGCCAAACTAGCATTGTTATTCGAAAACATGACGCAGGAAACTGGATGCTGCGCCGCCATGTAGCGTGGGTCGTCGACAGATTGATAGCAGAGATCTTGTCGTGATTTCCCCGTTCTTGCATCGTAAATTTCGGCCAAACCATCTTCAGCGCCAACGGCAAGGAATTGGCCATCAGAAGAATAAGCGCAGAAGGAAGCGACTTCTGCAAGCTTAACGCGTTTCGCACAATGCTTCGGATACTGGTCGGCAGCCTCGAGACCTGTTGTAGTGAAATTGATGTGAAAGGAAGAATCCTGTAGGTCGTCAGGCTTCGTCTTTTGCGTAGGCATCTAAGATTAAGAAGCAGACGTCATGCCTTCATCATCATCATCCTACAGACGACCACTCAGTAAACAAAAAGATGATTCGTTGTAAGTTGTACCTTTCTCTCCCATTGCCGTGACGTGGAACAGATTTTTGTCCAATCCTCGGAACAGATCCACCTCCTCTCCTTCCTTGATCACGCCAATGTGCTTTTGGTACTTAATCGCCTGTCCCAACAAGGCCAACAATCGGTTTGGCGGACTCACTTGCACGTAAGCGACTAGTTTTTGAGCCACGTCTCCGCGTTTGTCTTTCCTCGTTTTCCCTGGTCCATAGAGAACTTCAGGCGAAGAGACTGGCTGTCCTCGTTTAATCAACTGTGATAATCGGGCGAAACGATCCGGAAAGTCGCCTCGCATGACTTTCAATGGCTGTGTATGTTCCATCAAGACCCCAGCTGTCTCGAACTCCAAGCTCTCCACAAACTCAAACACCACATGCTCAAACAAGTCGACTTTCACGTCCATCGGAAGAGCTAGATAAGAGCAAGTCTTCAACACATCATCCCATCTACCGGCATTCACGTCGTCTAAAAGACCTTCCAGACTATCCACGCTGTTCAACGGGACTTTGGCCTCCTCTTGCAAGGTCATGAGAGTTCGAGGAAGGTCATTGTCGCGGCAAAACTGGAGGATGAGGCGTATTACGTCCTCTGACTCGATGGAAAGCTGGCCCTTCTTCGACCCACCTCCAGAAGAGGAAGAAGCAGCGGGCCCAGACCCCACTAGGGCACGAGCAGAACTGCTCATGGTTTTTTTCCTAGGTATTAAAGACTATGATGACGCCGGTCTCGGTATTCCCTATCACTTGTACAAGAAAAAGCCTTAAAGACTTGGCCTTGGGCTTGGGTTTACAGGATGTTGTTAAGTAGCATGAAAGCCAAAATTTTCCAGTGGACCCACAACAACATCTCAGGCAGACATCTTGTAGCTTCTCGTCTGTTGATCAACAAGTCTGCGTCAACTGGACTTTAGGTTAGTCTTGAGGACAATGATCGTTCTTCTTCTTGCAGCAATGTCTGAAACACGTAGTTGTTGGGATCACGACGACCCATTCTGACTCATCCAACAACAGATCAGCGCAGGATCACTTGTAAAAACAGCTTCACGTTCAAGTAGATATTCTGATGTTCTTGACGTTCTTGGATCGGGAAGACAAAGGCGCCCAGTAGCAGGAGAACAAGTCCGACAAAAATTATCGTTCTCAGAAAGGAGGAGAATTGGATTCGTTTTGTCCGACAATGTGATTGATTGCCATTGCGTGTCGTGTGAAATGGGGTTTTCGATGTTGAGTGTAAGGAAACCTTGGGGCATGGGGATCGTAGTACAGAGCATGCTCCTTCGTCCAAAATGGAATATTGGGATGAAAATTTTTTGCTTCTTTGTTATTCGGATGATCATCATGCAGGGAATTTACATGCGTAACCTGGTCAGGAGGCGTGTCGTTCTTGTTCATTTGTAGTCCGACGTCTTCTGGGCATTTCGTGAGAATTTCATTTCGTACTACGAGGTTCTCCAGTCTCTGTTACCTAAAAAGTCGTGCTATGCATATGGATTACCATGATTCTGTGTTGTACTTCTTGAGCTCTCAGCTCGTGATTACTGTACATGATCTCACCATTCTATCGGATGAAAATCATTCGATCGTCTCTATTTAAAGTAGGTGGTTGTAGGTTACATTTCGGAAGTGCTATGGCGGTCAAGCTCGACCTGCGTAGTTATTTGATGTTCCGGGTTTATTAATGAGTTTTGACGTTTTCTTTGACAGAGAGTAGAGAGTAGACTTATACTAGAAGTATAAATATTCATTCATTTTGAATATGGGGTGTGAAAGTGAAAGACCATCTACTAGTTTGTGGTCGTGGAGCCCTGCTAACTAGGAACGAGTACAAACACCATCTAGATCTCCTAATTGAAATCATTTTTCTACTATGGTCCAGCCTTCACGTTCATTATTATTTGTTGTTCGAAAACAGTAAAACCAGAAGAAACAGTTTGTTTGTATCTATGAATGTCATTTACCTCTTTTCTCATTTTTAATTTTTACTTTTGCTAGCTTGGTAAAAATGAAAAAATTGCATTAACAAAACATGAATGTATAGTTGTTGATGGCAAAAAAAATTTAACTCCTCCATGCCGCATTCGGCATCGAGCTTGTTAATTTCTTGACCATCGGTATCGGACTGCGGCTTCGACGTGGCGTTATTGAGCTATTAGTTCTCTGATGATGACGACTGTAGATGTTGCTATTGCCATAGTTTGCGTTCAATGCCACGCCTGTTCTCCCTGTTGCGAAGATCCGTCTGGTGGTGGGAGCTGCAAAGTCTCTGCTACGCAACGACGCTGACTTGCCCATCTTGACCGGTGAGGTCCGTCTCGAGTGTGGCTGATAAACCGCTTTTGTGGAGGTTTTGTTGTCGATGAACATGAGAGCAGACGCACTGGGATTGTAATTTGGCTTGTAATTCCGGTTCATAGGTTCTCGACGAACTGAATTTTGAGTTTTTACTGAAGGAGAGCGACTCATCGAGGAAGGACGACTACTTCGCGCGCGACCTCTTGGGGTCGGTCTATTGCTCGCGTTATTTGACCGCCGAAGATGAGAGTTGGATGAAGACATGTTACCAAGTCCGCCTGATGATGATCCACCTGCTCTTGTCCGCAGCTGTGTAGTTCTCCGGTCGTCTTTAAACCTCTTATTTTCATGAGCATCATAATGATACATCGTCGCCGAAATCGAATTCGAAGAATCATCGTCACCGCCTCTTGTCATGCTGTTGCTTGTTGCCCCTAAGCCATCTCCGTAGGTGTCATGGTCATCTCCTGCACTACCACTAGCACCTCCCCCAGTACTGTAATCGTAGTACGTCTCTTCGTCTTCCATCATCTCGATACTTCTGCTACTACCTCCACGACTACGACCTCCCGTATGATCTTCAAGATGATCTGGACGTATTTCCAAGGAGTTGCTAGAAGAAGCTTCGTTGGGTGATCGCCAATAGAGGAGACGATTTGAAGCAGCATTACTAGTGCTGTGAAACAAGTCACTACGATGAGGACCAGAGTGCTGGTTGCGATTGGTAGATGAAACTGCAGCGCCACCTCCAGAAAACCTGACAGACCGTGGCGACCTTTCTGGCTTCAGAGGAGACGTTGCGCGACTGGTGGCTAGTGATGATGGGGCCCTGCTGACACTTCGACTTACGTTTCGACTGGACGTTCTACTTCGGCGGGTCGTTGGTGGAGCCTTCTTTTTCAGAGGCCTAGAAGTGCTAGTTGTACCACCAGTTGCCGATGATGTGCCGCGTCTAGTTGGAGTTGATCCTCTTGTACTACTACCCACAACTTTCTTACCAGGCGGACCACCTGACGGAGAAGATGACGGCTTCAACGAGTTTCGTCGTGATGATTCTGTACTCGCTTTACCACTACCTACAGCACTTTTGTTTTTCACAGAAGAAGTCTTTAATATTTTAGAGCCACGACCTCTTGAAGTCGACCTCTTGAAGTCTCCTCCCCCACGTGGGGTCGCCGCTAGCTCTCGTCTCAAAAGGGTTAGTTCGTGTTGCAAAGCTTCGAACTGTTGTGGAGTGATTGTCCCATCTCTCTGGCCGTAATATCCCGGTGTGCCAGGTGGAGCACTTCTTGCTGACAGCATTGTACTATCCAATCGAGGACTATGCTGTAGTTGCGCAGGAGCACTAGCACTGTTGGCAGAGAGAACTAAGTCTGCTGGACTCTTCATTGATGAAGCGCTGTTGTTCTGAACAAGGATGAGGTCTCCTGGTGGATGTGGATCATCAGAATTCATGCGAAGATTTGTCTGCGACGTACCATTTGGCGCAACTGCATTCAACAAGAAAGGGCTACTTGTTCTCAAACTGTCAGCACCTGGTGTTTCGCCGAATGAGACTTCATCACCAGAAGAACCTGGGGGACCGGTTCTACTGTAGTTGTTACGAGGTGGATAGGGATCCCGATCAGAGGACACGCTGGGCATCATCATGGGTGGATCTCCGACACCCATTTGCTGTAAAACTTCCCTATCACCCATTACTGGTTGTAAGTTCTGAATCTGCGAATTCAAAAACATTGTTCTGTTCTTCGCTGCTGTCGTGTTGTTGTTACTCCCTCTACCAGAGCCACTAAGTCCTGCTCCACTTGTTCCACGACTCAGCTCCCTTTCTAAAGCTGCCTCTTGCGCTTCCACACCTAACCTACCACGCAGTGCCTGTTCATCGCTCTCGCTTCTAGCACGACTGAGAAGGCTTTTGGTGACGACAGTCACGCCACCTCCAGTGCCAGTGCTGCAAATGTCGCCTGTCGCATGCTGCCACCTTTCCTGCTGTAGAGTTCTGGCCTCAGTCTGCAAGTCCTTCAACCTGTGACCTAGATTGTCCATCATTTCGGTGTGTTTTTCTTTCTCTCTTTCGCTGGCGAGGGTTAGAGATGAGGGGGTTGGGGGGGCGGGGTGATGTACAAGGATGAAAATGCGAACTTCTAGAACTTGAGCTCCTGTTTGCTACACAGCGAAGCAAAAATAAACTAAACAAACCAAAATCTCAAATTATCCATAACTCCAACAGTCGCATTACATCTGCATCCGCAGCTCGCCTTCTTTCCTGCTCTTCCGCCAATAACTCCTGCATACTCTTCAAATCCTCACGCAGCCGCATTGAATCGCTGGCGTAGACTTCTTTTTCTTCAGCCAAACTGACTGCCTTTTCTGAGTGCAGTGATTCACGAATCGACAGATTCTTCCGCTCCCTGTCTAAACGCTCTATATCATCCGAGTGTTCTGCTTTGATCTGTGAGATTTCAGACTGAAATTCCTCTTGCTGTCGCTGCAACTCTGCACGCAACTCGGGAAGGGTTAGGGAACGCTTGTTACTAGCTGTCGAAGATGTTGATAGTGTTGCTCCGTGTTGTACAGCTGGACCACTGGTGGAGGATTTTATCGTTGTAGTGGGCTTGTTTTGAAGCACTCTTGGATCGTGGCTGAGAGTGACGACCAAGCTCGAAGTAGGTCTTAGACCGCTGCCTTGCTCGGCAACACCCAAAGCAGAACTTCTAGCTGTCCTCGGCGCTTCGAAGCCTCCGCCTAAGGATCCTCCTCGTCGTTGTGTATGTGATGGTGATGATGCCATATTTTTCATGTCCGACACCATAATTAAGGCTTCAGACCGCGCCACCTCGTCTGGTATGGGCTTCAACTGGAAATTATCCCCACTGCTTCCTGTTAGGCTAACCTCAAACCTTGGTCGTAGTTGAGGACTAGACCCACTCGCTAGCTTGTCCTCCAGAAGGGTTGCGGTAGTGTTGTTGATTTGACTGGTATCGACATGATCGGGGTCCTGAGACTCCTGCGTCTTCTGCAACTTCCGTCTAATAGCCGGACTGGCACTAGCACTACGCAGAACTAAAAGGTCACTCTTGTTCATCTTCTCAGGCTCAGCTTCTCCTTCTTGGTGAAGATAAAAATTTTGACTCCCATCATTCTCGTTCTCATTCAGAAAAGGGCCAGCCTCCTCGTCCTCCATCGGTTGCTCCCCAATCCCCGCTGCAGCGAGCATTTTCCTTACTTCCGCAGTCCAGGGTGGTGAAGCACCGAGGCCATCGTCAGTGATGACACTAATGCGACGGCCGTGTTGGACTATGATTTTCGTCGGTGAAGATGCTGTGTCGAAGGGAATATTGGGATTGGAAGATGAAGATGAAGCTTGTTGTTGACCTCCACCACGACCTGTTGCAGTAAATGAAGCACCAGCTTGTTCTCCTCCTGTCGCCGTACTACTACCTACAACTCCAGCAACTGACGACCTTGGAGCAACCAAACCCGCCGAACTTCTACTTTTAGGACTCGTTCTACTCCTTGTTTCTGGTTCGCTATCGTTCACAAAAAGGAACGAACTCGTTCGAACTGGTCGTGTGCCTGCGCTCCTCTGCTGCATTTGCATTTGCTGTGACGTACTAGACCCAGACGTACGTGCTACAGGGGGAGACGATGAAGTCCCGACACCGACGGTTCTTCTGGTCGAGTTATTCAGGTGTTGTTGACCTTGTCTATCGCGCCTACTCTCCGGCGAGGGAGATGGTGAGACTGATCTGCTGCTTCTCATCCTTCCATTAGAAGAAGAGACAGATTTTTTCGATGATGTCTTCCTCGGAGAATTGATTCTGTAATTATTCTTAGCAGAGGTGACAGAAGATGTCGAAGTTGTGCCACCATTTTTGTTGCTGTAGTTGTTTTTTTCAGGACTTTGACTTCTGGAGGATGCACGATGGTGGAAGTCCCGACGCAAACGATCTAAGGTTGCCGAAGCCTCTTTGAGAGAGGTACGTCGAACTGCCTCGACCTGGACTTGTGGATTGGCAGCTCCAGTTGGAGATGGTGCAGCCGCAGCTACAACACCAGAAGTTGTAGTTGTAGCAGGAGGAGGAGGAGGAGCAGCAGTCGGAACATAGAAATGTTGCAGATGTGGTTTTTTTCGCGCACTAGCAGCTCGCGAAGCAGGACTTCTTGCGCTAACCTGGTTCTTCTTGCCACGATTAGGTGTGCCTCCAGTTGTACCTCCTTGTTTTGCTGGACTGCGCCTAGCACCACTCAATGCGCTCCGTCTCTTTGCTACTGCTTTTTTCCGCTTGACGAGGGATGCTTCACGCGACATATTCTGACTTGGCGGTGCCACAGACTCTGCTGCTTCTTCAAAGAGAGCCGATTCTTGTTCGCGCGCATCCACGAAGAGGTGGGAGTCGTTGTTCTGTTGTAATTGAACTGCACTTGCTGTTGGCGCTGCCGTCTCTACTACTGGTTCTTGCTGTTGGTAGATTTGTGGTGTCACTACAACACCAGAGCCACCGGCAGCTCCTACATGTTGCAAAGCCCTCTGGTACAATACAGTAGAATCTGGAGTGAAACGGTACATCGACGGTGCTATCACTTTGCTGTTGTTGTTGTTTAGAACGACACTAGCTGGAGCTGGCCGTGGAAGGCCTTGCTGGACAGGGTTCGCTGAAGGATCGGACTGTAGTTGAGGTACAGCAGCCTCAGTTTCGAAAGCGCCAGCACCTGCAGACACACTCGCAGTCGCAGAGGATGAAGATCCCGCGGCACCACCTTGAAAGAGAAAAGTAGTTTCTTCATCGATTACTCCAGAAGGGAGTGCTTCCATGTTGCCCCTGAGTTCTTTGCCATCAGGATGAACAACGACTAAAGTTTCTTTCATGATTGCTTTAACCGGAGAAACGACAGTCCTTTCCTCTTCCTGAAACAGCCTTGCGGAGCATTCTCTTGCTGGCACTGGTGGTGACATGTTTGAAGGCATTTTTGTCCGACAACCTCCTTGTCCTTCATTACCTGACGGCTGCAGACGATGCACTGGCCCAGCTGACTCCAGAGTGATCACTTCTTTCATAGGCGAACAAGTTCCTGGATGACGAATTGCGCTCTCTGCTGCACGTCTTAGTGTTGACATCAATTGATTCTCGTCAATGTGTACCGCTGAACCCTGGATCTTCACTGCTCGGCGCATCTCGGAAGTGAGTCCCTCCAAATCTTCAACCCTAAAATGCTTGCCCAAAGATCCGACATTCTCAGCGTCTCGAACGAACGGTGGCGTTATCATCATACTAGTATTGTTGATGTTGTAGTGCTTGTCAGGTGAAGCGCTACGATTGGGACTTTGCGAAGGTGAAAAAACCCTCGTCTCCTTCAGCACAACATTTTCGTTCTCGCTCATCGTATTCAAGGCCATAGAAGATGTTTTGCTAGGACTTTGATGTTGTATTTGATCTACTTCTTGATGAAGCTGATGTTGTAGTAGTAGTTGTTCTTCTCCTTCTTTTGAGGCAGCTTTGTGTTCCTCTACCAGGTTCTTGTAATTCTCCCTTAAAGCTGCAACTTCTAGCTGTACGGCTTGACGTTCAGTTGCTGCTTCCTCGCGCAACTTCATCTTCACGGATTCGGTCTCCTTGTCGAATTCGGCTCGTAATTGCGCAACCGTTTTGGCCAGTGCTCGGTCCTAAGGATGAATGATCATTTTGACGAAGACATTGCTGATCAAGTTTAGCATAAAAAAGTATTAAGATTATAACATTAAAAATAACAGCACTTGCATTTCTTATAAGGACATCAAAGAACAACAAGAAGCAACTAGTCGCCTGCAAGAAGAGGATAACTCTAGTACGAAGTATTACTACCCTTTCCTCCCTCATCTGCTCCAATTGCGTCTCCCTGTTCTCCTCCAAATTCTTCTCGCACTCCACCACAACATTCTTCAAGCTCTCTTGGGCTTGCTGTGCGGTTGTCTGGGCCTCTAGCAGTTGGGCTCTTAGTTAGAGCCCAAGAAATTCACTTCTTGCCTTCATTTCTTCAGAATCCTCACACTAGGAAACCGAAGAGGATGGCCCTCGGAAATGAATTGTATCCTCGAGCCTTAACTTAGGGCAGAGATCATATCCTGCGATTTCTCCTGCTCCTCCCGGCTTAAGGCCATTTGCTTCATCATCTCCTGCTCGAGACTGGTTTTTTGCCGGGTTAAGCCGCTGTAGCTGAGAAAGAGTAGCAGGAAGAGGAGGTTAATGTGGGAAGAAGTTGATAAATGCTACTGAAGCGGATCATACGCCGTCTACAAAATCACAAAACTTCAAAGTCAAAGGGGGACGAAAGTCAGCACCACTACGACAAGAATTAAAATTTCAAAAGAAACAAGTACTTTTTCTCAATATCTTCCATGGCTTTTTTATACGCAGCTTGCAAATTTTCCAGCTCTCCAACGTACTGCTTCTTTAGTACAGCGTGTTCCTTGCTTCGACTCGCTTCGTGCTCTCTTTCTAGACTTTGCTTTTCGCGTTGCATCTTGCCTGTTAAGCGCTCTAGCTCCTCTTGTTTCGCCACCAACTCCGATTTCAAAGCTCCTTGCTCTTCCCGAACTTGTTCGCGGAGTGCGCGCGTGGCCGCTTCCTTTTCTTGCTCGAGCTTGTGGAGCCAATCCTGGAGGTTTTGTTCATATTCCAAAATGATACTTCTGTCTTTTCTTCAGTTGTAGTGAGAATGAAAAACGAAAAGAAAAATAAGTCTATGTCTAGTAGAGTTGTAGCTTTATAAGTGGTCGTGCAGAACAAGAACAACAAGCACATATATATAAATATGGTTCTTGTCTGCGTAGTCTTGTAGTTGTACGAGTTCATCTTCTCTAGTACGTAGAAGTTGTACCTCTTCCGCTTCCAAGCTACTCTTCCTAAACATCGCCTCCTGCTCTTGGAGAGCCTTTTCGTGCAAGAAATGCGCAGTTTCCGCCTCTTGTAGTCTCGTTTCCACGATAGTCCGAACTTGTTCCGCATCCCGCTTCTCAATCTCCAAACGGTTCACTGCGGCAAGCAACTCTTGTCGTTCGGCCATCTGTGGTTTAGGGTTTGGGTAGGGCTTAGCAGGGTTGAGTTCTGGCCTCAGAAGAAGTGGGAAATATCGATATCAGCCTGTTCGAGCAGAAGATACAGACTTGATGAAAGGGGAGTCAGTCAGACAATGAATCTCTGCGTCAACATCGGCAGATGCAAAAATGTTCTTGAAGCGCCAAGGAGAAGCAAGTCCAAAACTAGATCTACCAATCTCTCCTTCTCAAGTTCCGCGGATTCCATGGCCTCATTTTGACACTGCTCCGATTTCTCCTGCAACGCCGTCATTTGCTGCTGCATCTCCTCTAGCTGACGCTCTAGCATACTCTTCTCACTCTGCAAACGGACTACGAGAGGCGGGATCTTGTCGGGTTGTTCTACTTCGACTGGAGGTTAGAGGACGAGGATGGATCGCATGACGTAGGTCAAGCTTAGACCTACAGACGAAAGTCTTCTTCTACTGTTCTTCTGCTAACTGGTTGGGATTTGAGTGAAGATCAGTAACTACATGCCTTAAATATGCACTTCTGAGTCCTTCACCTTCTGCTGCGCGAGCTCCATCGTCATCACTTGCACTTCGACATGGTTCAGAGAAGCTGGCTGTGCTTCATCGGGAAACACAACCGTCGCTGGAGAGATGTCAAGAAAATTCTTGTCCTGTTCCACAACCAGATTGGTAGTAGCTGCTGCTGCAGCCAGATTTGCTGCATTTGTTGATGTTGTCGTGCTCGTGGCTCCTTTTGCAGGTATGCTTCTTGCGTCGGCACGAACCTCATTCACCTCTATCGCATCAGGAGCCTCCACCACGTCAGCAAAATGCGTGGTCAGATGGATCACCCGACCCAAAAAAGTGCGGACAAAACTCAATGCTGAAGCGTGTGTCGTCAGGCCAAATCGTCCTGCTGGATCTGCTTCTCGAAAAAGCTGGTACCAAATCGGATCAGGAACTGTGTCTAAGGAAGAAAATCTGCTTGTTGTTGTAGTACTAGTAGTAGAAGATGGCTTTGGACCACCAGAGCAGGACGTGGTTGTAGTAGAGGTCCTCGTTGGAGTCGTACTACTAGAAGCTCCTGTTTTATGATCTGTTGACATCGTCCTCAATGTTTTCACCAATTCACATCGTTGCAAAACCTCCCTCAAGAACATCTGCACAGTCAAGCCCCAGTTGATCACACTAGTGGCGTAGTAGTCCTCCCACACCTCGCTGACGACTGCGCTTAGTTCACTTCTCTTTGCAGTTCTCCAAGCCTTCACTGCATTGAGGAGAGAACGGAAATGCACGTACCAAGTGGGACACAGTCTGCAAGGCTGAGGGGCAACCCTTTTGGCGTTTTCTTGGTGTTGGAGATCCTCGTGGTCGGGGGTGTTCGAGCTAGAAGAAGTTGTACTGTTAGTCTACTTTTTAAGTTGTATCTCATCTAGTTACAACTTGCTGTTCAAGTTCTTCATGATGCTGCGTGGTTTCTTTCATATTGATCCCCATCGACGTCATCTGCGATAACAATCAAGAATATATCAGAAACCAGATATTTACCTTCACAGACCATGCATAACCCACATCAACGCCTTAAGGCTACTAGACAGCGGACTAGCACGCGGCAATACCGGAGTCTCCGATCTATTTCTGCTGAATTGAAGGAATCGCTGTCCAGCAGCCAAGAAAATGTCGCTTTCAGTCGGCGTTTTTGCGCTGTGAGGTGTGGTCGGACGGGATGTGGGTCTTGATCGGTTGCCCTGGTGTGAAGACTGTGATCGATTCGCAGCTATATTGGACGAAGAGAACAAGATGCTATTCGGTCGTATCCAGGGAAGATAGACAGTGGCCGAAACGGCTACGGGTTCCGCTACAGTGGACGCCAGAAGCCAAAGGTTTCGCATGAGGGATTAGAACAAGAAGCACTCTAGGTACTACTGGTTTAGCGAATTATATACACCAGATCATCCACATGAGATGCATGTGTAGAGATGTCTAGCATCACGTTCCGGAGGATCCAACTCCAAGTAATGCATATTTACAAAAATTGCTCATGATCTGCCATAAAAGAAGTACACAAATTGCACGGTCGTTGTTTCCAGATGTGTGCAGACTTCTCCACCAGCCGTCAAGGCTGGATGCTGGCGACTTTGTCTCCTCAACTCGTTCCAACATTCGAGTTCCTCTCTCAAAACTGGCGACAACTTACGTACACGTTCGTAGACATCCAAATGCAGCTCTTGTTCTTGCTCTTGGTTGTAATTGATGTCAGCTGCATGAAGATCCTGGTATTGGTTTTTATTTGTCGATAGAAGAGTCGAGAGAGAGTCGACGCTTTTGCTTCTACCACTCTTCGAAGTTGAAGATGGTTCTTGGCTACTATCGAGAAACAGCGCACTCGTAGTCACAGCTTTCCATTGGCCGCGTGGCGTATTTGGAGAGTCACATTTCGCCAAAAGCGCTTGCAAAAGATAGCGCTCGAACTCACGAGCGAGAGCAAGCCAGACAGCACGCGAAATCGGCGGTGGAGGTAATCGCAGGCTATACCGAAATATCAAACGCAAAAACTCAATTAGAGCAGCCCAGCTAGAAGTGGAAGTAGCTGTGCTTGAAGCTGAGGAGGCCATGGAATAATTGTTTTTGTTAGCCGTGTTTGCTGATGCAGCACTTTGATTGTTGTTGTTCATTTCATGAAGATCCACTGCTTTACGGCAGAGACGAGCTAGCTGAGTCGGAATCTTCTTGTTCAATGTGGTCCGACGTGTTGCTGGCTTTTTATTTGTAGCGGCTTTGCTAGTATTACTATCTCGTCCCTCTCCCTGCTTCTTGATAAATTTAGTCACTTTTAACTGCTGTTGAAAAAAGCAATCGAGCTCTCTTGGAAATTCACCTTCCATGTCGCACAAGAAGCTTTCTAGCCTATCCAAACTAGGTGGCAGTTGTAAGATGTCTTCGTGTAGCTGTTCTGTGCTAGTTGTAGACAATGGAGTCGGCCCACGTGATCGCGAAGCGCTACTTTCCTTTTCATCACTAGAAGCTGCGCTCGTCTTACTAGTACCACCAAGATATTCCTTGTAATTCTCCCAATACCGTATTTTTGCAGCATTGTGGTCTTTGGAAAAGACAGGCTCCGACGTTCGCCAAGTCTTGCCATCGAACCAAAGGTCAACTAGAGACGCTGAAGCGAAATCGCGTTTCTGTAAGAAGGAATCTTGAATACTGGAAGACGAATGGTCTTCTCCTTCTTGATCTTGGGAATTATAATTACCAGCTCCTCTAGCTCTAGCACTCAAAGGCGTTGCGAGGATGGGAGTTGGCGCGATTGCTACTGTAGAAGTTTTTGATGATGACATCAATCCAGATGGTGGACCCACTCCTCCTGACTGGTGTCCTAGCTGTGAAGAAGGTGGTCCTGCAGCTGGAATACGAGGAGAAGCGATGAATGGCAACTGTAATGTTAGAGGTTACGGAAAAATTACATTCCTCAGAACAACCCTGAGGACTACTTATTTCCTACTGCAAAAAGAGCCAGGGATGCGAGTCGTGAGGAATGTAATATGTTGGGAACCCTTAATAATGGAAGTCCTGTCGTGGAGGTGTGCAATCCTGTTCCTGATGGAGGTTGATGTCCAAGGCTAAGACTACCAACTACGTGTCCTCCCGGCATGGTAGTTGTAGACATCGGATGAAATCCATGCAGTGCTATTGGCGTCGCTTCTCCTGCATTTTTCAATATGCCTCTACCTGTGGGACTCCCGTTGCGACTGGTGGGACGGCTGGTCGGCCGACTTCTCGGATTTGCAAAGCCACCACCTTGCTCACCTGCCCACGCAAGATGATTCTGATCCTCGACAGGCGTTCCTATTTCGACCATGAGTGGGGTAGAAGCTACTATACTTGTTCCTACCATACCCCCTCCAGGTGTAGAAGTTGCAGATTGGTGAGCGAGTTTGTGGGGAAGCTGAAGATTGGGACCTCCAAAAAAGCTTCCTAAAGCAGCATTTATCGGACTGGTTGTACTTGCTGCATCACCAGGCAAGGACAGTGGAGAAATTTTGATCCTTGGAGCAGCGGTTGATGTCAAGAGACATTAGAGGAAGGAATAGTTCAGAGAAAACACGAAGTTGAGTAGGATCTACGACACGACGAAATGATTTCAGGAATTTAAAGCTGCAAAGCAAACAAATCATCGAATTTATTATACTATAAGGTTTCCCAGCTCGCATGGCATGGAGTGCATGGATCACATGGAGTAGCATGGAGCTAAAGGGGGAGCTTCTTGCGCCCCTTAAAGCTCTGCGCCCCATGCACTCCATGCTACTCCATGCACTCCATGCGTGCTATAAACTACTCTGTATATAGCTTCAGACGTAGAAGACCTTCGCCTTAAACAAGCGACCTTTGGTTTGAGATACTCTCGATGCTGGACTTGCTCAAGGATAATGAGACTGAGCCATCTTCGTCTTCTTCATCATGGAATCCACCTACTAGGAGGCCATGACTGGGATCTCCTACAGGCGTTGCTAATGTAACAGCTGCACCTGGAGATTTCGGCGTATGCACTACTATTTGGTAGCCTCCACTACCATTCGCCACTAACACTCGTTTCGTTTCTTCATCGTGATCATCATGTTCTTGTGGCATTTTCCTCGAAAAAGAAGATGATGTAGTCGGACCCGCAAATCCAGTAGTTCCACTGTTATTGTTCACTTGTTGCGTTAGTATTCTCGTAGGAATTGAGGTCGTCGACGTACTTGTTGAAGGACCAGGACGACCAGTACCAGTATTCTTGCCAAGAATAGTCGCGTTCTGCGCGGCCGTTGATTGTGGTGGAAAGAGATGAAGTTGGGTGGGTGGCGCGATCGGGACTGACGCACTCCCGGATAGTGGTCCAACACTTGTGGCAGACGTTGACACGACCTTTGTTCCTAGTAGAGGAGAGAATGATGTAGTAGTTGGAGGAATTGTTCCAGTTGTACCACGACCTCCAGTTGTACAACTTCTAGTAGCACTAGCAGTAGTTGGTAATTGTAGTAATTGAGGTGCTAAAGGCGGCTTTCCGATAGAGCCACGTAGCGCGGGAGCAGCAGGAACAGATAAAGAACGAGTATGTGCGCCTCCTCCTCCTGGTGCTGCTGTAGTGTTTATTCTAGTAGAAGTGAACTCTCCAGCAGCACCAGGAGAAGATCCACCAATGCCAGTAGAAGATCCACCAATTATGCCAGTAGAAGATCCACCAATGCCAGTAGTCGTTGCGTGCAAATTTTGTACTGAAGGAGATGCGGCTAACAGTCTTTGTGTTCCTGAAGGTACAGCACCTGCTGATTCAGTCCTGCTATTGCTTTGCGGAGTGATTGCAGTAGATGTTGCACGACTCAGAGGCGTAAGAAATGGACTTCCACCAATGCCAGAAGATCCACCAAGTTTAACCGCCTTCAAAGGTACAGGAGGAGTCGGAGTCCACGGTTGATACTGCAATAGCCTTGGCGTCGTTGTACTAATACCTCCGCTACAGATCTTCACAGATGAGGAAGCAAGTAGTGGCCGCATACTCCTTGGTGATACGACACTACTACTGCGAACTACGACAGGCGGTTTACTTGTTGTAGAAGTTTCTCGTTTCGGGGATGTGGTTGTGGTCGTCTTCTGCGACGGTGATGTTTTAGGTATGAGTTTTGCACCATTTGCTGCTCTAGTATTATTACTAGAAGAAGTATCAGGTGCATCGACAACGACGTGTCTAGGAGTGACAACTACATTGAGATTGCTAGAGCCAGCAGCACTAGTGGACAAACTACGCGGCATAGACCGAGGAGCAGCCCCAAGACCACCTACAACTCCGATATTCCCAGGAGCTGCTGGTGTTTTCTTCGTTAAGATCACGTTATATCCAGCTAGTATTGATCCCAAACCTCCAGGCGATGCAGAAGATGAAGATACTGTTACTGCATGTTTTGCGACTGCTCCACTTCCACCTCCTCCATCACCATCATGTAGTTGACTATTACCATGTTTATTCACCTTGTTCATCTTGCCCTCTTTCATCATGACCTCTTCTTCGGATGCTGATGCGGCTGTTGCGCTATCTTCATACCCGCGACTTTGCACGAATTGCTGTCTACCAGTACCAGTACTGGTGTTGCCACTCCCACCACCAGAACCAGACCCCGCAACAACATAAGCAGCACTTGATCTTGTAGTTGTTGTAGTGCCAGCGGCTGCACTAGAAGAGAATGACGATGAGGGTGGAGGTGTAATTGTGAGTACTGTAGCCGGAACTGAAGAAGATAACCCAACTCCCCCACCCACTCGCGCGACGCTCCGTCCAGGCGTTGCTGCGAATCTGCCAGTGGCATTGTGGTAGTCAAACTGCAAGAATTAGAACTGCAATCTCGATTACTCAAACTCAACCACAACAACACAACAATTACTTACAACAAGGTTAAAGGCATGATGGACAAGAACTGCAACTTCTGCTAGTTCAAGTTCTACCCCGTCTTAAAGAAGAGACTGCGATTTCTTTACACTCACTGACTGCGCACGGGTAGCTGACTGCGTAGTAGTTAAGACGCTTGGAGTTGTGCTTCCACCAGTAGTTGCAATTGTTCTACCTGTTGGCGTTGCTCCACCACCTCCTGCATCAACCTTGTAGAAAGATGAGGGGCAAAACTGAAGGATTGTGATAGATGATGCAAAAGTCGAAAGTTGCAGACAGAGGTTGATCTTGATGAGAAAGTGAAAGTGGTAAGAAAGTAAGAATTTGTGCAAAGCCAACATAGCTGATGATGTTAGTCGGTTCGGATTGGACCTACGACTTCCCTGAGTCTTCTTTGAGTTCTACGAATTTCTCTGATGTTGATGTTGAAGTTGTGAGGGCGGCTAACATAGCTAACACGAAACTACTACATTTCCAGTACTTACCTCAACTCCCGCTCCTCTGGGCAGAATCGGAGCCGGAACGACGCTCACTAGGCCAGGCAGTGAAAGTCTTCGCGACGAATCCGCTTTCAGTTTCATCTTGAGGTAGATCAAGTAGATGAAAAACCGACTAAGTCGTCATCGTAAAAAAAAGTGATATTGTTATTGACCTGCTTAGTGACCTGCTTATCGACCTACAGCAAGAGCCACAGCTGCCGGCTCTTCGTTCCTGCCTCTCATGTACTTCTACCCGTACCCTGGTAGTTCTCAAATTTTTGACTCCAATTCGTGAAGCGAGTATCAGTTTTCCTCTTTTGTTTTCCATTTTCGTCCTCTCTCTCTCCCTCTGGAAATCCGTACTACAGAGCCACAAAACTACTCGGGCGAGCACGATGATGGTGATGGTGATGATGATCACCTTGGCACGCCGGGCAGTGAAATATACTCAGACGAACAGGGAATGGGAGAAGAGAGGGAGGAAAAAACAACTCCAATGGAGCTTAAGCTTTGCGACTTGCGATTTTTATCTTTTATTCTTTTCACTTTTTTTCATAAGACAAAGAGTGTTCTTGTGTACGCCTGAAAAGAGTGAGATCATATCTTCATCACGCTTGATATATAGATCTTGTGCTTGTTTGTGACAAGAAGGTACTTATCAGTGGGCGAGGGGTCGTCTCAAGAATCAAGAACCTAAGTTCAATAGAAGAATTAATACACCCAGCGTTTGATACAAGAAAGTGTCCAACAACAACGAACCACATCCACAACCTTAAGGTCGTTGTGCTTGCTTCATTTTTCACGACGTCGTGGGGGATATCTTTCTTGCCTAAAAACATCTTCTTCAGGAAAAATTATGGCTTTTTGATGAGATGAGATAGAAGCAGGAAAATAAAGTACTAGAAGCACCTTTTTAGAGACCTGCAGCACACAAATGTCACACGTCGACAATTTTTTAGTGTTTGTTTTTAGATGAGTTGTAGTAGCAGTCGTAGAAGCAGTAGTAGTAGTAGTAGTGTACCCAATCGAGGGGTAAGTACAAATTACAAGATACGATAGGAGTGAGCTCGCCTACGGAGAGGCGAGCACTCACGACTATGAAGACGCCGCTAGTGGCCTACTTTGTTTGTTTGTTTTGATGCGCTCCGGGCGACGCGTACGATCCCGCTGGATTTCTTTGTGCTCTGTGTGTGTTATGCTATGGGCGTCATTGCGCTCGACTCTGGTATGTCTGGTCGCCACATTCTCCGCCAGCTGCAGCTTACTATCATTATCATTACAAGAAACGTGATGCAATACAATGCAACCAATCTCGCACAAAGTTCAGTGCAGACTGCCTTAAGGGCGTCATAGATAGTATACACGATGGATCTCACGCAAAGATTGGAATAGCGAAGCGATGCGGTTACGTATGTTTTGGAAAGTTACAACTTAACAAGAACTAGCCCGAAGCGAGAGACTTAGACAACGAACCCCATCAACTGCATCCGTTAAAACAGCTAAGACTTTAGTAAACAGCGCACTTAGGTGTGACGGGACAGCCTTTTACTTTATTTACGCAAGCGGGACAACTTATGTTCGTAACAGGTTTGCGTTTACGTAGGAACAGCGAGAAGCTCATGTACAGTGTTGACCATGATCTTAACATAATTGCAGTACCTAGTATTCTGCGTCTGCGGCCCCGTCTTTTGCGGAAGCACTGCCTGTTGTGGAGACAATTCACTTCACATGCCCCCGCCGGGGTAAGTAGTAGTAGTACAGTATTATTAGTGTGCTGCCAAGTTCTGGGGTATAAAAAGTGCTACTCTAAAATTATAGGAGGTTGCTCGTGCATCGTCAGAAAGAGATGCAAATGGTCGAGCAAAAATAAATAATAGCGCAATTTGTAGTAAATTGCCTATCATAGTGATCATTTGACTGACCTTCATCCAGCGAGCTCTCATATCAATGGATCACAAATAGAAAGAGCCCGAGTGGTTAGCGTTCGTCATCATGTCATCCCGAGTGGTTAAAGACATCTGACATGATCTTCACAATGAACAAGAGGTAGACACCAGTGAATCTCAAATGTTGATCATTCGCGATCATCAGCGAGATGAAAGAACTATAAAATCTCAAGTGGCGGAAGCCTAATCCTCAAGCTGAGGGAGCGCAAGCCTAATCCGAAAGAGCAGCATCCTAAACCAATCGGTTAATATCATTCAATAGCCGAGATGGACCAAAACATCACTGAAACGGAGGAACTTAACTACAGACCCAGGCTAGCGGAGGAACTTAACTACAGACCCAGGCTAGCGGAGGAACTTGACTACAGAAACAGACGGATAACGGAGGAACTTAACTACAGACCCAGGCCGCCAAGTCGAACAATCAATCAGAAACAATCGCTCCTATTCTGACCTCATCGGCCTCCTCCTCTTGACAGAGATAACAGATGCGCTTACGTCCTCCGCCTGCTGACACACGCAGAGCAAGTCGAATCTACAACCATACCAATGGCAATCGCAACGCAACAAGTGCTCTATTAGTGGTCTGTTAAAAATATGAAAAAAAAGCGAGGTCTTCATGTAGACTCGTACCCACAAGCCTACAACTTCAAGAGCCCGCCTGTCCCTGGCGCTGACCACCCTCCCTATATTTTTCCTCCCATACGATAGAATTTAAATGATCCCAGCAGGTACATTTATTTTTCAGCATAATCGTTTGCCCTCTAATAATAAAGAATATGCCCTAAGTTTACACCTTGCTTCGTGCTGACTCCAAGAACCAGCGTCCTGCTGGTTTTTTTGGTCGGTCAATCTATTCCAAAAACTCATAATCCCTACTTCACGGATGACCTTTACGAGGGGTTATCCAATGCCTACGCACAACTTTTTTTTTTGGATATATATTATAAAAAAAACGATTCTTATCATGGTGATAGGATCAAGATAAACCCCACTAGCATCTTGATAAGCTTTCCACTAGTTACTCGACTATACGACAGGCCCATCTCCACTCAACCATGACTGACACTTAACATCACGACCACAGATTATGTAGTCTAAATACCACATCACAACTTCGGCGAACCTCTTACATAAGAACCACACCACTCTCCAGACAGTACCACACCACTGGTAACCAGTGAGAGTGGCACTGACTTCGGCGAACCTCTTACGGAAGAAGCGAGGACACACGGAGTGTGAGGTTGTCTAAAATCGTACAACTTCGTCTGGTTGTTCCACGGCCTTGTGCTGTATTTCAAACATCAAGAGAATAAATGATGTTCTTGAATTCTTTCTATCATAATTACAATTTATCACTGAGAATCAACGACCAGAGAGTCGAACACGGTCCCTTTCGCTATCACTCTCCTCTTTAGGACAAAGTTAGCTTCAATCCTCTGCTAAGCCTACAGGATTTTCTTCATGGGTACAATGAGAAGTCTCAGGTCTCCATGGAGGAGTTTTCGAGTTTTTGCACACACGGCCACCAGTACAACGAAAAACATGTAAACAGAAAAATGTGGTCATTCTCATTGTATAGGACGAGGATCTGGTTGTAATAGAGGAAGGAAAAAATAGAAGAAGTAAAATTAAAGCAGGCAAGATGGTCATCACCTAATCACAAATCCACCTAGAAACAACAGTCATCAGAATCAGTATCACTTCTAGAACTAGACTCAGAAGCCACAGCCTTGAGCCTCCAGGTCCTCAGCTTGAAGAGCACAGCGCGCCACGCTGCTGGCATCCATTTGCGTCTATTTTTTGGACGATAAAACCAAAAACAAATGGAAACCCGAAAATGGCAAAGCTTTAGACTTCATCGAAGAAGGTAAACTCTAAAAACGATTGGACGCAAAGTTTTTGACTTTATTCAAAGTAGACGAATTTTAAAAGATTGAAATTCAAACGCTTCAGCCTTCCGAAGAGATGCCAAACCTAACAGAAGACCAGCATACTCCCGGGCCTACACGACTACTTTAGTGGAAGTCGTTGGGCTTGTTCCTGTTGTAGTTCATCTTCACTACAAGGAGCTGGAGCATTATCGTGTTCACCTTGTTGAACGGGATTGTGGTCTCGTTTGTCGGTGACGACGAGAGCATCGCTTCTACTACTTCTAGGAACAACTGCATCTCCAGTACTTTCATCTACTCCGTTGTCTCCTGTTTCTTCGTTTTTCCCATTGTTGCAATTTCCAGAAGCAGTGGTCTCGCGACCTGCACCATCACCAGCGCCTTGTTTGGCATCTCCAGCAAAGTTACCACTTCCTCCTCGTCGTGGTCCTGTAACGTCATAGCACTTCTTGTTGTATTCTACTTGCTGATCGCCAGCAGGCCCACCTCCGCGATAGTATTTTCCAATGTCGTAGGAGAGCTCTTCTCCTACATCCTCGTCGTCTCCGTGGCTTAGCTTACGTCGCATCCTATGCGGATCATGAAACATGCGCATACTTCCGGCAAGCTGATGGGACACCAGAGCTACGTCGTATCGCAACAAACATTAGAACAAGAGCAGCTTACAAAATTTTTACAGTCCCCAGTAGAAAGTCCCTGGCTTCTTTTGTCCAAGGAAAAGCGCCAAATATGGAGGCGTTGTAGTACTAGGGAATGTAATAAATTTGGTGGAATTCCTTAAAAAGAGGACGAAGATTTGAGTCTCTCCCAATCTTCATGCCCCAAAGCTTCTCTGTGAAACTGCATGGCCTGTAAAGCTTCGGACTCCCACCGGTTAGTTAGAGCGACTTTTTCGTTATTCACGACAAGATAACTGCCGCTGCGTTGACGATCCTCCACTGACCATTCGTCGTGACACTCGGGATACGAAGACGTTGATGAAGTACCAGTTTGGGAAGTAGTTGCTCCTACTACTGCTCCGAAGCCAACAACACCATCTTTAGCAGCGTCTCCTCCTGCCCCTCCGCCTCCTGCTGTAATAGCTGCTGACGAGTCTGCTGTTTTAACGGCCAGAAGTCCCTCGGTTGAGGATGATGGCTTCCGTCCGCCTCTTGGGGTCACGCAGGAAAGAGGCAGAGGACTTGAGCCGCGCGACAATGTTGTGGCTACTGAACACATTGGAGTTGGTGGTGGTGGACGAGTCACTTGACCAAATGCTGTAGTTCTTGATGCAGCTGTAGTTGATGATCCTGTACAACTTCTTCTGTCATTTTTACTATCATTCTGTGAAGCTGTTGAGGAAGAGCAAAAGCTCGTCATCGTCGACGTCGGCGACGAAGCGTCGAATTCTCTTGTTCCTCCTAAGCGGCCCAACAATTCTGCTTCAATGCTGCTTCCATGTCCGCTATAATGACTTGTTATAGAAGTAGTTCTACTAGTGCCTCCTATCATTTGCGCACTGTTGTCATCTCGTCCACCTCCTGCCGTTCCGACGTCAAGTAGACCAACCTGTACCTCCCCACGACCTCCTGCAGCAGCTGTGATGGCTTTACATTTTCGGCGATTTCTCTGTTGCTGGCGTCTACGTGCTCGCGAATCTCGGAGACGTTGTGCTTTATCCTCTTCACGACTAGTACAACCTCCACCGCTTTCTTCATTAAAAACTGCGTCGTCTTGTGCTTCGAGCGTAGTACGTCGATTAGAAGATGAGCGAGCAGACGGTCTTGTTGTTCGCTGAAGAGGAGGAAGAGCAGGTGCTGGAACAGCTGCAACATAAAAATTGGCATTAGATTTAGAAGGAGCCTCTTTAGAAGCTGCTTCCGCAGAAATTGTAGTCCTTGATCTAGTAGTAGAAGCAGTACTATTACAACTTGACGAAGAACCCCAACCCTTTCGCCTCTGGTGGAAGTCGTTCTGGGCAGCTTGTCCCGCAAGACTGCATAGTCCGCTGTTGATCCACGCTGTTTCATCGCATACAAGACCAGAAGTTCTACTTGCAATTTCCTCTGAATCCATATCCGTAGCCTTATCCATCGACGAAGTTGTTGCCGCTGCTGCTGTCACTTCTGGGTCTTCGACTTCATCTGAACCTGCAGAAGAATCCTCAGTCTTCTTATGAAGTACGTCTTTGCTCACCTCGTATTTCTTGTCCACGACCGCAACCATATGCTCCACATAATTTTTTGTTCCCCCATTATTTCCAATAGGAACTGGCTGCTCCTTCTTCTTCTTCAGTTGGGAACCCTGATCCACATCGCGTGTTGTGTAACGACGTTCTGCTGCCTGCATCCTTTCATAGTAGCGACTGTCGATGTCGCCAGGCCAACTTAGGCCGGTCACTTTTTGCCACGCTGGGCCTACGATACCCACAATATTTGGAAATCTGGAGATACTGTTAGTCGGATGCTTGGTATCAAAAGGGCTCCTGCGTGGCGGAGGCTCTGCTGGGCCGAATTTCGTGGTAGACGCGGAAGATGAAGTTGAGGAAGGGGGAGGGCGTGGAGGACCTGAAGCTACAACAGGTCGTGCTGATTGTTCTGCTCCTGCAGCAGAAGAAATAAGCCTCGGAGGTCGTGGAGGTCCTGCTATCATTGTCGAAGATGGTGGTACTACTGTTGAAATAGAAGGGGGAGCATCCTTTGCAGGAACAGGAGGCCGCGGTGGTGGACCTGCCGCATCGCTAGTATTTACAACATGAGATGAAACTTCTTGCTTGTTACCATGTTGAGCATCGGACAACATGATCAGGGATTTCGTTTCCACGACTACTGGAGCTGCTGCTTCAGCGACTTCTAATGCAGGATCAGGTGCCACGCCCTTGCAACTGCTACCAGCCGGAGATACAAGTAGGACACTGTCTTCACCAGTCCCTACGGCTGCAAGGTTTTCAACCTCATGATCCTGCCTCACGACGTCTTCATCTTCTACCGTATCAACGTTATTAGAGCTTGCCTAGATTCATCTTGAAGGTCATCTTTGACGCCTTTTCCCCTTGAAAACGTGGCAAAGATGCAGCTTCTCAAGATGAAAAATTACGGGAAGGAGCCTTAAAATTAGTTCGTCCGTTTTGAGTTGTATTTCCGTCTTCTGATGAAGGCCGCGTCTCCGAACTCTCACTCGTGCGATAACCATCAGTGTCTGGAGTGGTTTCTTGTACTTCGTCAAGTCCTGGCGTCGTAAGTACTGTCGCTCCTTCTGTGATTGATGTGATTGATGATCCTGCTGAACTGGAGCTGCTGTTCTTGAGTTCTTCTGCAACTACTGGCGCAGCTGCTGCTGCTGTTGAAGAACAAGAAGATGTTTGCTCCTGTTCATTATTGACCGCAGCTACTCCTTCTAAGAGCTTCTCATCCACAGCGTTGTAATTGGTGGTGGAGCTTGTTGTAGACGCCGAAGCTGCCGCTGCATTGCATGTAGTGCTGTCTTCATTGACGAGCTCCTGTTCATCTACAACATCAAGGTCAGCGTGATGTGCCTCATCTGTTTCTAGCATGTTTTCGCAGCTGTTGGAGTTCCTCCTCAGATGAATCGTATCTGCTCCGTCTCCGACTGCAACATATTGATTACTATTACCTTGTTCCATCATGGTGGCAAACAGCGATGAAGATGATATGCTAGAAGTCTCCGAAGTTCCTCTGGTGAAGATAGTATGTCCTCGCGTTTCCATATTATTTCGCCGACTGATAGGCGTGCCACCTACGGTTTCCTCACTCGTCTCTTTCTCCAAAATCGGTGGCAACGGTGGTGGATGCAATTCCAATCGTCCGCCGTGTTTCGGAAGAACTCGGAACGGAGAGGACGCACGTGAGCCAGGTGTGGAAAGGTCTCCGCGAGAAGGACTGGCGCGAAAGTGTGGACTTGGAGTTCGGGAAGCTGGTGCTAGAGGTAGGCTCTTGGTGTTCGTTTATCCCGCTTGTTGGGGCTGTCCCCCTTAAGAGAGCCATAACAAACGGTAACAAAAACACCTTTAGCCTACTCTTAATGGTGGTCCTCGAAAAGACAACAAGGACACGTCGTTGCCAAAGTCCTCAGTGAATTCATCTCCAAGTCCACTGGTGTTATCGACGTTATCTTCCACCTCCAGCAAATGTTGACGCTCCCTCGCCATCTTGTTTTCGTTTCCTATGTCTGTATTGTTCCAAGCCTTGACACTATTTATCACGTCGTTGCCAAAGTCCTCAGTGAATTCATCTCCAAGTCCACTGGTGTTATCGACGTTATCTTCCACCTCCAGCAAATGTTGACGCTCCCTCGCCATCTTGTTTTCGTTTCCTATGTCTGTATTGTTCCAAGCCTTGACACTATTTATTTCGGGAGACGACGCGGCGGCCGCGAGTCCTAGAGAAGATATGGTAGAATCACTTTCATCATCACCAGTTGCAGTTACAGTTTTCTCCCCACCACCGCAACTACTAACTCTGCCATTCTTGCTCTTTCCACCACCATTGCTTTTGCTGGTAGAAGTGCTACTTGAGGATCCTCCACTGCTACCCGGTTGCGCAGCAGCTTGTTCGTCAACACGCACACTCTCGTCCCGCTGGAGGACATGATCTACTTTGATGTCTTCTACTTGTATCTCACCAGCTACTTCTTCAGCTAGTATTTCTTCGTCATCATCTTCATGTTGGTCGTATAGTATTCCCTGCTCTTCTTGCTCCTGTTGTAGTTGACCACGCGGCGGGAGGACGTCATCATCATCTTTCCAAGGGAACTCTACACGGTAAGAGGACGATCTTAGAGGAGCTTTTACACTTGTGGGCTCGCCACTGGCACTGGTGCGTGACGAACATTCGGACTCGTGCACGCTGTTCCGCAGTTCGACCGGTAGCTCAATTAGTGGCGGCTGCCGGAAGAAAAACTTCAGAAGACGATTGTTCCGTCTCACAGAAGAAGAGGCGGAGTTTCTGGGACTAGAAGTGGACAAATTGGAAGAGACGACTCCGCAACTCGTAGTGCGACTGAGCAAAGGCGTTTTTATACCATTCATAGAAGATGAAGTCTCGTTGTTGTGGTTGTTGCAAGAACTGGTAGTGGTAGAAGAAGAAGTACCTCTAGTTGTAGAAGGTGTGCCAGGTGGTCTTCTAGGAGAACTTTGATTAGTACTAGAGCAAGAGGGCCTGTGAAGATGTGATTCTTGGTGGACAAGATTTTTACGTCCTCCCTTCTTACTGTTACCCGATCTTCTCTCGGATTCTTTTCCAGCACTGCCTCCATTGGACGAACTACAAGACGAAGAAGTAGAGGTCTTATTACAACTTGAAGTTGGGTGGTCTTTAGAAACAGCTTCAAGAACCAGGAGAGGGTGCACTATCAAATCTTCCTTGCTCTCTGCACATCTGGGCTCAATATAATCGTCAGTGTCCTCTCCAAGGATACTATAGCGGTTCTTTGGAAGTACTAGAGGAGGACATGGCTGTTGTCCGCCTACTAGAAGTTGTTTATTTGCGTTTGCCTGGAGGTTAATATGGTTTTTATCAGTTCTTGCATGATCTTCTCCAATTCTACTTTCAAGAATTATTTTCTTTTTTGCGGTGGATGTTATTCTCTGATTTCGGACCACTTGTTCATCTGTGCTGGTAGGTGATGATGATGAAGAGTCGCTTTTTCGTTGCTCCTTCATCACTACAACTACATGATGTTTTGGCCTGGCAGAGGTCCCTGGTGCAGAGGTTGTCTTCTTCAAAATTTGTTGCTTTTCTTCTGCGACGTGTTCCCTCTCGCGGCGATTTTTCGATAGTCCTCTGATATTCGAATCTCGTTTCTCTTCTTGAAAACAGTGGCCAAACGCCTTTAGTTGCGCGGTGTCAAAAACTGGTGGAGGAGCCACTTCTTCTTCAACTTCTAGTCGATGTTGGAGCCACTCCTTCTTCATCTCGGACCCTGTTTGATGCTCCACGAGGACCCTCTCCGTTAATCGAGTTATTGCACCATTCATCTCTCTAGATGAAAGAGAAGCCTCATCTTTCTCATCTCCTACTGAAGTTGATGGTGCTGGTGCTCCAGCACCACCACTGTTTGTACAACCAGTAGGGAAGCAACCCCGAGTACTGCTAGAGCAATTGGAGTTCCTCCTATCTTCACTAGGTGAAGTAGTACGATGAAACTGATGAAGCCTGCTGCTAGAGGTGTAGTAGAAGTTACTATCATCAATATTACCCCTACTAGAGGTGATGTCGTTATTGTGGTGGTCTGGTTCGCTGTTCTTGCTGGATGAGGTGGTGGAAATGGATCTCAGGATCGCGCCAGAATCGTCCGAAGTAGTACTGTTTTGCCGACACGTAATGTTCGCCGTAGAATTAGAGCAGCTCCTCAATGAGCGCCCACTCATTCATTCATTCATTCATTTACCTAGCATGAGGTACAAGTTCAGGACTTAATTAGGATGCATCAGAATCCAGATCCCTCGTTGTAATATACTTGTAGGATTCATCTACATCCTCTTGGTTGGACATGTTTGTTTTCCTCATATCTATTCGGATCATTCACGTAGGAGCGCAAGATTTGCAACTACGATGGATAGCAGATTCATTACAAGACAGGACAGGTCCTCAAAGATGATGAAATCACACTTTCAGGAGATCACAAGTAGAAGTAGAAGTTAGATGAATTATTTAGTACTATATATAAGTAGTATCTTCTCACTTTTACTACTATAATTAGCATTAAGACAGCCTTAACAGCACGGTTGCTAGTATCGAAATCCATGTCGTCTCCCAACTGGTCATCGTGGCAATCCGTTTTAAACGATGAGGATCCTCGCAGAAGCCGCATCGTGCCGTGGAAGAAGCTTTCTGAGGAAGTGAAGGGCTGCTGTGGAAGAAGCCTTGCTGAGGCCGCGTCTTCTGAGGCCTTTACCATAATATTGAACAAATTCACCGTCGACTTTCTTCTTGTCCTCCTGTCTGGAGTAAGTACGGCTATTTTTACCTGTTGTAGAAGTAGTTGTGTTCGTGAGCAGCTTCAAAAATCGTCAATTTCGTTTCTACAACAAATATTACGTGTAAGTTGAACAAGTGCATCATAATTTTTGTCATCTTTGTTTTGTTTCCAGCAGCATAAATGCACTTATAATTTGTCGAAGCACAAAGAAAGACCACGCCATACTTCTAAGAGCAAATTATACCAGCTCCAGTGAGACAGAGACTCTTCTGTTCTTCTGGTTCTCCGCAGGACTCTCCTGCTATAATTCTTGATGTACTTCTTGTTGAACTTGCACTAGTAAGATCATGTTGTTGATAGAGTTGATAGATGTTGTACTAGTTGTACTTCTCGCAGGTGAGCAAGTTTGTACTTGAAACAAGACAGACACAGATGAGTAATTTTTACACTGTTAGTGACCTGTGGTGTGTTCTTTTAGACATTCATTCATTCATTTACCTAGCAAGAGGTCGTTCCAGGGACTTAATTGTTGCACTGTCTCCTGTTGTTAGAAGTGACTAAAGTATGCACTGAAAAATCATTCTTACAAATCAATAAAAAAGGACTCGAACTGTATGACTTGAACTTTAACATCTATGGATGTTGTTGGAAGGGCTAAACTCTAGAGGTAAAAACTAACCAGTTGCGTTATTTAGTGCTTTGAGCGCCGCTGGACCACTTTACCATCTATGTATATTAACACTTATTGCGTCCTGTTTGAAAGGCCGTGCATCGCGATCCGTCAAGAGTGCAACTCTGACAGATTGACAGATGTCGTTGATTAGTGGATGTAGATCTTCCCTATTGAAGACTACTCTTCAAATAACGACAATTGAAACTACTATGTTTTCGGACTAAAAGTAAAAACTGACTTCTAAGGTTAGACTACTATTAGTTTGTTAATACATAGTACAACTACAAGCCGCCAGCAATTGTGGTGCTTGTAAAAATTGAAATTGTTCTGTGAAGATGAGATCTGTCTGTTGAGCCACCTGCTCTAAAGAAAAAGCAAAACTCCGCTTGCTTTTCAAGTATCTTTGAATAAGAATATCCCTTAGCTCCTCGTTTTCTTCTTGTTTTTCTTGCATTTGAATACCCCATTGTAGTTCCTCGCTTTCTTCTTGTCGTTCTCCAGTTTGTTGATCTGTAGTACTAAGGAGAAGTATTAAAAAAGCCCGACGTACTAAGCACCGCTGTCGCCACTTTTTTCTCGTCCGAAGAATCGCGAACGATTGTTATTATGAATCAATAATATTATGTCTACGCACGACCCTACCGTCGTTGTCGTACGATCCTCATATTAGAAATTTCAAAAAAAAATCTATCCATTTTTGGCTGACAAGGAGAATTGGATGGAGTTTTCTTCTGTCCTAGTATTAAAGGCTGAGACTACAACTCGTTTTTTGCCCCCACTTTTTAGATCTGGATTTTTTACTTTACCAACCTTCCGGCAGAATGTTCTCTGATACTTTATCAATATCTATGACCCTTTGATCTTTGTGGACTTTACTACTGTCGCATATGAACCAAAATTGGAATGGTATCCATAATACTGGCACAAGGCAACGGAGGCGCCGTTGTTCCTCTGCAGTCCTCTCGCTGTCGGTTCGCTACCAGGTGCTGTCGTGGGTCCGCATCTTATTTTTCAGTTAACACCAATTTATTCTTCCTCGTCGCGGCTAGGATTATAATATGATGTTTACGACGAGGTCGAGGAAGTTGCCTCTTGTCGTGTAACTATTTCTGTCTACTTATGAGGCCGTGAAGTAGTGACTAAGTAAGTACGTCTCAGTGGTCTCTATCATGACTCCTAGTATTTCATTTGCATGTTATTTCTTTCATCTTGTTGAATAGACTAGGATTCTGTGACTGGATTTTATGACTCCGCATCTCCTCGAGATATCTACCACCTCGTTGTATTGCGACTTCTCCTCAGGCAATTGAGACTATCCAGTCAACCCTCCTCAGTACAGGTGTAGCTCTGTGATTACTTAAATGACCTGACGTGAACTCCAGGTCAAACATCTACAAAACGACAAATTATGTCTATCACCAAGAACCTTAAAATGTTGGATCTGTCAATGTGCATCTCCTCATTCAACTTCAAACTCCAACTCCTCCATTCATCTCATCACGTCTGAGATTTTTAGCAAGAAGAAGTGAAGACTATTTTTAGACAGTCATAACATGAGCATGACCACTAACTAATTATATACCGTCCTATATTCTTTTTCTTAGTAAGGTGGGTCATAAACTGGAACTAAACTGGAACTGAGTGCTTCAATACTAAACTGGGACTTTACCTAGCATCATTCTTGAGATGTTCGCATATCACTTTCGTGGTGCTCTCTACAAAGTAGAAAGCAGCTCCTCTTTTTCAACTCCGCCTGAGTTGGTCACGCAAGGACTACCTGAAGACCACACCTGCAGACTCAAGCAATCAACTGCGTGCGGCCGTCTAACGAGCGGTGGTTCTGGATCAATCAATCAATCAATCAATCAATCAGTCAAGTGCTACGTAGTTTATCAAGATATCTAAATATTGTTCTTCAATTTCACTACAAGAAGGCGACTTCTAATTGTTCACGTTGTTATTGGCGTCATCGTCAATTTGTAGCGTCATCGTATGGAATCTTCGAGGATGAAAGTCCACACCAGTTCTTACTTACTAGTGGAAGACTAGTTTTGCTGGTAGAAGTATATCGCTCCACCCCAAGCGAAATCTGGAACCCTAGTAAACTCTTTCTCGTATGAATATGCATGAAATTTTCACACAACCCTCGTGGTCATCTTTTCTTAGGATCGTAACTACGTACTAGCACCGGTATGCGTGGTTGTAGTTTTTTCTGGTCATGCCTCTTGTTTTGCTCTATAGTAGTGATCTAGAACAAGCATGAATAAGAACAAAGCCTCGCTTTACTTACATCAACATCCTTACACAAACTAACACGCTGACCGTGAAGACAAGAAGTAGTCGCTGTGTGGTCCTCGTTGTACTAGTTGTACCAAGAAATACGCGGCACAGTTGTAATAAGTTGTGTAGATACTGAAATAATGATAACGGGGGCGAGGAGAGCCCGAGGGGGGGCAGCTGTGCATTACAATACCCCCCGCGCGATATTACTAGCCGCGCAAGAAAGACAAAGATAAAGCCAAGCCTAGCGGACTCCCTCAAGGTCTGAAGCGCCTCCAAGGCGCGCTAGCGCCAAAGCTCAGCAGAATTGAAAGAGACGAGCCACGCTAGCCACAGCTCTCTCGCGCCCCATGTCTATCCTGGTGCACAGTCGCAGCGCACAAGTCTAAGCCGGTTGCGGCGGGGTGGTCGTCCACTCAGTGAGTGACCCAAAGAAATCCTAAAAACAAAAGCAACGACGCCGATTCAGCTACTCCCACCCCGTGGGTGCATCTGCGTTCGACAATCAGAAGCGGGCGAAGACTATACGCCCAACCTCGAGCCCGTCGAAGAACGAAGCCGCAAGCCACTGCATGCAGGCACGCCCGCCAAGCCGCTGGCCCAGTGATGTTTAGGCACCTCCCACGCACGCGGAGCCGAGCAGCGTAAACTGACAAAGCCAAAGAAGCGGCCTCGCCAGTGTCTGTGGTGAAGCCAGCACCGACCAGCACGCGCGACCAAGGAAGCGCGAAAGAACGACCCAACGAAAGGGAAACGAGGCACCGCCCGCGCTCATGGTGCGAGGGGAAAACACAGCGGGCGACGACCGGGCAGCGCGATGGCTAACGCTAAGAACAAGCGACGGAAGCTGCGCCACCATTCGATTGGGGGAAAGCGCCAAGAACAGCGTCGAGCGGAAAGCCCAGAACCACCGCCGAAAGCCTTAGCCTTACAGCTTCGCGCGCTAATTTAGTTTAGCCAAACCGCACACAGAAGTACCCGCCACCCGTGCGGTGGTACATTCCGACACGTCGCAAGGGCCCGGACTATCCTAGGCACACACAAACAGAGCAGGCAGAAACGAAAAAGCAAAGACACACCCCACCAGACACGCAGGGCACAGGGGAGAAGTTGCACAGCAAGCCAGGCGCGCGCTTTCGGCAGAGGAATCGCGCCGGCCATCTCTCGATGGGTATGCGCGTTGCGCTTTGCTTTCTCGTCGCTCCTCCGCACTCAGCGAGGGAGTTGCGCTGGTCATCTTTCGACGTTTTGCGCGGTGTTTAGCTCGCCCGGAGCTCCCGGTGACCGACCGAGGTAGATACTAAAATGAATTACGTCACTACAGTTGCACTGTTAGGCTTAGGGATACGGCTAGGGGCAGGGCTAGGGCTTAGGGCTTGTACAATGTAGTTGTATCTTTCTATAGATCATACTATGAAGAGAGTTTGTTATTGTCATAAACAACGAACTAAGTCTGTAAGGAATAATAATCAAATAAGAAGTATTTATCTTCATCCGAAGTCGTTAAAAAGATCGCGCTTTTTAGCATAAGGTCCTCCATCATCTCCCTCAGCCTGTGTCGTTTATGGGTGTAGGCTGGAATTGAATGAACTCATTCATTCACGCTGCCACCAACACAGCAGGTGAAGTTTTTGAATTTATAAATGTGATGGATGATTGCGGCCATGCATTCTATTTATATTTTGCGATTAAGGACCTGTCCTTCTAACCGTGAGAAAGAACAGTGCAAAAAATCTAAAAAGAAGCTTTCGACGAAATTGTGGTTCTTTTTACGCCATGGTAGAGCATTTGCAATTCTGCCTTTCAATATCATGAAGATACTGTTGATGAAAAAAACACAAGTAGTGACACTTCTCACAACATGCAGCTGATTGATTCTCTTTTGATTGATGTCTCAAATGACAACTCTCTAGCTCCTTCATCCTCATCATTCCTGAACAGACGATTTCGATTTCAGTTCAACATATCAATTTCTTTGTTTCCGAAAAAAATAAGGAGAACATGACACGTTGCGGCTCGTCTGCGGAGAATCAAAAGATCAGAAACACGCACCCACGCATTTGCTGATAGAGGAGGATGTGCGTTGATGATGTCCCAAATTTTTTTCGAATGATGCATCCTGCTGTCTTCACAAATGAAGATCTTTCTTCAACTTATTATCTGAAGAACGACCACTCAAGTCATCTTTCATCGTTGATTTGCAACATCGAAAAGCTGGTGAGCACTCAATTCTTGAACCAAAAGTGCTTATTTTCGAGCAGTCCATGTTGATGTCCTCATTTAATGTTTCTCTTCTGGATCATTACAAGAAAACGAAGTACCAAGATCAGTACCATCCTTCATCATGCATGGATTACAAGAAAACCAGCTACCAAGATAACATCCTTCATCATGCTTGCACGTATGTCGGTGTTGGATCATTCAATAATACTTACAAGAAAGCTAACCACTAGAGGCTGAAGATCAAAGAAGCATGTCTTGATATAATCTAACTATGAAGATGTGATCACGTTTCAACATCGGCTGGAGGTGCCACTTCTGAACACAAAAGAGGGTCCTCCTGGAGTGCTTGTTCCTCTACCTGTGAACCCAGTGCGCCGCTTACACCGCCACCTCCTGTCGTGGAGGTTCTTCTTCTTTTACTCGCCAAAGCCAGAGTGTCGTCAAGAGCCAATCCTCCTGAAGAGGAAGAAGATGCACCTCCCGCTACCGCCACGTCCGGATAGTTGCCACTTCTAGTATTAGCAGTACCTCCATCATCTTCGGCATCACTCATTTTCATCATCTGATCCTTAGTACTAGCGCAAATGGCCTTCTTTTTCTCGTTTTCTCGTAACCACTCCAGTAGCTGACTACGTGGTAAAAGAGGCGCCGCAGGGCATTCGCCACAGGAACAATAGCTTTTCCGCACTGGAGGCGTCTTGCTTTGTCTCCGCAGCGCTCGATCCACACGTGCTTGGATAGCGGCTGGCTCGCTTCGCCTTAGCTTCCTCTGCAAAATCTTGTGGATCTTCCTTGGCTTAGAGAAGGGGACACGGTGGGGGGCATAAGTATTTATTGAGGACGAAAGTGAAGGTGAACTTCTCTATCTCTATCATCTGCATCTCTACACTCATAAAGATTCTAAACAGTAGATGTAGAAGACCACTCCTGCTTCTCTATCATCATTATCATCATTGAGTCTACCACTGGCTAGCATACCAGCTCCTAGACTATACGATGCTTTGCATCATGATCATCTCTGCATAACTCATAAAGATTCTAAACATAGAGCAGGTAGACTGTATGACAGAAAAATGTGTACTCATCTTCCTCATGAACAAATTAGCTACCTTTGAAGTAGAAAAGTACCATAACAAGTTCTTCCGTCGTCGACGTGTCCAACGGTTTCCGAATCCGACCGTTAGCATCTTCTACCCCAATAATCCGACCATCGTCATCGTCAGCTGTGATGACGGGACATTTATTAGACGTACTAAATATGACGACCCTAAAAATCCAACATCTTTTTAAGTATAAGAAGTAGCCTTAGGGCTCATATCAAAGGGCTGTTTACTCCTTTTGAGACAGGAGTTCCAAGATCATGGTTCTTCAAGTGGTGGTGCTGGAGATGCATTTTGAAGATTTTTAATAAGGAAACCTTATATGTAGATGTAAGCTTAACTTTAGAGCCTTCTCTTGGTTTTCTGAATATAGCCTCCATGTTTCTTTCTATCGCGGCTAGGCGTTCCTCTTCAGCCTTCTTCTCTTCCTGACTAGCGTTAGGGCCAAGGCTTACCCGTGCACGCGCTATCTCTGACACGCGGCGTCGAAAAAGGGACGACGGCTCTGCTTGGGAAGAAGATGCTCCTGTTGCAGGAGGACCTCCTGGAGGAGAGGACCCTATAGCTGGTCTTAGAGGACTCTGTTCAGATGCAGCGTTCTTCACGACCTCCGCAGCCGCTGAAGAAGAAGATGTGCAAGTAGGTGGAGGTGAAGGTTGATCATGTTCTGGTCGTGCTTCCGGTTTCTCGTCTACGAGACCTTGTTCAAGAACTTTTGATGTTGTTGATGCAGTCAGGTTAATATTGGTGCTGGATATCGTCCGGCGTAGTTTCTCATCCTCGTCTACTTTTTTAGGTTGTGAAGTACTAGAATCTTCTGGAGGTTTATTTAGTTCTATTGCAGCTACCTCTTTCAATCTCTCCCGATGTTGAAGATCTTCCGTTTTTTTCGATCCTTCTACTTTTCCTTGTGTACTTGGCTGGAATGAAGATGATCCTCCTACAGCAGCAATAGCATTACTCAGAGTGGTCGAGAAAATTGCGGCAGCAGGCGAAGCGTTGCGACTTGCGCGTAACTTTTCCAGCAGAATTTGCGTTCGGCTAGGGGTTGGAGCAGGTGGTGGACTACTACTACCTCTACCAGCGGTAGTACTATTAAGATTAACAGCTACGTCGTGTGCGGAAGCAGCTGCAGAAGATGCAGCTGCAGGAGCATTGCTGCTGGATCCAACTCCTAAAGAACTTGCCACGTGTGGTGATGGAGGACTGATTTTTGCGCTTGTCTGCGGAGCAAGAGCAGGACTCTTGACCATGTACTGCGCCACATCTTTCTGCGAAGTGCTAGTCGGTGCTGGGCTTTTGGATGTCCGTGCGATCTTTTTAGCGGCTGGACTTCGCGAGGCTTTGCGCTTCAATTGCGCGGATGACGCTGCAGGCGATGCTTGTTTAGGTGGCATGGTCCTCGTGGTCCTCTTCTTGATTGTTCCTGAGTACTTGTACTAGGATTATTCAACACTTACCAATCATACTACATTCTTGAGTAAAGGACCCAGAACAGGAAGATGAGTTTATGTTGTCAGACTGCTGCTGCAGAGCATTTGTCTGTGGCAGAGGGGGGAGGTGGCGTGCCATGAAGAGTGCTTGAGCATGGAACAAAGTCGAGTGATGTCGCCGAGTCAAATACTTTATTGAGCGAACCGATTCTTGCTTGATGAAAAAACTGTCTTTTTTATCACCGATGGATAGAACGAGAGTAATGCTGATGTTGAAAGAAGCATTATGTTTCTGCTAGAATGTGATCGAAATCTAATGCTGCAATAAGCAAAGGTTTCTCGTCTCGATCATCATCATCACTCAACACACGGGGTTCTGGTCCTTCTATCCAAGCAAATTTCTCTCGGTACTCTTCTTGCTGCTGCTCCCTCAATTGCTGGTACCAATATCGCGAGTTGAATATTTACGTGGCTAGAAGCTACAAACTCAGCAATCGTGCAAAGAGTTCATGTCCAGCTTCTTCTTGTGCCTACGATAGTGCACTTGGCTTTGATGTCACTTACACTTCCAGTGGTTCTATACATTGGTACAATGATAGTTTTACTACACAAAGTTTATCAGAGTAACTTCCGCGGCCCGTCTAGGCTTTCATCTCCTTCCCTGCCCAAGTCGCGAAGTCAATTGCGATCCTCTGTTCGTCTGTTGTCATCTTCTTAGTGCTCTCTTTCATCAAAAGAGCGAAAGCCTCAGCAGAATACTCAAAATCGCAGTCCCTAAGCGCCACGTTCATTTGGGTGACAGCCTCTGGCAACAGGCAATCGCTGAAAACGACGCCACGTTTGACACGGCCGCCGGTCACCTTTGAATTGGAAATTTTTGGTTGAAATTTATTTTGGTTAGAAAGAAAGGTAGAGTAATACTACAACGAACTCCTCCTGTGTCCTCGATAGCACACCAGAGAAAAAGAAGGCAGTCTACCTCCAAATGGCACTCGAACTGCCCCCACACCGGTCCGTCTGGATCCTGGCTCTTGGGCAAGCGGACAGGGCCCATAGTGTGAGAGAAATCTGGTGTTTCGCCGAACCGAAAGTTCCAATCCGAAATTTTCTCATAGGTTGCCTGAAATACAGGGTCTTTCACCAGCATTGGTGTGTCGGGAAGAAGTACTTCATGCGTCGGCGGGGAGGCGGCGGAAGGGTTGACTCTGTAGGAGGTCGTGGATGTTGTAGTACTAGTAGTCGGTCTGGGAAAGACCAGCTTCTTCCTACATCATGCATGGAAATGTGCTGACAGTGATTGCTACCTCAAGGCGAGCAACATATTAGCAGTAGCATCGACGGACTCTAGAAAACAAATACTCTTCCAAAAAGACCGTCTCCATGTTCAGCAGGAGTTCTTCCAGCGACAAATCCGGATTCAAATCCTTGAGGTTCCGAACTCTGCTCTTGACGCTCTGGATGCCCTTCGCCTGGAGCTTGACCTTGGATGGTGTCAGATACCGCTGCGATTAGACAGAAGTGAGAGCCTCCTGCAAGGAGAGTACGAAGAAGTTCTTCCTGGTTTCTTTAACAAATATCGCTACTTTCTGATTTACAATTTGCATCACCTACAACATATTCACGTCAGACGACGAAGATACAGAAACCACAACTCATAGCCTAAAGCCCCAAAGTCCGTGTTGTAAAGCAGAGTCCCATGATGTATCATCTTCTCCTCATTGGCTCTGTTCTTGAGCGTCTTGAAGGCCGAGCCGCTAATTTTGGAGGATTAAAGGAAAAAATGGTGGAAAGTATTCCTCACGTGATTGGTGTAACTAAGTTCCGAGGATATTATTCAATTTTTGATCATGAAGAGTCTGAGATTTTTGAGTTTAGTCTAAGCATAATAGTTCACTTTCTCTCCCTCCTCACCCGGTCCGCTCCAAACGATGTCATTGCGCCCCGACCGACTACAGCCTGAAACGCCACTGCGCTCTAGGGCCTTGAGCACCAAGTTGAAATTGCGGTCACAGAACTTGCTGAGCCCGGCGATTCCACCGTAGTCGCTTGCGTTGCCTAGGAAAGTGAAAGTCGGACACCCTAGGTCCTGCAACACTGCACCGCCACCTGAAGCTCGCCGGACTAACTCGACCCCATCTTTTTCTAACTCCGATAGCTTGCATTCTGACCAGGGGTTTCGAGGTTAGAGGAGGAAGGACATAAACTCGTAGACTCTTCTCTATGCTCATGGTGTGTATGTGTTGCCCTGATCAGCATTCCGAAACGGTATACCGAAATAAGACTCTACTTCTCCATCTAAAAAAGTTTGTACTCTTTACAACTTACATCGTACTAACCTCGTCTTCTACAGTTTCATATTAATTGCCTTAATGATGTCTACCAATCGTAACCACAGTTTCATTGCGCCACTGAAAAAGCACATTCCGAAATGGCTGATTGCACAGACTGCCTTCTGCAGAGAAGTTGAAGAAAATATCATTTTTTCCGCTTCGAAACAACGCTACGTCGGGTGGTGACGATGTTGTGCTGGATGAAAAGGCTCTATAATTTCGACGGATTCGGCATTGGCTGGAGGACGCTGAGGACGTCGAAACAGCTCTTGTCACGCGGGCTTCCCAACCGGCGCGCGTCAGTAGGACTCCCGGTGACCACATTTTATTGCTTGAAGACCACACTGTTTTGTTGTAAATTTTCTTTCACGAAGATTTTTTCACATGATCCACTTATTTTTTTCTTCCGCTCCCTTCCAGGCCACTCTGATACTCGAATCCACACTAGTACTCCTTCAGCTCTGATTCCCTCTCTACTCTCTCTTCTTGGTGCACATCGGCCATCCAGTACAGAAAAAACATCCTCCATGACGTAAAAGCGGCGCAATCACCGCAAAAGGTGCAAACTCTGCCCGAGCGGTTTTTCTTTTTTCTTCTTAGTAGTAGTAGTAGGAGTAGTAGTAGTAGTACCCTTAGGTGACTCTATTTGGGTTGGATGCGGATCGCAGGAGGCTTGTCCTACGATCTTACAATGTCCATGTTAGCAATGTCTTTGTGATTTCACAACATTCATCAAGATCAATCTACCATCAAAAATATTAGTGGTCTCCAGTCATATCCTGGATGTAGTCGGTAGATTTCGGATAGATCATCGTATGAGTCACATCACGACGCTATCTTGTACTGAAGATTGTGATAACCTTGAACCCTTCGTAATGAAGAAAGCTCGAGTCATATGAAAGGAATGGATGTGATATCAAATTTTTCAAAGATCAGTATGGCCTATGGCCATATTAAGCTGTTACTCCGTTGAATGATAAGAGTGTGATAGTGTGGACGATGCTCGAGCAGACTTCATCATGCTTTCCACCTAGAAGCTACAGGAGCTTGTAGTACTTTGTTTAGTATACCAATACCATTCAAATTCATCAAGTCCATTTCTTCGTTCCAATGTGAACAAAGTGAAAACGATTAGTCTTAGTCTTCCTGTAAAGCTTTAAATCTTCTCATTAGATCATCCAAATCATCGGAGTCCCCACCTACGCCAACTGCAGAAGCATCGTTCTCTACTCTATTTACTACTTTAGTAGAAGCTTGACTCGTCTCTACTTTATTTACAACTCCAACGTCTAGTGGTTCTTGTGGTCTTACTACAGCAATTTCTCCTCCAGGTGACGCTTCCGCAGGTCCTTTCATCTGATTAGCTTGTTCTTGTTGTTCCTGAACTTCCTTACAGTTTGCCGCAAGTAATGAAGCAAGATTGTCCGGTTGCTTCTCCTGTCCATCCATGATGTCTGAAGATGCTGTGATGCAAGGACTGCCAAACATTGGAGTTGGCGCACAAGAACTAGGATTCATTAGGTTTTTGTTGTCTCCGCTTCCAACAAGTCCAGCGAAAGATGGTGTTGGAACAACTGGTACGTTTCTGTGAGAATGAGCCCCATTGCCGTTAGACCCAAAACTGAAATTGACGAAGCCATTGTCAGCAGTCAACAGCGTACCGCCAACAGCCTCTGGATAATCGGGTCCAATGCTGCCCAGGTTGGAGTGGATGCCACCTGCTTGCGGAGCAGTTCCGAATTCTGGTACTAGCAGACTTCTATTAGCACCAGTTGTCGCTGCTCCTGCTGTCGTTGAAGAATATGCGGCTGTCGTGGTAGTTGTCTGGTGCGTCTTCTCCTCTACTTGTGAGGCCGTAATTATTTCTTGTCGTGGAATTGGTATTTGGATCGTCTGTCCTGGTTGTGTCATCTCCGGCAGAATGACACTTAATGTGCGTCCACAAGGCGTTCGCACCAAAAGAGTCATGCCTGGGCCATATCCCTGGGGCACCGTGGCCATCACAAACGGCTCCGTTGATTCCGCATGATAGGCTAGCTGATTTTGGACATTCGACAGGAGCGGTGAAGCAGGGAACGAAGTCACCGTGCTTGAGGGCACGGAGATCAAGGCATTGATTCCACTATTTGTTGATTGGGATAAGTTGGAGGAGGAACTACTGCCTGTTGAACTGGCAAAAGAAGAAGTGGGTTGAGGTAGTTGTTGTACGGATGCTGCTGGTGATGAAAAAGAAGTAGGCTGTTGCTGTACAACCGGAGCCACGGGCTGCATCGTTGGTTGTTGAGGATGAGGTTGCGCTTGTGCTGCTGCCATGTCGAAATTTAATCCACTAATTTGATGTTGAATCATCGTTACCTCTGGCTCCATCATACTAGGCTTCATTTTTGGGACTCCCATTCCCATCTGCTGTGAAGCCTGTCCACCTGCTTGCCCTCCTGGTCCACCAATTGTCGGCACCCCACTAAAAGTGTTCATATGCGGTGCTTGTGCTCTCGCTTCCTCTTGCTTTCTCATATCCTCTGCCCATTCTTCTAAGCCAATTGAGTCCCAGTTCTCTACTCTGTAAAATGTCGCAGCATCTTTCAAGATAGAGACAATCTCAGCAGGAGTTGGTGGTCGCACTGAGAGGAGTTTCACCATTCGCTGATGGACCAAGCCTTTTTCATCCTTTTTGGCGATGTTCACAAACTCGGCACCATACTTCGCTTGGAACTGGTCCACAACTTTTTGTAGTTCTTCGACGTGGCAACGGCTTGCAGCGTACAGGATAGTCTGGACGCTGTGGTGCATTTTTGGAATCATTGAGTCGTGTGATCGTATTCTAATATTCTGTGCATCCTAAATAGGTTTGCTGCACCTACCGGCAGGATGAATCGATGTGACAAGATCCCACAAAAGAGTAGAACTTGTAAGCCAACGAGGAACAAGATTATAATATACTTAACGACGTTGAACATGATAAAAAGGAGTAGGAGTTGTCATCTATCGACGATATCATTTAATCTTGGGTAGCTACGAGCAAAAATTCAATAAAATGAAAGTACGTTTCCACAAGATCCGGAGGACATTCCTTTTGTTCCGCGATAAAATGAATCCTCGTTAACAGCAGTTCGCTCATAGTATCCAACAAATCTAGAGCATCGCAGAGGTTGATGTTCTGCAGGATCTGTTCTGCCTTGATCTTTGCTCTGCTTTCTTGGCCATCTTTCAGCAATAAAGCAACTTCTTTCTGCAGGTTTTTGGTGGCAGCGATCGTGCGACTCTTCTGGATCTTGGCACGGCCAGCTGCCATACGCAACTGAGCCTTGCAAGCAGAGGGGTCGAACTTGCGGAGAAAACCGAGGAAACCGGGGAGCGGCATTTTGTCGAACTAGTGTGTCAAAAGTAGAAAGTGAAATTGATGCTCTTGAGAAAGTGAAATTGATGCTCTTGATAATGAAAAATAGGAGTGGTTAATAAGAGTCAGTAATGAAAGAGAACAAATATTACGCCTACGTCGAATAATTGTTGATGAATTCAAAACAAGTAACTCCTTCAGAACAACCTTATTGTGTTGGTCTTCTAGCGTTGGGAATACATAGACGAGGGAAAATCACTTCCGATGGTTCGTTGGGAAATCGGTTAACCTACACAAAGAGTACAAGTAGATGTAAAATGATGATGAATGCTTACTTTGGGGAACAAAGGATCAAAAACCATGCGATTAACGAATTATGAGCATGCAGTCGTTGCATAAAAACGCGAATTCAAATCCAAAACTGTGTAGAGAGTGGGATGGAGGAGAGCAGGATGTGATGATGATTGAGTTTGAGGAGGTGATCTTTATTTTAAGCAATGTAGTCACCCTCGTAACTTCAAGATGATGATGAATATGCGTGCTGCTTGAATCAATGAGAGTTTGCCTCGTCATTTCCCTTTGGTTACTATACGACTAGCACCAGATCTCGATCTCGTTGAACCAAGTGGTGGATCATAGCACTCACTATAGAGAAATCGTCTAACACTTGATAGATCTTCTCGATGTCGATCCTCGATCTCGTTGGTATATTTATTCGTCAAGGAATTTGAATATAATGGATCGGATCTTATTGATCGTTTTTTTTTTCAATTTAGATCTTGATGTCATGCTTGAAGTATGATCTTGTGCGCTCGCAGTACCAAGAAGAAGGATTGCATTTATGATCCATCAGGATAAAACCACAACGCACCGATACATCATGAAAAAGAAGAACAATCCTCTTTGCATGACTCCTACACGAAATACCCATACATCGCGGCATTTTTGCATATCATAGCCAGCATCATTTACGTCAATTGAATATTCATCTCAGTAGTAAAACAAGTATCACTTCGTGGTCTCAACCGGCAAACTCATCTTGACATCTACTCGTGAGCTTGGCGCCGCGGAGGCTAGGAACTTGAGAAAGCTGAGGGTCTTAGCATCTCGCAGGACGATAGACAGTGAATTGTGAAAGGCAGGGATGTTAAGAAGGGGTCCTGCAGATGAACTGGCTGGGTTCTTTCCTCCTGACTTATCTACTTGGTTTTGTTCATCACCTCCTTGTTCCCCTTGTTGTTCACCTGCCTCCTCGTCTTCTCCTTCCTGATCATCGTCATCTCTGTAGACTTCAGCTTTTTCGTCAGTTTCGTCATCATCTGCCTCAACGTAAGATTCGAAGCCACCCACTTCCTCACTGTCCCACAGATACTGCTTGTCGTGGTCGGATTCCAGGAGGACCGTCTCTGGTAGTTGTGCTTCGGAGGCTGCACCTGCAGTAGACGACTGCTGATTCTTTTCGATCTTCAGGTTCTTATTCTTCTTCTTCTTGCTCGTCTTTTTTGAATTTGATGCACCTTCATCTTCTACTTCATCCGCTTCTCCTTTCGCTCCTGCGGAAGTCTGCACAAGTTCTTTTGCCCCGTCCACAAGCGTATAGCAGACATCCACTAGATTGCAACGCCTGACACAGTTCTGAACTGTTGCGATTGTGTAGTCCAATCCAGGTCTGAAACGTCGGATTTGAGGCTGAGATTGACGAAGGATTTTTGCTGCATCGGTTTCCTCATCTCCGTCCCGAAGATCGTCGCTGTTGCTGTCCATCGATGACGGCTTGGTCCTCGTGTCGAGAAAATCAAGTCCTACGATCGCTCTCAAGAAGGCTTGAAATTCTGCTGTCTGCATCAAAGTTTCGACAAGTTGCTTCAAGCTCTGACCGAGAAAAGAGTGGGGATCAGAAGTTTCGACTTGTTCTTTGATCGTCTTCTTGTTCTTCTCTGCCTTAGCTGTCTTGGCCCTGTCAGCAGTGTCGAAAACGAGATATCTCTGCAAAAACGCAGGTCCTAACATTTTCCAATCGCTTTTGACACCAGCCTGATACGATACTGCTTGACTCTCAGCATCTACTTGAGCACTAGAAGAAGATGTATCCTTCTTAATTCCATCCTTCCTATCCATCTCCCTCAAGGCCTTCAAAAACGCAATTGCTCTATCCGTGTGCAAGAAATCAGCGAGTAAAACTTCTGAATTGTCGCTGAAATGTTGACGCAGCTGAAAAAGACCTTTCTGAGAAAGGTACTCCTTCTTGATCCACTTGGTGAGGACTGGACAAGAGGAGAAATGACTGGGCATGTCGGATTCTTCATTGACGCTGTCTTCAGATGATTCAGAACTCAGATCTTCTTCTTGCGAAGGCTCTTCTTCCAGGTTCTTCTTGATACCTCCACCTATAGAGATAGAATTTCCTTCTTCCTCCTCCTCCTCTAGAACATCGGAATCTGCTTCCTCTTCTAGGTCTATTGCTCCTTCTGGAAGAACAGCCATTTTTTCATCTTCTTCGTCGGCGTCCTTCTCGTTGTTCTTTTGAGCATCAGCAACTGCGTTCTTCGTTGCGTTTCCTCCACCACCGACTAATTGCTGCAACGTCGCTTTTTCGGCCCTCTTTTCCGAAGAATAGGTGTCGTCAATGCTCTCGACATGGTACCAGCCTTGCAAGCTCAATCTAGTCTTGTCCGCATGCGTTACTTCCCTAACCGCGTGGTAGCTCTTCCCAGGTTCCACTCCGAAGAGAAGTAGAGTGTTGAAATCAGGAAGCAATTCGCCAACTGGTGCGGGGTCGTTCTCAGTGTAGAACTCCATACCGCCGCCCCATGCGGGTGACCATGACGAGGACGAAGACAAAGATGATGGGGAGGGGGACAAAGATGTTGATGGGTGACCATGAGGAGTTGATGAGGATTCATCACCTCCAGGTTCATCCAAGTACAGCACAAAGGTCAGTTTTCTAGTGGAAATCACGTCATCGTGGCACATCAAATGGCAACCTTGTGTGTACGCTTGGGCAGACATGTCGACTCGGTCTATGAGCTTGGCGTCTAGACCAAGATAGTCCTCCAGTTTGCCGCGAAACGCTTCACTGTAAAGCAGAGAAGCGAGTTTCTGCAAGGAGGGGTATGCTTTCTGGATCTTGCCTTCAGGAGTTGCAGAAGCCAGAACATGTCCACCAGAAGAGCCAGCCAGCAAAGACGCCAGATCTTGTGTCTGATGAAACTTGAACAAGTCCGTTTCTTTGGGCTTCACCTCCAAGGAATTGATCATTTCTAAGCGGAGCTCCTTGCAGAACTCCACATCAAGGAAACCGTCAACGATAACGTGTCGAAAGGGTGCGGCGTTGTTGAAGAGAGAACCTAGGTTGGGTCCGAACGTGGTAGGATAAACGGCAGATGAGCCTGAGCCTGGTGAACTTGAAGCGCCTGAACTTGAGGCGCAGTTTTTGTTCGCCTCCTCATTCTCTGGCACTTTCAGCAGTCGGATACGGGAGTCTGAAGCGAGGACCAGAGACGGCAATGATACTTGCTTGTCGGTTTTTTGCTTCTTCGAGGAGCTTCCCTCGCCGGCCGCGGATGCGGCTCTCTTCTTCTTCATCACAATCTTTTTCTTCCTAGCTTTTGCGACCACAGGTTCTTGAGGTGAACTCTCAGTCGAGTCTGCACCACTGCTCGCAGTAGTAGACACTAATGCTTGCCTCTTCTTCATCGCTTTGGCTTTTGTCGACGATGACATCTTTTCTAGTACGAAACTGAGAAGTGCGCTAGTATAACGACATCTATGTTGGGGCAGGGGCAAAGACCTGTGATGCAAAAAATCTAGCAACCTTTAGTCAACGATTCTTGTTTGCAAGGAGGGGTCCTGCGTTTGATGAATTCATTCAATTAACGGAATTTCAAGAAAGACTTTTTTGTTCCCTGGGTCTACGTTTCTCGCTATAAGTCCATTTGTTTATGATGGGTGCAACATGCAGGACGAGAAGTGGTCTACTCTACTAAAGCTCGTGCATGCAGTTGACACAAGGAAGTTGAACTAGTCTCTTGATGATCGACGCATTCTTGAGTCTGATTTTATGTCGTGGAACATCTAGAGAAGCAAGATCTTTCTAGCTGTTGATCTGATGCTGATCGCAGCTGCTTTTCTATGAAGAACACGAAAAAACGGGATTTTGCTCCTCCTTCACAAACAGAGAAAAATAGACGAGGACGTGGTCCACGGAGATTTCAGTTTTTTTCGTTTCAAATAGCAGACAGATCGTCCGGACCTTCGATTATTGATGCATGCATGTCGATGTTGATGCTTTTGTCCTTGAAGATGTCCATTCATATCTTAAAGATATTTGGTTGCTACGTCAGTCACTAATGAAAACATTTTTTCACATTTGATATTTCCCCATTTTGAAGATGAGAGGTTGAAGTTCTGCAATTCTTACCTGTGGTTCAAGAAATTCTGTGCTCACTTTCTGGTGCTCCTTATTTGCGAGAACAACAATATCTCTACTTCTACGATCATCTATCATTCATTGTAGGTTACTACTTTCTTAGATAGAATTAGAAGAAGAGCCAACTCATTCAATCATAGATCATAGAGCCAAGATGAACTTAAAAAATTCACTTCCCAATTTTTTTTATAGTTTTTTCACAATAACAGAAACAATGTTGTGTTATCGTCGTTAGAGGAGAGGTTGAGTTTCCCTAATTTTCATGTTGACAATTCTTCAACGACAAGATTCATTCATCATCTACTCTTGGTAGTAGCTCTACTACTTTCTTCTACTAGTGATTCTACAACTTCAACATCATTATCATGGGAACATCACCAGCGAAGGCGCATGTTCTTGTCTGTGACCGGGCGAGGCGTCGAGGATGTCGATGTCTGCGAGGACGATAATGTTGTTGACCTAGGAATACAACGTGCTGCTGGTTTATTTTGTTGCTGTACATAAATACAGATAATCATATGCTGGTGGCTGTTCTATATCTATATCGTCCTCCGACCTGTGATATTAGAATTAGTTGTTAGAATCATGACTGTGCAAGAAGGGAGAGGGACCCTATAGGTGATATGCTCATGCTGCTCTTGTTCCACATGTAGTCGATCATGTTCTTGGTATGTTCGTGTAGTTGTGGTTTGGTGTACCAGCAACTGCATGCGCAGCAGATGTTGATCATGTCGAACTCTATCTTGTGTTGTATTTAAAACAAGGTGTAAGTTGATAGCAAGAAGCCGAAAATGTATATACAACCCACGACACAAATATTTTCTCATAACAAAGTGTTGTATGACAGACATGAGGACTTCATGGTTGGCACTGTCTATACTACTGATTGTAGTTCAGTATTGCTAATATTACTAATTCTACGAATGGATACTACGAATAGCAATAGATACTATCTTAGCTGTTTGTAATGATTAGTCTGTGACGGATGTGCAAGTATAGGAAAGTTGTTGTAAACATATCACGAATACTGTTGTTTGTAACGATATGACTTAACCGAAACCGATAACAGATGATGGTGAATTTCATTTTTTTTTGTTTTTATAGTTTTTTTTCAAATTTCTACTACCTCCTCCTACTGCTGAGAGAAACTACATGTTGATCTACTTCTGCCACTGCATAATAGTAGTTTTTACTTGTGCATCATCTAGTATTCCGTATTTCTGTTTGTAGTCTGGTACTAGTCAATTGGTTTGGTTCTTGTTGTGGTTTCATCACAGCAGGAGAGAAGTATAACTGCTTTAGCTTTACAATAACATCAAACATTATCTTCGTTATAGACAACCATTCAAGCTAGGTACAAAAAAAAAGAGCTCATTATTACTACTACAACAGAGACACCAGATGAAAGCTGCAACATATCAAGAAAGGCGAGTTCTCCCGCCCCTTAGAATGCAACAACCTCCATCTGCAACTGTCGTCTCGACACCATCCCACCTCTATCTTCTTCATCTACAACTAGAAGAATCGTTTAATCGTACTCGAGGTCACTGTTGCGGCCTCCACCGATCAAGTCCTGCTGAACGAGCTGGCCAGTGTGCTGATCGACCCAGATCCATCGGACTTCCTCAGTGCGAGCAGCATAACGCAAAGGAAGGTGATACTTCAGGTACCTGTAGGGGGTGATTGGGGATTGATATTTCAGGATGGAAGGAGAGGTGGCATTTCACAGAGTGTTTGTGGTTGCAATGGCTGTTTCAGTTAAATCATACTAGCACGATTGTTCTGCAGATATAAATATCATGTTGTTGTTTCTAACACTTGCTTCAAAAATTCACTAAATCTAGTACCCAGTCATTGGAGGCTTGGCCATGATGTCGCGGGCGATGAATTCATATTCCTCTTCAGTCAACCGTCCTCGGCTGCGCTTTGCTCGGAACTGATTGATTGATTGATTGATTGATTGATTGATTGATATGCCTGAGAAGACGTACTAGATTTTGGAGAGCTATTTGTTCTTCTTTTTCAGCTCTCCCTTTTTTCCTTCTTTGCATTTTTTTCCTTCTTTGCAACTGAGAATGATAATTCTTTTTTGGAGCAGGTATTCACGAGGTCCTCAGGAGGATCATTTCTATTCATTCAAACAATGGATTAGTAAAAAAAACTGAGATCATCTACTACTTTCCAGCAAGTAAAAAAGTCTAAGTTGTAAGTAGAACTTCTACCTCATTATCACTTGTGCTTCCGCTGCTGGGGTCCTCCGAGGATCCGCCAGCTTGGGCTGAGTTAGTCGTGCTCGCACCCGATGTGTTTCCTGCTTGGTCATACTGAGAACTTCCTCGTGCCTTCAAAGAGCTGCCGGGTCCAACTAGCGGCTGACTACCCATCGAGCTCACGGAGCCCTGCTTCTTGCTTCCACCGGTGATCGATCGCAACATCTTGTTGTTTCCTCTTTGCAACAAGTACAAGAAAGAACTAAGTAGTAGTCTGTTACTACAACTTTATTGGTTCGTTTGGAGGAAGATGAACAATCACAATGCAACAAAGCTGAGTACAACGAGAATTTGAACGTATCCGTATTTGCTCAAGAACAAGACTAGAAAGTCTCCGACGATGGATGTGCTGAAGGTACGACAACGAAAGAAATTATTTCGTCGAAAAAAAATACGAAGTAGAACGTCGACGAGTTTCGAATTCGACGATAGGAATCAATCTATTAAGCAGAAGACCAAAAAAATAGCCTTAATAGAAGGGTTTCTTTTGGGAGGGGTGTTGATCACACACACATCAGAGATACTAAGAAGTTGTCCTTTTTTAGTAAGTTGAGTGGAAAAAATATATAACGACTATATGACGAAATTGAAGGCGAAAATGGACTTATAAAATCATGATGAAAGTTATCGGTCTAGGAGGTAATAATTCGTTCTAAGAAGATATGTGGTCAGCTTACACTAGATGATAATGATTCTCAACAGCTTATTGAAATTATCGTGCTTGGTTCTTTCTAAATCTGAAACAAACGACATTATTCTAATCCTACACTCGCTCTCGCGGTAGTACCGGTATATTTCTGTCTAATACTTCTTGCTCTTGGTACGTCTACTAATATAATTAATCTATCAACACAATGTGACTACGAGGAGATGTCTACTCGATTCTAATCATCTAGAAGTAAAAAATATTTTCAGGGGTCTACTAGAAGACTACACGTTTAAAGTAATTCTATCTCTCACAGGCACCGTGTAGCACAGAAATTTGGATCAACAGACTAGCTCCCTCTTCGGATCATGTCCTGTGAAAGTCAGTTGCGAAGCTACATATTTATACATAGAGAATATCAATATAGATCGACTGATCTCTCCGCGGTGGAAGACCAACATAGTAGTACACACGACACCATCATACAACGTCATGCACAGAAGTATACTCAGAAGTTGTTGTAGAAGCTCTCAACAGACAGCAGGGTATCTCGTCTCTCAATCAATCAATCAAGTGGCGACGCGCGGTAGCCCGAGCCTAGCAGACCTAACCGTGTCACTACTCGTCGTACCTCTCAATAACAGAAGACGAATATCTGGATGCAATCGACGAAGATCTGGATGCTTAGAGCATGTCTGTGACGCTAACGACTCTCTCTAGTACGAATGAACACAAATTTTGGCTGGACACAGACCACACGAGCACAATATACACGGTGTGTACCTGTGCACCTCGACCTTCTACGCGACATTCATTTTTGATTAAAGACAGTTGTAGATGCATTGCAGCTACCTCTAACAACATCTAAAAAAAGTAACCTGATGATGATTCTCGTACATCATGGTACGTTATTTTGTCCACGCGGTCCTGCTTGAGTGATACTTATGTTTATCACCTGCACTACGACGTAGTTCTTCATCTCGTTCTTGTTCATCTCATCATGAGGTCCTTTTCTCAAATTCATTTGTCCTCTCGTCCTGGTGCATAAAGATGGGAGATTTTTCCACCTCGTTTCTTCAACGACATGCACGATCATCATGAATGCAAATTATAGTTCTAGTTGTCCGTAGTACAACTGTTGAGAGCTTCTACAACTTCTGTAGAAAGTCCTAGTACTTGACAATGACATTTAGCTGAAAATACACCTGATACTCCTTCTCTTGATCAAGTACAATCTCAAATCATTACAACAATCTAAAAATCCTCGTGGTATAACAAGTTGCAAATACAGATCACGTCCATGGTGGACGCGCTGTTTGATCTTCTAGGAAACGCCAATCGTCCCTTGTTCTGAGAGAGAGAGTAGGCCAAAAAACATCTAGTATTTCGTTAGGCGCGGGATTGGAAGTAGTTAAACTCTCATCTAAATGAGATAAAACGAAACATGGACTAATTGAACTTCTTATAAAAATATCTACCCTAGTAATATGAATATCGTTGCATAAGTAGATTCATGCTCGCATTTTTGGTTGGGGGGCTATATTACGTAATATAGCAGAGATGACGAGCGGAGAAGCCTGGTAAAACAATCTGAGTCTGAAAAGTATGACCAAAAAAATTAGTCAGCTCTTGCGCATTCCTCATGCAGACTTAGCTAATCATATTGGTCTGACTGCGGCGGGAAAAGTTAGTGCGAAAATAAAGTTCTGACGTTCAAATCATGATCATGATGAGAATGAGGTAGATTCTCATCATAAGCTAGTTGCAATGTTGTTAAAAGGATCCTTACGACATCTACTTCTTACTAGACGACCGAGAAGTAGTTTCTTTGTATGACAACATGTGAATAGCGAAAAATCGATCTTCATGATGCAAAAGTAAAAAATAAATAGTTCTCAACATAGCTAGTTGTAGAGTTCGACATCGCGATGAAGACACTCTATAACTTCTTCTTGCATGATGTTATGCGTTAAGTAGATCGATTAGGAAATCATAATCATGATTTCTCAACATAGTCATAGCCAACAACATCTTCATACGAATCTAGATCTAGAATGAAATAATCCAAGTAAAAGGTACTTAAATCTTGAAACAGAAACTGAATCATGCCTGAAAATCACCCCTTTGGGAACTTTAGGCCTTTGGTGCAGTTTCCTTCTTAGGAGTTTCCTTCTTAGGACCACCCTCAGAAGGCTTTTTCGCTCCCTCCTTTCCCTCTTTTCCTTTTCCACCACGCTTACCCTTTCCCTTTGAAGAGTATCCTTTTTTGGAAGTAGAAGCACCTTCTGCATTTGATGAAGCAGATGCTCCCTTGCTGGTATTTTTAGTCTTGCCAGATCCCTTCGAAGAAGATTTTCCCTTACTTCCTGCTGGTGAACTTGAAGGTGCTGCCTTAGGAGAGCCAGCTGCGCCAAGAGTCGCGGCGTAAGACAACTTCTTGGGAGCGTCGCTGGAGCTTGAAGATTCATCTTCCTTCTTCGCAACTGCGACTGGTGCTTTTGCTGCAGCAGCAGTAGAAGGAGAACCCTTCTTGGTGATCGAAGAAGAAGTACTGCTAGAAGCTGGAGTACTTCTACTTCCTGTCGCTTTCGTCGCCGATTCTTCGACCACAGATGGAACTCCAGTCGAGGAAAATGCCGGATGAAACGACGTCTGGCACGTGCCGAAGGTGGACTCCAGGAAGGGGTTTCCGAATGTCTGTGGCAGGCAAGAAGACAACAGCGGAGACGCGGCAACTTGCATCAATGGAGATGCTGGATTCAGCACAACTGGAGCAGCTGCCATAGAGGTCATAGGTGAGCACGTCATCGTGTTGGAAAGAGGTGTGAAAAAAGAAGGTGCATCAACATTGAATTGAAACGGCTTCTTCTTGTCATCTTTGTTGTTGGTCTCGACTTTCTCGCCTTCCTTCTTCTCGACAGCTGACTCCGTCTTGTCGTTATCAGCCTTCTTCTCTGCTGCAGCTGACTCTTCCTTTTTCTTATCCTCGGAGGCAGCAGTATCAGCCACTTTAGGAGTGGACCCGCCCATAATAGCGTCAACCATACCACCAACGTTCATTGGAACTGCGGTCTTGCTAGTCGTCTTGAACAAAGCTGAAGAAGTCTTCTGAGAAGGTACAGAGGAAGTAGAAGTTGTCGCCATGCTCATGGCATTCATGGTATTTTGTTGTTCAGCAAAGAAGTAAGTACTTCCGTTACTGCCAGATACCATCGGACCACCAATTCCACTTTCTTGTCCTTGTGCACAAGAAAACGGTGCCAACATATTACTATTTGATCTCGCTTTTGCTGCTGCCGCTTTGAACGCACTCACACCCGCTCCGGTGCTGCGCCAGTGGTTGGGATCCTTCGGTCGTGTCTGGTTCATCGTCGCATAAGGATTGTCCGGAGAATAAGTGTGCAAATCTCGCACCGCAGAAGAACCCCCATTGCGCCAAGCCGTGAGAACTTTTTGATTCATCTCCAACATCGAGAAATAGACCGCCTGTTCAGCTTCTTTGTACTGGGCTACAAGCAGCTCCTCTCGAGTCAAAGGTTGTTGTGGCTGAAAGCGTCCTCCGAATTGGAACTGACCAGGCACAAATTCTTCCGCATCCGTCGCCCATTGCGAGTTGCGGGGACCGCAGCCGGGAAAAGTGTGCAAGCTGCAGTAGATATCAATGATCGTTATTTGATGGAGAAAAGACGATGATGAGTAGTAGTAGAATGATCATGCAAAATTATGCCGAAAAACCCAGTTGACATCGAAAATGAAATGGTCCAAACAACTGTAAAGAGCAGTACCCAGCAGCAGAGCTTCTTCTACTTCTCGGCACTCCTTCCATTTCTTCCCCCGCTAATGCCTTGCTTGCTCGACGACTGGCCGCGACCAAGCTACGACGTTTCTCGCTGTTCTTGATCTTGTTTTGCTCCTCCTTGATCTTCACCGCGATACCCTCTTTTCGCAACACCTTCATCTTCTGTTTGTCTTCCAACTTTTTTCCTGCCTTAGCTTCCGCTTCCAGCTGCAGGATTTCACGCATGTATTTTTTGAGTTTTCGCACTTCCTTGTGCTCGTTGACGTTATCCGCAAACTCTGGATCGTGTCGCTGTCTGGTGCGCTTCTGCTGCTTGTTCTTGTTGCCTCCAGAAGAGGACATATTGGACATGGTAGAGATTCTCCTAGACGCACGACTGGCAGTCGACAGTCTGCGTTCACCGGTGTCGGAATTACGCTGCGAGGTACGCTTGTCTGGGGTCACGATCGAGGAATCTTGTCCACCTTCCATTTGCGGTAGACCAGCTCCAAAATTACTGCAGACGCTGGTTCGACTTCCTGCGCGAGAGCGCCAGTCGCGGTCGCCATCAGGGGTTTCATCGTAATGCCGCACGAGGTTGTTGTAGCCGCTGTTGCGACGCGAGTTTCTGCGAGAGCTGCCAGGACCAGCACCTTTGACGTACGAGGATCGTCGAGAAGTTGGAGGCAACAGTCCTTCCGCACACGAAACCAAACTGCCAACAGAATCCCTGCGACTGCGCTGACTGCAAACGGAATTACGACGGGAGCCGGCCTGTGGTGGAGGTGGTTGGTGCTTGGTGATGTTCATGGGTTGGGGATAGAATTGGACTGAGTTAGTATGTGTATTTTTTTGAGTAATGAGTAAAGCAAAGTGTCGAAAAACCTTAAGAGTTGTTTTACCACACTCCATTGTCCGCTCATTCGTCGTGCGGAAGCAACACTGGAATGACGAGATCCCGCACGCGACTTGTTACTGTTACCAGGAGTCTTTCGACGCGTCACCGGCTCGAAGTAGTTGTTGCAGACGAACTGATCTATGCTTTCCCTATAGCATTCCTCTTGCAAATATTGCTCGCACAATTGGTCGAAAATCTGATTTAGTGTTGTGGTCGTGTAAAGAAAAAGAAAGAGGGATTATTTTGAGCGCGACTAGAACAACTTTCAAGTAGAAACATCAAGGTCGTCGTCATGCAAGAACAAGATCGAACGTGCGCGTTGCTACTTAATATAATGCTGGCACCATTTCTAAATAAACGAAAAAAATACCTCCATTTCCAATCCCAATTCTGGATCTACACCAAAAGAAGCGCAGAGTTGCAAATATGCCGTATCCCAATCTGGACCTTCCGGATCGTCCTCTTCGAACCCAGTCTGAATAGCAAACACTCGCATTTCGTCACGACCCAAGAGACTGTTGATGCCGATTGGTTGTGTGATTGTTTTTGGTTCTTTTCTTTGATATTGATCTTGGTTCTTATTTGAAGATATTGATGTTCCTACTACTTTTGTGGTAAAGGTAATGTAGTAGTACGACTACGATCTATAACTAATGTAGTAGTACGACTTTGTGTAAGGAGAATTTAGAATTAGAATCCTACCCATTTTGATCCACATCCAAGCAGCGGAACATTTTCTCCGCTGTCGAGAGTTGCGCCGGCAACGCCTGCGAGATACGACGAGCATTCTGGTTAGATTCCAGTAGGTTGCCCAGTGCCTCTTCCATCAGACCCTGTTGCATCTCCTCCGCTTGTGCTAGGATTGCACCTCCTGGCACTCCCACTGCTGTAGTTGTACCGCTCATTGTGCTCGCTGCGTCGTGTAGAAAATCTAGGAGTTCTTGGAATTGAAGAAGCAATGTAGTAGGTGCTCTCCTGTAACTCTTCCAAGAACAAGCTTCAGTTCTTGATGAAGAGTGTCCTCTTATAAAAATTCTGACGCTTAACGATAACGACCTTAACCCAAGTAAAACCCTTAGTTCTTGGTACTAACTATCACTAGTACCTGCTGGAGTAGTAGAAGTAGCTAACTTCTTCTAGAAGATCATAGGAAGTAGATCAGAAAACTATCTTCCTCCACGTAGCTAGTTCTTATGATGAAAATTAGACAACTCACAACTGACTCTGATGTTCATGAAGAATTATGTAATGATCGGGTTTGCGCAAGTCCCTCCTGTGTTTTTGGATTTTTGAAGATGTTTTGAATCGAGTTTCACGAGATGAGTGATCCCTTGTTCTAGTACTAGGTGAGATATTTGATGTTGGAAAGCCTTGAACTTGCAGTAAATGCTTATGAAAATAATTATGGACGAAAGCAGGCAACAATAATATACGAAGAACGACCATGCTAGTAGAATGCCGAAAAAAAACGGAAAAGCAACGATTTGATTCTGATTCTCAACAAAAAGACCAAAAAGGCCTGCTTTGAGGAAAAGTTCATTCCAGGATGACAATGTGAGCCCGCTTCTTGCACTTGCTGTGATCAAAAATCTCACCATTATTCTTAGTGTTGTATATTCCATCGGAAGTTGTACTAGGTAGCACTTGTGGAAGATCTTGATCGTTGCTCTAGATCTAGAGAAAGAACTGTAAACGGTGAAAGTCCGTACTAGATCTTCATCTTCTACATCTTGTTGTGGTGGTTTTAATACTTCTACCCCTTTTGTCATGTACAGCCAAAGTAGATCCTGTCCTGCCGCGCTTCTTCTCACTTGTGATAAAGAGATCTTCTCCGTGGCAAATTTTCTGATGCTGATCTCTGGTGAGCCATACACACGACGGCGGTGAAGAATTTTGATTCGCACGACAGAGAACGTAGACGAGATAGTAGTAGTTCGTTGAGCATGGAGGAGTTTCAACATTAAAAAGGAAGATCCTTCTTTTTGAACTAGTAGACCGATTTTCTTTCATCCTTCTTCATGCATATTGCAGTCGCGTAGACAGTCTTAACATCAGCGGGATCTATTTCTTTTAGAAGCTCTTCATCTTGTGATTGTCATTCTTCTTGATCCAGCATACTAAATTCCACTAAAGATCTTCAGAACAAGAACTCCTTTCATCCATCTTCAAGTGACTGCAGAGGAGACTCGACAGCGTCTCTGCGTCGTACCAACAGCGTTTTTTGATCGTCTTTTCTGCTTCAGTTCTTGGAATGAGAAATGCTCTATCCATTTTCGGTCAATATCTCAAGTGGATAGACCAGTACGTGCAAACAGGAACGACAACTTACTGTTAAGATTGAGTGAATGTGAATGTATCATGAAGAAGAAGAATGTAGTGAATGAGAAAAAGTCTAGTTCAAGCGCAAACTACTTTTAATATGCCTGAGGGGATAAGTCTAAGGGTAGTAAGTGTTGTAAGGGTCCCTCCAGAGGGCAGTCTCACCTCAACGACGCCGACGCGGGAAAACAACTACGATCAATCTTCACAGATACCTCCACGTCGGGATGATCATCGTTCCGCTCCACCTATACGTCTTGATCCTCTAGTCACACAGCTTTTCCAGAATGCCGTCCCTTGTCGACTTATTCTTTCCTTGTAAGAAAGATCTGACACGGTTGAGCAAGTCGTCCGGGTAGATGCCGAGACTTCCCAAGTACTTGTGCTCCATATCCGTGCCATGCACCAAGGAAACTCGCTCACGTAAGTGGGCGGGCCAAGCCTGTGTTGGATTTTTCAGTTCTTGGATGAAGAGACTGAAATTGATGTCAAGAGCCACTTCTTGTAGGAACCATTCTGAAAATGAAGTAGAAAGACGAATGAATGTGAACCAAGTGCTCCAACAGGGTTGTCCCTGTTATAGATCATGAAATGTTTTTTTGTTGAGTAGTCGGAGTTATCATCATCTCAGGAAAACATATCAGAGACTAACAAAGTAAGAAGTTGTACGCTCTTCAGTTTTTCCACGTGTCTTTCTGACGTTTTCACTGCGCATCCCATCAAATAGATCGTTTGCACGAGATCTGGGTAGTATTCGGAACCCTGTAGTCCTTCCGGCATCAGCAAGCTCCTCTGGTGCAAAAAGGACAGGTCACTGGTGGTGGTCTCACTGCCTTCGAAGTGATAGATTTCTGTGCTTTGAGGCATGACGAACTCAGTTTGAAAGATGTCAATCGCGTCAGGTGGCAATATCGCTTGATGCGGCAAAGCTAGGAAGTCGCTACTAGTGTCACCGAAAGAGACTGTGACAGAATCATCGTCGTCTAAGCAAAAAGACGTTCCTGTTGATGTAGTAATGCTCTTCCCATCTGCACTATCTCCTGCAACTACTGCATCGTCCTTCTCAGGAACAACATCTGAGGAGCTATGATCGACGTCACTGCCTTCTTCGATCTTCGAAAGCCGTCTCCGATCTGGAGATGGAGAGGCTGAAGCAGCACCGCCAAACCTACTTGTTCTTGTCACACCACTAATGTTCAACGTCTGCCCTGATGAATTCCTAGGTGAAGGAGAGCGAGGAGAGGCTTTCCGTGTCGCTGGTTCACTTCGAAATGCAGAGTTTGAGTTTCTGCCTCTACCACCTGTCAAGTTTCGTCGTAGTCTTTCTAGCTTTTCTTTTGCTTTCCGCTTGGCGTCTGCATGAATTGCTTGCGCAAGCTTCTGCCTCTGCATGTCCAAAGCCGTTTCCGCTTGCCACAACCACAACAATCTCCTGTCATTGGCATTCATCGTTGATTTGGCGATTAAATTCCCCGTTTCCAGATCCCTTTCCACGTGACATATGTCATTCGATTGCAGATGGTGGAAATTCAATAACGTAGAAGCTGTAGTAGGTGAAGAAGGAGTGCTGGCCACTGCAAGACTACCTGGTGCTCGATTGCTCGTCGTCTTTGAAGGAGAACAACTACTACTACTCGTACTACCTCTTCTACTAGCTCCTCCGTGTCCATGTCCGTCGACTTCAAGGAAAACAGAGGCTAGTTTTTCTCGATGTGACATAACGCGTCTCAGCAACGACCTGCTAAGCTCAATCTCCGCGCCTATGCTCCAGGGTGGTGGATTGCGTTCTGCTAGAAACTTCGCTAAAATCTCGGTTGCTGTTGGAGGCCCTCCGCTAGAAGTAGAAGTGCCGTTGTCCGCAAGAGTGCCAGAAGCTCCTCTTGATGTCCTCTTACTTTTCGGATTCGTTCTCTTAGACTTTGTCGACTTTGACTTGCTGAAAAGACTTGGTAGATTCCTCAAATCCAGTGTCAGACCAGAACCAGATTCTTCATCTTCTTCCTCAGTCGTCGGACCTTCGTTCGCCGAAGACGACGCTGCAGAGGATCCAGCACCACTGGCGGATGTGCTACATGATGACAATGTTAATATTGGTCCACTTTTTCCACCACCATCTTGTCCAAGAAGATTTACCTCTCCATCACCGCCTGACCCAGCTCCTCCTGAGGTGGCTCTACTTAGGTAGTTTATTCTATCTGCTCGGAGGAATCTACGCCAGAAAGGATGTTTTTCTAGCAAGTAGTCTTGCACCGTGTCGGTTCCTGCGTCGGACACTTTGACAATAGCTGCTGTAGTTCTCCCGCGGCCTGTGTCGTGCAGTCTCGTCCTTGGGGCGCTGATACTTATCGGTGGCGTCACATCACTTGTGTCGAAAAGCCGTACGGAGTCAAAAGCTTTTCTCCCCATCTCTGAGAAGGCTTCCTGACTTCTCTCCTTCACTATTTGATGCGCTAGGAGCTTCTCGTTTGGCGATGCTCCGGAAGCGTCTCCTTGAGAAGTTCTTGAAGTTCTTGTTGTTCTTGACTTCATTCCCAAAAGATTAATCGGACTTTCACCCAGAAGGTTAATCGGACTATTACCATCGGATTCCTCCTGCTCCGCCTCCGGCTGCTCTTCTGCCTTACTAGAAGAGGAGGAGTTCCTCGAGAAAGAGGAGTTCGGGAAGTAATCGTCTTCTAGTCTTATCGGTGTTCGATTCAGCCTGTCGTTATATACACCAACCACACAAGGCTCCACAGCAGTCAAAACTTTCTTCACTTTTTTTTCGACATTTTCATCTCGATCATCCTGATCATCCTCATCGCCACCTCCCACGCGGCCCTTATCCACCTTCGAGGACAGCACAGCTTCTTCCTCGAGCACGATCAACGTCTTCTTACTCCTGAAAGGCAAAGAGCCATGATCTTGTTCACGAGAGGGAGAGCCATGATCTTGTGAACTTAGGTTGCTGGAACCGCCTCCAAGTTGTCCAAAAGCTGCTTCAACCGCACGCTTTTCATTCCAAATTGCAGGTGGTGGAAGTGGGACTCCATTGCTTGTGCCAGTTCGTGCAGTTGACGTCGAGGTTCTTGAAGTTGTGCCACCTCCTTCTCGTCCTCCTGCTCCACCTCCAGGAGTTGTAGAGCCGCGAAAGGTAGTTGTACTACTTCTACTTGAAGATGAGTAGATTATTTCGTCTAAAGAAGAAGGTGCTAAAAAGGGAACATCTGAAGGGCTACTGCATGATAATCTCGCACCAGAAGAAGAAGCAGAACTGGTATCTGGTTCATCTAGTACGCCACTTGATGCTGTTCCTTCTGCATCGAGAGCAGTTGCTCCAGCGTCTTCTAGACTACTGCTAGCCTCCTTGCCATAGAGGAAGACGCTCGAGTCCGAACTGAAGAAGTCCTCGCCTAGTTGAATTGCTGTCGCCAATGCCTGGTCTTCCCGGAAGCGCTTCGTCACCAATAACCGCATAAAAAGCTGGGGAAGTAGGTTCAGATGAAGATGAAGGCGGGTATCTTGTTTAACAGCCGTCGTACTTCTAGATGAAACAACTCTTCAAGGGATTATAGCGGGAAGCTGAACCAACAAACACAAAGAAGCGCAAAGGAGCGGTAGCGGACGAGTCACGAGAGCACAGTAAAAACTGTAACTGTCCAAGTATACTCATACCTACAACTACCTAGGGACAAAAAAAATCTAGGTCCTCAACAAAAAAAAATATAGTACCGTTTTCCCATCTCTAGAAGAAGTATTTGCATTTTGCAGATCTTGTTGGAATCGATGTAGGCAATTGTATTTGCCGCCAAATGCGTTGAAAAAAAGAAGCCAGCCTCGATCCAAATTGGCACAGCCTCTATCCAAAGTTGCTATTTTCGATAACGGAGAAAAAAACGGAGAGGAAGCAGAGGAAGTACTAGTATCATCTTCGTAGTTCATGATCCTAGAGAATATTTCTTTTTCGTACAATGCATCCAATTCAGCTAAACGGGCATCTGAAAAACGAGGAAGTAGATGAACGCCGGCTTGATGACCTGCTTTTGTTGTACTTCGAGGACGACCACTGCTTGACGATGAGGATGATCCTGATGGTGTTGACATCAAAAGCATCTGGATTCCCAACATGTCGCATTTCGATCGGTTGTACTTCACCAAATTTTTTGCGGAGTAAAGAGGATTGGCACGCCAATAACGCAGTCGCTCCGCTTGTCGTTCCGCCTTTTGCTCCGCTTTAGTTTGTTCGTTTGCTTCTACGTCTTTTCCACCGGAACTACTATCAAAGTCGGAAGCTCCCGCTTTTATCAGTGCACTTACTGCTTGCTCAAGTTCTAAGGCTCGCTTAGCCTTACTACTCATTGCGGTCTTAGTCGTTGACGAAGACGCAGTTGCAGACTTCGTTGCTGGTGAAGCAGATGACCCTGTTCCTGTTGGTGAACTTCCACCTTTGTCATCTCTTCCCATCAGGCACTTCAAGGGATTTAATGAGGCACCAAGAGTACCTCCACTGCTACTTTCACCAGAAGCTGCGATCTCCTTTTTCACTTGTGCCAATTCTTCCCTTGCCAAATGGAGTTGAAGTCTTTTTTGATGCCTCGTCAACTCCTCGTTCATCAGCTGTACGCGAAATTTCTCCGTTGTTGAAAAAGAGGACTTCGTGTCTTTTCCACTAGAGGACTTGTCGTCCTTTCCACCTATCTCCAAGGTGGGAAACATATTATCGTCTTCCCTTTCATCGACTGAAGACGCTTCATCTAGGTCGCATTGTATCTTCACACTGCGATAGTACCGCTTGCCAGGACTCATCGAGGATTTCGACTTTGTGCTCACACTACTTTTAAATGTAGTAGAGGTGGAGTTGGAAGCTCCTGCAGAGGTAGGATTTGTGCTGTTCTTTACCAGTGTTGCCATGCTTGTTGTTGCAGGAGCTTCAACTTCAACATGTTGCCCATCTTCATCATCATCAGACTGGCCAACGAGGACATTCCCGAACAGACTTTTCGAAGCCCACTGCAGATAGGACGTCTTGTTCGCGTTCCCAGTGGAAGAGGAGGAAGAGGCCCACATTTTCTTGCGAAGTACCAGCAGAAAGTCAAAGTTGTCCTTCAAGTAAAATAATTTAACAAGTATAAAGCATGTCCTTGTACAACGACTTTTCTGTCTTATATCTAATGCTATGATCAAAATCAATATGTTACATGGTGATCTTCAGTTGCTACGTCGTCCACGTTGAATTCAAAAAAAAAAGTTCAGCTTTAACCGGTTCTGAATTCAATTCTTACTTAATACAATGAATTATGAAAACGACCAAGAAACATGCAAGAACATCTTCACATGCAAAAATGACAATCAAAGTTCTAGGGATGGTAGACGAGAACGAGAGGGAGATGAAGTAGGATTGGGATGAGTAGGGTGACTAGAAGTAGGAGGTCATACAAAGGAAGGTTGGGAATAAACAGGATCCTGCAGGTGGGGTTAAAACGACGAGATATGGACGGCCAATGTCAGATCAACTACAACTATTCTTTACTACAACGGAGTAAGTACAAGTAAGAACCAAGATCATCTTGTTACAGCAACGACAAGAACCATAGGAAGACTCTCGTCTTATCAGGATCAGACTGATGACACATCACAGACTACTTTCTCGATATACAGATTCATGATCACTGTTCGTGGTACTACTGCTCTCTTGTTGATGAGGACATGATACAGACTCCTGGCACTGCTCTCTTGACATGATGATGATACAGAGAAATTGCTCGACCTCCACAGATTCATATGGACAGAGATGGACTCAGACTCGTCACCTCGACCTCTACTTCTACAGAATCAGAAGTATGTGTTATGAGGAGATTGCTCTAGTCACCGTAAAGCAGCAACCGCGTACAGCCATAATGTCCTGGTGCTTCTACAGAAGCATTAGTTCCGCTCCTGCTACACCTTGAGGCTTCTTGTTCGTCTGTTGGCTGTGGCTTTTTTGAACACTACGTCTTTTGAATGCTGTCCTCGATTGATTTCTTATCTCCCACATGATCTGCTTCGTTTTCTGTTTTCTACAACAAGTTATACACAGACTTTAAAAGCTAATGTCCACCAATGAGAACATCAGTGTACAATATGCTGTTGACGAATAATATGACTTATGTTTCTTGTACATCATGATGACCATGAGTATTATATCTTTTTTTGTAACTTGGGAGAGTGTTTCATGTTCATCTAGCTCCTTAGGCTACTTTTTTCTTGGCAGTTGTATCTATGTTTACGCTTCTAGAAGTACTTCTTGAGCTTTGGTGTACTACTTGCTCAAAAACGCAGACAACCTCCAGCTCCAACAAGTGACTTATTTTCTGGTAGACTAAGTTCTTGTTAGTTTATGGTTTATGCAAACATGGTAGTAACGATAGTACCTTGATCCAAACACTTTGACTTTCGTCTATGAGGTTTTTAAATCTTTTTTCAAATTCTCGGAACCTGCTCTAATCGATTTTTCACTTCCAGATTTCTATGTTTCTAGTACTGGTATGTTCAATCCAGTCGGAAGCATGTGGTCGTTCCAAGTGCTTTCGACTTCGAGCAGTCCTAATAAATACAGGTTTTAGGTTCGCGTTTGAGGATTACTTAATTAGGTCGACGTCTTCATCCAAGTCCGATAAGGAAGATTGCTTCTAGAGGATAAGTATCAAAATATATTCTCTAGATTTCACACCACTTCAAAAAGACGCCTGCGGATCGAACCTCTTCCTTGTGGCCTTGGCGCGCACGATTCACGATAATCGTTGTTTTAGAGATTAAGAGAGAAACTACTTAATCGAGGAGACCCGTGCTGACTGTTATACTTCCCTTCATCTTCTCTATCCCTTGCATCTCCGTCTTCTTTTTCAACTCTTCTTTGAGAAGGAAGAGAGAACAGCGTGATCATCGCCCTCTTGAAATTGGAGATCGTTGAACAATTTGAAAAAAAGTCACGAATAATAAAATAAATCATGTCGAGCAGTAAAAAGTCAAGATGAATAAAGAACGACCTTGCAGCTTAACTTTGCAGTCCTTGAAGTTTTCTCCGAATTGATCGTGGGAAGATTCAAGAACCGTATCCCTCAAAGATACAGAGACGAAAAACTTCTTCTTACTGCCTGCTGCATTCTCTTTCGTGGCTGCGTTACCACCTCCCAGCACGCGTACCGCCTCAGCAGCTCTTTTTAGAACGATGTGTCCACTATCGAACTAGACGCTTTCGCTTTCTATGTGCTTCAGTAGAAACCTTTCGAGTTCTTTCTAGTACGTTCAGGTTAAATAGGAGTAGCCCAAGTTCTCCCCTACTAATTTTCATTACGCTGATGTATTAAGGTCAATAACTACTGCCATGAAGGTTTATTTACGATAGGTAGTCCATTTGCAACTGCATGTCCTGCTCAAATTTACGATAGGTAGTTCATTTGCAGCTGCATGTCCTCAACGTATTAAACGAGGAGGAGAGTTAAGATCTATTCGTTTCAATGCCAATGCCATAAGATTCCTTGATACATCTGCGGGCTTTGTTCTACGGCATCCAAGGTTCCTTTTTCGAAGACGATATCGAAACTGCCGTTTTTCGGGATAAGTGTCTTCAGATCTGTCGCATCCGCAACCTCGTAACGCAATCCAGGATGCTCGCGACGCAGGGAATTAGAAGTGCTATTTTCACGGAAGCTAGTACACGTTGGCAACCCCACCAGCTGCTGCAGCTGCATCTGAAAGTGCAACTATTATAGGTGGATTAGTACTTCTACATTAACATAATCAGAAGCACGACCTAATACATAGTTATAGTATTGGAGATGAAGTGTGTCCAACATCATAATGTTTTCAATCAGAGTTGTGCTCACATCAACGCCCAGCACATTCGCAGGAATGTAAAAGGGAGCACCGTTCTCCTCGTTCTCTGTGGAGGTTACCAAGAGTTTGCTCAGCTCTGACCTCCCACATCCTAGGATCAGAATCTTCGCATCCTTTCCTCCAACTTCTGCATGTAGTGGGCCTTTCGGTCCAAAAAAGTCGATCAGGCTAGTGGAGATTAGAACATCAACATGATTCACGGTAGGTTGTGGATGAACAAGAAAATCGATATTATCCTAGATAAGGCTAGTAGGGAAGATTAGAACAACATGATTGATTCACGATCACGGTAGGTTGTGGATATAAAAAAACAGACGAGATGAACCACGCTAGAGGAGATCGAGATTATTCACGTTTTTATAATAAGAACTTTCCTTGTAGTGTCATTCAAATTCAAAAATGTTTAGAAGAAAAGCAGAAGAAGTCGAATCCGCCGCCGTAACATCATCACTTTTTCATCTTTTTCGTCTCCTGCACCAGATTCAGTAGCCGAGTTGTTAGAATTTGCATTGGGCGAAATCGTTGTACTGTTCTTTGCCCCAGGACCAAGTAGGACAGACGTGACGTCGATTCCAGTCCGTGGGTTCCATGGTACTGCGTCTGTCATAGAGAAGGGCTCCAGCTTCTCAGTCGCTGAAAAATACCACTCAGAAGCATTCGCGTTACCTTCTTGTAAGTAGAATTCATGTGGATGTACTCGTGCTGGATGTGAACGCTTATTGTGATGGAATCATAAACAAGATTTTTGATTTTTTTTATTACCTAGTTACAGACGATCAAGAAGTAGACCACGAATGCGACATAGTCAATGTCTCAGTCAAACTGTAATTGACACTGACTGAGTGAATGCCGCGAGTACTTCTAGGTGTAGCAGGTCGTATTCGTGATGCAAGAAGATAAGTACTGTAATGCCTCTCTCTCAATATTTTCCAGCTGATGGAAATAACTGATGTAGTACTGTAGTGTCTCTCCCAGTACTCGGGTTGATCATAGGTGTAGCTTTCTTGCTGCGCAATCATCTCCAGTAGTTCGGCCATCTCGGCGTCATCTAAGACGCTTTCATCCATCATCTTTTGCTTTACCGTGCCACGAATTACCTGGAGGTGGTGCAAGTAGCTCCTGTACGACTTCTACCAACATTCCATATGACTGGGTTGAGGTTGTAGTTTTTGGAATAGGGTGTACTTAGTTCGTGATGAAAAATGAAGATGTAACAAGAAGGGGTTTCGGGGTATCATAAAAAAGGCGCGAGTTCGAGTCATGTACAAGAACATTAAGTTGCTCAACATTGCTTAAACAGGAACACTATGTCATAGACGCTACTACTAGTACCGCGATTCCATTCTGAATTTCCTGCAAGAAGTGTCCTCTAACCACAGGCGTTTTCACGTTTTCGATAGCGTCGCTGAGCACTTTCAATTCCGTCAAGACCTGTCGAATTGCAGCTGCATTGTCGTAATCGATAGTTTTAGAAGGTGGGAGTGGGATGCGGAAGTGGACTGCAGATGAGCTAGCTTCTCTTGTTCAACCAACTGGAAGGTGGAGGAGTAATCTTTCAACAACAAATAATCCGCATTCTTATGTCGCAGTCTACGGAAAGCAAAGTTGTTAATGGCACTATTTAACTACACATTTACAACGCCATAACACTGCTAGCCCGACCGGTCGCTTCATACAGCTTCAAGCTCAATTTCAACAACAGCTCAGTGGATAGGTTTTTCTCCAGAGCATCATCTCTCTCATCCTCGCGATCCCAATCGTCTTCTTCCCGCTCTTCTTCCTGTTCTTTCTGAAAAAAAGTAGAAGAATTCGATGTGGAGTTGATGTTCTCTTCTTCAGGAGCTACAAGCCCAACGTCTTCGACTACTTGTTCCTCGACCACGACAGTTCTTGAGGTAGAAGAAGCTGTTTCATCCTTTACAGCCAAGGTGCTGTTGTTCTTGGTTGTTCTTGTTGTTTGTTCCAGCACTTGATGTTCTAGAGAAGTAGCATTCTGCGATGAAACTTCTGTAGTGGACGAGGTGGAGCTGTTACTTGTAGCGGCCGTACTATTTGCTCGCTTCGCGGCTCTCTCCTTTCGACGAGCTTCCAGTTTTTCTACCTCTTTCTGAAAATCGTCCAACTCTTTGTGGATGTCATCCTCCGGGTTTGATTTGCCTTTAGAAGCTGCGTCTCTTCCTTTTCCGGCTGCTGCATCAACCTCCTTACCAGCTTTCCCCTTCTTTGGCGTTGTATCCCATTGCGTGATGATTTTCCCGGTAAAGATGAAGCAAGAGGCACCAAGGACCGCCCAGAGCCAAAGAGGTAAGCCAAGAGGACCTGCTTTAGACGTGTTTTTCCGAGTGCGCGCCATCTTTATTCTTGTTCTTTTGATGAAGGTGAACGTAGAGGTCGCAGTTGTACTTCTGGTTAGCTGTTGTTAGCGATAGTGTTTCTACTTTTTTTGGCAGACGCTCAGTTTAGCAAAATTTGCTATTGCAGACCACTCGTAGTTTTACCGACAGATACTGATTATAGGCATAAGTACATGTCACTCGCTCTTCCCTCCTGAAGAGCCGCATTCAGGCACTCTTTCACCACTTGTCTATCAGTCACTCATCCGCCACTTAGTAAACAAGACCGCTCCTCGCGGCAGCTCCTGTTGTACCTCCACCTCTTCGAATGATCATGCCATTGCCAGCCGCTATTTTTTTCAAGAACTCAATCACGGAGTTCCGATCAACAGCGCCTCCAGATCGAGCATCAAGAGTCTATAATGAAATGATCTCAGATTCAAAAATACAAAAAGGTGAACTAGTACTCCTGGAGAGCAGCACCAGGAGCGGGAAGTATAATAAAAGTATGCGACAGGGAAATGAAAAGAGTTGTTATGTTAGCAAATGATGATAATGCAGAAGAGTAGTAAATCTAAAAGCAGTGTGAGAACGTAAGAGTTGATGTACTAGAGCACATTAAGGCTCGTATTTTACATGTAGAGTACTCAATTTTTTTTGCCTAGACAAAGAGTATCGCCATTGTCAGGCATTATTTGAAAAAAGAAATAACAAACTAGAACTAAACTCATAACCACGAGAAAACATTTCTTCACAATCAATCTTCACAATATAATTGTCGTTATATTTGATCTACTTACTTTAATAATACGCCCTCACTCCCCTCTGGCTCTGGCATCCGGTTGCGCTTACACGCCAGCACCAAAAGTAGCTGTGTATGCCTCCTGCAAAAGCTCTAGTTGCGACTGCAGTTGTTGCCGCAGTGACTCGCTGTCCAGGCTGTTCAACAGCTGTTTTACTCTGCAAGGGGCCTCTTTTCCCACTGGAAGAGGATCCCCACGTGGATGAATATTAGAAAAGAAGAGCTGCCTCGTCTGGTGTAGAGGACAGCACCACTGACTAGCACTGTAGTTCATCATCATATTTTTTAGTGTCCCATTCTTAGTACTACTAGCCTAATGGCGGGACTTGTTCGTTTTCTCAAATCATGTCATGTTTGTTGCCCTGATATCGCCTTTCGTGACGACCGTAGGGTACCAGTCTGCAACTGATCACAGTCGAGACCGCGACAGAGACAGCCTACCCAAAAAGGAGACATGATCCTCATCCGCTCCATAACAGGATTACAACTTCGTCCGCACTCATCTTCAACGTCCCGATGCGGTTCCACATCGTGTGCATGTGCGTGTGCATGTGCTTGTTTTTCCAAGTACTCTGCCAAATCATGTTCCTCCATCAAGAAGTCGTCTAAACTTCGCTCCCTTAGCCGTTCTAAGAGTTCACACGGCGCCCGAAAGTTCTGTAAGCCACCTGCATAGGGTTGCCAAGTTTTCAGATTGCAGTGATCGTGTGCGAAAGCTCGGAGTTGTTGTTTGGTACGTCTGGGGATTAGAAGACCTTGTTCAAGAACAGACGATGATACAGAGGGTAGTGGAACAAAGAGAACGATGTGGAAGAAGATATTAGTTTTAGTACAGCTAGAAGAATAACTTCCAAAAAGTTTGCTGCAGCAAACAAGATAGGATTTAGATTTATCTTACATGATGCAGCTATAATTAGGATCCATAAAAGTAATGCAGACAATTCGCGGATTGCTTGCCGCACAGTTTCAATTGCGTCACAATGGGCATGTTCGTCTTGTGGTGGAAGTAGCGGAACGCGCAAGAATGCGTCTCGAGGTTGACTACCTTGTTCTTCATCCGTTGTTCCTGTCCTTCTATTACTGCCTAGACCTGCTAGTATTGAAGGTAGCGCCAGCACACTGTAGCAACAAGATGAGGGCCACGGCAAACCACTCGTGCAGCACGCGGACAACAAGCAATTATCTCGGACAAGAACTGCAGTAGCAGTTACTACAGCGCTTCTAGCATGGGTCGAGCTTCTGGGTGAGCTACTACTGCTTCTTACACAAGGAGCGTGCTGATCTTCACTAACACGATGTTGTCCTGAAGAAGACGACGCACTTGACGACGTTGTAGCACCTGCTCCAAGAGAAGAAGTAAAGGAGGTTGCACTTGTACTCGTTGTAGGTCGTCTAAGACTCCCAACGAATTTGCCACTACCATCCGCTAGCCTCTCAGTGAAATATCTCCCGAGCAGCACCATAAGTGCATCGTCCCAAAAAAAGCCTGTGTACTCAATCGCTTCAGATAAGCAACCTAAGACAACCAAGAGCACAACGAGGAAATCCAATTGCAGCAGCAAATACGTCAGAATCGTGCGATGGAAGAGGGTGGTCACCTCTTGCCTTTGCAAAGATCGGATTTTGTTGTTGATTGTGTCCACGAAAGACGTGATCCCAACATGGATTTTCAAACGTTGCCAACACTGTCGCTGAACTTCTTCTGTCACGTGTTCTAACCTGCAATATTCTTGGTCCTCGTAGTCATTGAAGTCGTCATCTCCTAATATGTCAAGAACGCCTTGTTTGTCTCCTAACTCGAAGGCTGAGGTCTCCTCCACCTGTGAAGAATGTTGATCTTCTTGTTTAGGAGGTTCGCCAGGAGGACCTCCATCACTTCTTTCACCAGATATTCCCGCAACAAAAAGGTCCACAAGCAGTTCATTCAAGACTTTGTCACGGGACAAGTCGACTTCTTCAGCACGCCTCCATGGAATTACCTGGTCCGTGCCGAGATGTACAGGACAAAGATCGCTAAAAAAGAGTTTCAAAGCGTCGAAATTCGCACGGCATGTTCGTGAACAAGAAGAAGGTCTTGTCCTAGAAGTAGTAGCGGACGAGGTCCCAGCAGAGTCAGATGAAGAGGTTCTCCTTCTCGTCCCACCCCCTCTTGCTGCAGTACTAGTCCTCTCTACCCGATCTTCGTGACGAGGTCGTTGCAGAAATTTTCTAGTTTGTTGCTGGTTACACAAGTGACACTTCCCAGAAGTGGAGAATGATCTTTGTTGCCATCGAAAGGAGCACTCACCACAAAGGCCATGTCCGCAAGGAAAAGCATTGGGAATGTCACAGGGGTCGTGATTTACCGCGGACGATATTTCATCCTCGTCATCATCATCGAAAAAATCCACCTCTTTGACAAAGTAGTAATCTGCTCTTTGACAAAGCAGAAACATTCCTCTGGCGGTATCATCTTCTTGCTTGCCGACGTCGCTTGCTTCATGGTCATGGCCATCTTCTTCTTCTTCTTCAGGGATGTCCAGAATCTTGAAAGAGCAGGCTCGTCCGTTCTTGCCACTTGAAGAAGATGAAATTGTACTTTTTCCACGATCATGTTGTAGTACAGGTGCACGTTTCTTAGCATCAGGCACCTCCACGTTATCTCTATTTTCTAGTTTTATTTTCGTCTTGTCTGCGAAAGACGAAGAGCTAAGGCCGAACCCGATCTGTTCTTGAAGATGATGAAGCAATTTGTTCCTATGCGTGCTGAAATCGAAAGGGATCGTCAATTCCCTATCGCAGCAAATGCTGCACACCCGTGGCGCATCTGCTGCAAAGGACACCCCATCGAATTTCAACCACTTTAGAAAATTGATTCTCCGCAATTCCTCTACTGTGAGAGAGCGGTTTGGCTTTTTTGTGAGGAAGATTTGTGTGACCACTGGTGGCGGGTCGGGTCGTGATGTCGGGGTACTATTGCTACCAGATCGTCGTTGAGGTTGAGCACGACCTTCATCAGCCTTCCGCAAAAAGTTTCTGGAAGACGAAGCTGACGCAGCACGCTTCCAGGCAAGCGCCGCAGGGAGAGCTCTAGGCACGGCTACGCCTAGGAGCAGGGCCTGCAAGAAGAGGCGCTGCAGCAAGCAACGTATGTTCTTCATCTTGATGTGTGTTGAGTGACGTATGGTGCCTTCCTGGGTGGATCGACGCTTTTCGCTAGAGCAGTCGTGACTTATCAAGAACAAATTGGAATTCCGGTGGAAATAAGTTGTCTTTTTTTGTTGGTTTTAGGAAGATGGACATCGTTAGATCTCGATGTATCTTTGAAAAAGTCATGCAGTTGGGAGGACAAGCCTGTTTGTCGTGACTTACCGTTAAGGAAAATGTAGGAAAAAGGTATGGGACGCCAAACATCAGGAGGTAGTTCTTCCAACCTGCTCCAACACTAAAGTTTCGCTTTCAAAAGCCCTTGTTCCTCCCACGGTTTTTTTGATTTAGACAGCATGGCCATGGCTCCTTGCATTACCTCTGGCGACTTTCGGATTTTATCCAACTCATCTTGTGTGAATTTCCTCACCAATTGATTCGCATCGTTTCCTTGTAAGGCCTGCACTCCCAGAAGTAGCCGCTTTGATGCCTGCGTTGCTTTGGGTGCGCATTTGGTGAGCTCTTTGAGAAAGTGATCTAGCTTTTGCTGAAGTTCTGCCTTCGGTGCCACTTCAGTAACTGAACTTAGAGCTCACAACGATTCACCTTCCACGTTCATAGTCTCAGCTCTCAAGAAGGACCCTCCTGACCCTGAGTACGAGTAGACAAGAAGTAAATTTTTATAGTACTTCTCTGTGAACAAGCAAGGTCGTGAATCAGAATGATCAAGGTAACAAGCCTTAATAACCCGATCTGCTTTGCATTTTCCGCTGTCATAGGTTCGCCAGTGAGGAAGTATCTGCGAGCATTCGCATTGCCCATTTTGGAAATGACATGCGGCGCGATTGTAGCGGGAGTCATCCCTATTCGAACTTCGGATAAGGCAAATGAGGCACCCGCAGAAGCTATGACGATATCGCAACAACTGAGTAGTCCGACGCCGCCGCCAAAGGCGCTTCCTTGAGCGATTGGGGAATTAGAGTTGTACGTGGTCGACGTAGTCGTGAGTGTCTATGGCGAATGTTTATAACCGAAGCACCACCCACCTTCAGTGCTGCACTTCAAGCACGTATAGCTGCTGAAGCCCGTCGTTTCTCACTGAAGATAATTACGGCTCGGCTTCGCGATTGATGTGATGTTGACCCTGAGTTGAGCGGAATGGATATGGAATGACTTGTTCATTATTGAGTCTTCTCCTGAGTGAAGTCTTAGTCGTATCTCTAGATTATTATTATAACCTTAACAATAGTTGGCACCGGCAACGAGCTAAGCTTCTCCCACAATTGTGCCATTGAGCCTACGTCTTCAGGAAGCGCCGCCTTTGCTATGGTCTCATCAGTACTTCCCGATGAAGCAGAAGCCATTAGCTCCTGAGCATCCGCACCAGAACAGAAATATTTCCCCTGCGCAGAGAGGACGAATACACGGACAGCACTAGGACTACTTTGTTTAGAGGTAGGCTTTTGGTGCTCGCTTACCCCGCTTGTTATGCCTTTCCCATCCTAAGGGAGAGAGGCATAAAAAGCGGTAAGAAAAGCACCTTTAACCTACCCTTAATTTGTGTATCATCTTGTCCAAGGACATTCGTTCTTGTCGCGTCCTCCGGAGAGGATAAACGTGTTGTCTCGTCGAGTGCCTTCCATATGGCGAGGACTGTTTTCTGATTCAAGGCGTTCAGTCGCTTGGGTCTAGCCAACTGGAGGTGCGCGACGCCATCAGCCACCGTGAAAAGGCAACTCTCGCCAGCCTTGAAGACCTCGTCATGTGACAAGTCACGAAGCAAAAGACGAGATGATGCAGAATCTCGATCGGTTGTGTCAGACATATTTTCTCTACAACTCGTTGAAAAGGAAGAAGGCATTCCCGTTAGCAAAACGCGTTAGGTCTGCCAGTTAAACTTCTACTTCAAAAGTTACCATCTCTTTCACTTTCTCGTCACACGACCTCCTTGCTATTATTATCTTGCGACAGGAAGATGACTGGAAAATCGTATCAAGTATCAACTCCAGTGGAGATGGAGCTTCTGCTGGTCCCGTCCCGGCTGAACTTATTGAAAATCAAAATTCATATAATGGGCAACACCAAAAGAAGCGCATGACAATGAATGACCTTGTCCGACATGTTGTAATGTCTCGTGCGTGTTTATGCTGAGTTGTTCAACTTGATGTACATTTTAAACGCATAGTATTGCAACCGTGCCAAAGTTGTCCAAGAATTACAGCAAAGATGAAAATTATTCATGATCATGTTGTTGAATGTTATTTTTCTATGATGTGTGGGGATTTCCTCGTATGTACAACTAGTTGTGTGACTATGATCTCGTCTCCCCTGTTCACCCCCCATCACCAGTACACTGTTAGAAAAGCTTCCTCAGTGTCCAAATTTCGCTTGCAATGCTTCGCGGAAACAGAAGAATTCTTTAGCCAGGTGATTCGTAACGCGGAACCGCCGACGAAAAGCAAAACGCGTAGAAGTAGAGTACTGCTCTTCTTCCTGCAAATTATGCTCATCTTGGTGCTGTAGTGAAAGTGATCCCTCGTCGTCATCTACCAGAAGAAGCGAAGATGTTGGTCTCGGGTCCCATCGTGTGCTAGGTGGAGAAGCGCTTTTGGTCTCTAGTTGCTCTATCACAACTTGTGCGTTATTTGATGATGTTGCATCCACTCGTCCGTTTTCCAGCGTTCCTATTTTTTCATTCGCGGCCACGTGTATTTCAGCCTCTGGGTCGCTTTGATAAAAGAGAAAAGAAGAAGACTGATGATGTGGAGATGACGATTCCCTCACAACACCTGTTCTTGTTGTAGCTCGAATCTTAGATGAATTCTCACCTAGCGGACGATGCTGGTTCCCCATGTCTTCAAGATCAAGATGTATACCTTCTTCTTCTCGTTTCATCAAGAATCGAACATCAACATCATTGAAATCGCTCTGGTTGTGGTTCTGTCTAGAAGTAGTACTACACTGCTGAAGATGATGATCCACTTCAGAAACAGAAGTATTAGAGAAAATTCTACTTGGCGTCCCTAAAAAGTCGCCGAAGTCAAAATGAGGAGGATGCAGGTGCATCGATGGCACAGAAGGATCGTCTCGGTCAGCGAACGCAACTCGCTGCCACCTATGGTCTCTACTGCGGTTGCTCACTGAATCACTGGGAGAGATGAAAGGAACACTCGCCGTCTGGTGACTTAGAAGCTCTCGTCCTCCACCAATCTCCTGAGCCTGACGCTGACCGGAAGGTCCATCGAGATGATAACTACTCTGACTTCTCCTGCTCTCAGGTTGAACTTGTAGATCATGAGGAGAAGCCCTGTGAGAGGCAGGAGAGAGCGAAAATACTAAAGAGTCTTCCTGTTGAAGAAGATGCACTTCTTCTTCTTGAGGCTCTTTTTCTTCATCATCGACTTGTAGAAGAGCAGTGGGCTCCTCCGTTCTTTCTACAACATCTTGAACATCTTCAGCCGCTACTTGTTCTTCTTGAGTATGAAATCTAGATGAAGTAGGCAGCATATTTCTTGTATCATTTTTCGTAGTACAACTCGTCGTCGAGTCAACTTCACCAACAGCGATAGGCGTCGTCTGCAAGAGGTGTAACAGTCTTGCGTAGTCGTCCATGTGGTCCTCCTGGAGTTTTTGGTGATCTTCCTGTACTACAGGTACAGGTGGATGATCCACCACACCAGTTTTATAATCATGCTCGTGTTCATCCACGAAAGGTAACGCAACATTCGAAGAACCTTTGGAAGACGTCGAAGCGTTCTTTGAGGAGGCGATCTGCGTTGAAGAAGAATTTGGATGCACAGAGGAGTCAACCTCTGCAGTGCTGGAAGTCATGATAACTGTTGTTCGCGTCGTCGGATCGATATTTTTTGTGTTGCTTTCTCCCGGACGACCCCGACCAGCTTGCTGTACTAGGAGAGCATGTTCTAGCGTGTCTTGCTGACCTACATTGAACGCCCTTGCCCCGCTTGATGAAGACTTTACTCTCTTCTGCCTAGAAGAAGTGCCTGCCTTCACACTACCGGAACCGAAGCCCCGATGTCGCCAGAGTGCGCTGGAATACGTTACTCGCACGGGGAAGCTACCTCCACATGAACCTCCACCGCCACCTGCTGGTGATGATGATGACGATGTCCTACTCTGCATACTGGTGGCCCAAACACGATGAGCAGCAAGCACATCGGCATGATCCTGAGGATAGGTGTTGTTCAAGAGAATGCGACTCATTTCTTCTTCTTGGGTATTATCTTCAGTGGTTGTAGTTGATTGCGGAGGTCGCTGTCGCAGATGTTGTTTTCTATTATTTCTATTAGCTCGTCAAACCACGAAGATGGAAATGAAAGAATGAAGATCAAAAATTCTGTACATGGATTCTTGGTTCCTTCGTGTTGGAGTTACTTAGAATCAGAAGCATGGTTTTTTTCATAGCGTAAAGAAAGATTGGAAACTGTCGATGCTGGTGCATCGGAATTGGATATAAAAAAAATGAAGTTGGCAGAGTGAACAAATAAGGGACACAGCTAAAGCTAATCATGTGATTCGTCTAGGGGAAGAACACCAAGAGATGAAGGGTCCTCTGGCTCAGAAAATGAATGAATATATAAGAGTTGTTGACCACGTTACCCTCTTGTATGTCAAAAAATTCAAAAAATAAACAACTTATTTTCAAGAAGTAGTAGTATAATCGCTTCGACCTCCTCTGTCTCAGTTAAGCGCCCAACCAGCAAAGCTCTAGACGACCGACAATTCTCTTCGTGCACTGGGCTTTTCAGGGTCTTGGGGATTACAACTGTAGATGTTTCAGAATGTGAGAGAAGAACTACAGACATGCGCCGGACATCCACCCCCTCAACCACTTTGACCTGATCACATCTCACCTCAAACAGACGAGTCCAGTAACTCAGGCGCTCGAGCAGGAACAGAGAAGTCCAGCATCATCACGTCCAAAGTAAGATGATTCAGCAGGCGCTATCGCCGGCAGTATAGACGCAGCTGCCCCCAATCCGAATGGTCCGCGGCCACGCAACGAGTTCCACATCTGTTTTGGACCACGATGATAATGTTGTAACAACAGTACCACCGAATATGTGAAAAATACGTTGTTTTTAGCGATGCTCTGGACAGGGACGAGAAGGAATCTCTATTTCATCACTGAAATAATCTCATCTTGGTTTCATATTAAAAGTACACTACAGGTGCATGACTTCAGTCATCTGAAATCATACTAGTACTAGGCAAAATTTCTATGTTAGTGCCAATTATAGAAGTAGGCAAAATCTTACGAGTATGCTAGTAGAAGGGTTCAAAGTACTGGGTGAAACTGAAAGTCTTCAGTATTCTCATGTCTCTTGTTCCATCCATATGTTGTTTTTCTTTTTCTTGCAGGTTCGCAGACCAACTCAAACGAAAAGAAGACCAGACGTTCTGAGTTGTCGTGGCGTATTTTTAACTGGGAATGTATAATTTTACGAATATTAAACTGATGTTGAGCCACATTGAGAAATACGTTTACGTGTTCTGCTTCTTGATGCAACTACTACTAGCACTACTAGTACTACTACTAGTCAGTAGAACAAGAAGATTGACGTCCTCTGTCTACCAGCAATGATGTGGCAGACCTTGCCACATTTAGATCTATGAAATGAAGTCTGTTCTTATTGCGCAAGAGGACTGAGGTCCCCGTACAACGCCTAGATTTAGATACACATCTCCATATCACATCATCTCAAACGAAAAAACAAGGTGGAGCTTTATTATAAAAAAATAATTGTTTGAAAATGAAAAATACATCACTGACACACATCAACACTCAAAAGAATTGCACATTTCTTACGAAGCTCTTCATCGAGGACGGCAAAAAACCCACTACGATTGATCAAAATCAATCGCATCTTCTAGTTGACAAATTCTTGTTCTTCCTCAAGATGGCTCGGAAACGCAACATCGAGGAAGGACAACGGGTCCTCCCCATATGGCTCTTCACGATTCACGATTTGTGACGCGATATTGCTTACCCTCTTGAGAAGCAGAGCATTCGCATTCGTATTCGAAGCTCCTGGTGTACTGCCGATGCCGAAGCAGTTCTTGTCCACTTCAACTTCAACGCTCGCTCGACCCATCATCGGACTGCGAGAGTACCAATCCCTAACGGCATCAGAGATTGATTCCTTGAACTTAGAAAAAGTTGGACTAGGCGGATCAATTTTGATCAGGAAAGCTTAGGCTAAGTAGCTTGTTCACATCATCGTGACCGTAAAGCTGATTCAGGAAAAATGAGAGTACTTCTAAGTAGATACTTAGAACAAACACTTTGCAAAGACTCCACCACTCTGCATAACGGTGAAGCTCCACACTGCAAGTGCCTTTAGCAGTTGTTCGAGCAATGTCAACTGCCTGTGAGAAAAAATGTACCAAGCAGGATCAACAACGGCTTCATCTGGTCGTGCCCCCTCTTGTTCATTCATATTATTACAGGAATCTTGATCTTCATCTTCCACGACGTCATCAAGTTCCCGACTTTCCTCCAGTAAAGAACGCGGTCGTTCTTGCAAACGTAGTGTCGTTTCATCCGTCGAACTGCAAGGGGTGTCAGGCTCAGCAGTTGAAACAGATGCGGGGCTGGGTGTTGAGATCACAGGTTTCTTCTTTTCATCCAGCTCTACAACAGCCTTGTTCGGTAGTACACACTCACTGGAGTTCAGTATATCATCGATGTCGAAGTCGTCATTCGGAGGATAAAAAGCTGCTGAGCTGCGCTTCTCTGGTTTGGTGGTGCCAGCACTTGTACTAGTAGGCTCAAGTAGTTGGCAGCAACAGCACGGCGAGTCTTTTTCACCATTAGATGGCGATTGACCTTTATCAACTTTCTGGGGTGTCGCTGTCGCCCTAGGCACCACAGAAGCAGCGGCCTCGAAGCCACGTAGTATCGTTGGTAGGGCCGCAAACATTAGGGCTAGAGCAGCGAAGTGATTGAATATTTCTCAATTGAGGCTAGAAAAATTTCCTCCTAACTTTCTTGAAGATCATTCCCATTCCTTGACAGGACGAACAGGCTACTTAAGATCATGATAGGAAAGTACAATTGAATTTCTGGTAGAATCTTTTAGCCTTAACAACAAATCATGTCTAAACACCATGGGATTGTAATCGTTTTCGAATAGGGTCTGTGCATGTCGTTCAACGTCTTCTGCTGTTTCTGGTGCTCCACCAAGATCGTATGCTGTTCCGTGTGCTTGTGGATTCATAAAATTCGTCAAGCCCATCCTTGCCACCACTACAAGATAGAGGCGCCTATCTTCTTCATCAGTCACGCTCCAAGCAACTGAAAGAAATGGATTCGCTTCTTCAGCTGCAGCCGATGCAATCCTGCTGGTCAACTTTCTCGGATATTCGTCCTCGAAATCGAACATCCCACAAAGCATTTTCGTTTTCTCGACTCCTCCACCCAGCATACTATCCGTATCCAACAATTTGCGGAGTGCAATCTCGAATCTCTTCAATTCCTCCAATATCGCAACTTCTGCTTCCTTCATCTTCTCGTTCGTCACGGAACAGGAATTCGCCTTCGACGACGGGGACATGGCCAACGTCTTGTTCTTCTGCTCCTTAACAACTACTTCATCTCGTCGTGGTACTGCTACAACTGCTGGTACCTTTATCTCCTGCGTTGGCCTCCTCCTTCTATGTCCACCTTTTTGCGCTTGATGATGTTTTTGTATTTCATCCTTATTTAAGTAGTTGTGTATGTGTTCCTTTTCCTTCCAACCTCCATGTTGACGTGTCTCTAGATCCTTCTCTTCGTCGAATTCGAGAAATGCGAGTCCACGTGACGGATGTCGTTCTCGGCTACCTCTCATCGTGCACACGGCGGTCGTGGGTCTACTTCTGGTCCAGCCGTTGTTCGGTCGAGGGTGTACTCGCTGTTTCTTGGTATCGCGACGTTCTTGGACGAGACCGCAACCTTTTTTTTCTCGACTATTCTCATGGTCTTCATTCACCTCGTCAATATCTTCTTCTATCTCAGTAGCTGCATCTTCATCCTGATGATCATGTGGTGCTACAATAGCTGTACAACGTCGTGAAGCTGGACCCGCAGATAAACGAAAACCACCAGCGCCAATTAATTTTTTCGCGAACGAGCTGGCACAGCGCGAAAGCGGATTCACCTTACAAAATTTCTTAGTGCAACTGCTTGATGCTGAAGGTACTGTTCTGCCACAGAAGGTAGTTTCTGTCCGAGAAGAGGAACGTGGCCGACGCTTGCAACAGGTGCGGGAAAGGCAGCAGCTTGAGGATTTTCTACGAGTCGGAAACTGGTGAAATTCAACATTCTTGTGCAGCTGGTCGTTGTTTTGTATCGCAGTCTCCAAATCAGCAACTACTTCTTGAACGCCACTTTGTCCTCGCGAGACACGTACTCGAAAAGAATGGGCAAAAGGCACGGGTTGAAAAGACAAACCACGAGGAGATAAAAACGCGGAATAGAAAAAAATAAGAGTAGACGAATTTTTCCGCGCAATAAGAGACCACGGCGACGTCATATTGATATTACTAGTCATTTTTAAATTTCATGGAAGAAGTCTTTTACTGTTTATCACATAACGTACACCGACACAACTATCGACATTGAAATGCAAGAGCGAGAAGGTCTTATTAAGATTTTGATGCATCGAAGGGTATTCATTGCAATTGAGTAGTTGATCACTCTCTCTCACACACTGAGACTCATTCAGGCGTATACTACGGTGTCGCCTCGTCTTGGCTTTTAGCAACACCATCTTCATCTCGTGGACGTGCGCTAGGTGAAGGGTTGAACACGTACAAAGCGGTTTTCGGATCATCGTGACTGCTAGAGGACTTGATGTCGCAAGTCTGTGACAGCACCAGGATGATATTAAGGACGACAGCAGTCGCTTACACGACTTCTAGAACCACAAGTTCATTGGGTTTCAAAAAAATACATTGGGAAAATGGTTGGGATAGGACGAAGAGTAGGAGTATTATTTTCCTCGGTTTCTGTGTGGGAAAGCTACTTACACATGTGGAAAACTCAGGCTGAGCATCTCATGTCTCTCCACCTCGTCATGACGACCATGAAGATAACAACTTAATCCTCTGCATTTCAAGTTCAACATCCTCATTGTGACGCGGCAGGCGTAGCCGTAGGGTTTCCTCCCGCAATCAATTGATCGATGTATTCAGCGCCTCTTTTCTCGCGAAACTCCTCTAAGAGTTGCGTCCAGTACGCTACCTCTTCCGCTTCCGAGGGTGCGCCCTCGAGCCTTGGGTTTATGGATTCGTAACTCTTGCTCTTGGCATTCCACACTCGTAAACCCGAAACTGGATGCGGCAACTTCAGGGTCTTGCCGTTGCGCTCGTCTGTAACTAGGGGTTAGAGAGAAGTAGCGGAATAGGGACTACTGAGTTCTTGGAGTGCGTTTACAACCGTGGAGAAGTTAAAATCTATTATTAAGCTATACTTTTTCATCTTTTTAAGGTGTGAAAAGTAACGCGCGTCATGAGAATGAGTCTGCTTCACCCCTTCTAAAGAAGGACCAGTTGTACACAGAACTTCAATTCTGTTCTTAATCGTATTTTCCCTTCAGACCCTCAGGTGTGGGGAACATATGTGCGTCGTATATGCGTGTAACGAGGCCGTTTTGCAGCATGCGTCTAAACTCTGCCTCACACGAAGGCTTCTCCAACTGCTCCCGCCATGCTTTGAACTTGAAAGCTATGTAACTGGGAGTGGTAAGGAGAGAGGAGAATTTACTAATTATAGGAACTACTACGTTCTTGAGACTTCTTTGTTCATTTCTTCTACTTACATGACACTAGATTACAACTCTTCAACGGTCAGTACTAGATAGTATTAGTATAGCATCCGTAATCTACTTACGTACCTTTCCAACGACCCTTTTGCCACTGGCGCTATCCTCCAATCGCTGCATGGTTCCTCGAATTGGTATTGTACTAGCTCAGAAGGTGCCACTGAATCACAGGTCATGCGACATTCACGGAGGATAAGTGCTGGAGCTGCGAGGTTCGATGAGGTTTTGGTTGAAAGGAATTGAAATCGGTGCTAAAAATGAAATCTAGAAATTGAAGAAAAATTTAGATGCATAATTTCGTGTTGAATCAGTCACAAATCTTTTGGCGCCAACAATGTGTCAACATGAATTGAATTTGATTAAAATAGAATAAAATCATAATTTTATAGATTTTGTTGGAACGAAATACAGAATTTGATGTGTTTCCTGAATTTAGAGCATCAAGCATTTCGTCAAAATCGTCATCGTCCATGATATTTAATGTGTTTTCTGGATTTGAATTTCTACAAAAGTACATAAAATCAAAATTCTTTGGATTTTTGCTAGAGGGTCTTCATGTTAGTATGTTTTTCAAACTAGCATCTATCTTCAAGCTTTTTTGAAGAATTTCCTGAGGTTTCAACATAGAGAAAAATCGAAAAATTAATCAATTTACCTCCTCCTTGTGGGCAATGTAAGAAGAATTCTCTTTCCCTGCCGTCCCCTTCTCTTGCCAGGACCGTGTATATCACGTCTGCACTGCTCCATACAGGTTCCTCTGGTTCGACTTTGGCGAAGTAGGTTCTCCTCTCACTATCTAATTCCTCGTGGCTAATGTAGGTACAAGCACCATCGTCGTACTCGTACGTGACGCAGGAAGGGACGTCGACCATTTTTTCCTCAACAAGCGTGTTCTAGGAGCACTCCTATCTATATCTAAGCTCAAAAACTCAAATAACTCTAACAGAAGATATTCAAATTGAAATTTCTAAGTCCCTCTGCCTGTAACTCATTGCACTTGCTGATCTTAAAAGGATATTTTTAGGGCGAAGCAATATACAAGGTTATGCAGTTTTTAGACATCGCATCTCAAAATCAATCTTTGAAGGAGATCCCGTGAAAACTCCGGCAGAAGAAATCAATGTCGTCCGCTTCACTGTTCCGATCGAACACGAGGAAGATTTCGATTTCATCAACACTACTTATAGTTGTACAAGTAGTTTCGAGAAGTAGTGTATCGCTGGAAGTGCGTGTGCGTGAACTTTTGATATAAGATTTCAAAAAATCGTTCGATGTTGTAAAAAAATCTTTTCATCATTTTTATGTTGGCTGTTTCACTCTTCTCTGTATGAATTGCCACCGACGGATGGTGTTGCGCCTGATTTCAATAATAGGCTTTACGCAACAAAGTGAAAACACAACTAGGCGGGAGAGTGTTTCATATCTTCGCTTGCTATCTTATCAGCATTCCATCTCCAGTCCAATCACTGGACAGCGCGATTTTTCCATGCTCTCCGCGATTTCTTCTTCAACGTCATCGGGTGAGGCGCTCTACTTTGGGGTTTTCTTGCTGCTGCTCGAGTGGTCTAGAGGTATCTTCTTCAACCATGAAAGCACTCTCGTCTTCCACTTGCAGATCTTCTTCACCATTCGGCAAGACGCGACCTGCAACCATTACCGGCGATTGTAGTTCATCTCCATGGCGCGGGGCCTCCTCTACGGCCTCCACGCTGCCTCGAAAACTCTTGCGAAGGACACACGCTACACTTCGAGCTGCACCTTGAACCTTGTCCGCTTTCAACGCTTTCGCGTTTTCCGTTTCTGCCTCATGATCGTCGAGGATGTCTATATCGGCTTCTCTACTACCTTCACTAGAAGTATCTGGCACTTGTTCTTGTCCTATATCTTCTTCTGCAACACCACCAGCCGGAACCGTTCTTGGATTTGGACGAAGGAACAAGCTGCTCTTGAAGACTTCTCCGTCTTTAGGCACAGGCTGTAACTTTTTTCGCACAAGTGAAACTGGTGGAGACGAGTCATTATCTTCGCTATAATTGTCACTATTGTCACCAGTAATATTCTTGTCACCTTCACCTCGTCCAGTCAGCAATATGTCATCAAGGTCAATCCCGAGCTCAGCAGCCCGCTCCTTGCGGTAGGCCTCGCGTCCCTCACTCGGTGTCATGAAGCGCGGCTGCTGTGATAGCTCCCATTCCATCTTTAGAAGCTGGAAACTATAAATAGTAAAAGTGCATACATTTCAACTAGCAAAGTAGAGGGACGCGTTGAGCTTCATCATCGCGCAAGTCCCTCAAGATTGATGAAAAAGATTGACGAACCTCCAACTTCTCTATTTGCTTAAAATAACAAGATTGAAGACCAGTAGTTAAAAGTTGTTCCCCAGATGTATGAATAGTAGTAGTTGCGGCCGCCTGCCATCGTCGCTTTTGGCCATTCACCTCGGTGCTCCGAATTCGCTGCTGATAACAAGATTGAAGAACACCTTGAACTTGTTTGTGAATTGTGCATCATCTTCTACAAGAACATGCATCCTTAAGCGTCTGATTTTGCGTCCCTCTTCGTATTCGTGTGGAAGACGTCCATTCAGTTTCATCATGTTGCCTGCCATGTAAACGCAATCGCCATTCGTTTTCTTCGAGATGGAGTTAGAAGAGGTATCTCTAGTTACAACTAGGTAACTATCTCTAGTAACCAAAACATCTCAAGTACTTAGTCTACTACAGTCTAGCGCGGGCCGTAATTATAGGTGGTATCACATCGTGAGGGCATTTGGCGATCGGCGGCCTTTTTTGGAACACGTTGCTGGGACTTGAGCACCTTCGTAGATATGCGCGGACCCTTTCTCGCATATCGTCATGATACCCAGTTTTCGGACGCTGCCTCTGAGTCCCTTGTTCGCCATAGTTCTTTGGGCCCCTCGATGAAGTACAAGATTTACTCAACATGATACACCACTTCTTAGTAGATACCTTTCTTGGTACTAGTTGTAGTAGGGATTAAGTGGTCGTAGGAAAGTAACCTCCGGCTATATCGATGTTCTTCAACATGATATATATAATCTATCCACCTCCTCCTCTTCTAGCATAGTTGTACTCGTACTACTTCCAATCTCTGATCTTGCCTCATGTTAATATGTGGCGATCAGTCCAATCTCCAAGAACAAATGCGGAACAGCTTGACGCTAAGCTGCATCCATAACTTGTAGTTACTCCACGCTGATGCTCCCCTTGAAGCTCCCCTTCTGTTTGGGTGTCGTTGTCGGTCGCGACCGCGATTGTCATTTCCATACCACGGCTTGCCCCATCCCTTTCCCTTCCACTCGAGGTCGGTCCAATCGCTCCATTGATTTCCGGTGCCACGCCAACCGTTAGCCTTGGCTCCTGCCTGCGCCTGCTCTTGTCTTTCGTCCTCTTCCCTTAGCGTCTTTTCTTTTTGTTAGAAGCTCTCCTCATCATTTTCTAGAAAAATGTAGGCCTGCAGCGTTCATATATACGATTTCACATCCAGAAGTAGATGAAGAGATTACGACAGCTGCCTATACTCGCCATAATGATTCCACCGCACTGCTTTCTTGTGTATACCGCCATTACAGTGCTCTGTTGTTGCGTGTTTACCACAGAGAAGACAGTGAATTTCGGTCCACCCAGCTCGTTCTTGCATTTCAAAGATATCCAGCAAGATTAGCTCGTGTCCGTCTTTTGTTCGTCGATGTCGATAACAATGGTCATAATGTTGAAAGTGCGCCGCTGAGAGTGGTAGCTCGACTTGTCGCTCCATCTTGTGACTTAGAGGCTTGATGCTCCGTGCTCGTATTGAATCTAGTGCTCGTAGTTCTATTGAATCTAGAAGCGAGGACGAAATTTTTTGCTGTGGTGACAAACTGTTGACGAGGAGCTATGATTACCTAAGTAGTGAACCTACTTAACGTTGTTTGTTCCAACTCCAAGTACTAAGAGAAAGTGTTTGACTTTGTTGAAAGTTGTAAGTCTGACAGTAAGTGGATCATTACAGCCAGTAGTTGTGTGGTCAGATAGTGATAGGAGGCCTGCCTTGTTCGTACATCTTGTCTCTCCTTTTCCCTTTTTTCTGCATCTCTGGCCTTGAGCAGGTCGATTTCGCGCATGGCGTTCAAGATCTTCGCTTCTTCCTGGACTGGTCCGGTCTCAAGGAGTGCTTTGATCAGCTTCTTTCGAATCGGCAGTAGAGGTGTCGACGCCCTCGCACCAGCATTCCCGTGTTATTAGATTTTGAGTGGCAGTGAAGGTGGCCAGCAGTTGAGTGTGATTCAGACCATGTTGTCCAACATGTGAGTATGACCATGTGAATAGTATGACTCCGAGTCATGTGCTAGCTCATCATGCTCAACCAGGCAAATAAGGAGTACTGTTACTGTAAGCAAGTTACTTCTAGTAAGAGCATTCATCATCTTATGTTCAACTACTACGAGCATAAAAAATCCTGCTCTCGTCTCGGCCTATGCTATGTTGTTCACCAACTTCTGCGTCCCAGCGTTCTACTTGCAGAATATGTTTGCGGTGCAATAAATCCAAGGCACTTTCACATAATTTTGTTGATGTCAAAGGTTTTTTTCTTGCTCCTTGTGACATTTTTGACTCGTTTCTTCTCCTAGAAGTGTTGCGATCACTTTCAGCTCTTTTCGTAGTCGATGCCGAAGCATCAGACCTCTCGGCACTCCCAGAATCGGAAGACGCCTTCTCGTCGTCCTCGCTCTTCCACCTACGAGTGCCGGATTTCTTCGCAGTAGATGTCTTCATTTTTTTGATCTTGATGTTGAATAAATCGTGTACTTCCACCTAGTTGCTTGAAGATGTGCGGATGATTGTGGAAGTGGAAGTTGTTTTACTTGTTGCGATAATTTCTTCTTCTTCTTGTTCTTTTGTAAATAAATGTAGAAGCTGTTCTTGTCAGATATGTTCTTGTAATCCGTAAATGGTTGTTGATGTCAGATATGTTCTTGTAATCCATATTAAACGGTTCATGGAAAAGTCGCGAGATGTAAATCATACCTATGGACGCGTCGTTGTTGTCATTTTTCTGCTTTTTTAGTGAGCACTTTCACGGTTAAGGCATGTCAAAAACGTGCAATATTCATAATCGAAAGAGAAACCATGTTGATTACTTGCCGATCAGAAGATTTGTTCCTTGCATTGCACAACGGACATGCTCAACATGACATCAGAAGGTAGAACATGGGGACGACCATCAACATCCTCTCTGTGTTCGTTCATTTTTTGCCGAATCAATGCTCCTCTTGTCTTCACAAGTGGGCACAAGTACAACTACATGGCTACCAGCCCGGAAAAACTAACATCAGTAACACCTTTCCCCGTGCTCGCCATCACCAGCACACGAGTGGTCGCTGAATGGATCTGGATTTGATACTCATGCTGCACTGAACAAGATACGTCTTGATTTGTTCATTTTGATGATGAAAATAAGTAGGCGCTACCGATTCAAGTTGTGAAGAAGCTGCTGTTCATTGTTGTCGTGATGTCTTTAGTTGATCGCTGTGTGAAATTCTTTATAATGTCCTTGCTCTGCTATTGTTACTCTTTGAGGCGTTGATGTTCATCATCCTTAACATTATGAAGGCTTTATTCTTAACATCTTCATGAAGGTGAGCGTCGTCATTTACTTCTCCGTCCTTCTCGTTGGCGGATCAGCGACTTTCTCGACAAGCGAATTCTTCACCATCCACAACGAGTTAGAGCTTTGCTTCAACTCGCCCTTTGCTCCGTCTGTCCCAGCTGCTCTCTGTCGATAACCCATAAAATAATGCTCCGGCTCCAAACTACCGTGAACTTTTTGGACCTGGAGGAGTGGGCATTGAAGTGGCAGGTGTGGGAGTATTAAAGTGGACGATAGTGATGGTTGTTACAGTTGTACTGTCGTAGCTGTAAGCAATAGCAAGTATGTTCTGCTCAACAATCTGACGAACATTAGCCAACATAGGAAGAGCAACTACATTAAGAAGTCAGACAGGTCGCGCTGGTCTTATCCTTTTATCTCGCAGTATCTAACCAAATTTGAATGTATTTCGTACGTTCTTTCCCAATGGCCAAAAGCGTGTCGCGGTCTGATCGTCGTGAAAGATATTCTTCTCTTTTTCGTCAGCTTTCTGCAGTGATTGCCACCAAGTGCCGTATGATCCTGGATGGGTTTTAGTGAGGTTTCTTCTTGGGTAAAAAAGCAAGAGGTGGGTGGTGGTTGGAAGAAAAGACGAAGATGAGGGCCAGGGTCATGTTAGTTCTACATATCAGATTCTTTTTCTTGTGAGCAACAATGTCCTACGAGTGCGAGGTCCTTTGCAAAGATCTACGACGACATCCCCAATATCAAAAATAGGAGCTTCTTATTCGTCACAGATACACTTATTCCTCATATAGCGAAGTGTTCTACACCAGTTAGGTCACAAGGAGGGCTAACACAGTTCACACAGAGGCCACCTCTCCCAAGGAGCTGGAGACCAGGATCTTAGATATTACAGACCCTTACTAGGATTTAAAGAGCACGACCAAAACAAGAAGGGATGGGACTGCGCACACTGCTCGGTAGAATCACTAAAGAGGCAGGGTGAGGAGCTCGGGTGGGAAAAAAATTTTGTTTATTTAAATCTGGTAACTATGATTCGCCAGCCCAGTAGAAGAGGGTAATCTCTCCTACTCTTTACTCATGCGTTATCTTCGCTCTTCATCTAGTCACTCTTACTTACTCTTTTGACAAATAAAACACTAAGTTAGAGCTACTCCATGGTCCGACGTGGCCTGTTCTCGCGTCTTGCGGCATCTTCATCTCCTGCATTGGCGTGAAGCTTCCGACGTGATGAAATACTTTCCCCGATGGCGTCTGAGATTGATACAGTCCCATTCTTATGTCTCGCACTTTGGCATTATGGGCAGCCTTTATATCATTAGCAGCCTGAAGGCTTGACATCGACTGGCTTCGCGTGGGCATCATTTTTTCTTTGGTTGAATGCTGGAAGAACACTTAAGTACTTACAGGACAGGTGACAAGTTGTCGTTGTGGCGAACATTGAGTCTCGTTTTGTTTGTTCGATGCGTTGAGTACTTATCTGTTGCTCTACTTTTTCGTTAGAACGTCAAGGACTAAGTAGATTGTTTTGGAAGATTTCAGATGGACGTCGAGGATTCTAGTCACACTTTTCAGATAAAGCGCTCCATTTTTGATTTGATGTGGTGGGATTGAAGTGGAGGACGAGGAGGGGAAGGTGGGCGGAAAATCAAAAAGAGATGAGACGAGAAAGTGCTTGGATTAGATGCATGCAAATGTCTGCTGCAAGTTTGTGACTACCGAGTGAAGGACTTCACTCACATGATTTTCATGAAAAGACGCCCACGCCTTATCACTAGCAATAAGGTAAGAAAAACTCAAGCTCTCTTCGACGTCCGCGCGCCCTTCCACGTTGCCAGTAGCAGGAGAAAGTTACTGCTTGTTTTGGCAATTGACTTCTCGACAATTTCGAATTCGATCTCGCCTCTCTTACTTAAATAAGCACGACCGACTCGCTCGTTGGTTCAAAGAAACCGATCACGCTTTCTGGCAACAGATGGCAACAGGAGTTCTCTCGTCTGTCTGAAAGTAGTACGACGACGACAGACCATCTCAATGATTTTTGAAGAGTCGCGAACAGTCAGATGCGCAACACCTGTTACAGTTACATGCGAAAAAAAGGCGACGACTTTCCACCTGTATCAAGCATATTATCTTTACTTTCCAATCCGTCAGACAACACAGACCGCAAAGACGTCTAATTCGCGTTGCCTTACTCTATCAAAGTAGGGAGAAAAGTCAATCCTTGTCCAACTCTACTGAGGACACTGCTGCGCATTGAATTGCCCCCGCTTTACTTTTGCTTGAGGGATTCAGTTACGTCTACTTCTACGTGACGTCATTTTATTTGTCCAAGTAGTCCTCAACACACCTCATCCTATCTAGCACAAATTCAAATCCTAAGACAGATTTCCCAAGTGCCTGGATTTCGCTGAGAAGAGTGGCGGGCCCCGATCGTAAAACGATACCAACGCAATCGACAGAACAGAACTAGTGCAACAGCTATGAAACTCCACGCAAAGGCGTCGCCCTGTATCGTAATGATAGCGAAGCAAGCAACTTGGATTACGCACAACACAAGAAAAACCCTGCGAAAGACCTTTGTTCACTCCGGTGAGCAAAATCGCACCAGTCGGCGCTCCAAAAACGACCACTGGCGCGGTGACGCGCCAAGCGTCATAGACTCGCTGCTAAGGACCGCCGAGCTCCTAGGTCGCTAGTGCACATCTCTCTGACCGATAATACCTGACTACTCCAGCTCCAGCTGCCAGGCGCTAGAATTCTTGGTTTACAAAGTCCTCCACTCACGGAGGGTTCTGGTTGTCGTTCTTGTAATATCTTCAGGGATTTCGCTGTCGTTCTGTGTGGTATTTTGTGTAGCTACAGGTAGAATTTCTGTCAATCTGCATCGTCCTCGACAGTTGTCAGTAGATACATCGCAAAACTTGGAAATCAGAGAAGCACCTCGTCCGCAGGGGACCCGTTCTTGGCTTTCATCAACATCATCATCATCATGCAGGCAGCCTGACTCGACTTTTCTACTTGCTCCTGTTACTTGACACTTGTTACCTTTTAGTGCTAATTTGCGTTTGGTATATCTCTTAAATACCTGTCTGTGCATGGAGTTTGTTCATTCACATTTTGCTTTTGGTCACTACATCAATTACGATGCACACGTAATTGATTCCGTGTTTGTGTTGAAAAATCTGCTAGGAGAGCATGGTGGATGTGTTTTTCACCCGTGTAATTTACGTTGACCTTTTGATTTGACGACCCTGGTATAAATCGATGCGCTGCGTGTAATTGAGTAAGTAGACATTTTGTTTCTAGGTGGTTTTTTACTGCTATCCATTCAGTCTCGATATGATTATGAATCATTATATTACCGAGGACATCATTGATGACAACTAACTCGAAGTCCAAGTCGTAATACTCCTTTCTTTCTAAAAATCAACATCAGCGACCCCCAGCACCCCTCGTCCCTTTCTGAGAGCCATTGACAGCTTTGTTCATCTTGTTGGCCTTCACCAACTTTCGAATCCCAGCTTCATACTCTAGCTGCGCGAGTCTTTGATCGAAGTTTTCGAACGCCTCCTGCTTTCCGACACCGCCTCCGTGGTTGATGTTACCACCATCGCGGGCTTCGGAGGTTAGAAGAGAACGTGTGGGAGATGTATTTTTGTTTGAATTATAATTTTTTTTGGATTGGATGGAAAGCTGATGATGATAATCATACTTACTCCTAAGCAGCATTTCAGTTTGGAAATTGAAAGATGAGGATGATAATCACACGTACTCTTAAACAGCATTTCAGTTTGGAAATTTGCATAAATTTATCTCCGACCCGGCAAAATTTGTGAAGAGCCCATTTTGCAAGCCACCTGCAGGCAACCAGGGTCGATTATCTCGCAGATCTGGGACGGCGGGCGGGAAACTGCCTGCACCAGCCAGGTTTTCCCGCATCCAAGCTGTACGCATAGAAACAATGGGTAATTCAGGCCGATTTTCAGGGAATTCCTGCGAGCTTTTAGGGGCTCGACGGGTGTTCCGCACGTTGGTGGTTACCTGGGTGTATGACTTTTGCGGATAACAAAGTCAAAGAGCTGCAGTGGGGTATTATCTATTTGGAGCACATGCTCAATCAGGTGCTTACCGTTACCCGCGTCTCATCAATAAAGTTCTCGGAGACCACAGCATGATCTTCTCTATAGAAATACTAGGAGATGAGGAGGTAGAACCAATGAATTGAAGCGTGCAGCGACAACGTTATCCGCTTCGCCATTGACGTAGCTAGACGCATTGTAGGCGAGAGCGAGAGAGCTGAGCAAGCGAATACACAGGTACTAGAACTAGTGAATTATGCTGCGTATAGGGTAGTTACGAACGACCTCCGAACTATCGAGGGAAATCTTTAGCGGGCTAATTTATTACTTTGTTTGTTCCTAAAGCGTTGCGGGACCTACAGCACCCAGTTGTAAGAACTACTTTCCATATCCACGCCGACTTTTCGATATATATGGGACTTTCGATCTGTCCATATCCACGCCGACAAAATTAGTACCAAACTACTTACAACAGGTGGAGAAAATTAGTACCGTCGGGTTTTTCTGCCACGGTTGTGTCCATACTTTCGATCTGTCCATATCCACGCCAACTTGAACGTGAGAACTGAAGTCCCGTTGTCTCACGCACTGCAACGCGTCTAGTATCGCCTCTTGCAGCGCCTCCGCTTGCTTGTTTCCTACCAAAAGCGGGATCTTCTCACGCAAAGCACGATAGTGCTGGTGAGCAGTCTCGCGGGCTTGGGATTAGAAGAGGAGAAAGTCATGGAAGAGGTTGACGTCTAATGATTATGCTGAAGATCTTGGAGGGGGCGTGGGAGAGGAGAAAGTCATGGAAGAGGTTGACGTAATAATTATGTTGCGAGGGACCACGACGAGTGTTCTTGTAGAGTAAAAATGGGGTTGAGACTGCATTACGAGCACATGTTCGAGTGCCTATGAAGAAGATCATGACCCAGCTGTCACGACACATGCAACTACAAGGTGTCAATTTATTGTATCTGAAATTGACTCGTCTTCATAATTCGTATAAGCCGACAGTTGCAGTTGGATTTCGCATATGTGCTTTTTGCCTTCATCGTCTTCGCCCAAAACTAAGGCTGCGAAATCCCTCCAGCCCAAAGCTGTCGGAAACCGCATTCGATTGTCTAGCTGAATAACCGTGAAAAATTTTGGCAGTTCCCGCAATGCCACCAACAGATCTTTGCACTTTTCGAAATGCAGAGAAAGTCGCGCCATGTCTCGGAGTCTCCTAAACTTCTGCTGTCCGTACTGGGCTTCGTATTTGTAAGTGGCTTTTTCGAGACAGCGACGACGACCTTTGATTCCCGGATCAAAGGCTTCATGGAATGGCGGCTTGAGGTTGCCACGATTGTAGGTCCTGGTAGGCCATGGGCGCTTCGGATCCTCCATCACCTGTCGCTTTAGCCACCCCTGAGCCTGCATAGCTTGCTCCAGTAGAAGGTCGAGATCGGAGAGCTGTTGTTGAGGATGAGATAGATGCCAATGTTGTTTGACTTATTTGAGTTGTATATTTATTATGTATGAATGTGGCCATCTCCACGAATATCTCCAAGTACTACAGAGTGAATCCATTGAACAGCATCGAGATCAGACAATGACAAAAAAAAGCATCTATTTAAGAATTTACCTCTTGCACATCTGGCAATTCCGCCCCACCCTTACTAGCCCCATCCGCATTCGCATCCCAATTGTAGCGCATCAAATCGTGCAGGTCTTGCCGTTCTTTTTCTTCTAACCGCCTAAAAACAGCATCGTATAACTGGAAGCTCTTTTTCAATGGCGGCTCTAATTCCTCGAGTTGCACCTCGCATCCAAACTTGTTCTGAATCTCTTTTTGGATTGCAGGGAGAGGGTTGTGTTCGTCTATAGCGGTGACTTTGTTCTCCTCTGTGGCTGAAAACAGTTTGATAAACTCCGAAACGCTGATTTCGCCAGATTCATCTGCGTCTAGAACTTCGAAAACGCGTCTAGGATTGAAACTCAAAGAACGGGGTGCACCGTTTCCGCCAGCACTGTTGCTACTTGAAGACGAAGAAGATAGCAATTTGAGCTTTTTGCAACCGTCAACGAACTCCTTTGGATCGATACTGCCGTTTCCGTTGACGTCAAAAATCTTATGAAAAGCATCGGCGGGTTTGAAGTGCTGGCGCTGGAGGGCCTGGGGTTGCGGAGGTTGGGTTCAGTTGTAATGCGTGGAAAATTGGTATTATATCACAAACAAGGTGTTTTTAGTACCAAGTTGTACCAGCAGGTCTGTCACAAACAAGGTGTTAGTACCAAGTTGTACCTTCCTAAAATCTTCCAGCATCCTCAAATCTTCCGTTGTAACCCATTTCTTGAGGAACATCCAATCGTCGATCGTTAAAAACCCATTCCCATCGTAGTCCAAGTCCTTATACAGTTTCTCAATAGAAAACCTGTTCTCGTCAAACCCGAGTTTCGTCGTCAACACCTCTCTGAATCGCTTCTCGTAGATCTGTTGTTGTTTCTCCGAGTCAAACGACCGCCAAGCGTCGAGAAGAGAAGAGTATTTCGCAGTCAGCAAGTCGTTGAAGTAGTTGATCCGATCGAAGGTTTCACGATCTAATTCGTCCAAAGTGATAAACGCTTTATCGTCATTGTCGTTGAGCTCGTTCCACAACTGTCTCAAACTGCTCTCATAGCCGATAGCCCTTGCTGCTTTACAAAACTCGAAGTAGGAAATTCTGCCGTTGCCATCCATATCCAGTCCGTTTCTCCAGGCTCGCATGATGGTGCCGAATCTCCGGACTAAAAGCTTCAGAAAGGATGGAGCATCCCTAGCTCCCATCTCGACTTGCGCTTTTTTGGTAGTCTTGTTGTAGCCGATAAGACCTTCTTTGATCATCTCTGCCCAGACTTGACGCTTGAAAGTACCTGCAGTACGTAGCCGTTTGTGGGGGAGAGTCTAGGTAGAAGTTGTCGTCTTTGTCGTTGTTTAACAGAAATACTAGATCTAGATAGAAGTACCATCACTCTTCACCATCGCATCGAACCTGTTCTCTTTCGCTGCTTTCTTCAATGCATTATCCAACTTCGCTTGTATCTGTCTCTCTTCCGGACTCAACTTTTTCCTCCCTTTAAAATCATCAAAGCTGCCACGGAAGAGCTTTGCGTCACAGGTGAAGGGTCTTTCGTGAAGGTTCCGTTTTGATGTTGCATTGGCGGTGTCTCCTTGTTTTTCATCTTGTTCTTGTACTGAGTCTCCTTGATGCTGTCCTCCTGGAGGGAATGGCTGCCCTCGCTGCGCTTGTCCAGCATATCCATTCGCAGTTGCTCCCTTCACTGGTGGTATTCTCTCTCCAGGTGCTACGACGATGACACTCTTCTGATGTTGCGGTGTAGTGCTGGGTCTATTGGCTGTAGTATGATCACCAGAGGTAGCAGAAGAACCTCCTGGATTCACTAAGGCGTGACCTGCACGAGTTGCATTTCCACCAGAATTATTCGTCTTTGCCGGCCTACTAGTACCGTAAGAGCTCTTAGGTTTGGATGGCATCGATCCTCCCGCTGTCAGTGAGCCGTAAAACGATTTCATGTCAATCCAGCCACCAGACAAATCGTCATCCTGATAAGAGGACTTGTAGTTGTTGTTCTTAGAGCCACCTCCGAGACTAGGAAATGTTGTCGTGGATGAAGTGCTAGTTCCAAATCCGAATCCTACACGACCGGCTCCTGCTCCACTACCAGTGCCTGTGCCATTGCCGCGTCTCGTACTTATGCTGCTATCAAACTGCAACGATCTCGAGTTGTTGTCTCGTGAATCTTCTGGATAGAAACTAAATGCAGCACCCATGCCTGCGCTGCCCGTAGTAACGGGGCGACATTGGGCGAACTCCCGCACCTTCGCACCGCGAATACGGACTGGCTGCAAATCACGCGTCATTTTTGTGGTTTACGAAGATGTTCTTTATTGAATATGAAAAGAATGTTGACCGGTTGTACTTCTAACGAAGCTATGTTCTCAGACTAGAGATTGAGTTTGAGATAGGTCGTTAGGAATTTCTCAGGACTCGATTAATAGCAAGTCGTGTTTCTATACTCACGACAAATACGACGATTTTTGGATTTGAAGATTTCAGAAAAAGTTTTCTGGCCACCAATAGGGGCGCAGTACGTTTCGCAGGGTTCCACCGACGAGGCGACGAAGAACAATGTCAAATTACGATGTTGAACAAGAACGGGTGAGTTGGAAATGGAATTCGGGAGGAGTTGTACAACATGATTCATGACCTTTCCATAATGACGACGGAACAAAACTAAGAAAAAGAAAATCTGCGTCAGAGTTACAACCAAAAAGTGAGTGTACATAAACCACAATGCGAATGATGTTATTCGATTTCGTTTGAATGATACACATGAAAGAATATCCCATACCACTGTACAAGTAACTTCACCTGGTGCTGTGTCGTATGCGGATGAAGATCGAAGCTACAAGTACAACAACAACGACCCCGTTGCTACTAAAAATGGCGATCATCATCTATTTACTTCACGTATCCATTTTCATATCACTAATATGCTAATGTTACCAAGTGTTTATATCATGTAAGGTTATATTCACAACATATTACAGTATTCGGACCCCACGACCAGTCGAGGAGCTATTTACAACGAATTGATTCTGCACACGGTAGCATTTCGTCAAAAGTTGAAGTGGACTCCTATTCCCTTCCTTACCCGAGAACGTCGAGCGTATGTGGCTACTTGCTCGTCGAGTCTTGTGAGTGTCTCTCCCGAAGCACTTCTCCTGCTGCTCGTCATCGTCGCGGCTGAGGTGCCCCAGGAGGATAAGCCGCACCAACTACAAAAGTTTCCGCTGCTTCTCTCCATGCCTTTCGTTCCGTTGTTGGCTAGAGAATCCATTCACAAGAACTCGACTACACCTCGTTCCACTAGTTGTATCCGTACTTCCCACAGTTCTTGCGATACAACACCGCACCCAGCTCGATGACGTAGGTTTTGCGGGTTTTTGGGATTTCGATGCTGAGGCCATTCGAGTAGAGTCTCGATATCGCAGTGCCAGCATTTAGACGGATCCTGTTGATCGCTATGACGATCAGCGGCTTGTCATCGCCGTAGCCGTTTCGGAACTCCACTACGTCGAATCTGATAGGAGTTTTGAAGAGGTTGAGCAGGTGGTAGATATTTTCCTTTATTTGTTGCACGAGCATCGATACGAACGGGCAAACCAAGACAAGTTTGAAACATGGAGGTGAAGGTGAGTCTAAATCTGCTCTACGTCTACTTAACAGTTTTTAGTACTTTTGCAGTTTTCCCGCTCCGTTCTCCAGCCTCTTCGTCCAATGGCTCTTAAACTCCCTGAACTCCTCTTTCTTCTCCCCACTGACCATCACGGCAAACGCTGGCGCAGCTAATTCTAAGCGTAGGCGTCTGAGATTTCTACCCGTTCGTCGGAAAAAATGCCATCGTCTCAGAAGGCTTGCGGATTTGGCGGAGAGCTTACGCACTGGTAGACGCTTGGCGGCAACCTTCTTCTTGCTCGACCGCTTGAGGGAGCTAGCGATTGTAGGCATTTTGATGTAGTTCTTGATTTCGGCTGTGCTGGAGTAAAATGGGAGTTGTTGAAGAACAAGACTAGACTTTCTTGTTGTATAAGAACATACCAAAATTCCACACTTACAACTACAGCACTGGAGCCTCGCTAACATGCTTTTTTATTAAATTTCTGTAATTGTAAGTAGTACTTACTTCGACACTTTACTTCTCCAGCATGCTTCTTTTGTTCGTTTTAGTCGCGTAAGTCTAAGTCGAGCTCCGATGATGCCGTCCCGTGGAGGAAAACTTGTGAAGGTTTTTGGGACTTTCTTTTTCAGGGTATTCGGGATTAGGGAACAGAAGTAGGCAAGCAGGAGGGACACAAAGGAAGCGATCTGTTTCCCTTGAAGATGCGATAGATAGAGGCAACCAGTGATGTTCGAAGAAATGGAAAATCAGTCCAGCTGCGGACTCGAAGCGAGCAATCCTCGAGTTAAAGTCAATCAACTCCTGTATGAGCTGGTGGAGCTCACACAAAATAGCACAAAAATAAATAGATGAAGCAGGTGAAGGTCATGGAAAATGAACTTTGTGTCCTCAAAATTTGATAAAGTAGTGTCATGAATACAGCGTCGAGGTCGAAACTTCTACTCATCCAACCCCACCACAGCTGCGCAAAGAGCATTTGTGGCTTCTGACTGACGCACTGAGAAGAGAAAGGGGTTGTGGGATGGTTCGTCGGGAGCTAGTTCCTCAAAAACAAGCTCCGCTTGTTCGCACAGAAAGGGGATGAGTTTGCCTACGGGAACCACCTTCGGCAAGAACGTTGTAGAGGTTGTTATTGCAGATGTATTGTGATCCCCTTGATGCTCCTGAGGGCTCTTCTCACCTTGTTCATCTTGTTCATCTACTTCTTCAACACCTTGTTGACGAAGATCTTCTTCTGCAACTTTCTTCATCCTCTTTCCATTCTCTTCCACGTAAGCCTCCAACGCGTCTGATAGCGTCTCCAAACAAGCATTTACACATTCGAAAGCGGCAGCTTGGAAAAGCGGGCTTTCTAGAATGTCCTCTTGTTCGCGGAGCAAAGCGTCTAACTGGACTTTCCCATCTTGTTCGACTCCTTGACGAGCATGTTCAGAGTTGGATGGCGGAAGTAAAAGAGCGGTATAGATTTCGGCTGGGTTTGTGGTTTTTATCCTTGCAGCGCTGATAGAACAAGATGGCGAAGCCGTAGGGGAGGCGGTGGGCGATAATGCTGGAGTCTCGAGCTGCTTTTCGTCCTTGCTGCTCATTTCTCCCGTAGGTGATTGACGTTGCTCCGCAGCTAATGTCTGCGCAAAACAGGTGTTTGGCGCAGGCAACAAGCGATTTGTCAGGTCCTCAGCGATGAACTTGAAAAGCGTGCGCAACTCTGAAGAAGCAACACCACGAGCCACACTGACGCCAGTCTGTTGGGCAGCAGCTCTTGTAGAGGACGGAGGCAACTCGTCCTCCTGTACTTTCGATGATGGAGAAGTTGTAGCAGATTCCTTTAATAAGGTTTCTGTATGATCCGTTACTTTCAAAAACGCCAAAAACCTTTGATAGCTATCAGCCACAATTCCATCCATCTCTTTGCTCAATGGCTCTAAACCCTTTCGCTTCTGCATCCATATTGTTGTGCCAAGGAGCCGACTTATAACCACGTCTGGTGGTGCTTGCGACAGTAGTTTCTCCCGTTCGGTTTCCTCCAACTGCTGAACAAGTTCAGAAGCCCATGATCGAGAGGGAGACACTGGTTCTTCTTGTTCGTCCTTTATTCTAGAGACCACTGTTCCTGCAGTTGTGGATGTGGTAGCATTATCCGTAATATCTCCAACAGACGAAGGATCCGATCTTTTGTGAGGAACCGGGGACAAGTTGTCCTGGTCTTGTTCTTCGTCTTGATGTAGTTGTTGGATTTCTTTTTCGAGCTCCTGTGCAAAACTACCATCACGACTACTCATCAAAGCTCCTTCTGGCGAAGTAGTAACTCCAAAAAATACCTTCTCGACCGTGGAAGTGACGAAGTCCAGACCGGTGACGAGGGTGTTGGCAAATGTACCGCTGAAAAACGAGGAGGAGGATGAGGAAGAAGGACTAGACTTTGGGACTTGTGAAGTACCTCCCTTCCGCCCTCCCGGAGGTAGTATCTCCAAGCGGTGCTGCTTTTCTTGAAGTGATGTTGATGCACCTCCAGGTGCTGCAGGTTGTGCTTTCCCGTCATCTGCTGAAGTTGATGATTTCCAACTGGCTAATGCTGGCTGCTGCTCTAGTGTTCGCTCTCCACCAACCTCCGGATTCGAGGATGCATGGTGTACTCTTCGCAAAACAGAGCACATGCACACCCTATGGTACAACAATACCAGTTGCAGCGACACCGCAGAAGTGATCAATTTAGCCAAGCAGTGAGTTTGAAGAGTGTGAAACGCGGTTTGCCTTGCTTCATCGTTCTGCGACGCTTCTCGGATTCCGTTTGAAGCTCGCGCTATTCGTGATGAGAAACAAGCAAAGACCTCGTTCCGCATGATGGAGAGATTCTCTGCTACGGTATCATCAGAAAGTCGGACTTTGCGCTCTAGTTCCCGTTTCAAAGAGTTTGGTTTGCCACCAGAAGCGTTCATCGACTCCCCTTGTTTTTTCAGTTCATCTGACAACCCACCAAATGCTCCTCCACCTCCAGATTGGCCTGCTCCTAGAAGTCCTTCGAGAAAATTATCAGCACCTTGTCCAGCACCTTCGCCTCCTTGCAATAGCTTCTGCATGATGCTCATTTCGTCTAGGCCACCTCCTGGTCCTCCAGCTCCACCACCAAGTAATGCTGCAAGAGGATCTCCTCCTTGTGCTCCTCCCAGTCCTACACCACCAGCGCCTTCTGCACCACTTCCAGTACCTCCCATGCCCATCGCACTCATCAGTGCTTCGAAATCCTCAGGCTTCAAATCACTGCCATCTCCGGATTTCGCTGCCCTAAGCAACGCAAGGAGTGGTCGTCCAAAGCGCACATAGACTTTCCGGACGTAGTAAGCGGTAACGCAAGTGGGCACACCAAGGAAAATGAGTTTTTTCTTGTGTCTGCCAAGGAAAGCGATGAAACGGCGGAGACGTGTCGCTTCTGAGGCCGTACCAGGAGGCAGTGTCATCGACCCTACGGCAGGGGCCGTGGAGGAGGAGGACGAAGTCGAGAAGATGGACATTTTCCTTCTTCATCTAAAGTTAGTATCTAGTAATGATGAGAGGACTAGATGGTAGGTCGTTTAGGATACTAACACCTGCAGTTACCTAGTATCGAGTATCAATCTACTATCTTCTTCTTAGGTTTGGATTAGTATAACAATGATGAGAGAACGAGAAGATGGTAAAGTGACTCCTGAAAATATCGACATGGACAGCAAGAGCAAGATCCGCGAAATACACGGCGCTTTACAACCCTCATTGCACTCAAATACGTATGCGGCGGTGGAGCAGTACATAATGACAATATCAAGAAGGTGCCGTGGTCCTTACTAGATCAGTCTTGGCAAAAATACATTGATCACGGAGAAGGAAATGAATCGGCTGCGTGTGCGTCGACGTACCGAACTTCCTACCTCCCTTCCACATCCAAGAAAATGTTGCTATGACAGCAAGATGCTGTTTGTTGAATCACACGACTACCCTCACCCTGAAAAGCTTTCATCAGTTCCACGTGGTCACCCCAACACAACAAACCTCCAACAAAAAGCAACAACGCAAAGAAAGTCGTGTTTGATCCTGCGAGGAGAGCACAGGGAGCTTTCCTTGACTTGTGATGATTTAATGTACCCGACAAATAACGACAAAAAAGGAATGAGGATTCAATAGTCCTACGAGTGGTCAGTGCGTGTTCGAGCAGGTTCGTTGTTCTTCTTGTAGTTTCTGATCGCGCTTGCGTAAAATAGAGATGTAGTTTTCCTTCTTCTTGTCAACAGTGGCGGTCAAAAGAATAAATAAGAACTGGAAGTGAGTGTGAGAGCAATGAATCGTTTTCGTTTCTCCAAAATCACAAATTATGCAAATGCGAAGGCTAGAAAGAATGCCGTCTTCATCTCGTCCTCGAAAGCACTCCTCCTGCTCCTTGAGAGCGTGACAGCAAATCCACTTCTGAAGGAACCCGATGCCATACACAGCCAGGGTGGTCAGAAAGAACAGGGGTGTCTGGAATATTCGAACAAGAGGAGAGGATGCTGAGATTCACTGCTGTGGCAGCATTTTTTGAAGAGGAATCGCTAAAAGGAGTCGACGTGGTGAGAAATCGACGTTGTCTCGCGGCAAGGTCAGCTTCCCCCTTGATCAAGAGTAACTCACGCCGCCTCAGTTCTTTAAACGACAGCACTGGTTTTGGCAGATGTTGAGGATGAGAAGCACTTCTTCTTTCAGCATCATCAGGAGTTTTGTTTTCTTGATCTTCAATAGCATCAGTGCCATCTTCTTTAGTACCTGACGAAATTTGTTGATGTTGCTTAAACGACTTCAACTTGCTTAGCTCTGCTTGAAGTTCAACGTTCTTTATCTCAAGATCTACTCTTTGTCGCCTCTGTTCGTCCATTGCGCTCTTGATTTCAGACGTGTTCGATGCTGAAGCTGCTATGACATCTTCTTTCTCAGCTTCCAACTTGCCTTTGCCTTTTTCCAACTCTTTCTTGTGCTGCTCTAACCTGAAGTTGTCCCTCTCCAATTGCGTGATTTCCTTCCTAGAAACGTCTACGGACCTAGTAAGCTCTGCTATTTCGTCTGCAGCGTTGCGCAAAGCTGTTTCCTGAGTCTCCAGTGCAGTCTCAAGCTCTTCTATTCTCCGATCATGATCCTGGTCACTTTGCTTTTGTTGCAACCTCAGTCGTTCAACTTCTGCTTCTAAAGATGCGTTTTTCTCTTGCAGTGAAGTGAGTTCGGCTTCTAGAGATGATATGACCAAGGTGGAAGATGACGGGTCGGATTTTTTATGCGTAGTACCACCTGAAGGTGAAGATAAAGAAGAAGAAGCGTTGCCGCTTGCCGGCCTGGCCCCGACGTCCACTCCACTGGCATCATGTTGTTCTACTTTCGTTTCATCTTCAAGACACGCAGACGCAAGCATGGAGGTACCTCCTGCTTGTTCTCCATGATCCTCAACAATAGCCGCCGTTTCTGCTGCACCTATTCTCCTCGAGAGTTCGACGCATTTTTCCTCCAAGTCCTGCTTTTCAGCCTCTAATTGATGGTTTTCAATCAACTTTGAAGCAATGATCGCCTCGTATTCAGCGTCCTTTCGTTCGATTTGTTCGCGGAGCTGGGCTACCACAATTTCTTGGTCCTGGGACTGATCTTGAAGAAGAGGTGCCGCTGGTCGAGAGGCTGGAGAGGGAGCTTCTGCTTTTTCCGCCGTCAGTTGCACCTTAAGTTGTTCTTGTGATTGAGCGGGTGGACTAGAACTAGTAGAACTACTGCTCCTGCCTCCTAGTCCTAGTACGCCTTGCTGTTGTTCCTGTTCGACATGATTTCTACTATTTTCGCGTACTATTCCTGTGTGTGCACCAAGGGTATGCTCCATGCCTGCTCCTCCTGGGTGTTGCAGCAATGCTCCCAAAGTAGGCGACCGAATCGCCCATGTCGGACTCGGTGATGAAATCGGTGCAGCTAGCTGTTGAAGTTTTTCTTGCTCTACTCCGCGTATTCGCTCTTGATGTTCTTGTAGGAAAGCCGTTTCTTGCAAATGTAGTTTCTCCTTCTCCAATTCTAGTATTTTTCGCTGATACTCCAAGTTCAACTCGTCCAACTTCCGATTGTTAGACTGCAGAAGGCGCATTTTGCTTTCAGGAGAAAGACTCCCCCCACTATCTTCTCGGCTAGAAGTGTTGGAATCTTCATTGCTGTTGTCGTTTTGGTCACCACTTTGATCTTCTTCGTCTTGTTCATCTTCCTGATGATCTTTTTGCACAGGTGAACAAGATTCGTGTTCTTGATCATCATGATCAGTTCCAAGTTCATCATCAATGCTCCTTTCATCTGCATCACCAGTCAGATTCACATTCTCCTGCTCCACGACCTCAGATTGGTGCTGTTCTTGTGAAAGCGCGTGTAACCTTCCTCGCACCGTACTCGTAGCACCAGAAGACGACGTGGTCTTACTGTTCTTAGAAGAAGCTGGCACACTAGTCGTCGTCGTTAAAACAGCACTACTCTTGGCACTGTTGCTGCTACTCTTGCTTGCATTGCCACTTTGCTCCTGGTTATTCATGGCTAGCATGACCTGCTGTTGATGATGAGCTTCAGGATGTTGTTGAGCTTTAATGGTGGAAATTGCACTTGCTCCGCGACGCCCACTGCCCATCATCGCGTTCAATCTACTTGCGGAATTCGTTCGCGACAATGACACATTTTCACGCGACAGGGAACGAGACAAAGACCCACGTCGTCGAGAAGGAGAAACACTCCGGTGTGCTTGTTGCTGGTTTATTTGTTGAGAGAACCCTGCACCAGGCAAGAGAGGTCTACCGCCTCCTATTTTTGAAGGTGAATTGCTCCTAGAAGTCATCCGCTCTTTATGTTTTCTCTCGGCTTCGGCCTTCCGAGACGCTATGTTTTTCCTGACTTCGAGACTCGCAGAGGGAGGTGACAATTCTGGAGAACTAAACGGACGTCGATTCCCTTCTACTTCATCAAACCGCGGACTGTCCCCATCTACATGATGGTCGTCTTCCACACTTAGCCCGTCTAAACTAATCGCAGTCAACTCCTCCAACTCCCTCTCTATCGCGCGAAGTTCTTCCGTGTTCAAGTGGCTGCTGGTTCGTGCGCGTGATCTTGATGTGCTTGAAGATAAGAGGAGGTTTTTGGATGCCTTGTTGTTCGAGTTCATCATCATCTGCTCTCGTGATTGCTGGTCTACAGGAGACCCTTGTTGGTGTTCGGTGACGCTCACAATCGACGGTGAATCCTTTCCTTGATGATGGCCGAACGGAGCTTCCTGGTTCATCCCCCGTGACACAGTTCTATGAACTACTGGCGGGCCCACACCAGGATTAGACCCATTACTCCTGGCTCGCGTCCTCGACGTTGTCCGTGTACGTGATCGAGTGAAGGTATTCTTAGTCGATGATGAGGCAGACTTGTAGTTGTAGTCTGTGATTTTTGAGAAGGCCTGATGCGATGAAGAAGATGCGGACAACCCTGCTTGATGGCCTTGTTGACTTTGATGAGCTAGACCTTGTAGTCTCGAAGACGCTGTAAAGTTGTGAGTCGGCGTCGTAGATCTCGATCGCGCCCGCTTCATAGTTGTGCTATAATTGAAAGACGACTCTCCTCCTGGTGTGCGGCAGGATAATGCCATAAACGAAGAGGCATTCAACATAGCTGCTGACGTAGCATTTGGAGTACTGCGAGAGAGCTGATGCTGATCCAGTGGCGTACTAGCATTAGCAAGATGGTAATCACCTTCACCATCAATTTCACTTGTGTGACCATTTGCATTTAATCCACCCTTGTAATTCTTGGAGGCGTTCTTGTACGACTGCTTGTACACCTGATGTTGATTATTTCGTGACGAACTAGAGGAAGAGGACGCTCCACCCAGCATATTGCTCCTACTTGCCTTCCCCGTCATATTTCCCCCAGCACGACCGTCTATCTCCAGTCTTCTGTTCACTTTCTGCGCCATGGTCGTTGGTGATGCACGCAAAGCAGACAAATCTAGGGTCGTTAAGTCAAAATCTTGACCTCCAGGAGAGCCCGGTAACTGCATCTGCTCGAAAGAGGCTTGCTCTGCAATCGAGGATATGCCACCAACAGATCGTTGACTCGTCGTTGTGTGGAGATCTGAGAGAAAGAAAAAATGTTGGGAAAAATAATTCTTGTAATGCATGAATATGAAACACAAACAAGTGGGTTACTGTTTTCTTTTAAGTAGAGCAGAAGTAGAACAACTACGGGAAATATCTGTTAGTGAGTGTGAAAGTCGTGAAAGTCGTGTATCAGGTGAAGAACAAGCACAAAATAAATAATACCTCGCACAAGATTCTTCACTCTTGTCGAGCTGTCAGGACTGATAGGTGACGCAGCGTACAGACGGCCAGCCGCAAGTCGACTATTCAGCATGCTGCCTGCTAAAGCATATGATTTGTTGTTGCTTGCGCCATGCTTTGGAATCGTGTGGTTTCCAACTACAGCGCCACTTTGACCATGATTAGGTCGTGTACTATGATTGCTCAAAGCTGCTTGCGATCTCACTGGTCCTGCTCCGACATTGTTGTTCCTAGCCATCGCAGCTGCGATCATCTTCGATGAAGCTGTTTGTTGCTGCCGTTGCTGGGGTACCACAAAACCAACAGATTTGCTTGGACCTGTTGCAGGACCGCTATTCTTCAATTGCGACGTAAGCATCCCCAATGATCTACCAGTTCTACCACCTCCACTACCAGCACCATAATTCTTCTTTCTCAGGAATTGTTGTTGGAAGTCGAGGCTAGGTCTCATTACGCCGAGTTGCGGAGGAGTTACTCCGCGATCCGCCAGTAGCGGTCGCGGGTAGCTCGGATCGGATGGCGAAGAAGCAACAGAGGACATGGTGTTGGGTTTGTGTTGGCTGCTTGGAAATCAGTGTGGTCGTCTCTTCAGCAAAATTCTTGTTAATCACGATTCATTAGTGCTATGTGTTCTGTTTTGCCGATCTAATCCAGGAGCGCTCCTGAAAAGTTCTTGTTTCCTCTCTCCTTTCGAGGCACGACTCCTTGTCGTACGAAAACATTGGGCAACTACAGGTTTCTCTTGCAGCAAGAGGAGAGTACAAAGCGCGAGCCAGAGCGATTCTGGAGTGCGACGATAACAAGGGTCGACAAATCCATAAACATTGTGCAAGTAGTAACTGTGAGCGATAGGTTTAGGTATCAATGATCGAAAATTTCAAGAACTTTTTGTTCAGTTTGTCAAAAATCGAGACAAGAAATCAGGTACTCTACCACTGTTGAAGAGAAGATGTACATCCGGGTCATCGACGTCCACTCTCTATAATTCTTGTTTTTCAAAAGCGAGGATAAAAGCACAAGAAGCAACAGATGAAACAGACGTAGTTCTTGCACCTTTTACTGCACTCACAAGAACACGACCCATGCAGTTCTTCACATCATCCTACGTCCCGTGTAACCACCGACGAATGCCTCAGCCTCTGCCTCTGCACCGACGACTGCGCCATCTTCGCCCTCATCGGTACTCCCGCCAACTCGACTTCGCCATCCCTAGTTCCCCGTCTTGGCCCTCATCGGCACTCCCGCCAATTCAACTTCGCTTTCCGGATCGTCAAGGGCCGGGGCGATGTCCATGCCAGATAGAGCCTTCAATTTCTCCAGATCCACCTGTGCCCTCTGCAATTCCAGCACTAACTCGCCTATTTGCTCTGAGGCTGCCAATTTTTCCACTCGGAGTGGGGTATGAAGTAGGAGGGACGAGAGTTGGGCAGTGTGAAGTACTCCTGTTGAAGAAAAAAATCATGACGCCTGTATCCATCATTGAGTACCTGGTGAAGGATGTCGCCTATCGGTGCTTAGGGGGTACTACTTCTTATGTTGACAGTACAACTAGTACTACTACTAGCCTACTTCTATGTAAAAGATATTGAGTTGTTTACTGCAGACGCAGTCGCTACTCCACTCTGTGCTAGATGATGAAGTCAAGAATAAGCCATCAAATACCCACTAACCCTTCCTCTAAAAGAGAAAACAGAAGACATTGAGATTCTTTCACTGAACATAATTTTCGTTCTCGTTCTGCGTCTCCTGCAGCTGAAGTAGGACGTTGCCCAGTTCTTGGCTCACTTCGAGTTTTTCTAAGTTAGAAGAAGAAGAGTGGAAGAGGAGCCTACTGATTGATCATTGATTGATTGATTGATGTGCCTGGCATGAGTTCGAGTATTAATTTGCTGTATACAGTTGTATACTCATACATCCTGATCATATCATCATTATGGCGTCTCAGATAGCCAGCATTCTAGGCTATCAGGCGTACTGATCATAACTTGATGCGCCTTCTCAATCTCCCTGTGTGCTTTCTGGAGTTCTTTCACTAGCTCTTCTTCTCTCTCGAGTGCACCCTCCGCCGGGTGGCTTTCTGATGTTGTCGGCAGCTCCGCTAAAGGCACGAAGGTGCTGCTCTGCTGTAGCTTCATTTTCCGCATGATGTGCGAAGCCGTGGTAGGCAGAGGTGGCGGCGCACCTTCATCCTCGTCTACTTCCAGCTGGAGAGTTGCCATATTTTTTTAGGATGGAAGCGTAGAACTAGAAGTTTGGATGAAAGAATAAGAATAAGTATTATCCTTTGTTCTTGAATTGCAGTTGTGCATAACGGATCGCAATTTTTGTTTCCACCGACCTCCAATGACCATCCATGGCATCTTCTTGTAAAAAATAAATGTAAATTCTGTGCGTATTCTTATTTTCCTTTCCAGTAAAAGGAAACAGTTTTGCAAATTTTATTCTCTCATCTTTCTCTAATCTATATCTCTCATCTCTGCTACCCTTGTTCATGTCGAACATCAAGTAAAGACCAACGAGCGCAAAATCATGTCGCTTTCGGTTATTTCGACATTTACGGATAGGTTTTTTTCTTGCAAAGAAACGACTCCTCATTTTCAACATACTGTACAGGATGAAATTTTTGTGCGCACTTAAACATCCAAAACATTTTGCGATATTTGAATAAGTATATAAATCTTCTTTCACTGTTCATCTTCGAATAAACAAAGTCAAAAACTAGCAACCGCCACAGGTGTTCCTTTACCTAATGAGCTCTTTTTCAAGCCCTTTGAGTCAAACAATGCATCGTTTAGGTCGTAAAATCTCCATAGTTTCCCTTCTTGCGGCTGACAGATCCTATGAAAACCCTGGCCACCTTGCTTGAACTTCCGCCTTTTATCACGCACTGTAGATGCTTTTGACATCAAGACTTTGCCAAGTGTTTTCGCGACGCAGGTGGAAAGAACTTGTCGTGTCAGAAGTTTCTGGCATACTGAAGCTATTGATCCACCAGCAGAAGATTGTAGTCCTTCTCCAGCACCAGCTGCAAGAAGATTCTTCGAAGATGAAGAGCTTACAACCATTTCGTCATGCGCCTTGAGGTGCAGAAGTAGGAATCCAAGATCTGCAGTGAGCATCGAAATGGTATCCAATAGGGAAGAAAATTCGAGGAGGTGGTCGTTGTAGCGCTAGGAACACGAGCAGAGAAAAGGGCAAGCTAGAGCTACTATGTGTCACCATAATTTAAGCACTCACGTCCAGAAGAACAAGAAGAAAGAGTGAACTCCTGATTCTCCAACAGAAATCGAATACCCAACGACAATCCGTGAAGGAAATTTTCCATATATTGTTGCTACTTTCGCAGCTTCCGCCAATGATCGCCTTGGTCAAAGTCCGAGATGCATTAAATAAGTCCTCCGTGAGAGACACCAAATGAACAGAATCTCCCTGCGCGCGTTTTCTCAAAACATTAAAAGGAACGGTGACAGGACTGGCCACTGTTGATGCTACAGCAAAGCCTGCCGAGGCGACCGCGGAGCCCCCAGCAACGACCGCATTCGCTGTACCCGAACCAACAGCAACTACGACATTTTTTGTGCCCCTACCCGCAGCGCCGACCGCATTTGCTGTGCCTTTTACTCCGCTGGCAACTGCGTAAGTGCAATTTTTGGGCGCACTTGCGACGAAGGATCATAGAGCCTTGTATATAGTGCCCAAAGTCTTGTAATCAATAGGCTTGTCTTCGATGGCTACGCGCTCCTGTGGCGCGACAGGTTCCGCAGTTGTCAGCTCTTGGTTTTTACCTTCTCCTATCACCGGTAGTTCTTCGCCAGCTCCTTCATCCTTTCCCCATCATCTGGTTTAGCTGCGATCAGTAGAGTTCTATCTTCATCACCTTCGGCTGCGGCTGCAATGGTGCTTGGAGGTTCGAGCTCAACAGATGCAGAAGACGCACCAGAAGTGCTAGAAGCAGAAGCAACAACGCCATGATCTGCTTGATGATGTCTTTCAGCAGTTGTAGGGCCAGTCGTGCTGAGCGCTGAGCGAAGTGCTGGAATCTTGTCCGCCTTGCTGATCTGCAAGTTGCGGAATTCGAAAGATAAAGTATTTGAACTACTACAACTAGCAGGCTCATCTCTAATAGTCTTGGCAACAACAGAAGTCTCAACCTCTCCAGAGGTCGCGGACGCGGAGATCGCCTTCACATTCACTGCCAAACAGGAGTTCTTGATGATTTGGTGTTGGGCGAACAGAACAGCGAATGCCGCGAGGACCATGTTGGATGAAATCTTGGAACTAGGACGACGACCACGAAACCCTAAGCCCTGTCGAGGACGCCATCCAGCTCCTCGACGACGAGAGAAGAACGAGGAAGCTGTCATTTATTTTTGTCTATTTCTGGAAAAAGAACAATAGTTTTACCTGGCTTAATAGAAGTTCTTGGAAAATAACGGACTATTTGGTGTCCTCCTAATACTTGTACATACAACTACTTGCAGGGAGTTGATGTGGTCGGATTTTTGAGGCTATCTATCAGCCGGTATGAATGGTGAAGATCTTCTTTGTTTTTGTATATTGCAGTTAAAGTTATTCCTTTAGATGCTGTGGCCAAGAGTGAAGTGTTCTTATACTTATTATGTTGTTTGAAGGGCTAAGCCTATTGAAGTAAAAGCTAACCGGTTGTTTTATTTTAGTGCTTTGAGCGCCGCTGGACCTAAACCCCAACCTTATGAAAAGGAAGAAGCCAGATGACGCTCTTCTGGTTCTTGTGGGTCTACGTCTCACCGTCTGGGTGGTGCAATAAGAATAAAGCAGTTGCAGTATTTACCTTCAATAGAATTTTCACGCGTTTTCCTTGTTCTTTACCTTGTTGAAATTGATGTTCCCGTGGGTAGAAGTTTACTTGGATGATGATGCTCATCATGATGATGTTGATGATAGTGAAGAAGTGAATGTTCTTGCCAAAAAACTACAACAGAACAAGCTTGCGCTTGATCTTTCATCATAGACCTCTTGCGTTTGATATTTGTCTTGGTCTCCTCTCCAACTTGCGGCCTGCGTTTGATCTTTGTCTCTGTCTTCATCTTTGATGTCAAAGACAACGAGTGCAACACCGTCTATAACAGTATGCCCTACGTGCAAAACGATCTATATCAAAGTAGTGGGAACAACGACCTCCGCTGCCTTATCATCATCTTCACATCTTTTCATTATTGTAATATGTTTGATGAGGTGGAGCACCCAAAATTACGATTTTACATTCTGGCCGTGGCTTTGTCGTGTCGTGTGATTTTTGTTTTTGTTTCTTGGCATGCATGGTGATCATATTATCGATATCGAAGTATGTACAATTATATCAGATGAATTTGAATTAAATTCATTCCCATGAAGCAGCAGATGATAGCAAAAGACAACATGCCCAACAATTGACGAGATTTTACATGGAATTGGAATCGATAGAAGCTGTTTTTATACTCTACTTTCTGAGGATTATTAGCATCCTGTTGTGTTGTTGCATTCCATAGAAGCAACCCTAACTTACATCTTCACTTTCATTTTCCTTTTTGTCGGCGGCATGATGATTGATGATTATTTCATATTCGACTTACTTGTTTGTTTTCTATGGTCGCCGTTGCGGCTATGTGTATGTCTATGTTGACGGATCAAGAAGAAGTACTAGATGTACATGATGTTGATGCAAGACGAAAATACCATTACAAATAATAAATAAGAAATACGAGGGTCTCGAATACGAACCGAAGACGAACATGAGATGTAATAAAATGATGAACAAATTGCGTACCTAAATCTATGTGACCTAGATCTGATTTTGCTGTCGTTTCGTCTTCTCTTCTTGTAGCCGTATATGCATCTCATTCATGCACTTCATTCAAGATAGTAGATCAACTTCATCTTCTACTTAGTAATTATACCTCGATTAACTTGTACGGTTTTCAGCATGTTCTTGTTGATGAACGAACATCGAAATTCTCAAGACAATCTTTACCAACCTGGTAGTACTACACGAATAAATTTTCACTAGTAAGGCAACTACAACTCGTAACCGGCGCCGCTTTGCTCCCCTTTCAGACACCGCGAGATCGGCGCTTCAAGTATGCTGCACATGACAGGAGAAAAAGCAAGCATAGACCGCTAAGTACGATAAACGGAGCACCATGATCCTCACGCGGTAACGCCATCCACGAGCTTGGTGCTGGTCTTTTCTCAAAAGCGGAGAAAAACTGGACGTTCTTCTTCCCGGACGAGGAGCAGTGCTTTATGCCTTTGCCGAGAAAACTCTTGGCTAACCTTTCCTCGTTCAAGGGTCTCTCCGGTAGGTAGTCCAATGCGGAGCTCAGTTCTGCGTGAAGCATCTTGAGCGGCGACGAATCCACATCTCCTAGTACGGAGCAGAAGTCGTTCTGCAATATCTTCAGCTTCTGGGCCCTGTCGTCTCTTCTCGCTAATAATGCTATAATTAAAGGCTGAAACAATTCATTTTTTAGTAGCAATCTCAGGTGAAGATGATGAAGATCATTTGGCTTGTAAAAATGAAATGCTTCAACCCTTAAGCTCAGGTTCTTCTCTTTGATCATCGCAGAAATAACACCACTACCATCAGTTTTGAAAAGGATATCCCGAATCGTTCTGAGATGACGCGCGAAGTCCTCTGGCGCCAGCTGCGCAGCTATGTAAATGTTTAGTGTACAATGGATGCATCTTTCAAATGCATGGTGCTGCAAGGAACAACAATACGTGGAAATAGAAACTACTGCAATACAGATACACTGCGTCCATACCTATGTAAAAGTACCTGGTACACCTACACAGCAGCACAGAAGTGAATAGCGATAAAAAATACGTGGCTCGTGTAGACGTAGCAGACATTGACTGTCCTGGCTACGCAGTTTGCTGAGCATATCGTCGAAATCACCACGGAAAAATTCATATTTGCCGCGCTTGCCCGAAAAAACGCCCCTTGCTTTCTCCAGACGGCGTATAAGGCTGCCCAAGTGTCCTCTCAGCAAAACGTAATTTCCTGGCATAGGCTTATATTTAATTGGATTTAGTTTGGTTTCATCTTCGGGGTCGAAGATTTTATGAAATGTAAATGGTTACCGTTACTTTTACTTACATAAAAATCGTATCCGACGTTTACCATTACCTAGGGCCCAAGTCGTCCAGAGCCTCCGGATCCTCCGATTGCTCCCTCTCTCCTGGCTTAGCTAGCTAGTTTAGCTAGATATATAATGAACCTAAAAGTACTTTAGTTGGGATACGGATCCAAAAACGTCGGATACGATTTTTTAGTAAAAGTAACCATTTACATTTCATAGATTTTTGATACGTCCCATTTCAGTGCTGCTGTTGGCAACTCTAGAGTCGCGCTTGCGGCTCTCTGAAACAAGAACTCGCTGCCCCGCAACGAGACTTTCTCTGTGTTCGTCATTGTTTCTCCTCTACTACTTATTCTTGCTCTTTCACGACGCAGACAACGACGTACAAGTATCAAAATGAACTATATTTTTTACTATAAAGTATATTGTTGCGCGGGATAAGTCTAATTTTGTCGAGGTGAAAACTAACCGGTTGTTTTACTTAATAGTGCTTTGAGTGCCGCTGGGCCTAAACCTTCACTAAAAGGTGAAAGCCAATCAAGATTTGCAGCACACCTCTAGAAGAAAATAATGCTGGGGGATCAAAAGCCTGCTATGGGAGGAGGTTAATTAAATGAGATTCAGATCAATGAAGTTGTTTCAAAAGCGTCTATATGAGAATAGTCACTTTATCAAATTTTGGATCATCATTCTCTTCTTCATTGTTGCTCTCCCAGATGCATTACTCACAGATAGAATTCGCTCAAACCAGTCGCAAGCCTCAACCACACATACGCGCAAGGAAGGAGAGTAACACAGAACCACGAAAGTGACAGACGGGGAGAATTTATAGGCGGCAGCCTTATTTTTAGGGTGGAACACTGGCAGTCAAAGATAGAAGCAAGAAAGAAAAGCATGGGACTCCTCGTTTAATTTAGATTTACTGTAAAATAAATACAGCAATTCTTCAAAGAGAATTCTTGAGGAGGATTACGGTCCTTAGACATTCGACAAACTGGTGAAATAAGCGAGTAACTACAACTACTGAAAATGACCGAGTTTTTACGGATACTGAGTGAAATTAGGGCTTTTTAGGGCTTGGGTGTAGGGTATAATATTCATATGCAAGTTTTTTATTCTCTTGGCAATTTCAGCAACCGATGAGTTCAGTCGTGGCAAACTACTAGCCGATGGAACCGAGTGTACCGATATCTTTTACTGGAATCTTCATGCCTTTGAATTTGAAATGTGCATCTTGCTGTTACTTCAATCTGTCCTCCTAGAGGACACGCTTTTCATCATTTGGGTATACGTAGGAATCTTCCCATGAAAGATGACTTTCGTCGTCATTCTCAAGGATGTCTGAAAGTAATTGCTCATGGCGTCATCGAAGCCACACTTTCTTCACTGATATATCATATATGCACTTCAGGTTTCAAGTTCAAGAACTTCTATCTTATATAAACCATTTCCACTTCGTTCTTGTAAGGTTTTCGCCACACTTATTTGCTTGAACGGGTACTATTGACATTCTCACGACACTTTTTCGAGTGGAAACAAACAAGGCAAATGTCGAAGATCATAAGGTTTTCTGATCAAGCAAGTAGGTCAAGTACTCATTGAATAACGAGATCAGTTTCTAGTTGTTTGTGTTGCTGTGAACGAATCTCCGTTGTTCTCTTTCTCCGTGTCGTCGGTTGTAATTCTTGCCCGTGTAGTGCAAAAGAATATAAGGAGAAACACGCAGACTGGTTCAGGAAAAAGGTCCTCTCCCAAAGGAAGAGCGTCCTCTGGTTCCTCCAAAGGCACCTCCTCCTGTTCCTGTAGTACTAGGTGGAGACGCTACACCACCAATTCCAATGTTTCTCGTGGTCGCAGCTCCAGCACTCGCGCTCGGTTTAGTACTGTGCAACTGTTCTGGCGGTCTAAATATGTCCAACAACTGCGTTCTTATATCCTCCGACAAGCCCTCGGCTTCTAGGACTTGCTGCCGGAGCTGCGGCAGGACGGTGTCGCGGACGCTCGGTGGAGCGTCAGTGAGGGAACTCAGGTTACTGCTGTGCTGCTGGAGATGTTGACTAGTGTGAACAATTGCTGGTGTTGGTTTTATACTTGAAGTAGATGGAGGATGTGGGTGACCAGACCACTCGACACCCCGTTGTCTATCCGGATAGCTGAGTATCTGGACTGAACTTCTCGCGACTTGAGCGTTGTCAAGGGTCAAGAGTTTGCTCAAAGGGCTGGTGGAGGTGTAGTTCTCAGCAGGCCTATCTCCACCACGTGCAGCTGGTCTAGGACGGGAGGTCGTGCCAAGATCCGGACGGATGGAGGAGACTGCTGAAGGAGTGAATGGATGTATTTCTTGGAGTCAGTGTCGAGTAGATTCAAAACAGTGACACAGAAAGGGAGAGGTCTCGGCGTTTGATGTCTCCGATTTGACCTGCCAAATCAACGCTGAGACCAGTCCCTAGGCGGGAACTAAATGGAAGATGATACTGGGACAGTTATGTCATGTCATGGCACCTCTGTGCTCTACCGTTGCGAGTAGTAAATAAGAGGTCTTATTAGCTTTCGTGGAACAATTACTATCTTAATGATTCAATTCATCTTCAAACACAACAACATCTTCTTCATCAACATTGATTATAATATGAGCTTCCTAATCCACGTAGTACGTTAGTTCTTCTACATCAAAAAACGAGTACGTTCTTGCTTCGTTTCTTTCAATAGCTGGGACAAAGGCGAATTCTCTGCGGCTAAGTCCATAGCTGCCCTCTTTTCCGTCGTCTCATCGACTGTGCCTTTGTACTCCGAAAAGGGATCGAAAAAGGACTCATCGCTCGCGCGCATGTGGGAGTGTTATTAGAGGTAGGCTTTTGGTGCTCGCTTACCCCGCTTGTTATGCTCTTCTCCCTTAGGAGAAGCATAAAAAGCGGTAAGAGAAGCACCTTTAACCTACTCCTAATGTTAGAAGAGCCTAGCAGGCTGCCTAGCAGTAGTCGCAGGCTTTCGCTTTCTATAATAGCTTTACTAGTATTAACTTAGTGTGGTTTACGTTTAAAAGGTGTCCGTTGTTGTCCCTGATTTTGAGACGATCTTACTGCACGTCGAGCATCAACTGCAGCAGGAAGTAGAAGATAATTTGTTTCGCTTGATGAAAAACAAATTTCCATTTCCTAGTAAGTTGTAGTTGTAGCTGATAAGGAGAGGATATATCCTTTACAACTTATACGAAATATTAAGAGCAATAAAACTTAGCAAACACTTCCCTTCGGAAACCTCAACCTCCAAGAACACCCAAACCCAAAACCTCCAACACCCGAACCCAAAACCTCCGACACAAAAACAAACAAACCCCAAACCCATGAACCCATGAACCCACGAACCCACGAAACCAAGAAACCACGAAGCCATGGAATTGAATTTCGGGGGAGAGGGCTTCAAGTCAAAAATTTTAGGATCTTAACGCTTCAAACTCACGAGACTCAATCTCAAAACGACGACAAAACGTGGAAAATTTTCGAAATTTGAAGAGCGCGAATCCAAGGAATTAAATCGCAGAGAAATGGCCTAAAATCAAAAATTTTGGGATCTTAGCCCTTCAAAATCACCGGACTTACTCTCAAAATGACGAAAAAGGTGGAAAACTTTCGAAATTTGAAAAACGCGAAGCCAAGAGATTGAACCTCAGGGAAAGGGCCTAAAATCAAAAATTTTGGGATCTTAACGCTTCAAGCTCAAGAGACTCAACCCCAAAACGGCGACAAAATGTGGAAAGTTTTCGAAATTTGAAAAACGCGAAGCCATAGCCAAGGCATTGAATTTCGGGGGAAAGGGCTTAAAATCAAAAATTTTGGGATCTTAGCGCTTCAAACTCACGGGATTCACTCCCAAAACGACGAAAAACGTGGAAAATTATCGAAATTGGAAAAACGCGAAGCCAAGAGATTGAATCCCAGGGAAAGGGCTTGAAGTCAAAAGCTTTGGAGTCTTAGCACTTCAAACGCACGGAATTCAATCCCAAAACGGCGACAAAATGTGGAAAATTTTCGAAATTGGAAAAATGCAAATCCAAGAGGCTGAATCTCAGGGAAAGGGGTGAAAGTCAAAAATTTAGGGGCTTTAGCGCTTCAAACGCACAAAACTCAATCCCAAAACGACAACAAAACGGGGAGAATTTTCGAAATTTGAAAAACGCGAAGCCAAGGCATTAAATTTCAGCGAAAGGGCTGAAAGTCAAAAAGTTTTGGGATCTTAGCCCTTGACTTCAAACGCACGAGACCCAATCCCCAAACGATGGCAAAACGTGGAAAATTTTCGAAATTTGAGGAAGCATATCGCTTACATCTTTGCCGTGCTTAGTTTCTTACTTTATTGGGGAGGAGGGGGACCCTAGTGGGAGGGATGTTATCGGGCGCTCCAAGCTAGTAGCTTTACTGGTATAAACTTAGTGTGGTTTACGTTTAAAAGGTGTCCGCTGTTGTCCCTGATTTTGAGACGATCTTACTGCACGTCGAGCACCAACTGCAGCAGGAAGTAGAAGATAATTTGTTTCGCTTGATGAAAAACAAATTTCCACTTCCTAGCAAGTTGTAGTCGTAGCTGATAAGGAGAGGATATATCCTATACAACTTACGAAATATCTTCTGCTGGTGTAGTTCGACAGCTGCGTCAGCATCTACATCACACACTAATATTAAGAGCAGTAAAACTTTGCAAACACTTCCCTTCGGAAGCCTCAACCTTGAACACCCAAACCCACAACCTCCGAAACAAAAACAAACAAACCCAAAACCCCAGAACCCATGAACCCACGAACCCAGGAAACCACGAAGCCGTGAGGTGAAACCGTGAAACCACGAAGCCATGGAATTGAATGCCAGGGAAAGGGCTGAAAGTCAAAAGTTTTGGGATCTTAGCGCTTCAAACTCACGAGATTCAGTCCCAAAATAACGGCGACAAAATGTGGAAAATTTTTGAAATTTGAAAAATGCAAACCCAAGAGGTTGAACCTCAGGGAAAGGGCTTAAAGTCAAAAGCTTTGGGGCTTTAGCGCTTCAAACGCACAAAACCCAACCCCAAAACGACGACAAAACGTGGAAAATTTTCGAAATTTGAAAGGTGCAAATCCAAGAAATTGAATCTCAGGGGAAGGGCATAAAATCGAAACGCTTTGGGATCTTAGCACCCACTTCAAACGCACGAGATTCAATCCTCAAACGATGGCAAAACGTGGAAAATTTTCGAAATTATTTGAAAAACGCGCACCGCTTACACCTTTGCCGTGCTTAGGAAGTTTCTTTCCTTTGGGGAGGACGGGGATCCTAGTGGGAGGGATGTTATCGGACGCCCCAAGCTAGTACTAAGAGCAGTAAAACTTTGCAAACGCTTCCCCTCCGAAGCCTCAACCTCCAACACGCAAACCCACAACCTCCGACACAAAAACAAACAAACCCCAAACCCATGAACCCACGAAACCAACCACGAAACCAGGGAACCAGGAAAACCATGAAGATGAAACCGCGAAGCCATGGGATTGAATTTCAGGGAAAGGGCTCAAAGTCAAAAACTTTGGGATCTTAACACTTCAAACTAACGAGAGCCAATCTCAAAACGACGAAAAACGTGGAAAATTATCGAAATTAAAAAACCTGAAGCCAAGGGATTGAATCTCAGGGAAAGGGCTTAAATAAAATCGAAAATTTTCATGACTAGTGGAAATGCATCTCAATTCAGCGGAAGCTTCCCAGTGCATAGGACTGGGCTATTTCTAGAGGGGGCACCAGGTTAACCCCTCAGCAACTCAGAGGGACAACCTGTGATTAGATTCCACAAGAATCGGCCAAGGAGCGCCCTCCCCAACTGCCAGATCGTTGGCGCTCGCCTCCACCACCCGCAATAACTCCATCTCAAGCTCCTAAAAAAACACTCATCACCCCAGAGCCCCAACAGAAAATGGCGTAGCAGACACCCATGCCCGCGGCGGCGGCGAACCTCAGGGCTATAAGCAGTCTCACAGTTTTGAGGTCCGCGGCGGATCTCAGGAATCTCAAAGGCCCTTGAGAAGAACCAGTCTCAAGCATTTTTGAGTCCACAACACTCAGAAAAGCCTCATGTCCGCCGCGGACCTCAGGACTCTGAGACTGCTCAGAATCCTGAGGCCCGCGGCGGACCTCAGGGGTTTTTCCTGTCCTCAGACAGGCCCAGTAGGGTCGACTCGGTCTGTCCGAGGACAGGGAAAACCCCTGAGGTCCGCCGCGGACCTCAGGATTTTGAGCAGTCTCAGAATCCTGAGGTCCGCGGCGGACATGAGGCATTTTTGAGTCCCATGACTCAAAAACGCCTGAGACTGGTTCCTCACAGAGGGCCGCGATGAGATTTCTGAGGTCCGCGGCGGACATGAGGCATTTTTGAGTCCCATGGAGGCATTTTTGAGTCCCAAAAATGCCTGAGACGGGTTCTCCACAGGCACAGGGGCCTTTGAGATTTCTGGGGTCCGCGGCGGACCTCAGGACTCAGCAGTCTAAGAGTCCTGAAGTCCGCGGCGGGTATGAGACTTTTTCAGTCCCGTGGTCTCAGAAACGCCGGAGACTGGTTTCGCGGAGGAGAGTCCAGGAACAGCCCTTCGAGTGCCTTTTTCTATTACTATCGCAGTCTCAACTAGTTCTAAGCTAGGGAGAAAAGTCCTCCAGTTAGTCCTACTGAGAAATTTCCGCTGTCTCAGATGAAGTAGAAACGCAAGTCATGAAAATTTTGGGCCTTTAGCACTTCAAACGTACAGAATTCAATCCCAAAACGGCAACAAAATGCGCAAAATTTTCGAAATTTAAAAAATGCAAACCCAAGAAATTGAATTCCAAGGAAAGGGCTTAAAATCAAAAATTTTGCGGCTTTAGCGCTTCAAACGCACAAAATTCAACCCCAAAACGGCGGCAAAATGTGGAAAATTTTCGAAATTTGAAGAATGCAAATCCAAGAAATTGAATTGCAGGGAATAGTAAGGCCTTACAGTCGAAAAGCTTTGGGACCTTAGCACTTCAAACGCACGAGATTCAATCCCCAAACGAAGGCAAAACGTGGAAAATTTTCGAAATTTGAAAACGCGTATCGTTTACATCTTTGCCGTGCTTAGTTTCTTATTTTGGGGAGGAGGGGGATCCTAGTGGGAGGGATGTTGCCGGACGCTCCAAGCTAGTAAGAAGAGTGATGAATTGTTTAGATTGTAGCCGCTTTCATTAGTAAGTCATTAACATCACACACTAATAAATATATAAGTTCTCATCACTTCATAAAACTCATTTTCCACTTGCTCACTCGTCCCCTTCGACGGCTTTTGCCCATGTCGTAGTTGTACAGAACTTGATGCTTCTGCCCGTTTCATCGACCGGAGAGCGTCCACAGCTTTCTCTAGCCTTTGTAGTGAGCCTGCAAACGTACCACCTCCACAGACTATTTGGGAACTAGATGAAGATACCCCAGAGAGAGGACGGCTAGAACTCCTGTTGGGTTTACTGGGTCCTGCTGGTGCTTCTTCAATATCGTTCTTCGAAGACGTTGCTGGTGTCTGGTCCTTGTTCTTCAGTAAGTTCTTGGTTCTACTCCGTCTCCTAGTCGAAGCACCTGCACCCGAAGAAGCTACCGAACTAGCTGTGTCCGATAACCAATCGGCTACATCAAGGTCATCCTCTACTACGGATTGCCTGTTGTTTTGTTGACCTGCTGTATCTCTTGATGTTCCCCTTTTAGAAGTTATGCCTCCACTCCCACCTCGTTTCAAAACTGTGCTCTTCGCACTAGCTACGTTGTACATCAAACCTTCGACGAAGGAGTCAGCGTCGCTAGTACTGGCGAAACTAGAGCAGGTATTTGTTCCACCACCCATTAGTTCGTCGAGGGTTGAAGATTTTTCCCTAAGCATGCGATCCATCCGTCTCTTTTGCTCACGAGAACGTGGTGTGCGAGAGGCCGATGGGGATCTTGAAGAGGAAGAAGGTTGAGATTGTGATTGATGCTCGTTCTCCTTGTCCACCTTGCTAGTTCTTGTTTTTACAACAGGATCAACTACAGGAGCATCAACGTCTCGTTCTTCATTGACAACGACAATCTTCGTGTTTTCTTTTGCATCGTTGTCTTCTAGCATTGCTGGCAACAAGAACTCTGCTTCGTCCAGATCGACCACTATGGAGGTTGACGCAGAAGGCACTTCTTGGATTTGTTTTCGGCTAGGGTTTTTCCACACACGTGTGGATGCGTTTCTGACGAAGCCACCACCTCCAGAAGCACTGCGAGAGTAGGTGTCATCAGGGATACGCAAGAAGCTGCCGTTCTTGCTCTTGGCAAAGACATCGACAGCTGAAGCGGTGGAGATTGGGAAGAAGATACTACCGGTTATTTTCAAATTGCTCTTGCTGTCAGAACCAGACGGTGGAGTCGACAACGATATTAGCTTCTCAGGAGTGATTTTCTCGAAGTGTCCATCGTCCTCCGACGTTTTGACGTATCTATCATCCGGAAGCCGACTATACGTCCCATCCCGATTCCTAGTGTAGGCATTAGGAGGTGGTACAGATTGCACGAACGGTAGTACTAGTGGAGGTGGTTGTTGTTGTATCAACAGAGAGGAAGATGAAGAGGCGCTGCGCTGTGGCTGATCTTGTAGGGAGAAGGAGACTCCCACCGATGGAGTGGCTGCTGCGGCTGGGTGCACAGCTCGAGGAGCGCTTCCAATCCCTTGGTCGCGTTTCACAATGTTGAGACTGTCTTGTTCAGCATCGATTTCAGCTGCTTGTTCTTCGACAGTCTGCAACCTAGTTGTACTACTTGAAAAAGACCCTGCTGGTTGCAGCATGCTACTTCTGGAAGTTCGAGCGTTACCCGATGAAGCGCTAGCTGCAACTGGATCTTTTCTCCGACGTGCTTCCGGAACATAGTTTCCATCTGCTTTACGTTTGTAGAATGTCCACGGTAATTCCTCAAAGTACTCGACACCTGATGCCCCACGCTTCTTGTAAAACAAGGTGTCTGGAAGCTTGTGAAAGTAGTTGGAAGATGATGTGGATGTTGTGTTATTATTTGCTCTGGTGTAAGGACCGCAAACATCTCTCCTAAATACACCATCATCATGGCGAGCAAACGTCTCTGTCGGAACTGCTTTGACTGACCCTGTCTGAGCATCACGGTAGAATATCTCTTTCGGTGCTGGAAAATACGTTTCGGTCTTTTCATCGCGTAGGAAAGTGCCGTCAGGAGGGCGAGCGACTGTGAGAGTTGTCGTGCTCGCTGTGGCTAAAGGGGCAGGGGTGATTGACTTGCTCCCGGTGCGGCTTGCTTGATGAGACTGCGCTTCTTTACCGAGACGTATTGGTGTAAATTTCCCAGTCTTGTTCTCGTCACGGACATATACTACGTCAGGAATAGGCTCGAAAGCAGACGTAGCAGAAGTAGTTGTCAGATCTCTACAACTTCCATCAGGAGCACCTCTCTTGAAGTAGAGGATTTCTGGTAATCTTGCGTAGAAGGAGGTCTGCGTGACACTATTAGAAGAAGGGCCACTTCCGGTTCCAGCTGATGATGCGCTTTTCTGGACATAAGCACCTGCCGGATCCTCAACATAGCTGCCACTGACACTAAGGCGACTGAACGTCCTCTGTGGAACGCGCGCGAAGTTGCCACGTGCGTCACGGACGTATAGCTGTTCTGGAAGAGGAATGAACTTCTTTTCGTTGAAATTATCTTCTCCAACTTGCGCGGAAGTAGGGGACGAAGTAGCGCCTCCCGACGCTCTCAAAAAGATCTTCCCACCACCTGGATACCTATCGAAGGGTGGGCGTCTCGGATGTACAGATTGGAGCTGACCCGAAACCATCCTGAAGATCATCCTGCGACTTTTTTCCTATTGAAAACAAGCCTCTCCAAGATCGATGCTCCACGAGATGGATTGGGAGAAGCCTTAAAGAGAGCTAGGATCGATCACGTCGTTCTGCGCTAGTTGAGACTGGTCAAGGTCTGCTAACGATACACCAGTTGGGAGCATAGGGGAGTACATCGGAGATATCGTGCGATGTTCGTAAGCGCCGGGAGGCAAGAATTTGGAACGACCAGCAAGGGAATACTCCATCGTGTGCTCACTCCTTGAGGGATCCCTAGGACGAGCGGGAGTTATAGTTGGTGGAAACACGACTTCTCCAATATTTCTTGTAGCAGAAGAAACTCCACCACCTCCACCTCCTCCAGTACTTCTGCTTGTAGTCATGTTCGGTGTTTGCAGTCTGGCACTAGAAGGTCCTACTGATGCTGCTGAAGATGATGTTCCTGTTCCTCTATCAACATTCCTAGTACTCGAAACAGGCGGTTTCTGAAACATGTAGTCCAGCTGCTTTGCTAACAATCGAGGCTTTCCCATCTTATCCAGAACAATGCCTCCATTTTTCGCCAGCTCTTCTACGAGGACTAAATCCCGCCGACCGTCTTCCAAACGCGCTATGTCCACTACTCCGTAAGTCTGCTGGATCAAGGACGACCGGCGTCGACGTTTCAGTTCGTTGTTAGCTCTAGTACTAGGACTAGAGGCAGCAGAAGGGTCCTTACCGCCAAGGTCAAGACCATCTTCGGACGCACTGCTCAAAGCAGCATCTTCCCTAGCAATTTCGTCCAAAGGCCTCATAAAATAGGTCAATGAGCCGATTCGTTCGCGCGCAAGGTCTCGCACAGAAACTGCTCGGCCGAACACATCTGTGAAGATGGCATCGTCGTTCCAAGATTTGGAGGTGAAAGGTACTACAGGAGCAGGAGAAGTAGAGTTAGAGTCTGCTAGATTGCATCTCGGCCCCCTCATCTTAAAGACCCCTTGTACCTTGTATTTCATGAGAATACAAGGGAAATAAAAGGGTACCAAGTAAGATGCTGAGAAAGATGGATAAGGATAAAAGCTGGCCTTAATAGCAGTTGCACCAGTACTAGAGCTATTCGTCGGGGGCTGTTGTTGAACCGATTTCCGATTGAGTTGGACGGTTATGATGTTCGGACCACTTCCTTTGGCAGCTCCTGGCCCATCCGCACGAAGAAGTTGCACGCCACCACCTGCGCCACCTGCTATTGATACTCCTGCTCGATCTCCTGCTCCTCCCTTTTGCAGTTTGCGTATAATCTCCGTACTCGAAATCGGCTGCCCTTCTGCGTCTACGAATGCGGTTCCGTCACGCTTTAGTTCCCTTGTAGATATCGGAGCTCCTGTTGACGCGTCCACGAAGGTCTGGCGGCCTTCCTCTCGCAAGATGTGCAACACCTCAACTGGAGCTGTCTCCAGGCTTTTGCGACGGCGAGAGGTTGGCGTGACCGTGGTAGATGTCGACGATGAAGAAGAAGATGCCTTTAGTAGAGGTTGTAACTTCATCTCCACTTTCCCACCTTTAGTTGCTAATCGCTTCAGGGATGCGGCCGTAGGTTTTTGCGACCTTGAACTCGAAGCAGAGGATGGTCTATCTCGATGCCATCTACCCCTGTCTGAAGACGACCCTCCTTCTCCTACGTGATCTTCTAGTCCATAAACCAAGTCTTTGGTACTAATGAGCTTCCCATCTACGGTTACAAAGTCGCCGTCGTATCTAGCAGCCCGTTGGATGAGTACAGCTGCGCCATTCCGATCGAGGACCTCGCCTCCGCGTTCGGCCACTGAGGCGATAGAAACTGGACGACCACGGACATCTATGAAGGGTGGCAACACCTTCTGGGGACGAGGAGTAGAGCTTGACGATTGTTGTAATTCTTCTCCTCTTTCTTTTGCTCTGCTTTCTTCCTTTCCACCTCCTGTCCATCTCTGCAAGTTGCTTTTCGGTATTTTCCCCCCATCCTTCAGAACAAACACTTCTTCGTTCTCGCGGGGTCTCAGAGTCACCTTGTTTCGACCACTGATGTCCAATACAGTGCCTCCACGCTGTGCCAGCACTCGTGGTGGGATCGTGCGGCCATATTCGTCAACGAAGTCCCCGCTTACTGGATCTCTCTGTAGAGTTCGTGGTGGAACTAAACGGCCAGTCTGTGCATCATATAGGGGATCATCTCCACCGCTTCCGGCCTCTATTTTTCCACTCCCTTGAGGCTGTAAAGACACAATATTGTCATTCACATCGAGAACTCGGCCGCCGACTTGTGCAGCCCGCTCGGGAGAGATCCGTCTGCCTGTGGGCGAAAGCAAATCGACGCCAAGCGAGTCGGCTTTTTGGAGTTCCTTCGTCGGGATCCGTTTTCCACTTACGTCGACGAAGAATGTACTTCTAGATGTTGTTTTCGTCTTGGGTGCTCGAGGTACATCTTTGTTGACTACCAAGAGCTCATCTAGATCCGCCGCATCCATGACAAAGGCTTTAGAAGCACTAGAGGAGGACCCTGTTCTACTCCTACGCAAGCCCCTTTCCTCAGGTGTCACAAAAGTGACTACGCGACCATCGTCTAAGAGCACGCTTCCACCTTTTCGTCGGACTTCTACTTCTAGTATGGGAACAATACTAGTTGCTTCTTTCGTCTCAACACCTGATCGCCCCCTTCCCGCTAAAACCAAATCGTTGCCTTGTCTTTGCAGCCTCCGCAGTACGGATAGTTTCTTCTCGGTCTCTCTGTCCTTTTGTTGATCCAGAGATAACACGTCTGAAGATTGATCAACTCCAAAATTTCTTGGTGAAATCTGCACTGGATGCCCATCTACGTCAACAACAGTTCCTCCAACTGCTATCAGCTCAGCTGGCGCAATGCGAGACCCGTCTAGGCGGACGAAGTCAGCGCCGATCCTCTGCAGATTCATAGCGGAAATTTCACGACCAGAGCCAGTACCTGTACCGTCTTCACTCGCTTGAGGAAAGCTTCTTCCCGCACCAGTTGAAGAAGTCATGAGAGGTGGAACAGAGACGCGGCGACCAGCAACGTCAACAACCTCTCCTCCGTACTTGAACAACGACGCAGCAGGAACCGTGCTTCCATCAATGGCTATGAAGTCAATGCCTGTTTTAGAACGTCGTCGAAGATGCGGCAAGACTAATGCGGCTTCAGAAAGAGCAGATGTCTTGAGGTTGAGAGCCGGTAGGAGGTCTGTACGAGTAGAGCCCTCCTCTCCAGTAGACGGCGTAGTAGTTGTCGCGCCAGAAGTCTGAAACTCCGCCTCAAGCATCCGAGGTAATACCGTAATCCGCTTTCCATCAACGGCTAGGACTACCCCGCCAAACCTCTCCAGGTCTCGTCCCGAGACTGGAGATTTTCCATCGCTTGCGACAAAGTCAGCACCTCGACGTTGCAATGCTCTGAAGGCGAATGGACGGACTTTGAGCTTTGAAGATGAAATTGGAGAAGCTGGCCCTTTGCTGTTTGCACTACTTCTAGTGGTAGTGTCATCATCAACTATGAAGAATGCGCTGTCCATCTTTGGAGGCTGATGTGCGCCTTTTTTTCCCCCGCCCGGCAGATGCTGAACGCCTGTGCTGGCCTGAACTCCTAGCACAGGAGCAACCTTGAGCACAGTCTTCCCATCGACTTCCAAAACTTCGCCACCGTAGCGAAATAGCTCTCTTGGGTCCACCCTTGAGCCATCAACTGCGACGAAGTCTGTACCATCTCGTTTCAGAGACGAAACTGGAATCGAGGATGAAGTAGATTTAGTACTCGATGTCGATGTTGTCTTCTTCTTTTTCTTGTCTTCTCTGCTCTTATTTCTACTGAGGGGACCTTGAAGGACATCTCGTGTTCCTGATAGAGGCGCATCTTCTAGATGGATTGAGGATGGTTCTTGGACGAGTTCTTCACTCTTCTCCTCATCATCTGGAGGATGTTGATGTTCCTCATCATCCTCAGACGACTCAAATTCTAGTGGCAGATCCTCCGGAATGGGCAGTAGATGTGAAACCTGCGAGGTTTCTCGAGACCGCGATGGCTTCACGCGAATCACATGAGCAGGACCATCTCCATGTCCAACTCCCGCTCCGACATTGTCAGTCCCGACTCCACTTGTAGTACTGTCTTTAGTGGTCTGAAGTTCTCCACCAAACGCTACGACATCCTCAAACGGGACCGCACGTCCGTCTCTAGCTACGAATGCCGTACCCAGTCGTTTGAGGGATCCAAACGGCACAAAGTCTTTACCAGTTGCAGCGTCAACAAGCAATCTCTCGAGTCGTTCCCGCTGTATCGCGGTGGTTTGGGGTAGGAGGGTTACGGGTGATGAAGTTGTGGTTCTTGCTCGTCCTCGTGGTCTTTCTGGTGGAGCAAGAGTTTTAGTTATTTCAGTTTTTCCACCTACTTCAGCAGCAGCGTCTGCAGTGCTAGACTCACTGTAAGCCAAGACTTCACCTCCACAGCGCAGAAGTTCTTGTGGGCTCACCCTAGTGCCATCGCTGGCAACGAAGTCAGTGCCTATTCGTACCAAGTTTTGAATCGGTATCTTGACTTTCTTATTTGTTGTCGGCGAGATGGAAGAGAAATTGTTCGGCAACTCTGCAATACCGGTTAAGGGTTTGACGAGAACGGACTCGCTCTCCAAAGTCAAAACTTCACCTCCAAAGCGTATCAGATCCTTTGCGGAGATTGCATCTTTCGACACAGGAGCGACAAAATCTGGACCGCTTCGTTGGAGGTCTTGAAGTGAAAGCAACTTTGTTTTGTTTTTGCTGCTCGTCTGCGCACCTGAGGGCTGTGTAGCACTTCTCGGTTCATCTCCTCGCACAACGATCTGAAACACTGGCGCATCAGCCGCCCTCCCAGCAGGACGAACCACGAAAGAAGTAGCTTCACCAGGCATTGGCTTGTCCACAAGGACCTCACCTCCGAACTCGACGAGATCCGCACCTCCGACTCTCTTGCCGTCGACGGAGACAAAGTCTGCTCCGACTCGCTTTAGTGATGCTATTGGTACTACTACTTGTTGTTCTGTACTAGGAGACTTGGTTACTGTTGCAGATTGTTTCATAAAATCAGCTGCCGATGCTTGGAGGCGTACTTTACGACCACCCACATCAAGCACCTCTCCGCCGAATCGAGCGAGGTCTCTTGTTGCCACGAAGGTCCCATCAGCGGCCACGAATCCTGCCCCACTTCGTTGCAATGAACGAAAGGGCAAAGCTTCTCCCGTTCTGGCATCGATAAGTTCGACTTCCGGTTTGGAATGTGGTACTTTCGACGAAGTGTTTCTTGGCTTCCTTCTCAGCTTTGAAGTGGCAGAGAAGATTCCCATTCCTTCACCTCCCGTATCCATCAAAGAAGACTCAACTGTACCTCGAGAGGACTTACTGTCGATCCTCCTTGGACCACCTTCGTGATCGGAATCATGATCATCATCTTCACCCTCAAGAAGTTCATCAAGGTCTTCTTGGGAACTCAAGACTTCCACCACGCTGCCCGCCTCGTCTAGCACTTGCCCGCCAAAAGCAGCGAGATCCGCAGGTGGCACACGTGATCCATCTGCAGCAATGAAGTCCGCACCAGCACGCTGCAAGGTTTCTACAGCAACAGGCTTCCCGTTACTGAGACGGCGCAAAGGTCGGTTGGCGAAAGAGAATTTTCGGAGTGTTGTTCCATCCTCGTCTAGGCCATGTTCGGTTCCCGTTCGACTCGGCAGAGCGAGAACAGTTCGTCCTTCGGTATCCAGTAGTGCTCCACCAAATCTAGCAACGCCGGCCGCTGGAACGCTTGCACCTGTCCCGTCAGCCGCAACGAAGCCCGTTCCTCTGCGTTGCAACTGAGCGAGTGGAACTTCTACGCGTTCGTGCTGCAAGAGACGGAAGTCACAATCTTCGATCTTCAGCATAATCAAGGCTGTTGCCTGCGGTTGATCAACTACAATGCCAGAAGATGATGTAGTAATCTTCTTCCTATGTTGAACCGGCCGCACGGCTTTTACTAAAACAGGCTTTCCATCCGTGTCCAACACTTCACCACCATACTGTAGCAGTTCTGCGGCTGAAACGACACTGCGGCCAAAGGCGCTTACAAAGTTTGGCCCAACTCTCGCCAGTTCGGTCAATGCTATTGGCCGTGCGGTCACTGCATCCTCAAGCTGGGATTCGGCAGCAAGCACGATGGCAGATGGGACTTGATAGCGCGCTGACGACGGCGATGGCAAAGATGATGCTGAAGGACCACGACTTCTACTCTTCTCGTCCAAGATACAACTAGTAGTAGTCACTTCAGCCGGAATCTGCGTTGGATCCGCCACAAGCGTAACCGCGTCTCCTGCTGTGTCCAAAACCGCACCCCCAAATGCTAAAACCTCGACTACTGGACAAGCAGAGCCGTCAATCGCGACAAGATCCGCGCCTCTACGGGCCAGCTCTTCCAGCGGAATAGAGTATCCGTCCACTGTCTTCAGCTTTGCACGTTTGCTTTTTCCGTCAGGGTTGAGCCGTTTAGGAGGTCTCGCCTGTATTGGCTTCGGGTTCGGGGTGCCTTCTGTTCTTCGAGAAGCGACTTCGCCGCCAAAAGCTGCTAGAAGCGATGCTGGAACGGAAGAACCATCCGGAGCTACGAAATCGGTACCGCGACGTTTTAATGAGGTGAGATCTTCGGGAGCTAGAACGTCGAGGATGCTTGTGGGATGTTGAGTAATGGAAGAAGATGGATCCTTGATTCCGCCTCGAGCTTCCACGGCGCTGGTCTTACTTGCTGCGCGAGCTGCCACAATTTCATTTGCCCTCTTCAAAAGCGTTGAGAACTCGCCTCCTTGTTCCACGTCGATCGAGGCACGTGTGATCGCATCGACAGGGGCGATGGTGACACTAGTTCCATCCGTTTTGAGCACATCTCCACCGAATTCAACTAAGTCATCACCGCTAACGTGCGAACCGTCAGTTCCAACGAAATGAGACCCTAGCCTCTGCAACGAGTTCGCGCCCAAAGGGTTGATGCTTGCTGGTTGTTCAGATGCATCATTACTCGTAAAAATCGGCCAAGCTTTTACTTCACCAGCAACAGCAACATTAGGACGTGACGGATCCACGGATCGCACAGTGCCACCATAAAGTGAGAGCTCAGCTAACGGCACTGAAGTGCCATCAACTGCGGTTGCAGTTAGCTTTCCTTTTTCATCGTTGGAGGAAGCTGCTAAGGTCGGAGAAGTAGGTTCGCCAGAAAAGACAGCTGCATCAACACGACTGCTCGAAGCGACACCACGATTTAGCAGCAAAGTTTCCGGTTTTATCACCGCCTTCGTTTTCGTATCGACGAAACGCAAATCTAGCACAGACGGGTCGTTCTGCAATGCAGCAGTTACTTCGGAGGCGTTGGCTAGAGGAGCTAGACCAAAAGTTGTAGAAGATCTCTTGTGAGGATCTAGAGGTACTCCGCGTTCTTCCTCAAACGTTCCTGCCGCACTAAGTGCTATCGGTCTCACTTGCACTGCGTCGCCCTTGACATCCAAAACTAGTCCTCCAGTCCGTTTCAAGTCTCGAGCTGAGATCGGCGCTTCGCTGAAGGCGGAAACGAAATCCGTTCCACTCCTCTGCAGCACCGCAAGAGGCACTCCGCGGCCTTCGTCATCCGCATAAGAGGTCTGCTCGCGTCCCTTGATCTTTCTTGGTCGTCCATGAAGGTCCAAGACTTCACCGCCCCATCGACTCAGTTCTGCGCCATGAACAGGTCCTCCCGTTCTGGCGGCGACGAAAAAGCCGTCGTTGTTGATCCGCAAGTTGCGTGCTGCAACAACATTACCATTGATGTCCTCGAAAAACATGTCGCCTCCTGAAGTGTCTGTGCTAGCAGTGGCGATTGCACGGGGACCTACGACCACATCAACTGGAGCTGCCTCGACTGGTATATGCCTTCCCTCTGTGTCTAAGACTTCGCCGCCGTCTCTCAGCAAGTCCGCAACAGACAGTCGTCGGCCGTCGGCAGAAATGAAGTCGTCCGCGGAACGTTGTAAGCTCTCAAGCACAACAGGTAAACCTGTACGGCTGTCCATCAGTTGTTGAGGAACGTTTATGTTGTTCCCCAAAGATGAACGCGTCGAAGCTGCTAGAAGAGGGTCTCCTCTACTAGTAAGGTCTATGGATGTTCTGTTTCGCGCTCCTGCTACGATTTGTACCGGCGACGCATCTCCAGCCTCCGACGAGGCCAAAAAGCCCGGTGCAATAGTACCACCTTGTTCTGCTTCTGCAACAGCAGACCCTCTCACAATCGACTCCCGCGAAGCATCTTTCGTTTGCATAGAAGGAGAAGCACCCACGACACCGCCAAGGCGGCCAGAAGCGGGACCACGACCTTCAAGAAATAGACTAGCACCGGGTAAAACATTGGAGGGACCCGAGTTGTCAGTTGCTCCACCCACAGGTCCTCCTGTACCTCCACCCGCTCCGACAAAGGTTTCGCCAAGTAGAGGAGGATAGTTCTCGTTGGGACGAACGAGTTTGGATTCAGCCTTCATCGATGCCTCCATGTGAGAGCCGAGTGATTCATCAAATTGCAAAGACTGTCGGACAGCAGGAGTGATAGGTCGATAATCTCCACCTGAAGGGTCTGGGAGTAGCTGTCCAGCACTATTGTTGAGGAGCATATTGTTCATGTTGTTAGGTACTATAGGTTTGCCAATTATACTACTGCTTCCTACCACTCCACTAGCACCGTCAAAGTCAGGGGTCTGTGCGACTCCACCTCCTGGATCGCGAACTACAGTACTACTCCTTACAACAGCACCACCACGACCACTACTATCTTCCAGCAAACCGCTATCGAGCAACTTTTGACCCTTATCAGCACTAGGAGAAAACGCCTCTCCACTCCTCCGCGTCACTCCTTCAAACTCAGGCAATTCCAAGTGCGAGGAGTAGATGCGAGGACGTTCTGGAGATCGACTTCCGGTACGTCTTGGTAAGTGACTTACTGCAGTGGTCACAGGATCCTGCAGCTCTCCTGACTGTCGTGGCTGTAACCCCCCACCACCACCTCCAGCAACGACTTCTACTGGCAGAGGCAGAGGTGGTTCGCCTCTCTGAAGTCGCAATTGGTTCTCCATCAAGCGTAATTCGCGTTCTTTTTGCAACAGGAGTTTGTCCTTCATCTCAAACAGATCCTTTAGTGCGTCTTCCTTCTCATCACGAAGCCTTTCGCACTCCTTCTGCATCTGGTTAGCGAACATGCGCGTTTGCTCTGACAACAGATCGTTAGCGCATTTCTGCTGGTCTGTGAAAATCTTCTCCAAGAAAGCCTTGTTCTTGTCATCTCCACCTCGCTGTCCGGATCCGGAAGATGAACAACCCTTAGCCGCTGCTGCACCTCCTCCTTGTTGTATCGTAATATTCGTTGGACTTGGAGCTGGTTGGTTTACGTTGATGTTGGTAAAACGAGGATCTGAAGATCCTCCAGGAGGAGAAGCCCCTGATGTTGACCCATCCTCTGGACCAGTCGGTGACATTGGAGAAGCTGCTGAAGATAATGGGTCAACGGCGTCACCAACATTGTTATTGTTTAACAGTAGACCTCCACCTCCTGTTCCTGGTGCCCCAAATGTACTAACAAATGGTGGATCACCCCACAAGAGATCGTTATTCCTCACTCTAATATACGGATTATCCATCGTGTCGTTGTAGCTTGGTACTAATTGTTCGTTACCCATTGTTTCTCCTTCATCACCTCCTCCAAGGAAGGAGGTCTCATGATGGACAGGAAGAGGCTGTGCTGGTCCGCTTGATGTTGGCTGATTCGACATACTAGATGAGTCTGCTAGTTGTCCAGGTGGTCCACCTAAGCGTCTGTTTCTTCTAGCTTCCAACATAGCTGCTCTGTCTTGTTTCGCACCACTGCCTCGGTCCATGCTTCCAAAGGCTGCGGGTGGTGGTGCGGCCTTGACCTTGTCAAAGGCAGATCCAGTGCTTTGTGATGTACTTGAGTCTTGATTTGGACCTGGTGGAAATCCTCGTCCACCGGGTGCAGATCCTACATCAGTATCTCCGTATACGAAAGCAGGCTGTAAAGCAGTTGCTTGATGAAGTGGAGGCGTGCTGATATTCCTACTCACTTCTGGAGACACACTTCTATTGTGCTGTAGGCTTTCAGGAGGAACGTCCAGATTGACCCGCGCTCTTCCACTCCTTCCTCGTCCAGCTCCACGTCCATCATCCCCACCTTTGCCTCCCCCTCCGATATTACCTAAACCAGCTCCGCCAGCGCCACCTTGCTCCCACCACTCTGGTTGCTTTCTGCGTCGTTCTTCTTCAGCTAAGCGTTTTTGCTTGTCTGCTATCTGCTGCTGTAGTTCTTCTCCATAGTCCACGTCCACTTGCCTTCGACGCTCTCGCGCGCTCTTTTCTGGACTTGTGATTGGCCCCACTGCTCCTGCTGGAGCGCCTCCTTGTCGCTTCTCCCACCATTCTGGCTCGCCTTTTTGACGCTTCTCCCGCTCTTTTCGTCTGGCTATGGCATCCTGTTGCTCGCTAAGTTCCCGCGCGTACTTCTCCATTCGGTGCTTCTGGAGTTCGCGCCGCTTCTTGCATGGATTAGAAGTGAACAAGGACAATTAAAGTTGTAGACGACACCCCGCGAGCGCGATAGAAGCAACGCAACTTGTGTTGCCAAAGACAAAAATGTGACCACTCCTACTCCGTCTACAAAATTTTTTCCATTATCGTGTTCTTAATGCGCACAACAGATGATCATGAGTCATAATATCGGCATCTTCTCCGCCAATGGCTAAGTTTCCTCCTCCGACTAATTCGTCCTCTTCCACTGACTTTCCTCGATCTCGCCACAATTCTGGACTGCGTGGTGGACTTCGGCTGCCACGTTGATTTCCTTCGTCTCGGACCCACTGCTGGAAGTCTTTCCTCTGCTCTCTCAGCGCCCTCTCATGCCGCTCGCGTGCAGCATCACCAAGATTGTCGAAGAGGGGTTAGAACTAGAAGATGAGATTGAGCGTCAGCGTGTAGTACTTGGTTACATTGAATTTATAAATTGATACAGAGATGCAGATGAACTAGTAGAAAAAAAAATTTTATCATGTTTGCTCATCATGATCATCTACCCTGCAATCTAGAGACGTCACGTGGGAATATCAAATCCTTGTAGTTATTCCTTTCGCCCATAAAACCCATCATCCTTGTTTTTCTGTCTTGCTCTCTCCTGCTTCATCCGATTCCGACTACGAGCCGACTTTAGAGGAGACGCTTCGCTCTCAGCTCGCATTGCCCGTCGCATTTCCTCTCTTTGTTGTCTGCGCAACTTCTCCTCCTTGGCTTTCTGCTTTTGCCCCAATACGTCAAACATGTTGCCACCAGCGAAGTCATCAGCATCATCTTCCTTAGAGGTTGCCGAATTGCATTCTTCAGAACATCCTTGACCTATTTCGCCCTTGAAAAGGAGCCAAGGATGGTAGTGAGGGATGTAATTCGGAAACCCTTAACTTCATCGCCGTGGTCGAGGTTGTTAGGAGAACGAGGATCTTCTTGGTGACGATGTTGGCCACCTCCTGTTGTATAATGACTTCTCTTTTGATGGTGTTGTTTATTGTTCGACGTATTCCGACGAGCATCATCTCGTTCATCATTTTCGTTCTTGTAGTAGGCATTCCTGTTTTCTTGTAGGTGCCTTTGCCTCCCTCGACCACCTCCACCGCCATCAAAGTACTGGTCCTGATTGTCAGGAGAAAAAGCCGCTGAATTCGAGATACTGGCATTGCTTCTGTTCCCTACTGGGCTCCAGGCTCCACGCGGCGTTCGTTCTGGAGAGTGTGATAGCTGTCTGTGTTTTTTCCTTAAATGAGCTCCAGGTCCAGGACCTTGCTGTTTTCCAGTGCTTTTTTGCCGTTCCTGCATCTCGGCTCGCATCTCTGCTTGCTGTTGCTTCCGTAGAGCGAGTTTCTTCTGCTCATAGGTTGCACCAAGGTCAAGCAAACCACCACCTCCACGTGCTGAGACGGGAGGTTGTTGAGGAGTTCTACTCGGCTTCTTCATCTTTTGTTCATCTCGATGAAGCTGCTGTCCTTCTTGATCTAGATCTCGTCTTGGCGGTGGAGGTGTTCGATCTTGGTCGTAATTTTGATCTTGATTGCCCCTTCTCTGACCTGCGGCACGATCTCTAGACGGTTTCCTCCGATATTCATCATCTTCGTGGTCTTCTCTTTCAGGATAAATGTGCTGGTGCTGTCGATGCTGCTCCGAAGCTGAATTCCCGTTGATAGCAATTCCAGGCACCACGGAACCAAAAGGACCACCACCTCCTGCTCCGCGCTGGTTTGGATTTCCTTGATGTTCGTGTACTTGCTGTACTTGCTGTCCTGGTCTTGTTGTCCTCTTTCCTTTTCCAAATTTTCGGTCACCGAGCTCATGCAGGACATCTAGTTCTGATTTTTGCGGCGCTTGTGGCGGAGCAGGTGGTGCATGGTGGTCCATAGGTGGACCACGGTGGTCCATAGGTGGATAAACCACTTCCTGAGCAGCCAGATTGCGGATCATATCACCGTTCCCAAACTGCTCTCCTTGTTGATGCTGTGGAGGTGCAGTAGCAGGAGCTACGTTAGAGCTCACCATAATCCATCCCGAGACGCATGATCCTAGGTGCCTATTCCCCTTGAGAAGCCTCTTGGGTACTTATGCAGCTTCCGGAGATGCATTAGGGTAAGCCTTAACTACATGATTATTTGAGGTACTGCTTGACGACGACCCGCCGTGTTGTTCCAGAAATTTGGCACGTTTTTGGTTCCAGAGTTCTGAACGAGAAATTTTGACCTTGTTGCTCTGTTGTTGGTTCATCATCGGCATCATTGGAGTTCCCACCAGTCCAGACGAGGGCATCTGCTGAGCTTGCTGCCCTGTTCCCACCAGTCCAGACGAGGGCATCTGCTGAGCTTGCTGCCCTGTTCCCACCAGTCCAGACGAGGGCATCTGCTGAGCTTGCTGCCCTGTTCCCACCAGTCCAGACGAGGGCATCTGCTGAGCTTGCTGCCCTTGGAGATTTGTTCCACCCTGCTGATGTTGTCTTTCTCGCTGTCTTTCCGCTAGTCTTTGCTCTCTAGTCTTTTTCGCGACACCTCCTTGAAACGGATCATCTGCTCCATCGTTTTTTACACCAGGACCACCTCCAAGAAAGTTGTTATTTGCGCCTGGAGGACCTGGAGGAGCCGAGAACAAGTCTCCTCCTCCTCCTGGACCTTGCAACCATGGAGGTAAGTTCTCTTTTTCCTTCTTCAGCGATGGTTCTTTACCTGGAGCCACGAAATCGTAGACTGCTGCTTTGCGAGCCTCTGTGTCGTCAATGCTCAGATCAGCGCCTCCCTTGAACCTGGTTTTTTTTGTGTCTACTGTCTACAAGTGCACCACGCACCGCGTGACTTGAATCGGGGTCGTGGCCCGAACATACGAGAGTATGAGATTGACTTGGGAGCAGGTTGGAGGTGCAGATGAAGGAGATGGTAAAAACGAGTAAGTCAGTCAACACAACGACAAAAAACCAAGCAACTAGTAAGTTCCAAAAGTACGCCCTCGGTGCTCCCTCGAGATTTTTTTCTTGCGGTCCGAGCCTAATGGCTGCTGGTACAACCACAGGCTTGCTTGCGACGCCAACACTTATCTTTAGAACTGGATCGATACTTTTTTCTACGAAGATGAACAAAATAAAGGAAGTGTTTAGTTTGAGCTTGGGCACTAGGTGGGCTACTACTTCTCCTACAGTACACGTAGTATTTCTTCTTATGTTACTTACTTCGAGTACTACAACGGTCCATAACATTTCCGCCACTTTCCCTTCCAACTGTCGTATGTGCTTCTGTTTTTGCTCCGCCAAACCCAGAGCTTCGAAGTCACCCATCTCATGCTGTTGAGTCAGCTCTTTGTGGACTGCTTTAGCTTCTTTTAGTTCGTCCTCTAGCTTGCGGAGTTTACGTGCTTGCACCTGTTCATCCAAGTGCGAATGGATTTGGTGCTCAGCAACACGGGCAATATTTTGCCCGCGCTGGTTCCGGCCTCCTCCACGCGCAGGAATCATTTTGACTGTTTTTGATGGGTACTATCAAAGATGATGATAGATGCGTTGGTGAAGGCCTCGGGCACACATCGATGTCAATGGCATGTCTACGGGCGTCTGTAGTTCAGTTACTTTCCATGTTTCTTTTACTACTTACTGAGTAGTATGCCATCGCATCGCCTAGGGATGAAAGTGTTTGGATTCCGCTCGTCATTCTGCAGTAGAAATACTTTCGCGCCATTTTTTCACTCATTCTCTCGTCGGTCATTTGCTCCTCCTATTTTTTGCTCTCAACTTCAATACAGACGTATCTTCACTAGTTCAAGTTTATTTGGTGCAGCTCCTCACTCGGGAATTATACTACTGCCAATTAGGGTCTGCCGGCAGGTATTGATGATGATAGTACCGAATCAAGCGTCATGGTCAGCGTAAAAAAGCGTCATGATCGAAGTTAATAAACTTATGAGGTCAAAAAGTTCCAGATGCTTCACAAAGCATTCCTACCCCTTCGCATTTCCCAACATCGTCCTCATCCCCATCCCTTTCCTCTTCCAGAACTGCGACACCTGATACCTTTGCTCATTTTTCACTATGGGTGGCACAGATGACACGCACACAGGTCTTAGCATTTTTTTCAGTATTGGATTTTCTACTATGTACCGCAAATCATCTACTTTGACGTCAACAACGTACCCTTTTGTCGTTAAGGCCACACGACCAAGACGTCGGTTGATGAAGTGCGAAGCCCAAGCACGCTGCTCACGGTTTATGCCAGATGGTGTTCTTGAGAGGGATGAGCCTGCCCTTGTTGTATCTGCAACAAAAAAATCTGGATCATTGTCCCTGGTGTTCTCTCTCTGCCCGTCCGCAGCTCCACTAGTACCTTCCAGAGCTTTTTGAATCACTGACAGCAAATGTGGACGACTCCGTACTACTGTGCGTTCATTAGCTGCTTCGTTAGGAGTCTTCGCGGTCTTCATCCTGTTCAACACCCCGTTTCCGTTACTGACTTCCACAGCACTTCTAGCGTAGTTTGGAAACAAAACCGGAACGTATTCTTTTTTCCCTGACAACGGAGATGCCCATTGAAAGCTTTTATCCTTCTGCTCCAGCAGACACAATGCTTGCGCTAACAGTTGTGCTCCATCGTAGTGTATGAATGGCGTTTCTTTGTTCCTCCATCTAGACAGACCATCCTGGCAGCTTGTCCCCTTGAAATTACGAGTGCCAGGATGAGCAGTTTTTAAAGATGGGGGAGGAAATATCATCCATACAGTGCTGGAGATAGTGCTCAACGTCCTTTGCAAAGGACTCCGTGTCCAAGCCATAGGCGCGCTCGCATTCCTCAAGCAGCGTTTTTAGCCTCTCTTCACGCAATTCTTGGGGATCGGGAGTCTCTAAATCGGCAAAACGAATCCCCAGTTGCCGTTCGAGCGACTGAATACGTTTGGGTTTCGGAGAAGAGAGGAGCACGTGAGAGTGAGACGCGAGAGAGCTTAAGCCGCCATTGGAAGCAATCTGATGAAAGTCCCTCTTTGATGAAGAATGTTTTGAAGCATTCGCAGCCGCCCTTGCCCTTGCAAGTCCGCTCTTTTGTCGTTGTACACGTCTCAACCGGTTCTTTCTCTTGCCAACAATAGTAGCGTTCGAACTTCTCTTCATTTTGGCTGTGGAGGTGGGCGAGAAAACTTTTCCACATCCGCTGATACAACTCGATGCTTCCCTGCTTACAACATCGTCTGCAAATACATCCTCTTCTACATCCTTGTCCCGAGTAAAATTCCCCCTGATCATACTGTTCTTGTCACTGTTTATCCCTCCAGTTTTCCAAGTCTCTTTCCTGGTATTTTCCGGCAACATTACCACACTTGTTCCCGCTATCCTTATACGACCAGCGCGATGAACATAGGTATCCAAAGTGGGAATGCTATTCTGGACACGCTTGTTATTCGACTTAACTGCCATTCTCCCACTAGATGGAAACTCAGATCCAAAGGTAAGCGGACCAGTCCCATAAGGCGATCCTGCAGATGTTGCCGTCTGAATCCCACTAGGTGTGTGTATTACTAGACTAATTTCAGGCAAGTCCAAACCTCTGGCGGCAACGTCTGTGGTGACCAACACACCGAATTCACCCTTGCGAAAGGATTTCACGGTGTCCATGCGTTCTGTGACTGACTTAGCACCACTCAATTGCTGCACTTGCAGTTGTTCTCGAGATGAGCTGCAGCCAGATGACAAGTGTCGTTTTAGATACTCCATAATGAGAGTACAGTCGCTGCGTGTAGGTGCGAAGACAAGAGCAAGCTTGTTCGGTGAAGATCTTGAACCAAGAACTTGTTGATGATCACGTCCTAGCTTTCCATCTCTCCACTGTGATAGTACGTGACCTACAGCTGTCCCAATCTTCTGAGGGACATTCTTCATCTTCGAACCACCGCCAGCACCCCCCATACATGGAGGTAATGCATACTGAAGATGAGAAATTTTAGCATTCAAGGCGCACCCGGTCTCTATTTCAAGTGGAGCTCCTGCTACTGGTCCATGGGGGGCTCCTCCTGTCGGTGAAAAAGATAATCGACGAGATGTTGTTGAAGGAGATATTGCATGATCATCGCTATAAATGTCCCCGTCCGTACTATTAGAGCTGTCCGTAAATCATCTTTCAAGTGCATCCTTGAAAAGTATGGGGGAGTATTCCCTTAGGATACTCCTCCATACGTTTCAAGGATGCGTCCACAGATGTATTAGGTACAGCCGTAATGCTACATTTGCTAGAAGTAATATGCGAAGATGCGGGTGTAGTCGCCGCCCTCCTTTGTTTGATGGCAGTACAACTGCTGCTTGTGCACCATTCTAGCATCAAATCCCTCAGCCAGGCAGGTTTTGTCGCTGAGAAAGCTAGTGTTTGCTCCCTTGTACTGCTGACCAATCGCAACAGTTCTCGAGTTTGATCCACATATTGCTTCGAAAAGAGTTGATCGGCCTCATCCAGGACCACAATACGGGGATGGAGACTCAATATTTTGGTTGCTGAAGACGATGAACTCGACGAAGCTAATCTCAATAAGACTCCAGGCGTTCCGATCAGCATGTCATGTCCTTCTCTAAGAATGCGTCTCAAGAACGCTTGATTCATTCCTGGTTGGAGTAATAGGACTCTTTGATTCACTGCTTTGATTAAAGCTACTAATTTTGCGCACGATCCGTGCTGGTGGACTGGCTGGCTTTCTTACCCCTTGAATTTTTAGAATTTCCCTTCAAATCGAGGGGGTTATCATCCCACTCGGGATAGCTCACAGTCACACTGGATAGTGAAGAAAAAGCGACCATAATTTGACTTGCCCAGCTACGAAACGGGTCTGCTCGGCCAATTCTGCTGTTGGCGTGAGCCACAGTATCGGCTCATGTTGTCGCGAGTATACCTGTGCCGCTCTCTCCAGTACGGGGGCTAAAAACGCCACTGTTTTCCCGGATCCCGGTGCCGCGCGAGCGAGGACGTCCCGACCTTGCAGCACTGGTTGCAAAGCACGCTTTTGGATTTCGGTAGGGGGCCAAAAACCATGCTTCTTCAGACGTTGAGTCGTGTCGTGGGAAAGCTTCTCAGAATAATTCGAGAAGCTAGTTCCACCGGATGTTCTCCCTGTCCTAGAGCAGGAAGAACTGCTCCAAGAGGATGCGTGCGTTGCTGACGCTGATGTCATCGTGTTTCTCGAGGTTGATGTCCCACTGAGACCACGCCACACACAGTCACGACGTCGAAGAGACTGCAGAAGTGGTTCGGGCGTAGCGGTTCTTGCGCACATGTAATTCACTTGGAAGGACGTCATCCTGTTAATCGCCTGTTAGCACTCCGACGAGAGTGACAGCAACAAGATCATCATATTAAGCCGCGTCGTGCTACTACGAGGACACGACCTACTCGTGCTCGTGCAAAAAATATTCCAAAGCTAGTACAGCTTTCCTTGTCCTTGCATAGACTTTACTTCTTGTAAAATTTTTCCAACTCTCGAGGACGTTTCAGTTTCTTTTTCCCGTTTCATAACTCTGTTCATGAAGTCAAAGACAATAAATTCGCGAACAACACCGATAGGGCGGCACCACCACGAGAGCAATATCTATGGTATCGCAGAAACTTCTGCTTTTGACTACTTGGCGCACTACCTCTGTGTGTATTTTTCACTCATTCAGTTTGGGCCTCCCTGTATGTCGCCCTGGTCCTCAGTCCAGCTTTTTTTTTTTGCGTTAGGACTATATGCCGCCACCCTTTCAATCAATTACTTACCCCCTTATTTATAAGATCATCCAAATTACATACTGGGTGCGCATAAGACCTTACAATCGGCCACAAATCTACATCTATCGGAGAAGCCGCACACTCGACTCCTGTAGAAAACCTAAGGCGCAACCCGACGCAGCGGGGCCCCGTGAGTAAGTCAGCACACCTGCAGGGGTATGACACGCCGCAACACTGATGTTTGATATACTGATGAACCTCCTAAAACATGCATAGAGAGTTAAAAATTAACTAACTAACAAACCCGAAATCAATAAAACAGGCCTGAGCTAAGCATCAGCGCAGAGATCGGACTTAAATAATGTTTTTGAGATCTCGACCGGTGAAGTCACATGCCTCGCCAGTCATCTACAGCGCGGAGCTAAAACCGTGATGGATGCGGCCTGGTGAAAGAATGGAAGTGGCAGCCAGCGCTCTTCTCGGGGAGGAATTAGTTAGGTGTCTGCCGCTGTTTGGTAGAGTTAGCCTGCGTGCTGCACTGCCGCAAGTCGAACTCGGATCCGCGTCAAACAAGCAAAAGCATACGCTACTACGAAGCTAGAAGAGTCTACCTAAATTCAATAAATCGTAAAACTCAAACAGCATCGCTGAGCATTACTTAGCCACACCATGCCATCAGCGGAACATAGAAAGAGAAGAAGAGGCAGAGGGCCACTAGCTATAGTGCGTATTGACCTGACTGCGTGACGGACGCCCCCCCCCTATGTTCTGTTTTTTGTGGGTGGTCGATGTTTCATTTGAGCCGAGGGCTAGAACACGAAGCGACAACAAATAGAAGCAGCAGCCGCGACAGTCACCACTTAGACTGACGGACTGGCCACACCGTCGAAGCGACGCGCAATTAGCCATCCGCCATTGTTTTAGTTTTCTAGCTAAGTCCTTACGGGGTTCCTTTCTTTTCTCCCTGCTCTTCCTCGCCTTGCGGGTGGCTTTTCCCGCTTCTCTACTGGGCCGCTGCTCGCGCTCTTACGAGTGAGAGAGGCGGCCGATGCAAGCGAGGCGCAAATCTGAACTACAAAAAGACCCCTCGATCTCCTGCGACAGACCGCGACCCCCGCTAGACCTTCCGCTTCTCCCTTTTTTTCTGCGCTTGCGTCCTTGCTACTACCTACTACCCTGCTCGCCCGGCGAGCCGACAGAGATAGACGACCACGACCAGCAGGGGGGGGCTGGAAGCTTTCCGAAGCGACTCGAATGCCTTGAAGTCGGAAGACCCGTAATGCCAGGAGGAACAGCATAGGTCGCAATGTGATAAGACGTTCGCTGGCCGTCGCGGACAACCAGACGCCCATCCACGCGATCACGTGCCCAACGAGAACGACTTCCGCGTCCCAAACCTCGCGCGTGAGAAGCTCCCTACTTGCTCACCCGCCGCCACACCTACTGACGTCGAGGTCTTAGGTCTTTGTCGGTTCAGAGACAGAGCTCGCAACACGCAAGCGTAATATGCTTACATACTACCTACTCCCTCCGTCCTTTCTTACCTTACGCTGGTGACGCGCCCGCGCCACGGCCACTACGGTTCCGACCACGCGGAGCAGCTCCAGCCCCCGCGCAAAGATGAAGGCCATGCTCGTCAAAACACAAAAGAAAACTACGACAGCGGACTTGGCTATTGGTCGAGCTTTTTGTGGAACTATAACGAGAACTCCTGCCCAGTCTACATTAGCAGGAGCCCTCTTAATTACGACGGGGCCGACCTGTTTCCACTCAAGCGCCCAGGCCTCTCGTTCAAGTCGTGGGGATCTTCTAGGTGCGTCCTACTCATACCAATGACTTAGCCCGCCAGCCGTTAATCATGCCGCTTTGCTCTCTTGGAACAAGAAGTAATCGCTCACTAGCCTTGACCATAAACCACAACCACATTTGTTTATTCGATTCATTCAGTGAGTGAGTGAGTGAGTCATTGAGTATTGAAGTGAATGAGTGGGTGAGTGTGTGTGCCTATCAAGCAGCGTGGTCGGCAAAAAGGAACCGCTTCGACTACTACCTCCTAGGAGCACTCTCAAAGGAACAGGACGATGCATATGGTCGCGCCACGATACGTCCTTCGTAGCCCAATCAGAACATCAAAGAACTACCCGCCCCACGGAAACCTAGAAGTTACTTGCGAATCTAAGCTTTCTACTTGTTATCCAAGAATTTTCCATTTTATCTCATCTTTTTCAAATTCATTTCCTGGCAAAGCCAAAATATTTCATATGCTGTACGCCTCAAATTGTGGCCAAATCCGACCCAAGTCAAAGTTTGAGCTTGAAGTTGAGTTTTCAACTTGATATCCAAGAATTTTTCATTTTATCTCATCTTTTTCAAATTCATTTCCTGGCGAAGCCAAAACATTTCATATGCTGGACACCTCAAATTGTGGCCAAATCTAAGTCAAGTTTTGAGATTGAAATTGAGTTTTCAACTTGATATCCTAGAATTTTTCATTTTATCTCATCTTTTTCAAATTCATTTCCTGGCGAAGCCAAAATATTTCATATGCTGGACGCCTCAAATTGTGGCCAAATCTAAGTCAAGTTTTGACTTTGAAGTTGAGTTTTCAACTTGATATCCAAGAATTTTTCATTTTATCTCATCTTTTTCAAATTCATTTCCTGGCGAAGCAAAGATATTTGGTATGGTGCAGACCACACATTCCGTCCAAATCCATACTGCAGCGATTCCTATTTAATTCTGCCCACTTCATCTAGCTTCTATAAACTTCTAGCATCTACTATCTTCTGATATGATCTACTAAGACTGCTAAAATCTGCAAAGCATCCACTTCTAGAAGTACTACTTTTTATCTTTTAGTGAGTTCTAACGTCTTTTACTTTCGTCTACAACGGCCTTCTACAAGTTCTTGCTTCTACTAGGTTCCAGCGTGGTTGTAGAGTGCCTCATAATTGAGTTTGACTCGGACAATCCCAAACTTTTGCAGTACTAACTACTGACAAACTGCTGGCTTCCAGTAAATGGGTCGCCGCTGCTGCGTCTAGCAACAATTTGCTAACCACCAGCAGCAGTAAACAGCTCTTAACTATAACAGAAATAATAAGGTCGTGCCTGGCAGTGAACAGGAACTGAGCAACAACATGCTAACTGCTACTGGTGCTTGCAAACTTCACAGACTCCTGACTGCCACCTCGAAGACCACCAAACAACTGCTAGTAGCAAATAACTCTCCTAGAATCAGAAATAGAAACTAGTAGTAGAGATAAAAAACTGCTAACTGCATGATCATGAACAGACTTCAACTGGGAAGAAGCAACTAGTAGGAACAAAGAGCGCAAACGCAATCCATTTTTCGCCTTAAAACGGACGATCGTCCGCTCATCATTCCTCTTGTCTGATGCAAAACTAATATGCAACGGAGTCAGTCTGTGCCCTCCTTCGCCGCTCAACACGAGAACAAGACTGAGGCATAACCACACAAGCAGTGAGCGCTATAATCGCAGCAGTGTCACGCTGCAGCCCTACGGTCATTCTGGATACACTATCCTCTGTGACGTCATGTTTTTCTCTTATGTGCGTATAGCAATGGCTAAGATTGCTCTCATGTCGGCTAATAAGAATTCGCTATGATGCTTTCATGGTGATAAAGACAATTTCGTTTTAGTTTTTTTTTCGCGATGATAAAATAAGTACTTAATTGTTGAGAGCCTGATCGTCCTCTCGCACCCTGGTTCGTGGCTAATGACGAAAGTGATCTGTTATGACATTTCCAAATCCAAATTCGTTGCGCGACCCTCCTCGTGCTTCCTGAAATTACAGTGCTTTTACTTGCTGGGCGGAAGGGACGAGGCCGCGAGGGCTATTTATTTTCTCTCCAGTCTGTTGCTACATCTTCTAGGCCATTTCTACGAGAAGAGCTTTCGTGGCCGTGTCACAACAGTCGTACCTACTGGAGTGAGAGCGAATCCACGCCCTTTCGTCACTGTAGGGGGCGACTACTGTCAATCGAGGTGTCAGGGGACTACCTCGGAAAACAGGAAACTCAAGGAGCAGCTTGTCCCTACGTTGCTCAGCAAAACTTCCTGGATCAGGATTCGACGTCACCCCTAAGCCTCACCTTCTCCTACTACACGGCTAAGCACTTCGCGTTCTACCTACATCTTCTAGGCCATTTCTACGGATTGTCCATGGCTATTTCTCTCCTCATCTTCAAAAAGCACAAAAATCCTTATAATTGCTGGGAAGCCGCGAGGGTTCGCTTGAATTGCGAGTAGTTAGTTGCTTATCTTCTGCGTCTAAACCTGCAGCAGATGGCATACTCTGGGTTTTAGTCTTTAAAAGGACTAGGAAATAAGACTGCAGACGAGGAGAATACGCCGGGCCCAAATTTATGCACTAGGGCGGACCCAGATGTGAGGGATCAAACGCCACACACCCCGCAAGCACTCCTATCGAAAGACGTGCCGCCATGTAAGTCTTTTTAAGATACTTCGTGACGAAGTACTTGAAAACCGAAGGAAAATAAAAATCGAGTAGCGGGCCTTCCTAATATCTATAATACCCAACCCCTAAGTAAAACAAAATAGCGAGCTACTAGCACCATAAGGATTCTGATACATAATATCCAACTATGCATAGTTCTTGTTGCTGTTGTTCTCTTGTTGTTGAAGTTTGTTCGTTGATCACTGAACAAAATAGTCTAGTTCTTGTTGTATATTCTTGATGAGTGTGAGTCAGTTTCTGTTCTCTCAACATTAAACACATAAATATATTAAGTGGCTTTCGCATACATTTATTACATCAATTTCGAATAAAACATGATATTTTTGGGACAAGCTTCGTAACGAGATCGAGATGAAGCTTGTAGTTTTTCCATTTAAGTACTTGATTGTCAGCGAAGAAAGATCACGGTAAATATCAATGATCCTGTTGACGATTTATTGATTCCCAATCCCAGCCGCTTTGCCCATTTCTATATCAATAGCATTTTTATCCGAACAAGAGTCCAAGCGATTGATTTTGATTTTCACGATCTTGCTGTTCATAAAATTGAGAAGCTAACTACAGTACTTCCCAGTTCCTAAGTGGTTGATTCTGGAACAGAAAAGGACGAAAACAGAAGATGGATCTATACGCTACGTGGTTGAAGGTACTAGAACTAGAGGACTGGGTCCTCTCCAATGCACTCATCTTGATGGTTGTGCGGGAATCTCTGATTACATCTTGAGCAGGGGCAAGAGCCTGTCTGCCTGATCGAAGGTGGCACGCGCTTTCGCTTGGTTGCCGCCGCTTTCGAGAGTCTTCCTGAAAAACGTCAGGAAATGGAATAACCGCTTCTTGAACAAAGATAATTTTGGATTCCCGTATTTTTCGAAACATTTGGACATTAACTGTACCCCGAACAGCAGGTGTGCTCTCATCAGCAGCAACGCGCATTGTGGATAATTGTCGGAAAGCAGCTTCACACTTGCACCAGTCGACTCTGTATCCCACAAAGTGCCCACTGCGTTAGTCACCTTGTCTCGCAGCTTATCACGGTCCGCGGCCGAGAAAGCCTGCGCCGAGAGCAAATAATCTGGTCTCGAGAAATACTTCCAGACAGAAACGAAATTCGTCCCAGCAACTTTAAGCAATTCCTCCGCAGTTCGCCGTGGCACAGGACTGCCGCTGAAACTATCCGAGATCTCCCCGGCGCTCGTGATAACCTCTTCCTGGCTTACTGCCGGAATCTCGGACAAATTGACCAGAGCATCTAGTCCGGGGCATTTATCTTGCAGTTGCTGATGCTCTGCCCTGGTATAAGAGATGCTCTCCCCGAGCTCTCTTGTGCAGATCCTCTCATCGATTTCCTCCTTCTTCTCGACAGCAGCACTTGCCACTTGCGAGTTGGGGTATTCCAGCCCCTTATCCACAGGAGGAGTCTTGCCTTCCTCTGTTTTCGCCTCCTTTTCGAATACAGCGGGAACTCGCACATCTCCTTGCGTTCCGCGATCGCCCACCTGTTACTAACATTTTTGGCGGTTCTGAAACACAACTCTGCAAAAATGCTGATGACGATGGATAAAAATAGACGAAAATTGTAGAAGCATGGCCGAATCTAACGCTCACACCTTCAATTGTGTCACATCTACTTCAGATATTTGCTGCTTTCGTTAGGATTAGGCCCAGATTGGTTTTATTTGTCACTTGGAAAAATATCATCGGCAAGAGTAGCTTTTGTAATTATATTCATATTCATGTTCTTACTTTTTTGATATTACATGATGAGCTTGAGCAACTCATATTTGTTTTTGTAGAAGATCCAAACGTTTTGCATGTTGAAGGCATAAGCCTAAGATTTAGAGGGAAAGCGGGCCGGTTGTTTTACTTATGTGCTTTGAGCGTCGCTGGACCTAAACCTCTACCCTATGCCCAAGAAATGTAAATTGTAATATGCAATAGAAGATACCATGCGACATTCTTCTGCGTCTGCATCCCACTGCCCGACTGTGTGAAAAATTTTTACCTCCACAGCTTGGAGCTGTTCGTCGCTCGGGGCTGTTGTAGACAGTGGCGGAGGAAAATTTTCATCTTCGGCCGCGACCTCGCTGACCATTCGAGAAATAGCTGCGAATGTTTCCCGCTCTATGATTAGAAGTAGGTCTTCATTGGTGCCTTTGTATTTGGGTCCTGTTATTTTGCCGTCCTCCCTGGATCGATAAGTAGTAGTACTGGCCAAAACAAACATGTTCACGTTGTAGTTGCTTGCAGCAGCGGAGTGTCCTCACGTATGCAAGCATTGTCCTGTAGAGAAAGGGAAGGACCAATGTTAAAAAACCGCTAACCAACGATACATAAGAACACCTAATAAAAACTATCCCTCATAAGAGCGGAGTTTCCTCACGATGCAGAAAGCGCGTCGGATCAAAAACCAACACGTCATCCGGAGTAGTAGAGGAAAACTGCAACACGGCATTTTCGTTTTTCACTAGGTCTGAGCCGGCCGCCGCCACGAACTCTTTCAGCTGTCCCATGAGTGTCTTCGCTAACTCGTTTGATGTGGTTCCTCTTCCTTTGGGTAGTTCCGTGCGACCATATTTCTGCAGCGTTTCCGCAATGTTGGCTAGTTTTTTTTCCGCGGCACCGGCATCAACACCGTGGGCATCTGGTATCAGTGACAGCCGACGTGCGCAGAGCATCGACGCTAGTGCGATCGAGCGCCAGTTAGGCACGCCTTCCTCTCGGATGAGGGCCCCAGAGGTAAATAGCCCGGGGCAAGCACCTGAACTAGAAACCCATACACTCCAAATGCGCGCTCCTTCGGGAATCGAATGCCGTCCATCAAAACGTGCTGCATCTCGGTGAAATCCCAATGGAGCTCCCGTCACCGCAAGAGCATTGACCTCCATCACACTGACGTGGTGGCACTTGTCACCCTCCGCACTAGGCTGCGCTCCCCTCGTGTCTGCTACTCGGATGTCCGCGCGAAAGGGAAACTTCTCCGAGAACATACGCCCAAATGTTTTCCCTAAACGCGCAAATCCTTTCACCTGGTGCGCACCACCTCGTCCACTAGAATGATCCTGATGTTTGGCCAAATCGGTGGCCCACTCAAGGACGTCTCGGAACACTTTCGCCCCGTCGGTTCTGTAGCCGGGAGTGGTCGGGGGCGAAGATGGAGAGGGCTCTTTTAAAAGGCTCAAGTCGAACCGGAAGTAGCCAATGCGGCCGAGGCGGCTGTCGTCCAAGTTATTGGATGTGATTTGGAGCGGTAGTCCGGGCGTGACTCTGTAGTGCTCGTCTGGCGGCAAGCAGAGCCCCTTATCGGAGTGCCAGTCGCCAAGAAAATGGGCAACCCTCAGCTCAACTGACCAGAAAATAAAATTTTTCTCTGCATATGCATCTGTCGTTTCATCCTCCGAAAGCTTTCTCTTCCTATTCTGAAGCAAAACCTTCTTTATTTTGAAAAAGTCACGCGACGTCCAGAACGGTGCGTTCTCACCACGGTGTGGAAAGCGCGCCGCATCAAGCACAAATACTTCGTTCTTTTTGCTCGACGCATATTGTAATCTTAGACAAGAATGACCAGTTGCAGGAGAGCTCGAGTAACTTCAGGATAGGGCATAGTCCGATGTATGTTGAGTCAAAGTCAAGTCTCTTTCTTTTTTAAGAGTCATTTTCATTTACATGATGCTAGTTCTAGTACTTATCGGTCCAGGACGATTCTCCAAAGTCTTCCGAAAATAGACCACTCTTCACTAGTAAGCGTGAGATGACACGAGCACCATCTACCAAGTAAGTCTACCTAGGTAGAGATAAGGACGCCAAACCTCTTCAACATAAAAACAGTTTTGTTTCGCTAAGGTACTTCGCGGCTTCTTTCTGCAGAGTCTCCAAAGACTTGGGGTCTGCCTGTGTAAATCGTTGTAGCGCTTGCGTAAGCGTATTCCGGTTGGTGAGGCGCGACAATGCACCTCGAAGTCCTTGTTCGTTATTGCTGCCTGTTATTTCTTTATCTAGGTGCGTCTCGACATCAACGGAAGGTCTTCCGGCTACTTCCTTGAGATTCGGTTGCTGCCCCCATACGTCCCAGCGAGTTCCGTAAGTTAGATCATCCGCCTTGATAGGAAGGGTCGCGTCTGGTTCTCGCTCGCGAAGAACTGTCAAACGCCGCGCGCACAGCATTGCGTGGAGGGACCTCGCTTCGGCCGCATCTCGTCGTGCAGGGATCGCGGTGGTCGTGGTGGAGCCGTCACTCCCGACCTCCACGACTTTGTCCTCCGACTGGTCATGATGTAGTTGCTCGCCAGAAGTGCTGCCATCGGCTGCGCAACCTTGACTGCTCGAAAACCAAACGTTCCACGTGCGTGGCTGCAGGAGGCCGTTGCGCTGTGTTCGCGCACTCATCACGTCACTCGGCTTTGGCTCGAGCACGAAAAACTCGGCATAGTCTGTCCACGCTTCTGCCTGATCTCCAGTCGGCGTTCCGCGTAGTCCCTCAACCAGACGCGTTGCCGTCTTAGTTTTTGTTGTTTTTTGTCCCGTTCCGCTATTCAATATCATCGCGTATTTGTAGTTCCGGTCGGAATTCCGACTCACACTGCGTCCGGGGTAATGTTGCACGAAGTAGTTACTTTTCACCAACATCTCGGGCGCGGCCTTCACTTGGATAGCTTTCGTTTTTTCCCGATACGCATCAACATGAAAAAAATTATTTCTCCCGAGCGTTAGAACAAGATGAGGCGGAGGGGGCGTAGGCGTAATTGTAGGAAATAGAAATCATAATGCACGTTCTCAGATTTGAAGAAGAGGAAGATCCAACGACAGCACGACCCTCAACTGAGTTTGGTGGAAACGAATAATTTAGGTTTTATTTCCAACGACAGCACCCTTAACATCAGAGGCGAGCTGGAAGTGTTTTCAAGCGCATACCGAGAGTCGTCACTCTTGTCGCCGATATTCATTACGTAGTGGCACTTGCTTCGTTCTGGTCCGCGGTCCTCCCCAGAGGAGAGTGGAAATTTTTCCGCAAAAAGACGAACCAGAAGATTTTTAATCCACTGATCGTAATCCTTCTCAGAATAGGGCTTACCTGCTTCCCAGCCATCCGAGCTTTTCCTTACATTTTCCTTCCAAAGCTTGTGCGCTTCCTGCCAAGTTCGAGTTTGCACATGCACGTCAAGATCCGTATTCAAGCCACCGGTAATCCGCGACGAGGGCTCTTCTCCCCATCCAGCGTCGACTGGGAAAATATCCGAATTGTCCTTTGGCAAGTTGGCAAAATCAAAAACGAAGTATCCGAGCTCCTCTATACGAGGATCTGTCAGCGTGTTCTTGACTTAGAGGTGGCCGCTCATCATCCGTGCTTGAAAAAAGGACTCCATGGCATGCATAGTCCTCGAGATCTGGCTCTCTACTTCTAAATCAAATCACCTCTTGCTCCTGAGTCTGAGATGACTTCTGTTTCTGAGCAAGAATTATACTATTGTGATAACTTGTATTCTCTGAGGACATACTACAAGAACTGCTAACTAGAAGGAAATAAAGACGAGATAAATATTTCACGAATCATGGTGCCCATGCTCAAGATCGATACTTCACGCCAGAACGGATACAGATCATCATACATGATGATACAGATAAGATACTAGCATTCACATTCTTCTACCGCCTTAATCGATTTCGACAGCCTTTCCACGAAACCTGTGGTCTTCCGTGATGGATTCGCGCTGATCTTCGTAGATGTCCCCTGTTTTAAGAGGTGCCGAAGAGGAGTGCGAGTGCTTGTTCAACGCGGATGCAGACAACGCGGCCGCGGAAGGACACATGGTTAACGCCAAAATGGAGGACTTGCGGTGACTAGGGCCACTGACAACTGCTCCGCGTTGCGCCTGCGAACGCATCTTCATCTTGTTGTGTCCTTTCCCAGAACCACTTTTCCCGCGGCCTCCGCGCTTTTTGTTTCCTCGAGAAGAGCTGGCTTTCTTCATTTTCGAAAGATCCATGAGATTCGACACAAATAACACGAAAAAAAAATCTTCACAAACAATTATAATATGAAAAATGTCCTTGCCTCGTCTACTCAGCGAGCACAAGTTGGTACAAGATCTGAAATATCTAGAAAATATGAACAAGAGCCTGCTGGTCAATGACCTGATTTATCGATAATCCAAATATTCTGTCATCCGATTAAAATCGAATACAACTTGGATCACTAGTGCAACCACCAATCGAGGAGAAGCAGTACTAGTCTTTGTTGTTCTTTATCTTTTGTTAATATTGATTCTGTAGTAATGATTGTTACATAAGGATAAGGAAGATCATGATATCTAACCTTCCTCCGGAAAAGAGGATGAAAAAAACGAGAAAAAAAGGAAAGAAAGACGACGTCGTCATCCATCACCTGCTCTGAATTAAAACCATAGGAGTAGGACAACTGTTTCATACAAGATAATTTTTCAATCAAAAATTACAATTTTTATGCTCATCACAGCACCCGAGACTGATCATCATGACAGACCTTAAAAATGTTCTTAGCGTCAAATCAGACAACATCAACTTCTTGATCTTATTTTTTGGATCATCTAAGATGATTCATCTTAATAGGGAAATGATGTAATAGGACAGGTCACCGTCAGGATCAAGTAAGTAGACTCATCTTGACGTCATTTGGGAATTGGAGGACGGATGATGTTGAGGAGATGGGTATATCACGTCGTCGTGGAGGTGGCTAGAAGCGTGGGTGATACACACATTTATCTCTTCTCTTCACAGCTGCGCCTGTTCTTCGAAGTACAGAGCTACCACCTCCCCTTCTTCACTCTCTTCGGCCTTGGTGCTCCTGGCTTCGGAAATCTGTCTCTGTTAATGTAGTCCTCAGCTTCTTCCTCATCTTGCTTCGCTTTCTCCGCACGCTTCCTCTGTTTTTCTTCAAACGTTGGCGCTGCTTTCCCGATGGGGATGTTGAATCTGCTTCGGCCTTAGAGCTCAAAAGAATTCGTTTCTTGCTGTCACTCCTTTAGAATCCCATCAAGAGGGTGAGGGAAACAGTAAGAAATGTCTTGCAGAATAAAGGAATTGTATTAAGTATTGAGCCTTAATGTTCCACACAAATGAGCCTTTTGTCGCTTTCTTTCACCTTCGTATCGTGGAGGGCTAGAGCCCTTTCGAAGCTCTCTTCATCGGCAAAGCGAACAACCCCCTGCCCTCTAGATCGACCCATATGATCCAGAAAAAGCTTGAAATGCGTGATCTTGCCACAATTTTGGAACCAGGCAAACAAATCCGCTTCAGTGTTCGTGAAATCGGTCCCGGAAAAGAAAATTGCTGTGGTTGAGAGAAAACTACTGTAAGAGTAAGAGAGACATTAGATATAGGAAAAAGTCTTGAAAACGTCCTCGAGACAAATTTATATGGTGTTCTAGATGATCTAGTAAGTTGCTGCAGCAATAGGAAGACTACATTTAAGTTGAAGTACATGTATTAGTCCTCAATGGTCTTGGTCTCACAAGTCGCACGCCTGTTGCGTACACATGACCCCGATCGTTTCGCGCCATGTTGCCGTAATACACCTCATCTCCACACCGAATATCCGTCTCTGGGTCGTCTAAGTCGCCACAATGGACAAAAACTTGACACCCATACTGATTGTACAATATTAGAGATCCTCAAAAGTACGACTCACTTCTTCCATTCATTATTCTTCAGCATCCTAGGAACATACAAGGAAACCCAAAATAATGTTGACCTCCGTTGGACTTGGAAGTGAAGAATTGTGTCAGTCGAGCCTTAACAATAGGTCGGATTCAATGTAGCCGTAGCCTTTCTTGTCGAACCAACGAGCAACTGTGGCGATATCTTTTTTCTTCTCAGCGGGTCCAGTTTCATCGTCAACATCGTCGTCTTCACCGTTGATTAAATCCACTAGATTTTTAGCTACCGCTTTCTTAGTCATTGCAGAGGTAGAGGACCTTGTTGAGGACGCATTTTTACCACCGCCATGACCATCGCCGCCCTTCCCTGTGCCTCCATCACCGCCCTTACCATCACCGCCCTTACCACCGCCATCTCCATCTTCATCCTCGTCAAGAGGTCTGGAAATGTAGTCATCTCCGCCACCTTCAGCTTCACTGTCGCTCAATGGGGGTGGAGGTGGTGAATTTGAGGATTTTTTCGTTCTTTTGTAACCTGGAAATTGTTTGTCCATAGGCAATTCCGTGAATCTGATCGGAGTCGGTGACCGCTTACGTTTATTCTTCGAAGTTGTGGTGGCAGTACTACTAGTAGTATTGGTGGTAGAAGTACTAGTAGGATTCATCTCCTGAGCTTGATGTTCATCTGTCGGACCTTTATTGGAAGCTCCTGTGCTACTGTTGACACCAGCACGACCTCCACCCACTTCTAGTACAACATTTGGAACTACAACTTGTTCTTCTTCTGGTTCTTGTGCAGGAGGCGCAAGCACAACTACTTCTGGTGCTGGCTTCGCTCTTACTCCAAGAGCCTTTGCGACGCCTGGTCTTTCCCACGTAATTTTGTCGAACAAAACGCGGTCTCCGATGCTCAAGGGAGGTCCAGACCAGTCAAATCCCGCAGATTTCACGGTCTTCAGAGCTGCTCTGATAGCATCGGAGGAAAGCTCGCCAATACTGGTAGTTCTGTCGAAATCCACTACAACAGCTTCACTCACCTTGCGTGGCGTGCTACTTGGCGGAGGAAGGACGCCTCCCACGACGTTTCCCTTTCCACCCGAACTCGTCGTGGAGGATGTTGAAGTAGTTGTTGTAGTGAAGAATAAAGAAGAACCATTTCGACCATGTTGGCCATGATTAGTTACAACAACGTTAGCTCTTGGCTGCAGCTCCCCTTTTGTCGGTGGAGGAAGCATATTCCCCCCGGTTGTAAGTGCTTCATCTACAAAAGCATCCATACTGGAGGAAGACGTCATTTTCAAAGGCTTCGTGGATGTCATTTTCAAAGGCTTCGTGGTTGATGTGGACGAACAAGTTGTAGATGTAGATGTAGTTGCGCCCTTCATACTATTATTCTTCCCTGATGGTGAAGCTGAAGGAAATGGTGAAGGCAGAAGTGTCTGTGTAGTACCTGGCAATATCGGCGCTCCTCGTCCGCCAGCAGCTCTGTCTGCGAAAGAAGTGTAAGTGGGCCTATAATTGCTGGGTCCTTTCTTGGATCCCTCTGGCATTTCTTGTTCCAATTCCATACTGCTGGTTTCTGCTTCATGCTCTGCGACTTGCTGCGCCACTTCTTGCTGTCCCTGAGGTCCTCCCACAGCACCACGACCTCCTTGTGAAGAAGATGTTGTCTGGAAGTGATACATTGCCTTTTCAATTCTTGCCTGTTCCTCAGCAGACATCTCATAAGACCCTCCAGTGGCCATACTCAGCGTCCGCTTAGCTGGTCGACGCATCACTCCTCCTGCGCCGATAGAAGATGCATTGCCATGGGGGCGGATGGAAGTAGTTGATGAAGTAGCTGCTGGACCTGTACCTCGTGGAGGAGCATTCTGTTGTATCTGCTTAAAGGAGGAATTCTGACTAGGATTCTGTTGCGCGACTGGCCATGGAGCTACGGATGGACTGGTGCTTGGAAATGTCGGATGTTGTGCTCCCGCTCCAACTGTAGTAGGCCAAGCTCGCCGTCTTCCGCTGTCGTTATCAAGGGAGCGACCGCTGTTCGCGAGGACCGTCGTCTGAGCTGGAGGAGCTGCTTTATAAGTGCTCCTCGTTGTTGTACCAGTCGAGAACAAATTTGAACAAGAACTGGTAGCTAGTACTTTTGTATTAGTTCCAGTACTACCTGCTCTGACCATGTTGGTCCCAGTTCCTCCAGGAGGAGCACCAGAGGATGCAATAACATACTCTTGCTTATTTATTGTTCCACCAGGTTGTCCAGTTGTACTTCCAGCTCCAGTGCCTCGTGCAGCAGCCATAGTAGTACTACCACAACCACTAGTATTACCACAACCACTAGTATTACCAGAACCACTAGTACAACTACCAGAACCACTAGCAGGGTTCTTTGCTGCGTCTAAGTCTGCTAACAACCGTCCGACATTCCAAGTTTTGCTCTTCGTATCATGGTAGGTTCGCAGTTCGACTTCTTTCCGGAGTTTCTTCAGCTCTAGGAACTTCTGACTCCACTCCCTGCACTGAGACGACGTCATCTTTCTATTGTCACGTGTTACTAAAAACGCTTTAGTTGATGGGCACGGGGATCTATCTGCTCAAATAGTACTAGTGGATATGTAGATAAATGTAGTTCTAGGAAAAAAAAAAAATAGTAGCACAAGAACAAGAGCAAGAACTATCTACCTTTTTTTTGAATTTTATTGAATGATGAAGATGGCATTGATGACTAGATTGATAACAACAAACTTACTACTTAGAGGTCAAGAAAATTCAAAAACAACAAAAAAAAACGGAATCTCCAAGTGCTACAACGCAATCCTCTCCAGCACCAGCTAAGTTGTAAGTCTCCACCTAAGTCAAGTCTTACAGTTCACGTTCAGGATCGCGGCTGAGGGTGAGGGGAGCATCAAGTTAGCGTTGAATGGTGATTGAATTACTTAATCGGATCAAACACATGAACATCAACGAGGTCGTCGTACCAGAGTCCAGACCACGAGCTACTACAACACCCTTCAAACACGAAGATTGTTACAGGATTTCTTTTGTCCTCGAGGAGTCTCGATTTGCATTCTTCGTCGCGTATTCTAGGTGGCGCATGACCACTCATCCGTAGAAGTCTTGTTCTTCGTGCAGCATTTGCATTGGTTCGATTTTCCGAAAAACAAGCGATGAATTACAAGACTTAGCATTCATCTGTCTTGTCGTGGAACAACATCATCAAGTTCAAGTTGTGGAACAAAGTATAAAAAGCTGTTGTAGGCTTGTTCCTCGTGAATCGTAAAATTGCCGGTCTGTAGGAAGTGCAACTCAACCTGTAGTATAAGATGAAGTAGTATGTACATCTCAACATGAGAAAAAACATATGCACAGCACGGGGGAATCCCCGGGTCGCGGGCGAGGAAAAAAAGGCGTTGAACAAAATCTTCACAGGGAAAGGAATCGTAGCCGTGGGTGGTAAATGTCTTTATCTTCAAATGAATGGCATGGGGAGCCAACAAATTTCAAGTGCGTGTCTACCAGTGGTCGGCCCATCTTCAGCCAACAATTTCCAAGTGCGTGTCTACCAGTGGTCGTCCCATCTTCACTCCTCGACGTTCTGACTTACCATTCCAAACTCAACGACTTTAATTGGCATTCTACCTTTTGCAAATCAATCTTCGCTTTTGCGCGTTTGTAGAATATGGGACAGTCGCTGTTCGCGCAAATGACTTCCTGATGCAGCGAGTCTTGACACCTCTGGCATTCGGTCCATAGTTTCTGGAATTCTATCTGCTTTTCTCTCACAGCTCCCAGCTTCTCGAAATAGATTTCGGCACCCTTGCCTTGCTTCAGGCAATACTGGCACAACGCGACGTCGCTATTTTCCGCGGTGTTCTTGCCTGGTCTGAGCGTGGATTTGCAACCAAGACATTTCTTCGCTACGGCGCCCATAGCGGCCACGCCGATCATGCCAGTGGGCTTCGCTGTGGACCCTGCGGTATCGCCACCAGCTGCGACCGTTAGAACAACTACAGATAGAAACAAGGTGGAAGTCTACAACGAACTACTATGATCCACTGTTAAATAAAAGCCTTGAAGATATTGGTTCTACCTAGAAGATATAGGAGTTAATATCGATCTGTCATGTGTCATGATACCTCGTGGTACGTTAGACACGTTCTTGATGATGTTGATCTGCATTCTACTCCATCTAGTAGTTATCAACAACAACATGAACATCTGGTACTGGTGCACTCCTTCCATCTACTTAGTTATCAACAACTACAACATGAACATGAACATCATCTGGTGCATTCGCATTCCTTCCATCTTCATAACTGTCCTCCACCCACATTGACTACTTTCAGCGTGTGATCCCCAGTGAAGAGTCTTTGTGAGGCGTTTGGCATGATCGGATCGAAAATTCGCAATAAAGGTCCAGCCAATTGGTGATCTATGTACCAATGCGCGTCTATCACTAGACCGTTCTCCAAAACGTACATGGGATCCTCGCTTTTGTCGTAGTTTGCCGCTTTCTTCATGCTTTTGATGATGACGTACGGAATTCTTAGCGCTCGTGGTCACAATAAAAATTCGTCTATATTCTGTAATCTTTTTTTAACAAGATCATACTTATTTAAGATCTGGTGCTCAGAATCCAAGAAGGTGGATATGAAACTTGCTGAGAGGACAGACCATCAATCTGTGAAGAGGATGAATTATCATGAGCCGTAAAACTCGATCTCCCGGACCTGGCGCCGTTGCGGGATTCCTCTGGCGCATGCGCTCTGCCAGCTCGACGTGCGCCTGTCTGGCTGCATACTCGTCTCGACCAAGTGACTTCGAAATGACGAGGAGAGCCAAATCGACTTTGTTTTGCAGTAGATCCGAAACATTCGACTGGATGAAGGAGATGGCCTGTGGAGGAGAGAGTTTAGACACGATGCTGCTGTTGGTGTGGTGGATGTTTTGTCAGAGGGAATCACTTTCATGGTTCGAGATGTTGGCGCCTTCAATCATCTTTGTTTCGGAGGAGCTTCTTATGAGGAAGTAGGCCCGCCGACAATTACAGTGTAACGCCGCGGATGATGGATCGATACAAGAGGCGGCCATCTAAGAAGAAAATAAGAAGACAAGACACGAAGCGCGAGGGGGATAGAAGGAGGCTCTCAAAGCGAGGCCAGCCCAGCCCTAAGAAGAACCTGCGACGAGCCAAGAGCGAAGGCCTTCGACAGACAGCCAGCAAATGAAGCGACCCCACTCCATCCAACTAACCCCACCAAACGCGGGTGGTGAGCCTTACCCCTGAGACCCACCACCCAACCACTCGCGCAGCCGCCCCCCTTCCATCCTTAACCTCGCCACCAGCTCGCTCCCATTGTTCATAGCCCCAAGCCGCTCGCAGTCGCACACTTTCCGAGTGATCAGAGTACGCAGCAGCCTGCTCACTACTGCCGCATATGCGCCAGCGCTGTCCGTCAGCCTCCCTAAGGCATGCCACACCCCAAGAAGCTCACGCGCATGAGCCTGGTGCCGCTACTCTGTGCGGTTACATACTGGGCGGCGCCTTCGACGTCCCTCCTCCGTCCTATAGCGCGGCAACCCTTGCCAGAGCGACCCACTGCTTACCTTTGAAAATTGCGGGCGAGAAATGACCTGGGTAATTTCGATCGTTTTTTTTCAGACCAATCCACGCTGCCCACCAAATGCGCAAGAGTCAAGCCAAGGCGACCCCAAATGCGCAACCCTTGCCAGCACTCTTGGGATTGCTTCTGCTGGCTGGCATTCTTTTCCCGCCGGCGTACAGTGGGCGCCCTCTGCGGAGCATGGTCGAGCTTCCTGCCCCTCCATCAGATTGGCCGGCCCCTTCACCACGTTAGTCAGGAAGTTTACCCGTAGAGAAGCCGACCCCGCCAACCTCGAAAGGCGGCAGACCCTCCACCCCAGCCGCGGGCTGCGGGAAGAGGGCCCCAGCGGCTCCGCTGTCAATTTCCCCCAAACGGTCGAACGCTTCACGTAGGAGCGCAATCGCGTCCGCGTCCAGTCGGGTGCCTCTCTGCTCGAAGACACACGAGCTCGCCTCAGAAAGCAGACGCTCGGCACCCAGGAAGCACATGCGCGACCAAGTAGCGGTATCCGAGTGGTTCTCGATCTCGAGCAAGGACCCGCTTTCCAATAATCAACGAAACAACAAAAACAATTACTTTCTCTATGCTCCTATCGATCAAGAGCATTTTCAAGGCCGTGTCCACGACGCGTTGAACGAGACCGCAGTTGTCACGACGCACAGTTTCTATTCCTTTAGTGTCCATCTTATCATACTTGTCCGGGTTCGTCCAATAAAGACCAGCATACCGCTTCTTACTCAGAAGAAGGTAAGGGAAATAGACCTGCAGAGAAAGAGTTGGAAAGGTGGTGGAGGGCGAGGTTGTAGAGGAAAGAAGCGCGCTGTCCTGTGAAAATGAAGAGAGCGTGGGAAAGCCAGCACCTGCATGACTCATCTCTTCTAAATGTCAGTATGTATTTTTGTATGTCTACTCTGCTAGCACTAATCACCGACACACAATCCACTTCAGAAAGATCAAAGAAAGAACAGAAAGTTAACAAGTATACCTTCTCAAACTCCAGTTTGATTGGTTTCTGAAAGGTCTGTGAAATTTTTTCTGCCGCTTGTAGTCCTAGTTCCATGCACGTTTTCACGTCATTCGGACCAAATTTGACCATCACGGAATCCGTATCACCGTAGATCACTTCCGCATCGTGCTCGTAGCCCTTTTCCTTCTGAAAATACTCTTGAATTAGAGCTAGCAGCTCCCCTCAGCTCATCCCTGGAAGGACCATCCGCACTCAAGCATATCCCCTGACCCTGATGTAGGTGCCTGTTCTCTATGTAAAAAGTAGTTATAAATAAATATATATGCTTCATCAGGTTCAGGGACGATCTTCTTGATAGGGGTGGATTAGACAACTAAGTCTTAACTCTACTAGGTTTTTCGTCTGGTCAATCATCGTTCTGCCAAAAGCAGTGACGGAACTAGAGATTTCCAAACATGGCATCATTCCCACTTGAGCACCGGTAAAGCCGTAGACTGTTAGAGCTCAAAACGCTTCATTTCTTCGGAATCCCAAGAAGGAAACTGCAAGAAATGCCTTGCAGAAATGAAATATGTTGACCCTTAAGACTGAGTTCGCTGATATCTTCAATGCCAACTGCCGTCCGTTTAGCACCGCTTTCTTAAACGGATCGCGTTCTTGGTTCATGGCTTTCTTCGCACGTTTTCTGGCGCCGGGAGTTAGAACTGGAAGAAAGAACCTTCAAGTTCAAGCCCGACAAGCATAAGAATTATAACAGAGTTCTAACAAGTCTAACTTCACTTCGGCTGCAAGTGCCACTAGAAGTATGAAGTGTTATAATGAAGCCCCTTGTTCTTGTTTAGCTGAATCTTCACGTGTTGATCAGCAACAATTATCTTGACGAGTCGAACCATAACAAAATTTCTTCCAAGATCAATGGCAGCAATCCTTTCCGCTTTTGTGGCTTCACGAAGTAGTTATCACATGGTGTTCTCGTGTACTCGTCTTCGCTCATGTTCTCAACCTTGCCGTTCCGGATCATGCTTGGTGGGATGGAATGAAAGTGTGTGCTTTGTAGGCGGCGGGGGGGAATTTTTTGCATGGAAGGACCTACTAGGTCAACATCATGCTCTTGTTCTTGACAACATAAGTAAGTAGTTGTAACTCAGGATACAAAGAAAAAAAGAACAAAAAAATTCATCTTCATAAATGAGAGTGCAGTAGCACAAGTTGTGCGCCATCATGATACTTGGGTATAGCGACGCGAAATCCAAGGTCGCGATGGGTTTCTCGTAAAACCCAGTTTTTGGCTCTAGGACTGTCGCTCCCTCGAATTGATCTCCGCTTCCCTCTACTTTGCGCGCTGGCACGATATAGCCACTGGCGCGTGCCCGTCGCAAAATCTGGCCAAAAACCTTGATACTTTGTCCTCTGAAGAGCAGAAAGTTCAAAGGCGTGCCGGTCACCCGTGCCATCTCGACGTAGTTGTAGAGACAGCAGAGTTTGTCGAGGAGCCGCAACGGCAGCTTCGCATCCTTGAGGCAGTAAACTGCGAGTCGGCGACGGGTCTCAGCAGTTCCGGTATGCAGCGTGCCAATCATGGAATAGTGAACATCTTCCTTCTGGTCTCCGAGAAAGTGACTGGACACGAAGTTCAGGGTGTAAGAACGCAGATTGTGTTCTTTCATGATAACGGTGTACATATCGAAAATGATGCGTCCATCACATTTGATCTCCTTCTGCGGCCTCCCATTCGGCGTAGTCCATTCTCGGATCTGATGTAGTTGGGGAGTTATTCTAAATGCTCAATGAGTCTTCAATTCTTTTGGTGAATATTAAGAGCAATAAAATTCAGCAAACACTTCCCCTCCGAAACCTCAACCTCCAACAAACGAACCCACAACCTCCGAAGCCCTCAACCTCCGACACAAAAACCAACAAACCCCAAACCAACAAACCCATGAACTTATGAACTTGGGAACTCATGAACCCGGGAACCCATGAACTCACGAACTCACGACCCCACGAACTCATGTACTCATGAACGTTCAAGAACTCACGAACCCACGAACTCCTGAACCCACGACCCAGCCAATTGAATTTCAGAAAAAAACGCTTAAAATCAAAAATTTCGGGATTTGAGTGAGGCACCGAAATCCAGCGAATTTAATCCAAAAGCGACAAAATAACGCGGAAAGCTTCGAAATTTGAGAAATCCAAATCCAGCAAATTGAATCTCAGAAAAAATGCGCAAAATTAAAAATTTTGGGATTTGAGATATTCAAACCCGGCGAGTTCAATCCTAAAGCGACAAAATGACTGGGAAAGCTTCGAAATTTGAGAAATTGAAGCCCGGGATTGAATTTCAGAAAAAACCCTTAAAGTCAAAAATTTTGGGATTTGGGATATTCATATCCCCCGAATTCACTCCGAAAACTTCGAAGTTTGAGAAATTCAGCCCCAGGAGATTGAAACTTGGCAAACGTGCTCAAAGTCAAAAGCTTTGGGGTTTGAGAACTCCAAATCCGGCGAATTCAATCCCAAAGGGGCGAAATAGTGTGGAAAGCTTCGAAATTTGAGAAATTCAAACGCATGAACCCACGAACTCACGCACTCGCGAACTCTACTCGTAAACCCGTGAACCAATGACCCAGGACATTGAACCTCAGGGATAAGGCCTAAAGTCAAAAGTTTTGGGATTTGAGAAATCCAAATCCAGCGAATTTAATTCCTAAGGCGCAAAATAATAGAGAAAGCTTCGAAATTTGAGAAATTGCCACGCCAGGAGGTTGAATTTCAGACGAAAGGCCTAAAGTCAAAAATTTCGGAATTGGAGCAATTCAAATCCAGCGAATTTAATCCGTCCCAAAGCAGCAAAATAATGCGGAAGGCTTCGAAATTTGAGCGATTCAAATCCAAGAAATTGAATGTCAGCGAAGCTGTTTAAAGTTAAAGAATTGCCTGCCTGTTCCCTGGGTTACTTCGGGGGGAGGGGCATCCTAATGCGAGGGGTTGTTGTCGGGCTCTCCAAGCTAGTGTATAGTATAGTTTTGAAGAGCTCCTAACCCAGTTCTAAACCCTGATATTCGTGCAAGAAGAGGAAGTTGAGGCAGCGGGTAGAGGACATGAGACGTTTCGCTCACGCTCCAACTAATACACAAAAGAAGCCTGCTCAGTTATTTGTTTTTTCATGCGACATATTTCGAGAAAAACCAATAGTGGACGTGGATTGGAATGAATCCGGCTGCCCGCGCTTGTTCTTGTAGGTGGAGGTGGTAGGTCCAACTTACTACTTAAATCAAGAGTAAGTACCCTAGACTGCACTTTGGCTAGTCTCCCGATTTCGCTGAATTCCGGGATTTCCAATGCCGCTGCTCGTTTTAACAGGTATGGCAAATCGAAGTTCAGTATGTTGTATCCCGTCAGAAAATCAGCATCAATTGAGATTAGAGATGGTGATGGAGATCACAATGAAGTAGAATTCATCTTGTTGAAAAGCGTCTTTTTGGCCGCGTGTTGTCTCTCCCTTAGAGAAAGCAAAGGGGTCAAAGAAGATGTTTAGAGAAAGCAAAGGGGGTCAAACACGAAGACGAAGATTGATGCTTCTCAGGATGAAAAATTCCAATAAGCCTTAAAGAGACAATGAATTTCGCGAAGCTAAGCAGCAGATCACGCTCATCCTCGAAGCTCAGCACCGTCGTGTCTGCAATATCACCGCAACTATCGAGAGTCCACACGAGTTGACACATATTCGCCTTGCTATTAGAGGTGGGTTTTTGGTGCTCGCTTACCCCGCTTTTTATGCCTTTCTCCCTTAGGAGAGGCATAAAAAGCGGTAAGAAAAGCACCTTTAACCTACCCTTAATGCTACTTCCAACCTCCTTTACTTCAGCAGCGATTTGTATCACCGGATTCCTCTCAGCCTCTGGGAAACCCTAAGTTGATGATATTAGGAAGTACAAGATGAACAACAAGCCGATCGGTATCGAAATTAGAAGTGCCTAGATTTATTGCTGCACGGGGTAAGCCTAGAATTGTAGAGGTGAAAGCTAACCGGTTGCTTTACTTAGTACTTTGAGCGCCGCTGGACCTAAACCTTCACCAAAAGGTGAAAGCCAGTCAGGATTTGCAGCACGCCTCTAATAGAAAATAATGGGGAACCAGAAGCCTGTTATGGGAGGAGGTTAATTACACTTAGCAGAAGTACTTAGATATAAAAAGTTTTAGTACCTTTCCAAGTTGATTCCAGCACTCAATATCAAACGACAGAATTCGAAGCGGCGCAAAAGCGTTCTGCTCTTCCGCTGGTTTCACATGCTGATAATAAACGTCAACTTCTATCTGGCATTCACCTGAGGGGAGGTAGGTGGATGATGAGAGAAGAGGTGAACTCCTGCAAGAATTTGTTATGATGGGTGTTCCCATCTTTGCCGAAGCTAATACGCTTATGCATAATCAATTTGGAACCACTGAACGAATAGTACTGTAGTACTGTTAGAAAAGAAATTATATTTACCACTTTTTTCTGCTTCGCTCCTAAGTTTGTACATCTGTGGGTCTATCGATACCCAACTGCCACCTCCCAAACCCTGGTCGACCAAAAATCGCAAAACAAATGGCACATTGGTTTCGTACGTCACGAATCCCATGTAGCTCCCACCTCCAGTAAGTTGGAACCCCTGTTCGATGCTAGTCCTCGCCGCCTGTACGAGTCTATGCAATCCCACTTGCACTCTGTAGAAACTCCTCTCTCCATTCTGCGCATATTCCATGACGTTGGTTCGGGAAACGATGTCAACTTTAAGGACGTTTTGCGCCAAGCTGACAGCGACTCTGGACTGCTTCAGCTGGGACTCGAGCGAATCCTGGAAGACTTTCGCATCCGCGAGGTTCTGCCCGACGGGGCAATAGAAATAGAGAGATTAGAGCAGTAGAAATAGAGAGATTAGAGAAGTAGAAATAGAAAGATTAGAGCAGCAGAAACAGAGAGATTAGAGCAGTAGAAATAGAGAGATTAGAGAATGGTTACTTGATGTCGAAATGTTGTCGCTTCACAACTAACCTCTCTAGTCAGTCTATAGACAATCCGATTGTATAGAGAACCGATAGTCAGACATCAAGAGTAGAAATAGGCAATCAATAGAGAGATTAGAGAAGTGGCTGTTTCGGCAGTAGAAATAGAGAGATTATGGTTACTTGATGATGGAGAAATGTTGTCACTTCATTTCAAGTAGACAGTTGAAATAGTTGTACGTCGAAGAACATTGCATCCAATCCCTGTCTATGCGGATTAGATCATTTCTTGATACAATCCATTCATGAATTGCCATAAGATGAATGAAGGTATAAAGAAAGTCCAAGTTAGTCCCTGATCAAGTAACAGCATGTAGGTGAATGCCATAAGGAAAAAACCCGTGTATGTGTGCGAGTACGCTGTGACCTTCGGGCGTGATTCCGTACATCCGCAGTATTGGCACTTCACTATTTTGGTGATTCGGCAAAAACACTGCATGAGGCTTACTCTGATAATCATCCAAATCAACTTGCATGAACGTCAGCGGCTTGTTATTTCCTTAGAAATGGTGTAGCTGTAAGTAGGTCCATCGATTTCTTTAACGTATCTATGATTCGTATGTAGTATCCTTGCTGTAGTTTTTGTAAAAATAGACACAACTACATCAAGGAAAACAACGCATGCAACTAACATCACCTGGAGGTCGATGGACTCCTCGTACTACTAGCCTTAATTCGAAGCATGGTAATCATCCGGCACTCTTTTCCTCCTCCACTGAGTGTAGTCGATCGTTTTTGGGTCTGTTATGTTCGTATGGTCCTTCAAGTCCACTTTGATGCGCTTTGCTGGTCTGAAACCGGAACCGGGTGACTCTCCTGGAGGCCGTCTGTTTCCTCCTGGTATTAGACCTCTCCGCAATTCATCTTTCAGCTGCTCCATCCTAGAAAAGTACGGCGGAGCTGCTCTACTTCCCTGTGATACCTCCCCCGCCCCATAATATTCTTGTTCTTCAACAAGGTGAATTTTTCAAGGATGCTGCACCAGTCAACAAGATGAAAGACGAATGCATGGTACTATCGCAGAGAGCCGAATGGTACCTACACCTTCACAAAGTGAACTATCAAGAACTATCAAGAAGTAGTGAGAGGCCTTACACAAAACTATCAAGAAAGACGAAGTTGATAATCACAAAGTAGTGAGGCCTTACACCTGGTATCCCAGAGCTCGAGCTGCTACCACCATACTGCATCTGTCGCTCCTGGTCATGAGCCAGAGAATCCCGAATCAAATCGTCAACATCGTAATCGTCTTCGACGTTCATCTTGCCCAAGTTCTTTTCGTGCTGCTCTTTGGAAGATGATGATAGTGCTATATATACCAGAAGAAGTTATCTAAATATGATATTTTTCGGTCGTTGTTATGAACAAAACGTAGTTGTACTTGTTTTTGTTCAGCCTCTATTTTATCGGCAGTGAAAAAGCCGCTGTACTAGAGAGGTCAACGGCCGCGATGGCGAGGTGTCAGTAGATGTCGACGGGCCGATACAGGTGCTCCGCTGCAGCACTCGGGTGGCTAGATGACGTCTCACGAGAAAGACGCAGCCAGGTCGCAAGACAATGACACACGAGAACGCAATTCGGAAAAGAACATTTTCTTTTTCATCAAATTCAACAATAGTGTTTAAGGAAGATTGTCGTGGAATGAAAGGTTTGAGCATGAGAATGGGAAAGATGCAAGAGCGTCCTTACAGGAGAGAATGGAAAAAACAATCTAATCGTTGTACTACAAAGGAATGGGTTTCATCAAATTTGGACTACGATATCGATTGTTGACAAAATTTACAAGCATCACGCGAAATTTCAACGCTTCTACTGCTCGTGAGATGAAGCAGTATTCAGTACTAAGCTGTCGATTCGTGGTAGAATTAACATGTACGTTAGAGACCCGATTCGTTTGACTTGCTTCCATCTTCCTCATAATGTAACGTTTGCTTGTCAATGAAGATCCATCCCTTATTCTTTTTGCAGTTTTGTTTGTTAATACTGATTCCATTCATGCGGCTGAGGAAAGCAGCATACATAGGTGAACACTATCACTATCACGTGCAGCTCGCAGAGCAAAGCCATGACGAGTGGAAGCGTGTTCCATGTCTCGCCACGAGGAGTGAAACTTGCGAACGTGCGCTCTTGTTGTCGTCGTGTTGATTATCCTTTCCTTTGTACTCCAAAAAACTTGTTGACATGCACAGTAAGTTCTCCGGATCATCCAGGAGGCGGGGACCAATCAGGATAGGCATGGGGGTTCATTTTGTCTCTGACATGTGTCCTCGTGTATGCTTTTGTTCAGTTGTTGTAAGTATTTCAATGTTGTTGGTGATAATTTGGTATGACTTTCTTTATAAGTAGACACTATGGCATGGACGGTCATTTTGATGTGGTGCTGTTCTAGAAATCGGCAAATTATTTTCCTCCTGCTGGTACTGACTGCTGTAAAATCTCTCCAAACGGCGAAAACATCGTGATTTTGATTTCAGGTTTTGTAATTTTCAGGTTCGTCATGTAGCCACGGCTGTCTGCTGATAATTGCGCAGCTCGACCGATCTGTTCTTGATTGATAAAGATGATATTCTTTATTTACTTTTCACGTAAGTCTAAAAATCTTATTTCCATTCAGGATAAGGAATTGAGAGAAAAAGCCAGACCCGGAGGGACCCTGACCCTCTTCATCTAGTAAACCCTTCCCGGCCTCGTCGCTCCTCCAGGTGCTGTCATTGCGCGCGCTGTTGTCGTGGGCGGAAGTTCTATACTCGTGCCTGCCGACCACCAAGGCGTCCCACGGCGTGCTGCTGTTTTTGCTAGTCGAACCCTGGTTTTCAAAAACGCGTCCATCTGAGAGAAGCCGGTGAGGATGCCCATGGAGACTAAAACGCTGTTCTGGCCTTTCGAATCACCAGCTTCCGCAGAGACTGGGAGTTAGAGAGGTGGTCGGCTCATGGGGAAAAGGGGATGGCAGAGCGCGACTCCAGTAGAAAGTCAGAGTGACAGTTAGCCTACGCGTACTAGCAGACTCATGCTCATTCCGTATAAACAAGTCTCAGAAAAATGCACCAATAAAACGCCTGTTCTGATTCTCCAGATAGTAAAGAGAGGTTGTGACAACTCATGTGGTGCATGTCATTTAAGGACTACAAAGTCATAATCTAGAGCCCTTTGGTAGTAGCCAATTCCCTTTTCCAAATCTCGCTCTTTCCTCACGTAGATAGAGCCAAGCTTCTTGAGAGCACTGGAGTTGTCATGGTGCAAAGAGTCGCACAGCTGGATGTACCGCTCTATCAGGGCCTGAAGGAGAGGTGTGTGATACAGGCGCTCATTCTTGACAAGATTTGATGCAGCGAAGGAGGAATTATTATAGCTGAGAGGTGTTTTTACAACTTTCGCGACAACTTGATCTAAATTCACATAGCAGGTGAAGCCCCCGCTTTATCGGTCTTCACTTGTACGCGGCTATGCGCTACGTAGAAGAAGAAGAAGAAGAAGAACAAGAAGAAGAAGAAGAAGAAGGTAGTAAAGATACTATCACATCATCGGAAGGTGGAAGCCCCCGTTTTAATTTTCATCTATCTTCAGTACCCGCATTTTCTCCGGATCCTCATTGTATGCAAGATCGTCGCTAGAAACAGCGAGATTGCCGATCGCTAGGGACTGCCCCTCTACACTTTGGAGTTGTAGAGCAAACTGGAGAGCGTACCTCGTTGGTGTTCTTTTTATTTCATTCTATGGGGTTATAGTACTTTTAAACATTAGCAGGGTGAACTTCTACCTCATGAGCACCAGCAAGAATGATAATATAACATCTTCCTCCAGCACGACATCAAGGTCGATGGATTTACAAGTAGAGTTCTGCTCTCAGCTCTCTCTTGGACCTAGATGAAGATTACAGAGCAATTTATAAGGTTTCACGGCTCGCATGGCATGGAGTGCATGGATCACATGGAGTAGCATGGAGCTAAAAAGGGGGAGCTTCTTGCGCCCCTTAAAGCTCTGCGCTCCATGCACTCCATGCGTGCTATAAACTACTCTGGAAGATGAAGTATCTTGGCAGATCAGAAACGAAAATACGACTGAAGATTCAAAATACTGGTGATTCAGCGTCGAAGCATTCTTTTCCCCCAGCGACGCATAGCAAAGTCCTAAATTCGCGTGTGCGATGAACTTTCCTACACTATCCGCTATCTTTCGATGCTTGTTGTGGAAGTACCTGCTGGTTGAGTACTTACTTATAAGTATTGTTTGGCGGGTAGTTGTTTCTTCCCTCACATCAACAACGCGCATATAGGTCTGCTGGTGCTGGAGTAGATACTAGGGTTCATACTCATAGAGAGTAGATACTAGTAGGGTATTCTCCTCAGAGAAGTGGTCAAGAGTAGATACTAAGGTACCCTACTCTTCATAGAAGTGGTCAAAGAAATGATCACGAAAAATTCAAGTACAATGCCGTCTTCAAGTGTTGTATCTTTTCATTGTCTTTTGCTGCTTGCACTTCCGCTGACCCTTTTGGTCCTTTGGAGGACGCTGAACTTCCACCAGCTTGCTCCTTAACTACATGATCTACACTTGTTTTAGTACCATCCAAAAGACCTCCTAGGGTGGCGGTAGTCGTTGAAGAAGAAGATGATGATGCTGATGGGTTCCACGTTAGACGAGGTGGACGGCTTGAAAATAGTCGTGTTGACCTGGTGACTCCGTCATCATGTTCATGTAAATGTCAAATACATAGTGATCCTTTATTATTGACGAGGAGCAGTACTAGTCTAGTAGTAATATGGTGCAGTACGCGTTTGCCTATATTAGAACTGATGGAAATCCATCCTCAGCAGCATCCTGGGTCTCCTTTCCCTTTAAAAACGGGAACAAGATAACAGTGAAGATGGATTTCTTGTACCCTTATCTATAATATGACTGGCCATATTAAATGCCCTTCATCTGTAGGACTGCTTGAGGAGCCTCCTCCTGAAGAATTCGTCTGTCCCAGGACCTGATGACTTGCTGCTAGGCTGTGGTAGGCTAATGCCTGTCCTTGCTTGTCGTCGCAATCACGGCAAATCTTGAGGAAATCGGTGTAGTACTTCACACCTTTGCCGTACTCCTTCAAAATGTTAGAAGAGGTCGCGGCCGCAGAGTCTTATATTTCGTAGAGTCAGTCGTGCTGGCCGTTCTTGGTGCTGGCACTGGACTGGTCTTCAGGCATCAGGAGCAAAACAAGTAGGGCAGTTCGAGGACAATCTGGTAGACCCACACAAAGTTGTACTACATCGATCATGCCAAAAACGATGATCCCTTAAAAAAGTAACAGTCTAACATCACTAACATGCTCTTCAACCATAATATTGTCATGCAAAACTGCTAATGAGAAGCAGCAACGCCCTTCCTCTCTGAGTTTCCCGCTTCGCCGACAAGCGTGAAGAAGGAGTTCTAGGTCTCCTATTTTTCGCATCATCACGTACTTTTCTTCAGGTGAACATTCGCTCTGAAGAAGTGGTAATTTAGTCATTTTTCCTGTGAAGAGAAGCATCCTCATTAGGAGTGCCACGTGGTAGAAGACCTCTGTTTGTTGTTGTTCTGTCGCTGCTAGTGTAGTTTTTACAACATAAGTTGTGAGCAAAAAGTTCGAAGTGCAACAGGTACTTTTTAGCAGAATCTCGTCAAAGTCTTTTGACGAAACTTAAATATTACCGTGTCGTCCTTCCTCTCCGGCGTGTTCAGATACGTAGGCAATTTTACCCGTAGCACGACCCAATTGTCTTTAGAAAGTGACCTTGTATGATCCTCAGTATCTTTATCCTGCTAGTGTTGATTTGGTACTTGATTACAACTACTTGCTTCATGTTGTGCACGAACTGATGCATCTTCCTCACCTCCTTATCAACCTTATCATATCACGAAAAAAGTCCAAGTGAATGGACCGAACGATACTCATACTTTTCAATAAAAAAATAAACCACATTTGGTTATTAATAAGAGTGGTAGTACTATCGATTCTTCATTCTTACTAAGAATGAAGAATCGATAGACGAAGTATCTTAAGGACGAGATGACATCAAACAAGAGGGCGCCGGATGTGGAGTCTCATTACCTTAAATCAAAAAATAAAAAATGTACCTACCCCTCAAGAAAGTCAAATCACGACATCAAGAGCCTTAATAGTTTGTGTCCGCTTGAATTCGCCTCGTCCATCAATACTTGTCAGGCTGGCGCTTCTCCTTCCAAACATTCCACCTGGTGTGGTATTTGGTCTTCCACCTGGAGGCTCTAAACTTCTATCTTTGGATTAGAAGAGGGCTTAACAAGGCTGCTCAAGTTCTCGTGCGTGGTATTCTGGTTCATCTGCTGCATGAAGCATCAGGCCACTAAAATTATTCACTATCAAGAATTTCTTGAGTACTTAATATAAATCAGGAACATCTAAAGTCGAAGAGCCAAAATTTCCATAAAAACTAACGGTATTCTCCAGGCTGTTGCCTCCTCTAGTGTGCAAACTCTGCCAGCTTGACTGCGGACTGTGCATGCTTAACGCTCGACACTCACCGTCCCTGGTTGAGTGGATTCCCTTTCCTTCCCTTATAATCCCTTTCACTTCTAAGGGAAACCGAAACCCACTCAACAATATACTAATACTTCAACACAGCAGAACCAAGTAGTGAGTCGTGTCTAGCCTTAACATGCTCAAAGACTGTTGTTTCGTAGGAAAAACGGTATGCTGAGACATCCCAAAAGGTGAGCGCATTCGACCATCAAAAACCCTCTGGTTCAAAGAGACACGCGCTGCGGTAGTACTCGATGATCTGTTGTTGTTGAAGAAAGATACTTATAATTTAGTATGTCTTCAATATTTCGAACTCAGGCACGCCAAAAACGGACTTGGACGTACGCTGCTCATAAAGGATTCATACACAACATACAACACATAGAACTCCCTGGAGACCACTTCTCAGTCGAAGAAGTCCCTAGAGCAAAGAAACCCTAGAGTAGAAGTTCCTAGAGCAAACCCTAGAGTAGACCACTAAGCAAAAGTACGCTCCCCCGACTTGATGTCGTGGACCGCCAGGGGTCGTTTGCGCTCTTTGCTGCTGTCTGGCATTGTTCTGCGACGTTCCTGGTCGCGGTGCCTCAGACGCTGACGTGCCAGGACGGTTACTAGAAGATGCTGATGCACCAGGACGCATTGTGCTTGTTCTATATGTTTAATCTTAATGTTAATGATTTGCTCTTCTAGTAGGTGTTCGAAGCCTTTCACGTTTTTTCATGATTTTTAGCTCTACGAGAAGATCAACTTTAGGAATCTTCTTGCTACACCTGGAAATTCCGGTGGTATTCCACGAAGCTAGGACCTCTTTCTTATTCAATGAATGGCGTTGCAACATTATCAATTTAATGTGATGAAGATAGTGTCAGTTGTCTAGGTACTTCATTATCACTTCTTCAGATGAAAGGTGGAGTGCTAGGAAGGAGGTTCTTGTTGTCCTCTGATTCAGAATAGTCGTGTCAAACTTCATTATTGTACCTTCGGGGAGTGGAAGCAACAGAGAACGAGGATATGGGATAATTTTCGTAATAGTCAAGATAATCAATTATACCAACTGACAGAACACGCAAACCGACTTCGCAACATGAATCCCACGTTTTTTTTACTTAATCTGACCGAAAGTTTTGATCAACACACGTGCGTTTACACACTAGCAGACCGACATTTTTCCGGACCGACCGATCGGCTTAGAACAATGTGTGATGATCTATTGTTTTCTCGGGGCTTGTCTTTCCTCATCCTCAACGCCTTCCCAATCCCATATTATGCTGGCATAATAGAGAACAATCGACCAGTTTCTCAGTCTTCAAAAAATGTAGTTTATAATACTGATTTTATATATGGTTCTGAGGGAGCAGGTTCGTGAGGGGAGTCTCAGTTTCAGAGCGGAACAAACGCGAGCCCGAGGCCAGTCAATCAATAGGCTGCGGCCGTCTAACGAGCGGCGGCGCTGGATGGCGGAGGAACTAAACAGACCCAGGGCCAACTCTGGACAGTGCGAGCACGCCTGTGCTAGTTGATTGATTGATTGATTGATTGATTGATTGCTGTACTAGTAGTATATCATGCTCTTTTTTTTGGTAGGGCTAGAAGATGCTTCCACCCTAACGCTACTATGCTAGACAAGAATTAAAGTTCGCACGCGGCCCACACGTCGCATTCGTGTCGATCGGAGGAAAGTAGACGAGCATCAAATAGAAAGTACATAATAAATTATACACTGGCCATCGTCACGACAATTATCGGCTCTTGGGTTAGGTGAGGGATCAGTTTGGTGGAGAGAGAGTAGATAATACAAGAAAACCTTTTTTGTTACCTGCGTCTGCTATTCTCGCATATCCTTGCTTCTCCGCGAGAAGCCTGAAGCACGACAGCCAGGCACCTAATCAATTATAGACCACCCGTGGGGCCGACGTCGGGTGAATCACTCTCCTACAATTACAATTGCAAGTTTTGCGAGGGGGGGTTATGGCGGGCGGTATACTGAAAGAGCATAGCCCACATTTTTTCCAGGACGCGACGGCGGGAGTGCATTAAGCTCCTATACTACACACTACGAGTTACAGAATTACGCACAGCGCGCCGCTCGACTTTGTTCGACCGTCGACGCGCCAGCCTGTGTGGACGCAGAGAAAGCAAGCACTTCACAGACGCGGAGATAAATGCACAGCAATAGTGAAGCGAGCGGAAAGCCCTGTTCTCCTACTGAGCGCTAGAAGCTAGACACACAACTAGTTTTGACTTACACAAAGCGCAGACAGGCACAAACACAACTAGAAGGACACACTCAGAAACTACATGCCCGTGCGAAATCAGTTAGAGATCAGAAAGTTGCGCAAACAAGATGCGAAGCTTTATCAATTAGCATTTTCACAGACGAAAGACTTTCTAACTTATTGCGTCGCTCTTTCCCTTGTAGTTTAAGTTTTGCGGCCTACAGCATCTACTACATATTACTACGTAGCTTTTTATTAGAATTTTCACAGACAACAGACTTTCTAACGTATTGCGTCCTCCTTTCCCTTGTAGTTTAAGTTTTGCGGCCTACAGCATCTACTTACTACTAAGTAGCTTTTTATTAGAATTTTCACAGACGAAAGACTTCCTAACGTTTTGCGTCGCCCTTTCCCTTGTAGTTATGAGGCCTACAGCATCTTCTACTTCTTCCTAGCTGGTTGCGTTGCTCGCACTTCCTATCATCGCCCCAAACTGGAGCGCTTCGCGCTGGCTTCCTGAAGAGAGGCCATAAAAGAGAGAAGCAACAGCTACAAGCTAGTCAAGGAAGGTTCGATAGCGACAAAGCATGAAGACAACCGTCGCTATCGACACAAGGCAGAAAAGGCCGCTCCTCCAAGCGGCGCCCGCAGAGGACCGGAAGCCGGGGCCTCCGCTTCCCGAAAAAAGTTGAAGGAACCCTTTGCCCCGACGGAATTGGAAATATACGGGCCCTCCGGCCTCCATACAAAATAAAAGGATCACAGATGCATGCTCTTCGATATTGTGTTGCTCATAGATGGCTCATAGATAGAATGCTTCCAGAACGACCACCTGCAACCCCCCCATAGGTTATGTTGAGCCCCAAGCCCCCTGATGTCTTGGTCTGTTCGTTTATCAATCTACGTGCGCAGCGGTGAAATTAATGAGTATGATAAAGATAATTAAAGCTAAAAAAACTATGGAGAAATAAAATTGATATGATACAAGAACTCCCGTGAATTTTAGTCTTTTTTGGGTCGTTGCTATATCAGAGGGGATAGGGCTTGAACTTGTCGACCCTCGTCCTTGTAGTATGTCTGATCATGAGTAAATAAGAGGAATAAAGCGCACTCGCACCAACAGGAGGCACTTTATTTTTCGAGGGGTAGAGTTGTAGGCTATGCAAGAATAAATTGCACGAAACACGTATCAATTTGATATATTATACTCTAGAACATGTAGTAATTTTCGACCACAAGTCGCAGGCACCATCATGATCATCCATCTCAACACTTTTTAAATCTAAAATAAACAACTCCGAGCAGGTTAGACTGTCAGTCTTCTTTTTGCAGTATGCTGCTTGCTCTTTTCCGTCTTCATGAAAAGCCTTTCTAGTTCCTCTCCCATTCGGTTTCTCCTGGAAGCCTCGTCCTCTTCTGGCTGATTTCGCGATGAAGCAGATCTTCCTCCAAACAGATTCGCGTCGCTTAGAGTGGTAAATGTAAGAGTTGTATCATCTCAAGTCTAAATGTAAGTTGTTGTAAATGCAAGTTAGACCAAGTTCTTGATAGAGTAGAGAAGTTATCGCGCACTCACAACTTAGAAGCCGTGTTATATAGTCCTTTTAAACGACGTGTTATATAGAAGAAGTTGTGCACCCACTTGTTAGTTAGACTACTTATAGCGCGAGCGTCGTGGGTGTTTGTAGTATAAAAAAAAAGTTCCGACGAGCAATCTCAACCTCAAGACTTTCCTCCATTCGTTTTCACTTCAACTAAGAGGTGCGTGAACCAAAAGCAGTTTGAATGAATGAATGTACCCACTCCAGGGGACGATGGATATAACTCGCAAAGTGCTGTTCTAACAGAAGCGCTGTTGTCGGAAGAGTCTAAAAATGAATCTAAATTATAGATACTTGTCAAAAGTGTAAGCGAGAGTCAAAATAGAAGAGCAACTACTCCTGTAGTGTTTAGTGTAGTGGAACTCTCCTAAGAGAGTTGTGCTGCCGCGCTCCTCGCCAGACATGGGGATGCTGTTGTCGGAAGAGTTTAAAAATAAATCTAAATTGGATACTTAAACTTAAAGTACTAAGCCCTTTGTTCTTGAAGTAAATTAGGAAGAGTCGAAAAAACTAGAGCACTCCACTCTTAACTTTTTCCTTAGTGCGTGTTTGCTCGCAAAAATTCTCAGTTGTGGAGTTGCAGCGTCTGGTCCGGCGCCTGCTCCGACTTCAGGGCCTTCCAATTGAGAAATTAGTGCTTTGATATGCTTGCGCATCTAAAATAAGAATCACGTTTCAAAAAAATACGTAGTATCGACGTGTGACCTACCAAAAAAAAAGAGCACAAACTCAAACATGTCTTCAAGTAGAAGTAATTCGTATTTTCTAAATAAGCAATGATGATGATTATGAGATAGAGTCAAGTAGTTGTAAACTAGTAACGTTGACGTTGGAGTTATTTCTAGACGATAGTCGAGGCATAAAAATCTTCTTAGCCTTCTTAATCATTCAAGCCAGTTACTTTACACTTGAACGCTTCCCATGTTTTGACTGAGGGGAAAAATGAAAGCAAACAAGTTGGCCGTCGAAGTCCCTAATCTTCTGGTAGTTGAGAAAGAGCGAGTCGAGGGAGGAACGAGCATGATTCTCTCACCACTCTTGCACATACATAGAATGAAGAAAAAACCCTGCTAGCTTAACGAGTAGAGAGGTATCGTCGCGATAGCGTGCATGTCTGTAATGCTGATGGGGGGAACTGATGTCCCTTGCTCGACGTGATATGCTGTTCCTCCAGCTACCTCAAAGCGTCGCAGCTGTGGGGGCGGTTCCTGGTGCTGGTGCTCTCTCTGATCATGATCATCACTCGCGGAAAACGCGTCCCTCCTCAGTCTCCTCTCGTCTTGTGGCGCAGGACCCGCTTCCAGGGATTAGAAGAAATGCTTGCTCTTAAGCTCCGAAAGTCAGAAGCTAGTATCATATAATCTGGTTCGTAATCTAGTAATGATGTTGAAGATGAGTCAATGGATTAGTAGTGGACAAATATATTCATAAAAATATTATTGATATTATTTTCTTCATCTAGTACCAATACATACACATAGTACTTAGATAATAAAGATTAAGATCATACCGGAGGGCCAACCAGGACCCAAGCTCAGCGATAAACTCGTCCAGTCGTGGAGCGCCTCACTAGAAGCAAATAAGAAAATCAGTCAACGCCGACAAGTGCTTATCTATCACTAACGAGAACTACCTCAACGAGGATCATACTTAGACATCGGGAATAAAAGTCATAAGAGCTCTCGCGAGCTGCCACGGGTCGTTCACCATGACCATCAAAACGAGCAGAAAAAGCACTAGTTGTAGTTGCTGCATTATAAGCATTGCTCCCACCTCGTTCTTCTTCTTCTTGATCTCCTCGTCGTTGATCTTGGTGTTCTTCTGAGAAGTGGTGGTCACAACTTCTATTAGTGTAAGAAGACTGACCGCCCGCACTAGCTGCGCGTCGTGCTTCAGCATCGCGCTGTCGTTGTAATAGCGAAGGTGCGACCACAACTTTTTTGCGATCATCCCCTATAAAAGTTAGAACTTCTCCCACGAGTCCATCTCGGCACTCATCATCTTGATGGTTCTTCCCGTAGATAGTTTTCCTTTTAAAAACGGGACGACCAAGTAGAAAGATGCTCTAGAAGAAAGATGGATTTCGATTTCTTCTTCTTCAGGACGAGGAGCCATAATTTATAAGCGGGAAAATCTTCCTGCTCTCCCTCGTTGAGACCTCCTTCATCTGCTTCACCACTCACTCGAAGAGCTCCTCCATGGGGTCGCGAAATACTTCTTCCACCACATGAAAACAAGTCTTCGCGTGGTCCATAATCTGCTTCCCCATGATCGTGGTCCCAGCAGAGTATATTGTTATCTGCATTTTCTGCTTCGTCACCCGCACACTCGTCTCCTCTAGCAGGAGCTCCAACCAGCTCGTTTTCATCGTGAGCGGTCCCGTATTTAGAAGCCTTGGAGACGATTCTATGTATTCGTCTCAGTTCTCTCATGATCTCGGCCCCCTTTAGCTTTATTCCCATCTTGATCTTGTAGATTCTGCGGAGAACAAAGGCGCTGAGAGAGATGCTGAGAGAGATGGAAGAAAGCCAAAAGCCAACATATCTTCGGTTGCGAGGTCGAGCTCGAAACTGTTTCTACTCTCAAAGGTGTTGTTACGACTTTTTCCACTTTCTGAATTCTCATCTTCAAAAGTATCCCGTAGCACTTCGCTACTTGCACTTAGCCCGTCTCGATCGTCCGGATGAAGACTTAGACCTCCTAGCGATTGTCTTCTACTCTTTTTTATACCAGCAAAGTAAGTTTTGTAAGCAGGTTTATATTCTTAAATTCAAGATTTTGTATCTAAATTTTGAATTATGAATTATCATCTAGGCGTAGCTCATAATTTCCATTTCTTAATCTTTGCACATGCACATTCCTGGAAGGAACAAAATGCTTAAAGATAGAAGAAGCCTTAGAAGGTGTTGAGCATCTCGTCTCCTGATGTGAACAACATCTTCAAGATATAAAAAACATTCTCATGAGTTTTCGATGGTGAGCCTTAACAAGTGACTGCCTCGCGCACTGTCAGAATCGCTGTCTTGCCGTCGCCCAGCATCGCTGTCTTGCCGCGCTCGCTGGTCTGCGGGAAGTCGCTTAATCGACTTGACGACGCCCACGCCGTCAACACTTGTTCTCGAAGTAGAAGTGCCCGTCCTCGAGGTAGATGAAGTTGAAGTGCCTAGTTGTATATCTTCGCGCTCAACATCTTCACTCGATGCCACAAGTCGATGCCACAAACGAGTCGACGGACCCTGTGACCCAAGCGACAAAGCGACTGGGTCAGGCTGCACCAGGTTCATCATCAAGTCCCCGCTAATTCTTGTATCATCATGTTCATGCTCTTCGCCAAAATTTTTGTAGCCACGTTCTTTTATAGGGCTATTCCGTATAATTCATCTTTGACCACCAGCATCTTTTCTTCAGTATTCTTTCATACAACTCTTCAGGGATGCCGCGGTCAAAGATGAATTGTCTATAATCATAATAGTCTTAACACCAGGAGAAAACGCGACCAACTCGTTGCTATAACTGTAAAAAGGAGAAGGCTGAGAGGGAGCCCTTCTAGAACAGTGAGTGCATCCTGTAGTACGTCGTCCACCTGTTCCTCCTACCAGAGTATTATTGCTCGCTCGTCCTAGTACTTCTACTTGTTCCACCTCCCTCGAACAAGAGCAACTTCTTCTACTAAGTGAGATTTTCTTGAAAATAACTTCCCCGCCAACATCAAAAAGATTTTCTGTGGTGCGAATCGAAGAAGCTGGTGCTGTGGAAGCTGATCCAGTAGAGATGACTCGAGGATTGCATTAGCAAGAGGATTGCATCAACAATGTCTACAACTTCTTCACTCTGATCAATGAAAAAAAATCGACAGCCCCAAAAAGACATGACCAGAAAGCGGAAGCATATATTACAGTAGATCATTAGCGCGAGGATTCAATTGCATCAACAACCTAAAAACAAATCATCAATGAAAATTATGATTTAATCAGAACAAGATTCAAGATCATGGGCAATATTCTTAAGAATGAGAAGACGCGAAGCTTCCAGGCGCTGGAGGACGAAGATGCGCGGGTGGCCCCTCTTCTTTATTTAGGGGAGGTGCCTCTAGTTGCTCTACCGCGGTGACTTGCGTACTATATCTTTTCTGGCGTCCGATACACTTGTTGAGGAAGCTTTTTGGACCTCCAACTCCAAGAGAGCTTTGCAAGCTGCTTATCAGCTGTATAGAGGTCAACGTGCGTTCTTTAAGGGACGATCGTTTAGGAACGAGGTCACGCGGCATAACACCTGAGGAGGTGCTGCAGGACGACAGCTGCTGCTCACCTGGCGGCGCGTCTTGAAGACGTCCTCCTGCAGGAGTTGTGTCGGATGACAGGAGGACGTCTTCAAGTATGGTCGGTATGACCCTACTCCCTTTCATTTTTTGCACAGTACTAGGAGGGTGTAGTACAACTTGGACACGACGATCTTCGCCTGCTCCGGTTGCACTTAGGGACGACCGTAATATGGTCGGCATGACACTAAGTACTCGTTTTGATTCTACTTGATTTGGCACTGCCATTAGAAGAGTCCCGTGAGAAGAGTCCCGCAGTCGCGTCTGTCGTGCCTAAACACATTTTTGCTTCATCAGGTTCATCTTGCTCGCCTTCTTGTGCCCCAGAATCTTCACTTGGAGCAGCCGTCTCTCTCGGAGCAAGAAACAGTAGAGCGGCTGATCCTTCTCGTGCCAGTTCTTGTACATGATGACGATGGAGAGATGAAGGCGCGCCTCCTCCTTGTCGTCGAGGAGCACCAGCTTCTTCATCACTGAACAAAGGTCCGACCCCGGCTCCACTATCTAGCTCTAGTGCCGCTGGGGGGCGATGTCGTTGATAGCCGCAACCTCCTCCAGGTGTAGTTGAATCTTCTACAGTTGTTGTAGGATCTTCATTTTTCAGAAGATCATGCCTTGCAACCCGATACGCACAGAGTGGAGGTATCAACTTATTTTTACTGATCATGATCCCTTCTTGTTCTCGATTCTTGTGATAGCCTGGAGCTCCTTCGCCACAGAGATCGTCACACTGGTTACGCAGTTTTGCGGCAACCGGTCCACTAGGCTCGCTCATCTTGAAAAAGATCACTTCTTGTGACCCATCCTCTAAAAGAAACCAGGGGAGCCACCTCCGCCCTGCATCTATCGGCTTATGTGATTGTCCAAATTAGCGGCGCTCACATTAACTAACATTCTGCTTTCAACATACTAGTGGTCTCAGAATCCAAGAAGAAAACGGACGAGACAGAGACAAGTAGAAGCCTGTGAAGCAACAAGATGAATCTTTAATATGTAGTTGAGCAGCCTTAACCTCCAAAAATAGACGAATCTTCACCGCCAAAAGCCTCAAGATCCACTTCACCAAAGGCTTGCTCTAGAAGTCGGTAGGAGACTTTGGTAGAAGAAGACCACCCTTTCCTAGCAGAAGGTGTAGAAGGCCTGTGATCGTCTTCACGTTCCACGGTGCGCACTGCCCAAAACAGCTTTTTTTCGATATTCCATCCATTGCCACGCATAGAGACCCGAAGCAGCACAATCGTCTCACACGTAGAAGAACTACTGGACGTACATAGTACACCAGGTGGAGCAGTAGTTGACCCAGACGGCGCGACAGACGCTGCGTGTGGAGCGCCCTGTCCAGCTGCAGAATCATCCTCATCCGGACGATAAAAATTCTCATCCTTATCCGGACGTGGATAATAATCCGGACGATAAAAATCGCACCCCTGCTGTTGAGGATTGGTTGTTGACAATCCTTGTTGATAACGATTCTCACGTATCGCTTGTTTTAAACCCGGCGGAAGAACTTCTTCTACGAAGTGCTGTTCTTCTTGAGCCGATGAGTTCTTTGTGCCGGTAATATTGCGAACTCCTTCTTCTTGTGAATGCCTAGCAGACTCCACGACAGGGACAGATGAGGTGTTATATGGAACTACTACACCAGATGAGTTTTCCGATTTGTATGATCGAGCCACGGTCTCTTCCGAGTTGTACCTAGCCACGGTCTCTTCCGAGTTGTACCTAGCCACGGTCTCTTCCGAGGTGTATGACCGAGCCACGGTCTCTTCCGAGTTGTAAGGATGATCCCGTGAGCTGAAGATACCTGGAAGCTCACCCTTTGACACTGTTTGTTCCAAAATCGGAGGAAGTGCACTCACTTGCAGATGTTCCTCCCTCTGCTGCTGCTGCTTTGTCTCCTGCGCTCCCAGGTAGAAATCTTGTTTAGGTTGTAAAAATGTGCGCCCTTGATCATGCCCTTCAAGTAGAGGAGACTGCTCATCAGGAAGATGAGGAAGCTGTTGACGTGTCGGCTCCCTCGCTCTTCTTGTGGGTGTGCTTCTACCTCCTTGTGGAGGAGGAGGCCCCCCTAGAAGTCCTTCTACTACTTTTAGTTGTTCTTCATCTCCTGAAAGTAGATACTGCTCTTTTCGCACTCGATCTTTACTCTCAGACGTTATCTGTCTTGACGTTCGCTCTTTCGATGGAGTAGATGACGCTGATGAAGTCGATCTAGAACGAAGCAAACGGACGATATAATTTTAGCGCTAGTTTTTCACTCAGCACAGTCCACGACTTGGGATTAATATGGTGAAAAACTAGCCTTAATAATTCCTTATTGTGTTGTTCGCCTCCAAGTTGTCTGTCCGCGTTGTCGACGGCGGACTTGCACTCCTTGCTCTTCGAGAAGTTTCTTCACGAGTAGAAGGCACCACGAGTGCACCAGCCTCACTTGTTTTTGCTTCACTAGTTGTCATGTCTTCAGTTTGGAGCGACCCTGGAAGCGGCAACGGCATCATCTCATCACGTCGACGATGAGGGGCTAACGCGGAACAAATATGAATGCTGCTTTGCTCGTGCGACGGCTGCTCCTGCGCGAGAAGCTGTTCCTGTTGCTCCACAAGTAGAGGACTTCCACTATTCATCTTCCTCTTGTGCTTCTTAGAGGACGATGAAACTCTTGTTCATATATGTATCAAGGAGGGAGGCCCCCCCTGTGGATGGAGGGATGGCCTTCAGCCCTGAGCCCTGGAACATATATCTATATTTACCAAATATCACCCCCACAATCAAGCCCACGCATCAGAAGAAAAGCATTGCCTTTTAGTTCGTAGGTTCGGACCACGGCCCCGATTCAAGCCACGTTTATGAATCATGCTGGTTGACTTGTAGATAAGTAGACAAAAAAAAAATCAAAATTGCTTACTTAGCAGCGTGAGCGTCGTGAGTAAGAAGAACGAAAAAAATAATTCCTATAAGAAGAGCTCCCATAATCTTCTCGTTCTTCACAGCGGCCACGAGTGGGGAACGACGACGACTGTTGTTCCTACTTTTGGAATTCCATGCCCCATGAGGCGTTCTAAGCGGTGCAACATCTGAAAGTATTTTCGGTCGTTGAAAGAGTCGCTGGACTGATATTTCCAAAGGAAAGGCAGAAGATTCTCCAGTATTATATTTATATGGGTCATGATCTGTCTCGACGTTTGTTCTTTTCTTGGAAGATATTAAGCCTTGTTCTACATGATCCTGTTGCCGTTGCCCTTCTTCCTCAAGAACTGGAATACTAATATCAGTCTCAACAACATCTTCAGGAGAGTCAGAGGTCTTGTAGTGTTGAACGAAACACTGCTGATCCTCCGACTCACGACCTCCGTCGCAGGTAATGCGAGGAGGAGCATCTATTTCTTAGCGCTCACCCTTATCCATCTTAGGGCGCATCTTGAGCTTGATTCTCCTTTCTATCCCTTTTGGAGGACAGCTTCAAGATGCTCCCGGACATGGATTAGGGGCAGCCTTAAACTTCATGGCTTTGGCGTTCTTGTAGTCGGTGGTCGATCTCCTGCCGATTCGCACCCACTTCAACGGATGAATCGCGGCCATCGCCCTTATGATCTGTGGCATTACTACAAGTCTCTCTTCTCCTCGTAATTGCGCCATCACTCCTGTCGTCACTGCTAGACCACACGTCGTGGGGGCGATCAGCATCCATCTGCCCTTGTAGTTCTTCATCAAGAATGCAGCTTTTATCGCCTTTGCCTTTCGTCTTGTTCGCTGCTCCTGCACCTGCACTAAAGCAATCATGATAGGCGCCTTCCACAACCACACCGCTGCCTTCGTCATCTACTTCGTCAGCGTCTTCTTCGTCTAGTCCGAAAGTCACAGTCGCAGACGTACTGACTGTCGTACTCTGGTGTTGTTCACTTGTACTAGTCCTGTTGATGCTGGTGGCGGCATGATTAGAACTACCACAAATGTCCTCCATTTGAAAATCATCTTGGTCCCTGTATATTCCCTGTTGAAAAACGGAAGCAGGACCAAGATCGATGCTGTGGAACAAGTAAAAGAGGGATCATTTATTCTTGCGGGAGCCTTAAGAACATGATGATCTGTCTGCAGTATTGTGATACACAATTGAACAGGTACACGCTCAACGAGAGACGGAAAAATTTTGGAGGTTGTATTCTTTGGCGTAGTCGCAGTTGGCACATCCGTCGGTTCCCGCCGTCCACCAGAACTAGACGAACCACCATAGTCTACGACAGCGCCATCGACTTTGGCGTTAAATTAGAGCGCAAAGCAATTCACTACTGCCCTCCATTCCATTTCTTCAGAATCCTAAGAAGGAAACCGAAGACAATGACCCTTGGGAATGAATAGTTTCAAGCCTTAATTTTTACAACACAGCTGGGATATTAGGGCCCGAAGACCTACTAGAGCCACGCCTCTCAACAACCGACTCATTGCTATTTATTTTCGGTATCAATGTGCTTCTAGTAGTTCGCTATCTTCAACGAAGTGCAGGGTGTTCCGCTCGACGTGACGAGGGTAGTTGTCCTTGTCCTTTGGCTTTGAATTCAATTTTTTGGCTGATATTTTGCTTCTTGAAGGAAAGAAGTCGACTCGCAGTGCTGTCTTCGGTACATTTCTGCAGGAATTATAGTTCTGTGAGGGGCGCACTAATGCGAGGCAATCATATCAGCCTTACTCGCGCACTCGACGGTCGCACTCCGTTCCCATTTGCATCGATATTACAGGAGATCCTCGCAGCCAGTTGTATTTGTAGGCTTATTGCGCTATAAATATTATCTTCCTGCAGTTGTACTAGTAGCGGACAAACATTCGTTTCTATTATTATCATCATTATGTTTATGAAGAATAAAAAGTAGTACTCAGATACAAATCATAGATGTTGGGCGCGGAGCAGAGTGATAGCCTGGGATAATTTGTGGTTGAGCAGTAGACCTACCGAGGGAAATTATATATAACACAAAAGATAAGCGAAGATATGCATGAGGGCACCAGTAGCGAAGAAGTCGGCTACATGAGTTTTGCGTATGTTGGGTATAGATTTATGACATATGGTAAAATCATGGGGATAAGACTAAAAAAGTGAATACTTGATAGTCCACAGTGTGGCATAAGCAAAGGGCCGACGCGATTTCTCAACTTATACATGAACTGTGGAAAGTCGTGGCGGGAAACACAGACAAAGGCAACTGCTCAAGAGCCTGGATAGAATAGGAATTGAGCCTGCTCGTTCTTCTCGATTATTATTACTTATTAGGAGAAGTAAGTGTAAGTGAATGGATGAACGATGAATCATGGATGAAAGTAGTACGGATTGGAATGGATGTATCCGCTGTCGTATCATGGACACAGTTGCAATAGGATAACTAAGATAACTTCATTCTCTATCTTATTCTTATCATTTACTTTTACATAGTATAACTTCTAAGCAAGATGAACAAAGTCAGTACAGCCATTCCTGCTGCTGGCTGCATACAAAATGGCAATGCTCAAGCACAAGAACTAGAAGTAGAAGAACTGCGTAATGGACTTTACAAAATTTGAAACTAGGAGAAGGGGCGCACCTAGTGCAACAAGTACTTAGCAATAGGCTCATAAAATTGACAAAATACTAGTACTTTTTTACGCGATTTACATAAAACTAAGTGGTCCACTGTTTTTGAGCATCTTAGGCTACTGTTTTTGAACGCTTTCTCTCATTTGTTGTGAGATAAAATTTCCTATCATGACTTCGTCACTATTTTCTTCGAAGTTTATAGTGGAGTAGCCGGCTACTCAACACGTCAAGAAGCCGCCATAGGAAATACTGTAGTGTAATGCTTTGAATTGCGCAGATATGATCCAGAGTCTCCACTGTAGTACAGCGTCGCAATCTACGTCACCCATATGTTGTACTTTTTGCATTCACATTTTTACAAGAGCTAAATAATACAGAAACTGACATAATAAATCGAACTCAGGTAAGCAGTACAAGAAGTTGTCATGGAGATGGATGTTGATGTACAAAATAGCTCAGCTCCTCGTTCCTTTCACAAACAAATAATACATAGAAGAACAAATATGCTGAACTAGGAGAAAATAAGAAGTATTTCGCGGCCAGATGTAATTTCTTGTCCTTGTGTGGTGCTGGTGAATAAACCCTCCACCATCCTCGTGACATGCACCTACATTTGATTTTTGGGAAATGCAAAAAATGTGTCAACAGGTACTCGTGGTCCATAAGATGAAGTGTGAGTTGTCTTTGATCGTAAAGATAATCATTTTAACTTTCTGGTTCTTGTAGTAACAGTACTACGTACTAGCATCCAGGTGGGTCCTACTTAATACAATACAATTAATCTCGCACAAAGTTCAGTGCAGACTGCCTTAAGGATTAAATATAATGGTAAAGATATACACAGCAGCACGGGGTCTCTTCCTTCTCACAACTGGCTCACCTGTTACGTGACATCAGTTATTTCTTCATCTCCACGCACGATATCACTACAGGAATTCGGCTTACAGCATGCTCTTCAAAAATCAGGCAGCACAAGAAGAACCTGCATAGGAGAAGAACATCTGAACACAGTTCGTTGTGCGAGGACAAGTGACCCATCTCCATCAACTACATGCCAGAGAGATGATGCATACTCTGATGCAGTCGTCCATGAAGATGGATATGAGCGCATTTGTCTTCATCTTCATGAGCGCTTTTCGAAAGAAGGGGGTCTTCAGGGCTATTCAGGGCAGACTCATGGGTTGGAAAAAGCATAGGACAAGAACCATGCTGTTCGTGTTGTTCCAACGTGACGACTCAAGTAGAGACGAAGTAGACACGAACTACGCAGTTCTTGTCACAGTTCTTCTTGTTCTTTCTTCGAAAGCCGAACCATAAAAATACATAGTAATTGTCAGATCCAGGTAGCAACTTTGTGCGTTTCATTTTGAAGGAAGTCTTCGTCAGAAATGAGCAGCGTGGTGTCATGAACTAGAACTCTTCCACGACGAAGTACTTATAAAATATTAGTACACCAGCGCTAATGCGAAAATGAAGACTGACAAGGAAGTTCCACTTCCTCAACACAATTCAGTGTTCGCTTAGAAACCACATCTTCTGGGTCTGCTCAACCGCCTCACAATTCAGTGCGTTTGGACACCACATCTGCGTCCGCAGCATATTGGTACTCCTGATACTGCGCAGGCTGTTTCGGCGGAGGCGCATTCCCACGATTCGCTTCCATTGCAGCTCGTCGTATTGCCGCAGGATCTTCGGTTTGCATATGCTCAGCTATAATTAGACCTTACTTTTATTCATCTTGGAAAGCATCTTTGACGCAGTTCCCTCTTGAAAAAAAGATCAAAGATGCCTCTTAAGATGAATAAAAGTAAGTCTTAATAGAATGCCTACGGCGTCTTCCTCTTCCCCATTTGGTGCGGGGTCCACAAGGTCCACAACCTCAGGATCTTGTTCTGGTGGATCATGATAATCTAAATAATCTTCTTCACCTTCTCCTGGTTCTAACTGATTTTTCCCCTCAAGAGCATCTTCACCTTCTCCACCTTCACCTTCTGGAGGAAGCTCAACATCATCTTCTTCTGGCAGAAGATGTGAATCATCTGTATCTACTTGGTCTATTGCAGCCTTGTAGTTGTCGTTGTATGAGGGTTCTCTACTAGTACCTCCTGATGCGGATGGGTTGTTAGAGGGGTCAGCAGGAAAAGCGTTATCGAGTTCTCTTCGCACCACTTCATCTGCTTGGAATTTTCTTTCCGCAACATGTTTCGTAACCCAGTGCTCGTACCCTCGAATCTCTTCCCATGTCATCCGAGACAGCTGGTAATACCCAAATCCGAAGAAACTGCCGAAGAAAAGCGAAGAGATTAGAGGAAAAGCTAAGAAAAGCGAACCAATGCTTCTGGGATTTAGGAGGATATGAAAGCGACGGAAATGCTACTATAAAAAATTTGAATGTTCTTTCTAGTATCACTTACACTTTCATACGACATACGTTCATAATGAAAGAGCAAAGAAGGTCAGGAGCCAGCAGCAACATCCCCGTTTTCCAGCTTCTCCACTACCACTGCTGGACGAAGCCGTTGCTACACTAGGACCCAAATGCACCGTGTAGTCGCCGGATGCACTGAGCGCAGTCGTTGGTGCTGAAAAAGCCACACAGATGATTAGAAAATGAAGATGATAAACAAGTCCTCGTGTTGTAACTACTTACGTGTATTCTTTCCAGGAGAAAAGAAACCACAATCTTCTTGAGCTGAGTAACTTTCTAGCAATCTATCTAAATGCATAGCAGTAGGAATTTTCATCTGAGCCTTAATTGAACTTGTAGCGCATGAATAGGATTCTTCGCTGTGCCGCATGTTTTCACCTTCTTGAAAGGCATAAACCCCTTTTTGAAGGAATCCACGTCGACCGAATACCTTGTCATAGTTGAAACGAGTTTCATATTCTTTAAGTTTATTTTTTGTCGTTGTTTTGAACTTGAAGATGAAAAAAATTCGAATAAGATGATCTTGTGTAAAATTTCGATGAGGACCATGAGACAGTTGCCAAATCATTCTTGTAACCTCATGTTACTAGTTGCAATATAACATCTCCTCGTCCAGCACTCGAGGGTGGTACGAGGAAGCTACAGCTCGCGTACAAAAGAAAGTCTATCAGTACATATTCTTATGTCCTGGGACGAAGCCGCACATCATCATCGTTCGATCGCGATTCAGTCGAAGGGCACTGCATGGCTTTGCGTCGACTTGAACTGGAAACACCAGCTTTGGTGGCGATACGTCGAATTTCCAGAGACCGAGCTGTTGTGGAGATGGATAAAGGAGGTGTGGTTCTGTTTCTACCAAGTACTAGGTTATTTGATCTTGAAGAAGATGGTGAAAACACACATTCATTATTTCAAGTTTGTTATAACGCGCTGTAGTACTAGGAAGTCGTTTCAATCAGCTAACTTCAACATCAACTTCTTGATGCATGCCAGGCTCCATCACGTCGGTTAGGATTCCGAATCTTATAAATATAAAGACTGTTAGAATCAAAAAAAAGTACCATAGCCGGTCCCCTAGGTCCTGCAGCACTGAGCAAAAGCGTGTCTTCTGTGAAGAAATGCGGAAACTTCAGGTTCATAGGATCTTGTCTGCCCCCTTCCTCGTTCCACGAAAAGGAGCAAAATTCTTCAGCAGTGTCAACCTTCCATATCTTACACGTTCGGTCCTCGGATGTTGTGACTGCTAACCTTTGTTGAGTGTGATGACGGTCGTTGCATCTGAAACAGCATGTTGTTGATGCAGTCATCAGAATAAGTAAAACTAGAAGAAAGTAGAAGACAAAATCTACCTTCCATCCGGCGACACATCTAAAGCTTCTATAGGCTTGGTGTGTGCCGTAAACTCCGCTAGAGGTTGCTCGCTAAATTGCGGATAACTCCACACTTTTGCGCCGTCAGAGCCAACGGTGAAAATTCGGTTGGCTGTGAGTCTGTTGTTTGGGTACGAATGGGTGATATTGAGCAAGTAGAAGTCAGTCCATCAAATCTGGTCGGATGCATCTTCATCTTCATCTGGTGGAATATGAGTTTTTGTCAAGAAAAAGTAAGTAGTACTTCATAAACTCCTGTATCCCATCCTCGTCTTTCCTCGTGTATCGGTTATAGACCTTCTTCGTTTCTGACTGGAAATCAAAGAGGACCTTCATCTTCTCCTCTGGTGTTACTTCGATGATGTATCCTCTAGCTCCTGCGGAAACGCACCACAAATCCGCCTCTGGCGAGTAGGTTACTTTCGTAGGAAGCACGCTGCCCATGTTTAGTCTGTCGAGAGTGACAAAGCGCTTTGACTTGTCGCGGTTTGGAGATTAGAGGATGTCTCGCAAGTGGAAAATGACAGTGTCACACGTGTTATCGCAAATCTATGCTTAATTCATGTTCCCCTACAACCTCCAGGTGGGGTGGTAGCCTTAGCCAGAATTCACGATAAAAAAAGAACCCCTGGTGCCTTCTGAACACTCTACTCAGACGAGTCAACAAAACTAAAACAGATCCACCTTTCATAAGTATTGTCAATCGCATGAAGGTGGATTTCGTTGGGAATCTCCTTCTTCCCTGCTGAACCGCCACCTCCGCAACTAATGGCGTGTCGACCGTTCTCGCAGCATTCTAGGCCCAATAAAGGATATGGCGCGATGAATTGGTCTTTTTTTAGAGGTGTACTTGGGAGTTGATCAATCATTTAGGTAAATGTATTATATGTAGGCGGGTAGAAACTTAGAAGTAATTATCTGAAGGGGATTCTACTTGCACTAGGTGTCTCTCCTCGTTCTATTTCACTACTAAGTAAACTACACGTAGTAAAAAATGATGATGATCATCCGCCTGTCATAACCTTTGCTTATCAAAGATCGGTTGCGCTGGTGGGCCTGATGACGCAGAATTCACTGCTGAAGATGAAGACCCTCCACTACCCGAAGCGGAGGCGGGTGCAGCTTGTGGTTGTCTTGCTTGTTGTGGTTGTGCTGCTTGAGGTGCAGCAGCTGGTGCACCCATACCTCCTGGAGCTGAAGGCATTGGCATACCGCCTCCACCCATCGGACCTCCTGCACTCGGCATACTCATCCCACCAGAACCAAAAGGACTTCCTGTTGTTGGAGGCGCGGTTGGCATCGGCCTCTGACCACCTGCAGTGGGAGGCATCATAGGCGCAGGCGGCTTCATTTTTTCTTAGTCTTGTCTACTAGTATGGTAAGAACTAAGTGTAGTTCGGGACGATTGGGTACTTCAATGAAGGGCAGAAGCAGATGCGAGTGACGTACTAGTCAAAATTTTGCTTTTGCACTTTGACGGTATGGAATCAGCGGCAAACGCAAAGTCGGGATTTAATAGCCGTACTAAGTACAACATTCAATCATGTTGGGTAAAAACAAGGAAGGGTAATATCCAAAAATCAAAAGAGTACATCAAGAGATGGCGCATGAAAAGACAAAGTAGTGAAGAACTACCACGCTATAATACACGTCGTTATTCTAAAAAACTCTATCCCTCGTTTATCCAGCACTGTGAAATCTTTGTTGTAGATGAATACTGCTTTTTAAACAATTCCTCGCTGTCATAGCCAAAGGATCACCGGTTCACTCTCTCAAAAAGCGCATGTTCATCAGAACGGAGCAGTGATCCAGAAATTTCAAGTACACCAGAAATTTCATTTTCTGTTCGTGTGCGTCGTGGTTCAAGGATTTGAAATTGAAGAGGTTGACTCCAGTAGTGTCAAAGTTCTCCAAATGGAATGAACACGGTATGCAAGCTCTTGACATTGAGAATATTTAAGCAGAGATATTTTTCTACAGCAGAATTCACTGCAGCTCTACCACAGAAGGCATCACGACTAGCACTAGCATCAACATTTTTTTCAGCGTTAATTAAATTTCCTTTTCAAGACTTCTTACAACGTATTTCATCAATCTTTTCCGATTGAGAAGCATGCTGGAAGCTCTTCGCCTGGCGATATGGTCGTGAGTGTCACGCTGCACAACAAATTATCCTGCTTCTCAAATATGATTCCCGGATAGCCATAGTATGCAGAAGCGCGGCCAAGTGCTGGAACTGATGCTGGGGAAAGAGGGGATGCGGTGGTCGCGGTGGCGCTGTTTATGGTATCGCACGTGGTCGTACTCATCTCTTTAATATTTTCTCCAGGTTCACCTAGGACAGCTGCAGGGAGAGCAACCTGAGATGCCGCTGAAGAAGGTGAAGCTGCATAGCCTGTCGCTGAAGACACAGATGCGGTGGCGAGGACCAAAGGAAACTTTGAAGTAGAACTTGAAGATGAACTACCTTCTCCTATCATCGCTTGGACGTCTCGGAACTCCCATCTAGGATCAATGCACACTGTCCGCAACAATGGATCGGGCTCTAAGCAACCTCCTGGAGACCCTAGAACTGCTGTAGTTGAGCCTGAAGAAGCTCCTACTCCTGAAGAACGTCCTACTTCTCCTGCACCATCTCCTTCTGCAGCTGCACGACCTCTGTTCAAGAAATGACTAGAAGTCGCTTTTGCTTTTGCAACTGCAGTTCCGTTCAATGGGATTTTGAAGAAAGAACGCTCGTAGCGACCGAAGCGATGATGCGTGACGGCATTGGTGTGCAACACGATCTTGCAGACAGAATGAGATTCACCATTCAAGAGGACGTCGACGCCGCGGGCATAGAAAGAGGAGATTAGAAAAAGAAGGAGTCATGGCATGTTGATACAAGAGGATACAACGCTGTGCAGGACAAGAGGAAGAGAGACCAAAGTATTAACAGCATGCTCTACTCGAGGTAACGATATAGTATCGTCTCTAGTACTAAAACCTTAACCTAAATCATCTCTAAATATAAGAGAGACCACCAAATAGAAATATTAAAAAGAGTCTCCACGAAAAAGTTGTAGTTGATCCTTCCTATTCCCCACTAGACCTCACATTCATAACCAAAAATAATCCCTGCGATTGCTTGTTTTCGAACTTGGACTATTGGGCTTTGGATTTCTCGTTATAATTCGTCTACTCTCGACCACCGCGTCTGGACTCCCAAGTTCTGAAATTATGTCCTGACAGCTTGCGCCGAAACGAATCACACGCTGTCATGATTTAGGGGTTTGTTTTAAATGTTGTAGTGAATGACGCACTGCAGGAGAAGCCTGTTCATTTGATAACGTTTCACCATCAGCTTTGAATTCACTATTTTTACCGGTGACACTGCTTGAGAAATAAAAGGTACATAATTTCATTAGCAATACCTTGTCCAAAAACTGCAACCCAATTCCAACTCGCACGATGGCTGTCGACACAACAGGGATCGGTGGCGTATACTTGGATAAGGCGTCGGGGCTCCCGATATTCGAGGGAAGGATCCAAAAACGACCTTTTGGCTTCGATGATGCTGAAGTTGATGTAATGGTTGTAGCTTCGAGTTCAACTGCAGGTGTTCTACTACTGCTTCTAGCTTGTGCCTCCTTCATTCTTGATGGCGTTTCAAGATCAACTTCGTTTCCTTTTCCACCTGGAGGTGATCCCTCTTCTTCGTCAAATTCGAAAACAAGTCCCGGATAATGTGCTTGGCCTGCTGCTTGCGAATCTTCTTCGTTCGAGGGACCACTATGCGGAGTGCCAAAAATCGCTTCGACAGCGTCCAAAGTTCTCAGCTCTCCGCAGGCTTGATTCTTGTACCTGTACGAAAGACGATGAAGACGGGGCTTTGCAACGCCTGTACCAAATTCTAGGGTGCTTTCTTCATCTGATTGTTTTCCCCCACCCAGAGCCCTTTCTGCATCGGCTCCACCAGGTGATCCTCCTTCTCCTGCTAATGTGAGATCTGCAGGTCCACTACCTCGATCATCTGCTTTCCCATCTTTAGATCCAGCACCACCTTTTTTTCCTCGTCCTTTGGAGGATGAGCTACTACCTCCTTTCTGTTGATTTTTACCACCTCCTGGTCCACCTTTGGTAACACTTTTTCTCTTCTTCTTGCTCTTGGCCTCCACCCACCCACCACCATCATCGTGAAGATCGTCTTTCTTGCATGTCAGTAATGGGTCTACTGAATCCTGTTCCGATCTTCGTGGTGTTAGAGCTCGAAACAATTCACTTCTTGCCTCCAGTGGTTTAAAGTCCTAAGAGGGAAACTACAGGGAGAAATGGGTTGCAAAAATGAATTGTATAATTGAGCCTTAATGGCGCACTCGGTTCGTCCGCACCAGTACCAGCTGCTCTCTCCTTATCGTCAGAGCTGTCGTCTTTCTTATCACCACGACTACTTGTCGCTTCACCTGAACCAGCGTCTGCACTTGTAGTTCTTGTTACACTTTTTACTCTATCGGACTCAGATAGAACTGAAGATGGACCTTGCTCCCCACCATCTCCGCCTGCTTTATTGGTACAAGAACTTGTAGAACTAGATGATGAAGCCTCATCTTCTACTGCCCTGATGTTGTTTTCAACGTCGTCTACTTCCTTCATCTCTTCCGAAGCTGCCGTTGATACGCAGATGCACAAGAGGATTTGCCAATAGCTGTCGAAGACGAGATGCATCCCGAAGTCCTGGAGCTTGACTGAAATGTCGTCACCCTGGTTCTTAGCTCCCGTGGGAAGGATCACTTCTGCATTCACCGACAACTGCTGTATGATGGCTAAGACTTCGTTGACACTCTGCTTCAGTCTGAAGGGGCCTATCCCGACGCCCGGATCGATTTCCCACGAGCCGGCGGACATGGGGTATCCGGAAGCGCCGGTAGGGAGCGGTGATGGGGAAAGCGGGAGTGGAGTGGGAGAGGACATCTTTTGCGACGTTGCAAGAACAACTGTATTTCAAACTGTTCTACAGCTTTCTTTCCTCGCTAAGAATTTTTTTTGTTTCCACATGCATCTTCCTCGATACGTCTTCATCATTTTTCTTGCGCTGCTCTCGCCTATCACATTTTTTTTTGTGTTCTCAAATTTCAAAGAACTAGAACTACTACGGTGCTTGCTCATTATACCGGTTTCTAATTGTGATTCTCGCTTTTCTCACTCTTCATTTTCTGCGCCCGGTAGCTGCGTCCTGTTCTTGCGCCCTCCTGTGCAGAAATGCGGCAGTGTTAAGTTCCGGCTTTGTCGATTGAACTGCTCACGAAAGATATGTCATAGTTCAATTCAATTCAATTTGGGTCTTTTTTTTTTTTTTTTGTATCGCGGGCGAGTTCCGATATATCCAAACCTCTGTGCAAGCAAGCTCAGATAAGTCAGTACCAGCCTACATATTTTCCGCGTAGCTACCGGCGTAGAGGGGAGTTCTTAATCTCCTTAACAAACTACGCTACTGCCCCTACGATTTACAATGATCAAGAACTAGGAGCAAAGGCAGGAGCAATTACATACCTAGTACCTGCCACCCGGGGCGTTGCCCGTCTCCCCATTACGCGCCTATGTTGAATGCTACGAATGGGCGGCGGAGCGCTGTCCGCTTAATCAACTCAAACATTTACACATTGGCCCTAGGTGGAGCTGCGCGGCAACTGATTGCTGACGAGAACTAAGCGTATGCTTTGTGCTAAGTAAAAACATGCATATTAATGAAATCGGTGAAGGAACACTAAACGCTACTATTTGCTTAAGCTAGTCTTCATTTGTCCATTTTCATGCAGTTCATCCTTTCTCGCTCCTCTTCCTTTTTTGCTTTACGTATTTTTAATTTCTTCCATCAGCGGAGCCACCAGTAGATTCGCCATTTTCACCGCATTGCCCTACTTGTGTGCTATTCTCCTGATCGGTGTTGCTCCTAGTGAATTACACTAATGACGGACCTGAAAGTGATAAATGGAGGTGTAAGAAGGGATGCAAGAGGAGGGATAGACGAAAAAGGATTTGAGTTAAATGTACTGGTAATGTTTCTTGGCTATAGTGCGTTATACAGATATAAACTTAATTGATGAAGGGAGAAGGAAAGAACATGAATATTAATTCGATTGAGAGATATCATGATTGGGCACTAAGGAAATTGACGAAAGAAGACTATAACGCTACTAGATGCTAGATATAATTCTTCGCTTCTTCATCTCTATGCAGCTCCTTCTTTTTCGCTCCCCCTCCTGGTTCGCTTTTGTTTTTCTTCCAGTTCCACATAGAAGCATAGCATCCACTCAACCTGAGATTTCCGCTACATCGCCGCCCATCCTTATTTCAATTTCTCTTTCATTTTTGCTTCTTCCGTTTTCTTCATGAGTTTCCGTTTTTCTTCGCTCTTCTTCTCATGGTTACCTTTCTACGATATACCTGAATTCATCATAATGGAAGGAAGAATGCGGATCAAAAAACAGAGCGAGAAAAAATAAATGAGTTAAGGTGTGATAAGTAAATTGAAGAATGAGAACGCGGTCTCCTGACTAGGCTAAGGTGTCGAAAGTTTATTATATCAAAAAACGAAACACTTAGCCCGTGCTGGCTATATCAAGCGAAAGTAGTTAGTTGTTGACTCAGTGAATATTCTCAACTTACCCGCGGGGGATCATCATCTTTCGTCTTCTTTCTTATTGATCGACGCGCAGTCATTTTTACTGTGTCACCTTCTTGACCTTCTTGCATTTCACTTAATGCTTGTCGTCTTATTGTGTTGCGCCTTGGCTCTTTTTGACCCACTTCCTTATGCTTGATCTTAGTCGGAGCGACTCCTTGCATTTCGCCCTGGTCCTCAGTCCAGCGCTCTTCTCGGGGAGGAATTAGTTAGATGTCTACCGCTGTTTGGTAGAGTCAGCCTGCGTGCTGCGAGACTTTCGACGACCTCGGATCCGCGACGAATAAATCTACGAAACGAAAACTACTAAAGTGGACTACTCGAAATGCTTCAGAACCACCAGACCAAACTTCATTTTCATTCTTCCATTTTACAGCATAAGCTTCGGCATCGTCATTCAAGAGGTAGCTGATCGGCCTACAGCCAGTTATTTAAACACAAGAGAGGAAAAGAAGCACAGACAAGGACGACAAATAGCGCATATTGACCTGACTGCCAGACGAGCGGATCCCCCCTATGTTCTGTTTTTTGAATGGGTGGTAGAGGTGTTTCATTTGAACCGAAGGCCAGAACACGAAGCGACAACAAATCAAGGCAACTACCGCGTCAGTCATCACTCAGATCAACGTGTAGGCCCCACCGTCGAAGCGACGCGTAGTAAACCATCCGCCATTTCTCCTTTTAGTCTACTAGTTCCTCTTTTTAAGTTAGTTTTCCTGTCGTTAAGACGTTCTACAACGGACTTTCCTTTCCTCCCTCGGCCAACCCTTCTACTTGCCCCACTTCTCCGCTTTCTTTCGTCGCTCCTCTCCCGACTGTTCTATGCGTATCTCGTTGCATACTCGCGACGAAAGTGCTCCTAGCGTATTTTCTCCTCATCTGCTGTGTTGCTGCTTTCTTTTCTTCTTTCGACATGCCGTCGTATCCTGGTGTCACTACCCGGGTGACGGCGGCTTGTTTCTGGTCTCCTTCGCTGTCAGAATCTGACGTCGATTCGCTCGACGTGGACGACGAAGACGACGACGCGGGACTGTTGCTACCATCACCGTTCCTCCTACCGGCGTAGCCGCCTGTGCAAAATTTTCCTTTGAACTCTTCCCAGGAAAGCCCGTGTTTATCGACGTTCAGTAGCCAGCGACTCTTGCCTTGCAGGTGTTCTTCGTATGACATCATACTGTCGGCTTTCGAGGCCATGTACTGGGCCCAGCCATACGGCATGCCTCTACGCTTCCGCTCCTCAGTCCAATACTGCAGCTCTTTCTTCGTTGTACGGTACACCAACTCCTGCTCCTTGGGTGGTGCCCATTCCGACCCCGCACGCCAGCACTCGTTCTTCGTCTTGTTTCTCGGCTGCGGCCTCGCAGCGGGCAGCGGGGTGATCGCTACTGAGCGCGACTCTGCACCCGGAACTTCGACGCTCTGGCTTGTCTTCTTGATACAGACTGGCTTGGAATCGCATGAGGCGTCGGAGTCGAGGCTCGTGTCATGCGGGTTCCCGAATTCGTCAGTCGGCTCACCTGCGTCATTGCGCCACGTCCTCTTGGCTATGTTCTGCTTCCATTTCATCAGCATGATTTCCTGTCGTAAGCTGGTCCTTGCTCGCTGTTGCTCTCCCAGCGTCCCTGTGCAACAAGCGCGAGCTGGTCGCATGTGCTTGGCAGGCTCCTCTTCGTCGTCAAGACTGCTATAATCGAATGTCGCGGCCGACATTGCCAAGTGAAGTGGTGCTCTTCAGCTACGTGCCTCTCCAAGTATCGCAGCTTTGTACGGCCGTGAGATGAAGGAACGGGACCACCCTAGAACGAACGCGCCATCATGATCCTCACGCGTCCTCGTCTTCTATGGAAATGCTAACTCCTAGCCACTTCCTAGCTACCACGACTTTACGTAAAGGCGTACTTACTATGCACACTATCGAGAGTGTGCCCTTTGTTGTTCACTTTCTTTTAAGTTCTAGCGGCACCCCGAGCCACCTTCCAGACCAAGCTCTACGCTAGCTTGGTCCCTCCTCGTCGATCTTTGTGCGGAACTTCTCTCTAAGCCGAGTTCCTCCTTGATCCCAGAAGACCTCGCTAGACGCCATAGTGCAGAAGTTCTTATAAAGTTAGTATATGCCGCCTGCCTGAATTTGAAGGAAGTCCTTCCCTTCATGATAGTGCTTTTTTTGTGGCAGTTACTGGGTTCTCTACCTTTCATGATCTTTGTCATGGTTGTCTAGGTCCTTGGTCTTCTTTTATACTGGGAACTTGTTCACGTGATCTCGTTCTTGTTCAAGCTGATCCTTCGGAGGGGCTACCGCTTTTCTCTGTTCCTGCCGTACTTTTTAAGTTTCACAATCAAGTCAGACAATGTTGCTTTGTAAAAAATGGGTAGACGTAAGCCTGCAACTATTTGTAGTTAGAAGGTTTTGCTTTCGCTGTTTATGGTAGTTGTTGTTGTTGTTGTTTTCACTTTATCAGACTACAGAGTTGCTATTACTTCCTTTCTGTTATGTAAAAAAAAAGTTTTCACGCGTTAGCTCCCTCGCATTGGTCGCTACTCGTCTGTCGGCGCAGATGTCACGCCGGAGTATGGATATCGAAAACTGCTATACTGACGCCCGCTGATGTTTTACTACGTCTCTTGGATCGTCACACTTGGATTCCGGAATTAGAGAAGCTCCTATGACCAAGGACGGCAACGAGAAGCGGCAAGTTCATGTGCGCCCTAAGAGCCCATATGAACCGCAGAACCGAGGGAAGAACGAGGGGAAAGACTTATGAACGCGACACACAACCCTAGCCGCGAACATGAAGTATACGGAAGGCTAAGTAATCGAATAACAAAAGAGTTACGCTATGAGCGCGCTGTTCTTCCCTCGAACGGCCGCGACGTTTGACCTTACCGTTGTAAGACTATTACTTGCCGCTTGCGTACTTGCTTAACGTGGGATATCCATATCCCTGGAATACGTCCAACTCTTGTTACATTAGAAGAAGAGAGGAGGGGAAGAAGGGGCAAGAAAGGGCGAAAAGTTCGCTCACGCACGAGAAGGCGGCCTGAACGAACCAGAGGAGGCGAAGGAAGAGCACCGAGAAAAGTGAAAATGCTACCGCGAACTAGTTATAAAGAAACGGAGGGGTGCTCTTCGTTCGCGTCGCCGCATGGTGGGGAAACCATGATACCATACTACTTGCGTTACTATTTCGGTGAGCTGCCCTGTCTCTTCAACGCCTGCTCCCGCTTGCCTTCGAGTGCGATGCTGAGGTGGAGGAAGAGGAAGACGCGGCGTTTCTCGCTGGGCCGTACCCCTTGCTCATCGGCGCCCAGTTTTTCCCTTTCACGCGTAGGTTCTTTTGCCCCTTGCTCGCGCTGGCGACAGTCGTCGACTGCGGTCCGCTCTGCGGTGATTTCCGACGATCGCTGTTTTTTGACTGCTTACCGCGTACCACGGCGCCCTTTTCCTGCGCGCCAATTTTACCGCAGCCTTTGCTGGTTCCATATGGGCTGCTCCTCTCCCGGCCTGTGTTTTGCGCGGTGGCCGTCTTCTGATTCTTCATGAACTGCACGTACTGCTCATATGAGAACTCTTCGTCTTCCCAACGCGCGTCTCCTGCAGCAGAAGCGTCATCCTTCGATTGCAGGCGGCTACTCTGCATACGTCCTACGGTCGGAGCTGGTCGCTTAAACGCGCTCGTGGCGGTGATGCCTGTGTGTGCGGCAGAGTTGCTTCTGTCGCAGCACTCTTCTTGCTGTGAGAGGTGCCGCTTCATGGCGATGACTTCGACGCTGTGCTTCTTACTGCCTACGCCTTCTCTCGTCGGTGGTTTAGCTCCACTCTTCAGCGGGTCATGCTCGCCCGGCTGTTGAAGCATCATATTCTGAAGCTGCGTGGCGTACTCTTGATTGTCGCCCGGCATGCCTCCGTAGCAGCTGCTTGCTTGCCAGTTGTTCCACATCATCTGCTGCTGCTGCAGCTGCATATGCATTTGCATCAGATGCGGATCCATCATCGGATTGGCGCTGAGACCTGGCCAGGCGTACTGAGCTTGCTGCTGTGGCCAATAAGGCATCTGCGCGCCCATCTGCACGCCGCCCAATGTTGGGCAAGATGTTGCTGTTGATGCGGAAGACGAGCTCGGTGCCTGTATGGCGTATGTGGGAGCTGCTGCCGAAGCTATCGTCGATCCTTCTACGTCGTCGTCTTCTGTAGGATCCCACATCGTACCGTTCTCCAATAGGAGACCTTGGTCCGCATCTACGATCGTGGATGCCGCGTCAGTGCCTTCGCAATCCCACTGGTTCATTCTCTGTAGCTGGATTCGCGTTTGCATGTCCTTTAAGGCCTGCTCCTTCTCTCTATCCGCCAGCGCCTTCTGTTGTTCTCTTGTGCCTCGCGCGGCGACTTTTGTGACGTGGTCGGTCGGCATAACGACTCTCCCGTCTCTGAAGCTCGGCAGCCATTCCTCTTCTTCTTCTACTTGCGCTTCTGTTAGTTCGTTGTTCTGCTTCCACACGTCGTCAAGCTTGACCCTATACGGGTACTCCACCGGTAGATGCGGCGACGGGCCGTAGTAGTGACCAAAGAAGTGGTCTATCATACAGACGATCTTGCTTGCTTTGACGCCTCCCTGCAGTTGCAGTTTCTTGGATCTGCGATACCACGTTAAGGTCATTGTTGCGGAGTATGTGGCGCCGTCCTCTCCGAGTACTTTTAGTCGTATGACTCTTTTGGAGTCGCCTTCTATCACCCAGTACTGGATGGCACTATCTGCACACCACGTGGCCACCATTATCGCGACACCTCGCCAGGGGATTTTCTCCCACTGCTGCATCATCTTCCCTGGTTCATACTCGTCTTCGATCTGCTTGGGCCGCACGGAGAGGTCTGCTTCTGCTACTCTGTACGCCTTTTTACTCCCGTGCTTTCCCATCTTCGGCTGCGTGCGGGAGGTTCGCCTCCTTTGTGACTTGGGAGATGAAGTCTTCTTTCCGCACTGAGCGACAACAGCACGCACGACGTCGCTTTCGCTATTTCTTGCTTGTTCTTTACCTTTTATTTACTCACTTACTTACCTCTTCACTTAGTGCCTTTTTACTCAGCTTTCTCTACTAGTTTCCTTTAAACTTATTTATAGCTCTCTTCTGTCCTAGGTCGTTTCGTCCGTGCTAAGTTTAAGTCCCTCACTTTCACGCCCCCCTGACCGTTCTCTTCTTTTCACTCGACCCTCGCGTTCGCCAAAGAAGAGAGACCGATGCGAGCGAGAAGCAAGTCTGACCAACAAAAAGATCTCTCGATCTCCTGCGACAGACCGCGTGTCCCGCTGGACCTGTCTTCCACCTCTCTGTACTACTACGCGTTCTTAAGCCTTGTGTCGTCTCTTCTCCTTTTAGCGCGCCACTTTCGTACTTATCTAGTTGTCTTGAGAAGAAAGAAAGAAACAGAGAAGGGGACCGACTACGACTAGCAGGGAGGCTCGGAACTCACTGTGGCGACTCGAACGCTGGTGATGTCGGAAAGACTCGTAATGCCAGGAGGAACAACATAAGTCGCAATGTGATAAGACGTTTGCTGGCCACCGCGGGCAACCAGGCGTCCATCCACGAGACCAAGTGCCCTACGACTTCCGCGTCCCAAACCTCTTGCGTGAGAAGCCTCGAGTATGTGCTTCGTGCCATCAAGCCTACATCTGTCCTAGTTATCCACCTTTCGCTTTCTTGTTGGGCGCGTCCTTAAAAAAAAAGTCTACGTTTGTAAGCTCTTGTGTTCTTCTTCTTCAAAAGTCCAAAAACAAACTCTGTACCCGTTTTAATGTCAGAAAACGTAACGGCTACTACGGCGCTTTGACTTTCAGCTTTTCTGGGACTTTAAGAGCTGCTTCCTCTTAAGTTACCGGCACTGCTCTACTTCCTCTTAAGTTACTGACACTGCCCTACTTCTCAGTTATTTTGTCTGTTGATAGTCGGAGGTCTCCTTTGGCAACCACAACCAGCGGGGAGGAGGGTCTTACTTTTCTTTTTTCTGGGGTTCTTTAGCCCTCTTATCTTTCTTTTCTTTTTTTTCTCGCCTCTGTTCCTCTGCCGCTGGCTGGGCCCTTCGCCTCTCCTTTTTCCCTTTCACCCTTGTTCAGGTTTCCGCAGACCCTATCGGGCATCTTGCCGCGTCTGTACGTCGGTGTTTACCTAACTCGACTGCACGAAGCCACTTCTGCTCTAGGCATAATTGCACGTCGCTCTGCAGGCCGTCTAAGTCCTGCTCCGTCGCGAGTTCGCGTATGTACAAGGGGACTGGCTCTGCGCCACCATTTGCTGTTAGCTCATCTTCTTCAGTACGCAGAAGCAGCCACGGATCATACAGCCTAGATTCGTCGTGCAGTAGCGGCACTTGATGCGCCTCAACGGACCAGGAAACTTTCGGGAATCGCTGGTAGACGTGTACTCGGAAGCCCGCAATTTCGGCTTGCCGTTTCATTGTCCAGAGCTTCTCGTGAGCTAAGGTGCCGTACTCTGGCAGGTGCATAGTCATTGATTCATGTTCATCAAGACCTATGCAATAATTTTTTTATTTTTTAACTATGCATTACCTTTGATTTTGTTTACTTTATCAATGGAATTTTACAAGATACATTTTCAAATGACACGATCACATATTCAAATGAATAGTAGACGACATGCAATTGCAATTGAGAAACTTTGAAAGATAACTTTAAAGCCAAAGAGTGTAAGGCATTGATTTAACGATCTTGCTTTGAAAGATAAAATTCTTACTCGTATACGTATTCATGTTCTTTTCTTTGTGCAGCTGACTTTCTTTCACTTTCTCTACGTATAGCACCTCCACTTCTGAAGACGAGAAAAATCTTTGTTACTGTACATGATACCTTTACATGCAAACACCTTGTTCAGAGAAATCTGATGGAGCAACATCCATTCTCATGGCAGTTCTTGAGTCAATTCTCTCCACATAATGACACACAGAGATGACTCCCAGACTCCTGACTGTACACCTACTTAGACACGACACAATTCATCCATATTGGTTGCAGAGCAACATGATTCATGAACATGACCCGGTGTTCTTGATAAACAAAATCGATTTCACACCTTTCTACAACACCGAACATTTTTACTACAACAAAAAAAACTGCTGGCTTGTTATCAGCTGACGATAAACTAACATACCCACAGTACTTTTTGACTGAATGAGTACTACAAGTGCCGATAAGGATAATAGCAAGAATCTTATGAATCAACGAAGAGCTGACTCGTCGTCGACAAGTGATTGCTTGCTCTTGACACAAATTCATTGCAAAACGCTAGTTAATGATGCCTGACCGTGTCACTAAGCTCAGAATCGTATTAATGTCCCCTACACATTCCCTGCAGCTGCACTACATGAGTATATAGAAGTTCTTGTAAGACTGCCCTCCGTCAAAGAAACTACAACGAAACCGAAAGAAATTTCTACAATAAAATTAGCTTTGCCTGACTACCAAGCAGAAAATGACTCGAGCTTGAACTAGCAACATGCTGAACATATTTCTTCATCTATTTTCTACCTCCTTCACTATGACCAGGTTCCTCCATAAATTTTATCTTCACGCTTTCTTTAATATCCATCCCAAGTCCGGATCTAGAACGAGTTCCTTCCCATCAGCAGCTACGCATCTAGTAACGTGTTCGCTAGCGCGGTAGCCATTCGGACAAGCGATCTCGCGGAATAGATCTTCGGATACTTTCAGAGGATTAGCGAAAGAAGGAAAAAAAAATTTGTCAGTCTACTTGTCTTGCTTCAGCAAGCATCTTAACAAGAAAAATCTGTACTCCATAACATTAGCAGCCGGATCAGGTTTCCCTTGCAAGAGAGGAATGTCTAAGATTTCGCGCCAACGGGTGATCTCTTCATCGGACAAAAGTTTCGCTTCGATGACGTCGAGGAATGAGACCTTGATGTTGTAATTGTATCTATAGTATCTATAATGTGGTTGCATCATGTCGCTTGGTATTGAAGTAATTAGGAAAAGAAGATGATGATGCAACAAGGCAACAACACGAATTATGTCTGTGAGACGAGGGTGATTGAGATCACCAAGATGAACGAATGAGTGATGATCGCCATGAACTGCGGAAGAACTAGTAGTAGTAGTAGTAGTGTACCCATTCGAGAGGTAACTAAAGCACAACTGCGGAAGAACGAAGGAATAATTACCGAGTCCTCATCCGCATCTGGATTTGCGCAACTCACCGTCTCCACTAACAGCAAAAACATCGCCTCCAGTTCTTCAGTTTTCTCCGCATTCAAGATTGGTGGAGGCTTTACCTTGATTCGCTTGTTGTGTTCCTGCAAATCGTAGGTCACAATCCATTGCCTCACTTGAGACATGTTTTTTGCCGCTTCAACGGGCCACAGGAACTCGAAGATGCGCTCTAACTGCGCAGCCTCTGTCATCCATACGGTGTCAGAAATGTCCGGACCGTGCCAACGCTTCAGTTGGGCAGACTTAGAGAGGGGGAAATGGTGAGAGGGTGGGTTTTTGAATCTTCCTGTAGCGGAGATTCTATTTTTTTAATAGTGACAGGCTAGTGATGAGGACGCCATGGAGATGGAGATTACTGTTGTGGGTCATGAAGGTGATCGGCGAGATCGCCAGTTGTAAAAATGCAGGAAATTTCAAGAACAGTCCTAATCTTCATGATGCTCAACAATGCGTTCTTTTGCTCCCTTTTTACGTAGGCTAGCAGGTCTGACCATGTGAGACAAGCCGAGCTCTGCAGCTTCCGGAACCATTGTGAGACGTGAGCCGCATTCTGTCGTGTGAAGGGCTGTGCAAACTCAGTACCACTTGGGAACATTAGAGAGTGTTGTACTTCGCTTCCTCCTTATGCATGACTAGATGAAAGAGTATCTTGTACTATAGTGGAAGCCTTACTCGACCTAGGCTACAGCAGGTCGAAACATCCAAGCAAACAATGACGCTTCACCATGATAGAAAAGCATCGCCCTCGAGGTCCTCTGCCGCAGCTCCCATCGGTGGCGCCGCTGGAAGCAGCGTGTGAAGCAGCAGCGTGGCAGAATTGACCACTTCAGATTCAGTAGCTGCTTCTTCCCCGAAAATTTTTTGTCCTACTTTGGTTTGTAATAGTTATTCCCGCCATCTAGTGGAAGCCTTACTCGACCTAGGCTTACTCGACCTAGCCTTACTCGACCTATAGTGGAAGCCTTACGAATGCATGGTTGTATTTCCATCCGCTCTCTATTTGTATTTTCTTTTCGTTTCAGTCTTCAGTCCATAAAATAATCACCCCCGTGATCAATTGCCAAAGTTGCGTTTTTGCTTGATTGGCGTTCTTCGCTGCGGCATTTTCCAAAGATCGCCGTCGAGCTGCTAGTGGCGATGGTTTCCCGCTCTCTCCAGCAGGAGTGTTCAAACCAGTACTCAAAGGTGTTTGCCCAAGCGACGCCCCACCGGACGGCGCACCAGAAGGGTTATTTAGCTTAGATTTGTCGAGACATTGTTGAGAATCTTGGAGCAGTAACTTGACCGTGAGAGATTCATTTACGAGAATAGACAGAAAAATCGCATACATTTACATGCGAACAATTATGTGGACCAGCATCCCATCAAACTCCATGTACTTGTTAAGTTTGAATAGAAGCTAGCCCAATGTTAGAGTACAACGATCATTCTCTTACTCTTTCTCAGTGGATGATCTAATAACAACTTCTCTTCATACCAGGCCCAGTTAGCAACGTTGGATTATCCTGCTGCATCGCTGGCATTCCTCCTCTTTGGTTGTGTGGTAGAGCACTATTCTGGGCAGCTGGGGTATGAAAGGTGAGACAACGACCAAGGGAGATTTATCTGTAAGGTTCAATATGATCAATCAAGATTGTGAGTACTTAGTCAAACTAACGGCAGATAGAAAAAAAAAGGCCTGTTAAGAGAACTATTCTCGTCAATTGAATGTTTATACTTCGGTAAATGACAACACTTGAGCCAGTGCATCAACACAGACCACTTCAACATAATGTTGCAATTTCTGCATTTTATTGTTCATTTTCTCTTCCTCCTCCAGTTTCCGCAAGATTTGCTGTCCTTCTTCCTCCATGTTCTTTTTCAATTCGATTCTATCTTCGACTTGCTGTCTCCTAATGTGTTCTAGGACTTCGTAATCGCGTTCTCCCAGAATGGCACAGTCTTAAAGCAGGTTGCAGCATGATTACACTCTTCAGAACACGTACATGCTTGGCCTATTTTCCACTGAACAAAGAGACGAGGTCATCAAGCATGTAGTTACTGGAGGATGTAATCATGTCGAAAGAACCCTTAATCGTCCACGTCCTCTATCTCAGCACCAATGTCCAACATGCCAGCGGCGATGGCTTCCGCTGACTCAGTCCCTTGAGAGGTCCTACAGCCACTCTCTTCCTGTTGCCGAAAGATCTCCTCCATTAGGGCTCCTAACCATAAACCCTCCTGACGATCACATCCTGAGCAGACCTTCTCCCCCTTGAAAGAACGGAAAGGAATGCTTTACGAGAGGCCTGTTAAGAGAAGCAACGAGAGGCCTGCAAAGAGAAGCAACGGAAAGCCTCCCCGGAAAGGAATGCTTTACGAGATGGATTAGGAGAAGCCTTAATTCCAGAGTAACTGTTCGTTCGGCGGCGCCTGTGTACCGACCCGCCCCTGGAGGTATAACCCGGGGTATGCTCCCTTGCATGTAAGTGGCTGGCTCGTCGAAATCGTCAGATGATTAGAATAATAGAGAATGTGATGAACAATGAATGTAGTCACTACTAAAAAAATGAGTAGAATGGATCTACTTCTGGTCACTGTCCCTCAGAGGACTCATGTTGTAGTACTAGTAATGTACTACGAGTACGAATTATCTGTAAGTACAGTTTCGTAAACACTCCCTCCCGGTGAGTCCTGATAGATCATATTCGCGCCTGCTTTGTTTGCAGCTGCGAAATTGTTGTAGTTCCCGAACGTCCGCACCATCTCCGGCACGACTGAGGAAGCGGCTTCTGAATGTTCTGACCGCACACTATGGAAACTCGCCACTCCACCGCCACGATGATTGGACCTTCCATAAATCCATCTTGAAGTTGAAACGCAACATGGCGGCCCCTACCGATATTTCCACCTTATCAAATAAACGCTCTCAGGAGGTGGAACCTCATCACTTCCACCAACGAGGGTCTCAACAGGATGGGTTTGTGGAAGCCTTAAGATGAACGATGCTTTCACCTGCTGAAGACGTCACGTTGGATGCTGCGCCGCCACCAAGAGGACCGTGAGGATGATGCCTCTGATGTTGTTCTCCACCGCCTGACGATTTCAAGAAGTCTACAGGGTTCTTGCTTTGGCCCAATGCATACTTTCCATCTTCCAGCAACGAACCTCGTTTCAGAACGCCTACCCTAGTCGTGTCTCCATCGTTGTGGAAAGTGAGAGATCTTCGGGTAGTTTTATTAGAATTCTGATTATCGTTTTTGCATCACTGACGCCATCTTTTGGCGACCTTTCGCCTTTTGGCGACCTTTCGCCGTTTGGAAAAGGGCCAAGGATGATGCAGCCAAGGACGCTTAGTTGGTTGCCTTAAATTTGCCCGCTTTATTTCCAGCGATTTCTCCTCCAGCTTGAGTATTTTGTTTTTTCAAGACCCCTGTTCTCGGATGGCCAGGGCCACCAGGACTACTAGGATTTTGCTGTGAAGAAGCTCCACCACTACCAGGTTGTCCTCTTTGTGGTCCAACCTGTGGTCCCTGACTACCAGCAAAACCAATACTAGCTGCACCACCAGAAACAGCACTAGCTTGATTAGCATTCCTTTGAACGCGTGGCGAGGGTCCCTTGTTGCTGGGAGAAGACAAAGGTCCCCCTGGAGGAGGATGCATTATCACATCGCATGCTCCCACAGGTCCCCCTGGAGGAGGATGCATTCCCTTAGAGCGGTCCGTAATTCATCTTTCAAGTGCATCCTTGAAAAGTATGGGGGAGTATTCCCTTAGGATACTTCTCCTCCATACGTTTCAAGGATGCGGCCAAAGATGTATCAGGTTCAGGTACTGCCTTAATTCCCATTTCACCAGACACTCCTGCTCCTATCTGTCCGGCCATTGTCCCTATTGCAGCTGCACTCAAACGACGTGGCGTTCGCATAGAAGAAGTGGCAGATTCCACTGCAGCGCCTCCTTGATGATGCTGTTGATGATCTCCTGTATTAGAGCAGCTCCCCATAAGAGTGGCTCATCTCTCGAGCACAGGTGGTAGGTCTACTACGTCCGTCTTTCTAGTAAATCTATTCAAATAGGACAATGCCGCTACTTCTCAGACAGTAAGTGCAACTACAACCAAGAGAGATCAACTACTCTCTGACTCTGCAGTCACTCAGATCAGCTACTCACATCGTTGTTGCTCCCATATCACTGGCGTGACTTGGTCTCTGGCCTGCAATCCCTCCTGGCATAGGATACATATTACTGCTGGGTGAGTTTGGACCACCCTCACTTAGACAAGCATCAAGCGTAAAAAAATCCTTGCCTAAAAGAACAATTGCAATTGATCCATGTCCATCTTACTTACAATACTTTGGCGTGTGTTGCTCTCTACTCCTTAAATAGAACGGAAAATATTTATAAAGGCAAAGAAATCTATCAGCAAGAACGAGGAAGATGCTTGAGATTTCAAAGTGGAATTGAATTGACCAAGCCTTAACCTTCCATCCCCAACTGGCGGTAGACGTCCAGAGAGTGACTCGCTATGAGTTCCACCTTGACGCTCGCTTGTCCACGTCGTTCGCTCAGGAAGTGGGCCTCAAATTGGAACTACATGGGCGATGCGAGCTGGGGTGGGCCTCAAATTGGAACTACATGGGCGATGCGAGCTGGGGGTGGGAGTAGCCAAATTACTTGTTTCTTGGGATACGCCTAAGTTTGAGAGGTAAAAACTAACCGGTTGCTTTATTTAGTGCGTTGAGCGCCGCTGGACCTAAGCCTTCGCCGTTTTACGGGCAAGTAGTCTCATTCGCCTTAATAAGCTAGTAGGCAAGGAGGCACGTCTTGCATTGCCTCCGCCGCCTGCCATTATTCTCTGCATGAACTGCGATGTTGGGACGCCGTGCATTTCCTGGCTCTTCTCCCGCCAGCTTGTGCCACGAGAAGCAGCCTGGTTATCGTAGGAGTAGGTATTTTTGCTTCTATTTGAAGGTGTAGTTACTTCTGGCGTATTTTTGGTATTATGATGCACTGTTTTTACAACATAAAAATACACGTGGCTGGCTCGCGACTCGTCACCAAGAAAGGTGGAGGTAATGTGCACGATCATAGGTGGTGGAACGAGGAGGTGACTCATCTATCATCAGTACCGATCCCCTCCGATGTTGCTGCGATCCCTCGGAAAAGGTTACGCTGACTCGTTTTGGTCCGCCGGATGCAAAACTGCGTTTCGCAACTCGAGATGCTAGATCGTCAATATCTGCTCTATCGGCACCACTTCGTTGTGCAACCTCATCGTCCTCTAGGTCGTCGTCGTCAAGGTCAGCGTCATCGTAATCTGCAGATTGGGATCTATAATTCGCTTTAATATTCGGGTTCTGCGATGAGTTGTTGTAGTAGTTGTCTTGGTGTGAATGATGATTTTGAGCAGAAGTATTAGCGCTCACCCCTTCTATCCATCCTGAGATGCATCCCGGGACAGTTTCCCCCTTGCAAACTACATATTCAAGATGCTTCCGGAGATGGATTACTTAGGGGAAGCCCTAAAAGTACTAGATGAGGACATCATATGTTGTGCATGAATTAGAAATAAGAGAAATCCATCTTCGGACTCATCTTCTGGGTTCCACCCGAGGATTTCCCTCTAAAAAAAAACGGGCCCAAGATGCTAGCGAAGATGGATGCCGTTTTCTTATAGCCTTAATTGAAGGTGATGCTGACCTCCACCCGAAGTCCCGCCTTCGCGCTGACCCATGATCGATCTCGAGTCTTGTAAGATTTCCCATAGTTTAGAGGTAGTTGTATTTGCTGATATTCATCCTCACGGGTATCTTCTACTTCCTCGCTATTCTTATAAAGGCATGGCGATGAAAACGCTTCTCAACAACGCCAACTCTGACGTGTGTCCTCTTCTCTTTATCTTTGGAAGAGATGAAAATGAGAGAGGTTACAACATGAAATGAGATGTAAGTTGTACTTATGACAACATTCGTAACCCTGTTCTTGAAGAAAGTTCCAACTGGTAGAAAAATTGAAGAAACAAAGATCACATGAATATGTATGTATTATTAGTAGTTTCCCAAAAAAGTAGTTTCCCAACAAGCCTTAACTAAATCTGCCATTGCCTGATCCGCGGATCGTCTTCTGCGAATGCTCATGTTGGTTCCTGTACTACTTGCTGGATTCGCCATCCCCATGTTGTTGTAGCTTTCTCCAACATGATCTATCTAAAAAGGATACTTCTAAGTAGGTACACCAGGTAGATCAGTATACTGGAGAGCGATTTTGTTTTTATTTTACCCAAAAAAGCACGACACCTGACGAATATTTACTGATCATGAGGACGAGGGAGGCTTGTGATGACCCAAGTATTTTTACAAAAAAAAATGCTTACAACTTCCATCTCCTTTCGAACAAATAGAGTGTGCCATACTAGAATTGAACTGTTCATTGGCGGATTGCATCTTAGACGCTGCGCGAGCTACTGGATTCGGATTGTTTGACGCACCTCCACCTCCAGGACCAGAAGAAGTATTAGGCCTAGGCCTACCGTAATTCATCTTGGAGAGCATCTTTGCCGTGCCTTCCACTTAGAAAAAGACTCCAAGATCGATGCTGCTCAAGATGAATTAAGGGAAGCGGAAGCGGGAAGCCTTAAAAGTAGTATAACTACTATCTCCTGCATTTGCATTTCCACGATTTCCTTGACTTGATGTAGCCGGTGTAGATTGAGCAGCTGGGGGTCCGGAGTGTATTTTCCGTACCCCCATGTTAGTTGGCGGCGCAGGCAAAACCGCTGCGCCTGTAGCTGCGGCTGTACTCGACGTCGTGAATCCACCCCCTGAAGATGAACTATTAGAGCACAAAACAATTCATTTCTTCGCCTCCCTTCATTTCTTCACAATCCCAAGAGGGAAACAGCAAGAAACGACTTGTAGAAATAAATTGCATTATTAAGCCTTAAAACTAGCTGGAACCGGATTCATCGAAGTGCCAGTAGTGCTAGAAGTTCCTTGTCCGAGTCGTCCTTCACTTCCTCCGCCAGTCGTGGCACTGGAGCCTGCACCATCTCCGCCACTTCCTCCGGTGGTGAAATTGCTGCTATTATTAAAGCTCAGCCTTCAATGGTCACTGACTCTGAACGGAAGGGACCCCCTTCAAAGCTCTCCCCTTCCGTCCCTTCGTTTCTTTCCCCTGTTGGTTCTCTCAAGAAGGGGTCGCCTCTTCGATCTCAGTGACTCCAATCTAAATGGTGACCAAGACCATTGAAAGCTGAGCCATAATACTAGCAGCAGCAGCAGCAGCAGCTAATGCTGCCGAACTGCCACTGACTACTGCAGAAGGTCCACCACTACCACTAGTAAAGCTGCTGTTTCGCGAAGTCCCGACAATCTTCTGAGCTATAGGGACAAAAGCAGCACTCAATCTTTTTTTGATATTATGCACATTAGAGTTAGTAGAGGTTTGTCGAGAAGCTGATGGCTCGAATCTGTTCGGCAGCTTGCCTAAAAAGATTTCCCTGACGATATGTACCCGCTAGTCTAGCATGCTGCCGACGAAATACCGTAAAACTAGAACTATAATATTGCGAGCTCAATTTTTCTTATAATTGCATACAACGAGGTACCTAAAGAATGAAGATGCCTCCTGAGTCCACAAGATGGTCAACAAATAGAGCAATTATCATGATCCTTAATCACCGGGGAAGATCCTGCTCCCCCACTGGTCCCTGCTGATGGCACGACTGGTCCTTCCTTCATCTTCGCACCCGAAGAAGATGTCTTGCCTACCAAAGGCATCTTTGCGGTACGTCTCGTGCGCGCCGCGCCGCGACTTGTTCTTGGAGCAGGTCCAGGACAGGCAACGGGAGTTGTGCTACTTCTTGTCCTTGTGTACTCCCTTTTTTATTACTGCTCTACAAGAACGTGCTGAAATAAGAAATTCTGCTAGTATACTAGCCATATTAAGTCAAGAAGAAAAGAGGATGTCAAGGTCAACCTTCGAGATCGAGGAGAACTAAAGGAACTACTACAACGGTGATGAAACTGAGGTTCAATGAATCACCAGTGGAAAAATCCAAAAAGCGGGGAGCAAAATCTCTCACACAGAATCCATGTGAACCGACACCACCGAAAGCGGGTACTGGAAACGTCTTCATCTCAGTGACAGTCAGAGGAGATCGTGATCTTGAATTTTACGTGGATGGTCGTGAGATCACAAAAAAGCACTTCTTCATAGTCCTCTTAGTAAAGTTACGCTCGAAGTTCACCGAAATCTTCTTTGTACGATCAGAATCAGGAGCAATGAATAGGATCTTCATGAAAAACATGTGTTGTGTAGAAAATGCTGTTGCCGACTCCCTTACCCCTAGACGTTACTGACGCTGCTGTTATTAGCCCGAAAAAAATTCAAAGATTCACCTACTCGCCATTCGCCTTACCGGCACTGCTCTCACTCAGCTTGCTTCAGCTTACATATGATCTGTTAGTTTACACAAACAAAAAACCTCCACTGCATTGCGCGCTGGTGTCCCAGCACGTTAGACTCGAGCTTCTTCAGTCATCATCTTCATTCATTCAGCTTTCTTCTGCGCCAGTCATTCATCAGCTGCTTTCACGACTTGTAGTCGTTATCTTTGAAGATATTAAATTTGAGTTTGCCTTCTTGTATTTTTTCATTTCCTGTTCAAATTTCTCATAGATTTCACATCCTTGCTCTTCTGTTCCCCCATAGGCTGCTACGCGTCTGGCCAAATCATATTTCCATTCCCTTCTCAAAGATGGCCCGTCTGCCCAAGATGAGAAAAAATCTACCAAATTTTCATACTTCCCCTCACCATCCAAAGCGCGGAGCCAGCAAACGACATCTTTCTTAGTCCATTCAGTTGCCGGGTCGCGTGAAGCATAATCAGATGACGTAGAAGCCATTTTCAGCGACCTCTCACTCGTCCGCATTTTCTGTCCGTACCTAGCCAAGCTCTTCGCTGTTTGGGCCGTTCGTCGGGAATACGGTGAATCCCAGGACATCGGTGAAAAATGAGAAATCCAAAGTAAAGACGATGAAGAGGATGGAGAAGACCTACAGCAAAGTTGCAACAGTCTGTCTTTCAACAACATCGTTAGCTTACTCGCACGCCAATTTGGTGCTCGTCCCGCACTACTACTTTGATGTCCTCCTCGACTACTAGATGATCCACCACTAGAGCTAGTCCTAGACCTAGAGCTTCTACCAAAAGTACTAAAAGAAGACTTAGACGCTGACGCGGCAAGTGCGCACACACAATCATGCAGAGCTGCTAGACTAGTGGAAATGAACTTTGTCTCCAGCATCCCTTCTCCGCGATTAGCAAACGTGTCTAGCGATCGCTCTGAACCCGCGAGATCCACGATTGTGAGGGTTCTCGTTCTCTTGGTAGAAGTTCTTGTATATGTGTTCATCTCCCCGCCCTTGTTCTGCTCCGACTCAGACCTATTCCCATTCTCCATCTCCACAACCTTATCACAGCCATTATTTTCATTTTCCGTCTTCTCGTGGTCATTACAGCCATGATGTATCTTAATATGATCATCCTTTTCCTCATCATCATCATGTAGATGAAACATCGAGATAGCATGTGTCCGAGACGACGCTTCATGCAATGACGTTTCGCGCGATGACCTACGTGATTGTCCGCGTTCGATCAGATCTAGGAGTTCGGATTGTGACCATATTAAAGCTAAAGGTCGTTAACCACGTTTTTGTAGAGGTTTTTGTTGAGCATTTGCATTATCCGTGGTGGTGGAGTACTAGGAGGTTCCCTCTCTCCCACTCCTCGACTTGAAGACTTCCCCGTGATGGTATTTATCAGGGGTGAGTCCACTCGTCAGCACAAGAACCCAGGAGCGACAACGAGATTATGATAGATAAAAAAATAATCAAAACGGCCTTAAGGATGCTGCGTAAGTTTGAGAAATCTTCGTGCTTCTATTTGCTGTGGATGTGGTTGATTCTTGGGTAGATTGCTTAATATTAGCTACTCCTCCTTTTGCTGTGGATGTGGTTGATTGGGTAGCTTGCTTATTAGCTACTCCTCCTTTTGCTGTGGATGTGGTTGATTCTTGGGTAGATTGCTTAATATTAGCTACTCCTCCTTCATCATGGCTTTGCTTTCCACCAGCTTGCGGACTAACACCACTCGGCAACTCGTCCAGACGTCGTGGGGACAAAAGGTCTTCAATTCCCTTATGCCCGAGTTGGATGTAGCTCAAAGCAACGCGAGCTTTAGACCACGCCACACCCTCAACAAAAGCACGCTGTAGCCTTGTCGCTGTATACGTTTTCCCACTCCCTGTTTGTCCGTGAAGGATGACGACTGCGTGTTGTGTCAGCTTTACATCCTGCAAAACTTTTCTAACCAATTAGAGGCGCCGCGCTTGCATACCTGAGAGCATCCTTGGCTTCTCTATCAAGAAGCAGAAAAAGCGCCAGGGATAGAATAGTTCGTTGTACTGACGATGTTTTAGACTAGTGGTAGCCTTAAACCAAGTCATTATGTTCATCTCCCAGAAAAGCTTGTGAAAATTCTGCCTCTTCCACTGTGCGCAATCCTGATTTTGCACACAGAGCAGGATTACCGACATGTTCTGGAGTGACCAAGCTGCGACCTCCGAGACCTGTAGATTCTGAATGTAATCTTAGTGTTGTAGGAGTAGTTGTTCTCGGTCTTGCTCGTAGTCCAGTGGCAACATTAGAATTCGTATTCGTAGATTCTGACGAAAAAGATGCACGTGACACTGACAAGCACTCAAATTCTGGTTTGAAACCATTGTCGGGGTTTACACGGCCTGCACGTGGTAGCTCGGAATCAGGCCACGGTGGCCTCAGAGATGCGTAGATACGAACAGGCTCATCTTGTACTTGATGACGGTTGTCTTCGCAGTCTTCGGGGTTTTTAGCTTGGCTCTTGCTGTTGTCTCGTCCGTCTCCGTCGTACTGCCCCTCAGGATTTTCTTGTGCTTGTCCGCCTTCAGATGAAGAACAAGAAGCAGTGGGAGCATTCTCCTGCCTGTTCGGGAAGCTCCATGTCTGTCCTACCTTCCGCAACCATTCCACGCTAGCCTGCAAAGCTCTCGCTCGATCCTCCGGAGACACTCCTAGAACCGGAGCTGAAGCAGATGGAGTAGCACGACCACAAAGATCAGCCGATCCTGCTTCACAGCTGGTCGTAGTCGAGACAACATCCACCAAAATTCCACCACGAATGATCGGTGGTGCTTCAGCTGCTGCTTTGCAGGCAGTGCTTTCATCGATGAAGTCATACACGCGGCGACGGTCCATTTTTTCCAACTATTCCTACTGTTGTTCATGTGTATATCTATGATTTAAGTATGTTGATGATACTCATTGTTTTAAGTAGTTTTTCCACAACAAGGTAGATAAATCAGCATTAGATGTATTGAAGATACCCCTCTTTGACTGATCATTTTTTCAAAGTAACGTGTGTTTTTTTTGATTTTGATCACTATCGTTTCGGAAGCTAGCATTTTCAACTGGAACTTTTATAGGACGAGGTCCACTACTTCTAGTGTCAGAACCAACGCTCCGTCGGTCGCAATATCCGGCAAACATTAACATTACTCTGGCAAAAAACCCAAATGTTTTTCTCAACCCGAATCAGCTACGTCGTTCAAATTGCGATGCTATTCTTCTTCTTCCTCTTACAAATGCCAAGTAGTACTTTGAAAATGTTACGTGGTAGGTGATGAATGTACTGCTGCAAAAATACACATGTTGACTTCATTTTTCTAGTAGAAAGAATGTCGATTCATGCGTCTTCCTTCGCCCTTATGTTTTCGAGGAGAATCAGAATACCACTAGCTGTTAGAAATTTCATCAAAACTTCTACCTGTAAAAACAGCAAAAGCCTTTCGTTTTTGTTTCCAAATCAAAACTTCTACCTGTAAAAACAGCAAAAGCCTTTCGTTTTCGTTTCCAAATTAAAACTTCTACCTGTAACAGCAAAAGCCTTTTGTTTTCGTTTCCAAATTAAAACTTCTACCTGTAACAGCAAAAGCCTCTTTTGAAACAGTCATCCGCGACTGAAAACATCAATCTTGTTGAGTATCTTCCTATTCTTCTCAAGTAGACTCCCATGCCTCCTCACCCCCATCAATCGACTCAATCCCCAACGTCCTCTTCTCCAATATACGAAGGACGTTGCGATACGTCGCTAAGTCCGACACGCCACTTCTCGTGGATAGAGTAGAGTAGGCATCCCTTAAAGCATACCTCTCTTCCTGGACTAGCCAAGCGAGTGCAACAGTTGCCGCTAGTTCAATCGTCGCGGAGGAGATGAGAACGACGGTGTGCGGACTCGGATTCTTCACGCGCGGTGGGAGTTAGAAAAAGAGAGGTGTGGGAGTTAGAAAAAGAGAGGTGTGGGAGTTACAGAAAGAGAGGTGTGGGAGTTAGAAAAAGAGGTGATTCCAATAAGGGTGAAAGTTAGAGAAAGATGAGTAGAGGTGATTGAATATCTTGTTGTACTTAAGTAGGTGTATTATGTCGGGTTGGGAGTTAGAGAAAGAGAGGTGATTGAAAGTCCATGATCCTTGTTGTAAGTTTAAGTCGTGTTAGATGTTGCACTTGCAACATCAGATCATATTCGAGCATGTTGTACTAGAAGAGGTGTGTCTTAGGTGGTCTGTAGGTCGAGTCGAGAGTATGTTGATTTGGATTTCTTTTGTTCTTACAACTGCAACTAGTAGCAGCGTCAAAAATAACCTGCCTCGTACTTAGTTATAACATTCAATATACTTACTTAATTTGTTGACGATAAACTCACATCATAATTGATCACACTGGATCTCATGCAGGCCAGCGTCGTCGGCAGAAGCGTTTTTTCGGGGTCGTCGCTCTTAGGCACTTCAGACATACTGAGCTGATGAACTGCGGCTGGCGGCTCACAAGGTCTTTTCTCGACTTGCTGTTGAGAACATTGAACAAGATGTTCTTCTTGACTAGTGCCACATATCTTCATCAAACTGGTACTAAAAAATAGTTTCCTCATCATCGAATAGAATTTGTTCGATTTTGTAGTCGACGTTGATGTCCTTGATGCTGATGTTGTAGTCGTTTGCCTTGTCGAGTGTGAGTTGTTCTTGTTGCCCTGTTCATCCTGCTCGTCTGCGGAGGAACCTGCTGTTGTAGATGAAGCATTCGAAACCTTGCTGCTTCTCCTAGCCTCCAAATGCATACACCAAGTGACTGACAAAAACCGCAAAGATGAATCCTGGTCGTGCTCCCGTCCAACTCCAAGTCCATTTACCTGATCCTGATGTTGATGTTCAAAAACTGCAATCTGTTGTCCTCTCGACGCAGCGTCAAAAGCCTCTTGATCTCCAAGCAGCAAGGTCCACGTGCGCTCCTCTGGGATGCTTGGACATATTATGGAATCGTCTGACCGTTCTTCATGATCCGTGTCCTCATCAACTGTTCTGCTTCTAGAAGCTGCTGTACTTGGAGTTGGCGTCGTTGTGGTTGTAGTTGTAGTTGTGATTGTAGTGGAAGTGGGCTTCAACTTTAGTGAAGACGGAGTGGGCTTCAACTTTATCTTTTGCAAATCTGTATCCATAGTCGTCCCTCCCAAGGATATAATCGAATGAAGTTGCTGTTGCATACTGCTAGACATTTGTGACAGTCCTGCTGGTTGCAACGATGGCGGGCAGACTGTGCATTGCCATTGCGCCTTGAGGTTTGTGATGTCCTTCTCCAGAATACAGAATGCGGCTGCCATCTTGACTTCCTGGCGTACGACAAGCTTCTATTGATTGCTCTTGAAGGTGATGTAGATGTAAACATGACAATCCATCGTACTGATTGATTCTCAAAATGCGAAACTGTAAGAGCGGCGAGGCTTGGCCGGCTGCTGCGGGCTGCAAGGCGGCTTGGCTCGGGTAACGGCTGCTGGGTTCCCGGCAAAAGAAGTCGTGGTTAAGCAGGGATGCGGCACGACAAGCAGGCACAAAACTGGGCGGCAACGAGCGTACGGCGACTGCGCAAGGATGAAGGGCTACGTCTCATCCATGCTCGCAGCGGGCCTCATATTTCAAGGGCAGCACATTGTGCTCAGAGTCGCACTCGACCTAAAAACACGCGAAAGCGGCTGGGCAGCAAAGGCATGTTTCTCATTATCTGCAGCATCAAGATGGGTGCGAGGAAAAAGCGGCTGTTGTGATGTTGCGCTCATCAAAGAGTAAGAGAAAGAGAGTTGTTCTCTCTCTCGCGCAGTGTTCTTGTTGTTGTTCTTGTCCTATGTCTACTCTACTTGAAAATGGTCCCGATGCAGCGGGCATCATTTTGGACTCGGGCAGCGGCTGTGGCTCTTCGCGGCGACGCAAATTACACGCAAAAGAACGGGCCAAAGAATGCATGTTGTTGTTGCTGCTCACGGATTCCGCTTCCATGCTGTTCGTTGGGGTTTAGATAATTATGGTTATTCATAAAAACAAGTTAAAATCGCAACTGCTCTACACTGCCTGGTGCTCACATGAATATCATTCCTGAACCACGCAATAAATCCAGAAAAAAGAAAACCCTCGATCGAAATAAAATCTTCGCTCATCATAGTTGTACCGGTCACATCACATTTTCATGTGCCCAACCCCCTTCGAAACTAGTAGGCATGATCTGCTTTTCTTCTTTAGACCGATTTACCATCGCGGGGAAGAAAGCAGGGGGAAGATATCATGAAGCACTAAGTGTTGAGCAATAGATACACTCCCGAACTCCTTTAAACATCCCGCAGGGAGAGACTCCGCATTCTTAGAGCATCATCATCAAAATCACCTTCTTTTTCTCCGTACTATTACATTACTTAACACAAAGCTAGCAGCAAAATGTTATCCTTGCGGTCCTTGGCATGAGCTTGTTCAGAAATAAAGCATAACACTAACATCTTGGCGGACACCGCCATAAGTCTGTCGCGTGCTAGCCTAATTACGGAGCGGGAACAACATTCTCCTACAATACGCATCCACCAACAAACACTTTCGGAGTGATCTTTGATCATTTAAATAACTCATCAATCGACATTTGCAAAAGCCGCATTGCTTAATACTCCTGGCTGATTTGCTATTACCACAGGAACTGGCGTCATCCCTGGTTGCGCAATGACAACCGTCGGCTGCACAGGTTGCGCGATTACATTGACTCCACCAGGCTGAGGCACAAGAACGCCACCTGGTGCTCCTGCTGGCGCCATGATTAGATGGCCTCTTCGTAAAAATTCTTCTTTCAAGCGCAACATCCTTGAAGAGCAGTCATATCGGAAGCAAGGTGACAGTATTCCCTCATACAACTTTTCGATTTCAAGGATGCAGAAGAGAAGAATTCAATAACTTCCTGACCGTACTTGACAAGAAGTTTACAAGAAGTTGAAGTTTACTGTGTCTGTGAAGGATTATTTTTAGGAGAGTCTGTGAAGGATGACCTACAATTGGAATCAACATTGAGACGAGCCTTAATACAGGTTGTATAGATTGGATATCCGGTTTCACGTACATGTCTGCGGTAGGTCCACCTCGGTATACAACCCCTATGCCGAACTTGTATATGCTCAGGGAGTGACCTCCGCCGCCGCCAACTTTGAAGTAGAAGTGCAGCTCGTGGGATATGAAAGGTGGTCGTGGGAGTACGAGAGAGACAAGGGAAAATATAAAAAGTATTGATTTATCAAAGTCTATGCAATTTATTGAGTAATAAATAGACCAAGCATTTCCTACTTGAAGTTCTAACTTTACTAGATAGGATTAGGAGCCTCTAGTAGCTACTAGTTTAGGTTAGGTTATGAATCCTGCACATCGAGCACCCCCGGCAACTAGCCGACTCCGACGAGGATGATGTGCTTCTATCAGAATCTATCAACATAAAAATAATCAATGATTATGTCCTCTGTTCATAAAAAGTTCGCCCGATTCTTTGCACATGGGATCGTCCTCTTCTATAATTTTTGTATCCAATTTCCGCTGATGTCCTGCTGGACCCATGGTCACCTTCGCCAACTCTCCACCAGCTTGATCGGGACCAGAAATTAGTCGATAAAAATTCATGTTGTAAGTGCCTTGATTCCTCATTCTCCCTGAATAAGTAGACAAAAATTCATCCTTGTCATAACATCAACTGCACTTTGATTTCTCCTTTTTGATTTCCATATCCCTGATCGGCCCAATCTGCGAAAATGCCGAGGCGCTTTATTGGCCCTTTGAGCTTTAGGTGGCCAAAATAATCGAAACGATCACTCTCATTTGCACTATACATGCTACGTTTCACGTAGATCAGGTTCATAGCGTCTGGAACCTGCAGATCCTGATGGTCTTTATCGGTGATGCGCGGGGAGGAGAGAATGCAGCCCATCCTGAGTCTGTGGTGTCCTGAGAGAGGACGTGAAAGTTCAAAATCTTGAATGTGAATTTAGTCTACTCTCTCAGCACTACAACATTCGAATATCTAAACTATCTCTCTATTTTTGCTAAAGTTGCTCTTGGCAGTGTCGAATTCTTTTCCTTCTAATATTTTGCTTGGTGGGATTTTTCCTTCTAGTTTTCTCACCTGTTATAATATTTTTTCAATGACAGATGATATGACACGTTTTTTCAAATGCTCTCTGCGTTTCGTCACTCTCGAAGCACTTAAGTAGCTGCTTTTTGACGTCTTTCACGACTTAAAATACAAAGCAGATAGATGCAGGAGGGAAACGGTTGACTTTGCCAAGCGAGTCGGTGAGGACCTGAAAGCATGAAAGTGATGTTGAAGAGAATGAGAAAAGTGTGGCTTCGCATGGGCGGTACAACTAGTCGAAGTGCTCCGGTTGTAGTGCGGTTTCTGTTTGACTATTAGTCACATCATGGTGGCCGTGGACGAAAATTTTTTTTTTTCTCATGTAAAAAGTCGATAAACCATGGCTGTACAAAGCGCGCTACAGCTTTTCTTGCGTGAAGAAAAGAACTTCTAAGTATAAATGATGTGTAAATTCGTCGATGAAAGAAGAATAAATGGTGCTGCGGCCACGCCTCCTGCCACGGCTGCGGCGGGTCGTGGCATCCAAATGATAACATCTTCCACAGGCATGGTTATTTCATATGTAGTGGTCGCGATCGTGTCAATGAGATAGTGATCAATCGATGGGGACTACTAAACAAGCGGTAACTCAACAACAATGTCTTCAAGAAAAATGGTAATGGTTATGGCTCATGGTAGTACTTAATAGTACAGCAATTTTTACTTGTTCTTGTGTCCATCCTATCGCTTCAGTGCCTTCTTGTAAACACCGTATGTCCATGTTCTTCTTTCAGGACCGTTCGCAGAGCTCGTTCATATTGCTCTGGCATATGAATGCGGAACATCGACCCACTTAGTACAATCTGATCAAAAAATTTGGAATCCTTCCACAGGTATGGCGGTGTCGCGGTAGCGGATTGTTGTTGTTCTTCAGTACTATAATTTTGTCGAGATGCTTGTCCGTGTGCTGCCGATGTAGTTGCATTTGCTTCAGCAGCTGTGGGTGGTGGAGCAAATGCTGCGAAAAAGTTTGGGAAAGAGAAAGATGAAGCAGCACTACTTGCCGTTGCCGTTTCATTTTGACCGGCAGGAGGTTCATCTGCGCCACAACTACCTTCACCAAGTTGTGGCGAACTCTCCTGTACTATATTAGAGCTCTCGCTAATTCATCCCTGTGGCCATCCCTCAACAATATGCCACAGTATTCCCCTTGTATGGGGATGCATATTGTTGAGGGATTCCTATAGAGATGGATTAGGGGTAGCCTTAACTATACTAGGACTATTACCAGCAGCTGCGTGGTCTTCCTCATTCGACGATTCCCCAAACGCGCGCAACATCTTGGACCTATCCGGCATGAAGAATATTTTCCCTCCTGGCGGTAGCATTTGAGCTTCAATGCCACCCTCTTCCTCCAATGCCGTTCTTGAGAGCCGCACAGCTTGAAGCGTTTCCCAGATGCCACGTTGGAGAAGGTCGTCTCGCAAAGCAGCTGGCGTGCCATTGTCTTCTCGTTGACGAATGTCGCACAATTCGTCGACACAGTGTCGTAGATTCAGCAAGGCGCATTGTGACAACCGGCAGACGACGTCCCAACCTAAAGCGGTACTGGAGAAAATATGAAGCGTTGGCGGGTCGTTTTTGTTGTTTCGTATCTTCGAGGCAGTGCCAGTGCTCGGAGGTGGGTTTTGTTCTGAAGAAGAGCCAAGAGCATCAGCTCGTCCACCGCCTTCACCACCAAGAGGACCATCTTGAATAGCTCCTCTGCCTTGCTTTCCTCCACTACCAATTTTTGTTCCTGGTTGTACATTGAAAGCCAGATTCCGACTGCAGACAGGCGGAACGCCATGAGAGTAGCCGTGCATTTCAATGTCCCGAAAAGCCTCTGATCGGTCCCACATGGCATAAAGCAAAGCAGCAGTTCCAGCTCCGAGACTGTGTCCTGTGATCACGAGCTTGTAGGGGAGCCTTGTTCTACTGGCAGCTCTAGTTGATGTTGATGTAGCTGATGAGCTCCTACCTTGATCGTTATGTTCTTGTTCTTCGTTATGTTCTTGTTCTTCGACTTTTCTCCTTTTTTCTGGAGAGGATGATCTTTCCTTGGTATCGGAAAATGCTTGTTCACTAAGACTAGTACTAGAAGTACAGTCTTGATTCAGCTTCCTCAGACATTTCAGCACTGGTTTTCCAAGCATTTTTGATAGGTTTTGTGCCGAGTGGAACATTCCTTCATGAACGTAGTATACATCTTGATTTTCAACGTGTGCATCTGCATCCTGGAGGTTTTCAGATGAAGCACCTTCAGGATCTAGAATTTGTGGCCTAGTTCCATAGAAACCCTCCCTAGCTTCGACTTGGTCAACAAAGATCGGAAAATGCCTAGCTTCCACCCGCTGCGCATCCGAAACCAAGTCTGTTAGTAAGTCATTAGCACTCAGAGTTCCGCGAATGACGACTACAACTGCGCGATCGGCGTGGTCTATTAGAACAGCGCACGCTGGATGAAAAGGCTTGGAGTTGAGCTCACAGAAAGCTACTTCCATGCGCAGCTTAGTGCCAGACGAGGATGCCTGTCTGGTGAAGGATGTTGAAGCACTTCTTTGCTGGTGAGGACTATTCGCTGAAGACTGTAACGATGATGCTGGAATGTTCACAAAAAATGACGAAAAATCTTCAACATTGTTCGGTGTTGAAGTTGACGTAGTTGTCGAGGAGCTCCACCTAGTGGTAAAAGTAGAGCTTGAACTTCTTTCATCTCCACCTTCCTCAACCTCACCAGGGCCGTTGTTCGTCGACCAATATCCCCAACGCTCCATTCTTACTGCTTCACGGTTCAGATAGTCCTCGAATCGAGTTTCACTGGTTCGTGCGAGGTCACTGATGTCAACCAAACAGGCTTTGTAAATGCACTTGCAGTATATCATACTGCGATACATGTTGCGGATTTGTTCGGGTTGAAGTGACGATGAAGTGGAGTTCGAGTTGGTATCAGGATCAAGATTGGCGTCGTTGTGATATTGTGGGTTTGGAGTGTAAGAAGTACTAGAAGACGATGTTGTTGATGCTCGAGTCGTGGGCTGAGTAGTTGTCCTCCCCTGCTGAGCAAGATCTTCATTCTGTACTGCGCCAGCATTCGAAGCCGCACTACCTCCCAGAGCATCCGACGTCCCTAACAGCATCTTGCGAATCAGAGTATCGATCGCACTTGGTGCCTCAGCTGGAGGCTCAAAGCCGCGTCTCAAAAAGTGTTTCTGTAGGTCTACAAAGTGAAGCAGAGCAGCATTCAATTTTCCTGGTGAGCGATGCTCCCTCAAGGGTCCGATGAATCTAGGAAGACCGTCGAATATCCGGAAAACAGCTTGAAATCCAGGATCATTCTGCGCAAATTCAGGCAGACCCGAAGCAGAAGCGTCGTCGTTCTGGTCCAGGTGGTGGTTGTCCCTCAACTTTGTGGTCAAGTCTATCTTGGATTGCTGCAACTTCTGCATCGCACTCGCTTCGAATTTGTCCGTATGTTCTAGACAGAAGTCCCGAAACTTCGCTGTCAAAGACTGAGTTACTGGGGCATCTGGTGGTGGGACACCAGCCCTTGTTTGATGATCCTGAAGCCGTCCACCTCCACTACCACTGGAATACGAAGAAGAAGCACCAGAAGAAGAAGCTCGCCTTCTACTTGCACTGTCAACCTGATCTTGATCTCCAGAAGTGCCAGTGCCACTTTGATGTTCTGTGTTCAACAGATCACCAGCCACGCCGGTTATGAAATGAGCAGTCAGCCGTGCACCAGCAGCCAAAAGTGGGACAGCGCTCTCCGCTGTCCGGACCCCGTCTCTCTGCATCCGCAGAAGTTTGCCATATTGACGGCTTAGGCCTTCTTCCAAAATGCTGGTACTAGAAGTTGCGGCAGCATCCGCGCCTCCTCCAGTGTAACTGTGTGACATCTTGTGGATATAGATGTTATTGCATTCGGCGGTCGTGCTTGTTGAGGTTGTACTAGTTGTTCTTGAAGATGTATTACTTGTTGATGACTCACTTGTCCCTCCTCCGGAAGTACCACTATGAGACCCAATATCACGGCAGAAAGATACTGTACTGGCTCCGGCGCGAAGAGCGTTAGGGATATTGCTGGCACGTAGACCTCCTTTTGGTGGAATCATAGTACTTGTTTTGCGATAGAATATGTCGAAGGGGTAGTTGTAGAAGAACTTATAGTGTTAAGAATCTATCCGAGACAAAGTCGAGAATGAACAAGAATAATGAGCGATGATATGTTGAAGAGAACATTTTTGAGAGAATGAAAAGCAAAAGAGCTGGGTCGTTTATGTGCTTTTGTTGCGATGGATTTGGATATAATGTCTTCACTAGAACGAAGTACTTCCAAGCGGAATTTCTACAACTTTTTTACTTATATGTTTCTCTGCCTTACAAATATGAAGAACAAGATATCTTTTCGAATATGAAGAAGAACAAGACATCTTTTCGAATATGAAGAACAAGATATCTTTTTGGTATGATACTGCGACGAGGGCTACTAGAACTACAAGGGGGGATCATGTCTCTCGCTGAAAAGTCCACCAGTTCTCCTGTTCAAAACAGTAAAGACATGGGCCTATTTTTTCCAAGTCTATCTAGATATGATGCAGCATCCATCCACTCGCACTCGCTGCTCTGATCATTCTCTGAATTTCTTGATTCTTTGACTTGAGTTAGAAAGTTCTGCTGGATCTTTACATTTAGTACTGGTCCTGCCCTCGTACTCCATCGCGCTGAGCTTGATCTTGGCTTGGTATAGCTGGGAACAAATTTTCAGATATTTAAAACAGCGTCTCTCGCTGTCCAAGCGAGGAAATAAAGCCAGTTCATCTTACAAAAAATTGTGAGGCCAGTTCATCTTTCTTACAAAAAATGTGAAGTTCGTAGTGAATCCACAGCAGCGCGAGTTCAGTGCAGTGATTCTATCTACTACGCAAAAGCAACAGCATCTTCTAAGCAATCAGCGTCAGCGACGTATACGTGATTCTATTTGGATAATGGATGACAGCGTTGCTCATCAACACAAAAGTTCTAGTTGTACAGAATACGGAATATATTTCTACTTTCTTACGCAAATAACTACGGCTATCCTCATATAAGAGTTTTTCGCCTCAGAGAGACCACTCACGAAAAATAATGCAACACTTCCTCCACCCTCCTCCCATACGCCTCTGCGAATCGGTCCCCCGGCTTGTACTGCAACCTTCCCAAGGAGAGTGCGAGTAGTATTAGTTCTCTAGCTTCTAAACTGCTCACCCGTTCCACACACTTCAGTTCCCAAATCTGCATAAAACTAGGACTCGGGAAGATGCTACTAGATTCTGGGACTCCACCACCACTGCCAGTAATTACATTGCCGCCACCTCCTCCGCCTAACAGCCTCAATTCACCAAATTCAGCTAGAGTTTGGACTAAACGTCGTCCGTCGAAGGTGTCGATGCGGAGTAAGCAGAGTGTTTCCCAACGTTGCGAAAATCTCCGCAATGCCGTTTCAACAGGAGTACTGAGACGGTCGGTGGAGCTAGTGGCTTTCTTGTGTTTCGCAATGCGTGAAGCCGCGTAGAGTGTCCTCCCTAACTCGGAATCCGACATTATTTCCTCGTCTGAATCGGAGTGCTCCGCCGCACCCTTTCGCTTCATCTCACGCTCTGACTTTTCCGCTTTAGCTAAACAGGCATCAGCTAAACAGGCATCCAACAACGCTATTAATGCGCCGTCACCCACGCTGTGATGCAAATGCGACAAGAGAAATAGGCACTCACGTATTCGCTTCGAAGACGTGGTCGAAGCGGAGGCTCCTGTTCCTGATGACGAGCTACTCTTGCTACTCGCAGGAGTCGCTGTCGCTTGTATTAACACTGCTTCTATTTCGAGTAAAAACGGACTTTTTAGAGCGACATCGGTAGCTTTCCTAGTATTTCCTGACTCGCCGCGTAGTCTGTGAGAAGCTTCCAGCAAAAGACGTTGGGGATTCTGTGTGGCGTTCCAGCTAGTCTCAGTAAAATCTGTAGAAGAGCGCGCGATTGCAGCTTCGATTTTCAGGATGAACTGTTGGTACAGTTCTGGAGGTTAGAGGAACAAGATCGAAATGTTTATAGTTGTGACCGAAAAATGTTACCGCGAGCTGCGCTCTTCTTGCTTTATTTTCCGAGTACTTTCTTACCTCATTATATCGCGTATCTATTGAAGATTCTTACAACGCGTCCAATTCATTTTTCACTAAAAAAAACCCAAACTTCGTATTCATTCCTCCACCTCGTCGTAAAGTGAACAACAAGAAAACTGCAGTACATCGTTTTGTGCTTTCGCTAGCTCGTCACTAGCTTCCCTTTCAAAGGCAGAAAGCAACTTCTGTACCTCTTTCAGCAGAGGCCTATCAACCTCTACTTCATCTAATGCGCCTTCTACTTCTTGAAAACGGTCACGCCACGTAGAAATGAATTTTTCCAGTGGTTCTGCTTGTTGTGGGTTTGACTTTGAGGATACTTTGCTCGTACTCGACGCTGTTGAAAGAGGACTAGAAGTAGTGCTAGTGCTAGCACTACTCGTACTAGCACTTCCATTTGAACTTGTATCTTTTTGAGCATCGTCCTCTTCTACAGGCACCACTCGTTCAGCTCCTGGCCAGAATTTGTTGAAGGCGAAAACGAGATGCGCAATTCCTCTGGGATGTAGGCCTTGTGTGATAATGCGCAGAAACTCCACCTCCATCCGAGATACTAAAGCCCCACTCTGACATCCCAGGACCTCCTCTCTTCGACAAAGCACAGACAAGGCGTAAGCGCAACTACTAAAATGCTCGGGACTCAGTTCGAGCGCGGCGCGGACAGTTTGATTCAGACTTGACGATGACGATGTTGTAGCCGACACAGGAGTACTAGTCGCCTCATTTTCAGTTTCACCGCCACCGGTACTAAACTCGTCACTAGTATTAACGCTACCTGTAGCCCGTTGAATCCTCAACACTTCTAGATGGTTGTCCAGTAACGTTGCAAAATGTGAAATAGCGGCAATTCGAAACTCTACAGAAGTCTGCAGACCAAATTTTCTGTAGAGAAAACCCAATGAAAGCAGCGCGTTGCACAAGGCTTGACTCTCGAACTGGGACAACAAGGAGGATTCATGTTGTCCGGCAGCAGGAGAGAAAGTTAGAAGAGGAAGATCATGAATAGTAAAAAAGAGATTTGTTCTTGATGTTGAGCGGCAAAGAAAGTTAGAAGAGGAAGATCATGAAAGTAAGAGGGGAGGAAGATCAAGATGATACGCTGAGGAGTCTACCTTTACTCATGAAATAAACTCAGTTGGCAAACGACTGAGTGCGCATGTTGGAAATGCCAATGCAATCACTCAAGTCCAAGACCAAGAACCATAAAGGAGTAATAGTTCCATTCGATCCGTGGTTATCACTCGCATTGAACGTATCGATAATCCCTTCCTGCAAATCGGTGTGTCCATCATGTACTCCATTACAACCATGATTACCGTTAGCTGCACCATTTTTCCTACTCCTCTTGGCAATCAACACTTTCTGCCAGTGTTGAAAAAAGCTGTCGGATGGGCGCAGACCAGCAGTGGCGTAGAGGTGCACTGTATTCGCTAACTCAACCGGTGCTAAGGCGCTCGGTGGCGCTGCGCAGAAGGCGTTTTCCCATCGACTCAAAAAGTCGCTCGATAACATCTGTCGTCGAACTTGGGCCAACGATCCTGGAGAGGCACTTTTAGGTGGCAAGGCCAAGGAGGCGCCTGGGGCTCCTCAACTTAGAGCTGATAATTTACTTCGGAAGGGTCATCATGGAGCTGGAGGGGACCACGAGGACCACCTACTTACCTGCTGACTTTAAATTTCTTTGGGAACAATGATTCTCAATAGCGAGATGAACAAATGAAAGCACAGCCTCTAAAAAATCCCCCCCAACATCAAGAGTCATAGTGACGTGGTTACTAGCCTTAATGGACTCCCCCTCCCGCCTCTCCCGCCTGCTCCATCTAGCATGCTTTCCAAGGCTTCAGTGTTGTTTAGGAGTTCTTCCTTCAGGAGAAACTGAATCTTGACCAACTCTCGCGCAGTGAAGGTGGGGAGAAACGCGACGCACCTCGTTTGCCAGCCAATAACGTAAGAGAGGAACCTCTGCAAAGCCGTGAAAAAGGACATTCATCAAGAGTGATGAAAAAGGACAATGATTCATTAAGCGTGAAAAAGAACGTTTTCGTTTACGTTTCAGCGTGAAAAAGGACAACGATTAAGCGTGAAAAAGGACGCTCTTTATGTTTAAGCGTGATAAAAAGGAGACCACAGATGCATGAAACCAAAGGGTTTATCAAAACTACTGAGGAAAATAACAAATAGAAGATCTTTAGAAACGACAAAAAGAAGAGAGACCTCCTTTCTCGACAAGTACAGTCCCTACAGCAGGGACTGATGACAATTAACACCTGTAAATCTGTAAATCTATCTTCAAGAACATAAAACCATGCGAGTATAAAAGATAGTCAATTATCTATCAACTCTTCATACATTCTGGCGCCTGTCCTTGATTCGGTAGCGCGGCTGCCATGCCCGTTGAGTCGTCGACAATGAAGCGCCTTGCCGCGTCCTCAAAAGATATTTCTCTAGCATCTTCAGCAGTCGGAGATGTTTGCAGAATGAAAGAGACAGTAACATCAGTATACCTGGCCCATGTCATTGTCAGAGACAATGAATCTTAATTTTTATCTTTAAGAAACAAAGTTGGACTTAGAGTTAGAGTTAGAGTTAGAAATCAAAATCAACATGCAAATCAAAAAGATAAAGAAGAGGCAAACTAGTGTGCCCATGCGTAGTAACGCTCATGCTTGATCACGTTTTAGAGTACGATAGCCATCGTAATTGTACTCTTTCCTGCCGCCTGCACTTCGGAAAAATAGTCTGCATGGTGTGACCGCGTCCCCTTCAGTCGTTCTGAAAAAATGAACAATTCTACTATTATCTCCGTCTCCTCTTGTTTCCCACCTCGTGCACTTGCACTCTTTGAAGTCGTTGTTGTTGTTGTTGTGAAATGTCGAGACTCTTGTTGAGAATACAGAGGTGGGTGGTGAAGCGGTCGCCACGGTCTTGTTCTTTCTGATCGCCATGAGACTGCAGTAGAAGCTGTAAACCTGGTGTGGTTTCCACCGCGCCTCCACATCGTTGTGGACGTACTGCTGCGCCACATCATTGTGCAACTTTAAATTATGGCGATGCCGCAAGCAAAGAAAATCATTGGACGAAGAAGGTCAATCTTTTAGGACTACTAGTCACCCAACATTCCCACTAGTCACCCAGCATTCCCACTAGTCACCCAACATTACTGCACCAGAGAGCCGAAGGTCGCGTCGGGTCTCTCACTCACAATTCGGAAAGACGTTGATGATTTTCATTTTTGATGAAGGTCAATCCTTCCGGAAAGTTAGTCAGTACAAGGACCCAGTCACACTCTGTTTTTTTTTTTAAAAAAAAAAGGACCCAGTTTCTATTTTTTTTTAGGACCACCTGTCAGTCACTATCGACGCGCTTCATGTCTTTCCTTTGTTTCATTTTCTATTTCTGGCATTCCCTCTTTCTCACTCCAAAATCCCCGCCAAAATCCCCTGCCGCTTTCTTGTCCGTACAACGTCTGTTCATCTCCTCGCTACGTGTAGTTACTGCACTAGCGGTGCACAATTCATTTTTAATGCTAGACGAGCTACTAGCATTCTACTTTTGGTTGCAAAAATACGTCGTTTGGAATGTCATTATCACGGTTTGGAATGTCATTGTCACGGAGGAACGGGAAGTCTCGTATGGAGTGTCGCTTGGAATGTCATTGTCAAGTAGGAACGGGATGTATGATGTCCTGAGACAAGTGGAGGGGTCTCGTATGGAGTGTCGCTTGGGATTCAGAAATGGAGGGGGTTATTTGGAGTAACGATAGGAATAACAAGGTGAACAACAAGAACATGATATAGAATAAATTATAGGGAGATTAGCTCTCATAGATCTAGATGCCTGTGCCCGAATAGGAATACGAAGTCAGAAATGATAGAAAGGGACTACATATTATTTTCTATGCACGTGGAGGCACAGGAGGAGGTAGAGGTACGGGATATACTTAGTTACTAGGAGTGGGAGTTTCAAAAAAATGTAGGGTAATACAGCTGTCTGAGTGATTTTTTAGCATTTATTTTGGAGCTGTTTATCGAAATGAAAAACTCTTATTTTGGCGATCTGAAATGATGGGGAGGGATCGTGGAATACGGAAATAAAAGCATGTTCAAAACATGAAGCTCGAGTAGATCAGGAAGTATTTCAATGTTGCACACATACGAACAAAATGATAATCTGCGATGGGCGGATGGGAGAAATCATGATAGTTGTGTATGTAATGAGGATCAATATCTTCAGTATCCAACTACGGGTACGATCACTGCGAAAGTTACTCATGAGGAAAACCTAACTACTTTTAGCTCTCTTCTTTCCAATCTGTACGAATAGAAGAACTCAAGACTACGAACGGTGGTTACTCGTTTTTGAAATATGCAAGAAATTAAAATTGGTGAGTGGTGCATGACGATATGCATGACCCTACTACTAGTAGCAGCCACAATGGATGAAAATACGGAGTTCAATCTTCTTGCTACCAAAACTTACAAAACTTTTGAAAACAACACTAAACTCGTAGTCGCAAAATTTTGTTCACTTTTTTCATTTTCAAATACTCAATTCGACGTTGCATTAATGTTGTCAGCGCTGGGTGATGGGAAGATGAAATACTCGATGTTATGTTAGTGTTAGGGGATAAGATGAAGAAGATCAGAGTGATAGATAAAAGTTTAGAGTTGATAGATAAGAAAAACCGTCAATAGCTCGAACTTGGAATCAAACTGCTCCTGTTCTCAAAGAAACATCCATGCATGATCGGACTCGAAGAACAGCTTTGCTGCATAGTGTCCAGCCAGTGCAACGCAGAGAATCGATGCTGGATTCAAAAGCGACGAATCTTAGAGCTCAAAACAATTCACTTCTTGTTGCCTGAATTTCTTCCAATCCTAAGAAGGAAAAGGGGAAAGAAGCCTTGTTGTAGAAATGATGTTTGAACCGAAGAAGACCAAGTCATTACATCTTTTAAAACAAGAAGGTATATCATTGAGCCGGAACACTAGTCTAGGTCGTGGAGAGAAGGTCACCAGGTGACTAAACGAGGCCGCTGAGAGGTCATTTTTGTTTGTTCCCTAAGGTGGTGTAGTTGGGTTGTCCTTGAGCCAAAATGGCTACGGAAATGAATCGTATTGAGCCTTAAGAATCAGCTTTCTCCCGCTCCTCCTCCTCTTCGCGTCGAAAGTCGAATAATTTGCTACGAATTTTTCTCCTAGACTGTACTTTTCCAAGCTTTTCTGCTGCTTCTTTAGTACTTCTAGTAGAAGTAGTTGTTCTAGTACTAGCATGAAGATGTTCAACACGTTCATCTTCGTTCTCGTTCACGGCTTCTTCATCGACTTTAGGAGTACAACTGGTACTGACGGGGGATGACTCTACAAAGTAGCACTGTAGAGTCATGTTGGCCCCTCCACCGACTGAGCCGGACTCCTCTGGAACGTTTCATCTTAGACAGTAAAACAACACTCATTGATTGATTTGGTGTATTATATTGAGGCTGTTAGTCGTGTAAGGTAATTAAATTTTTAGATTATCTTAGATTTTTAGTTCGGGGTAATATGAATATCATCCACCTCAGCCAATTTGTTCTGTAAAAAAGAAATTTTTTTTTCTGTAAGAGAGACTAGACGTATTAAACGGATTCCTCACTAGTACAATTTCATAATTTTTGATGCAGTTCATCGACACTGAGACGAAGAGAATGCCAGAAACCGATGAGGCTGAAAATGTGTGTGCAGATGAGCAGAAGAGGCGCCATGTTGCCTCCTCTTTCGCCTCGCATTTTAGCAGAGGATAGGGTAGAAGTGGGCTCGCCTGCGGAGGCTTCTCCCAGTTGTAGATACGGAAAGCGTCCGGCGCAGAGCCGATTTCTACCTCAGGATAGGGCTCGCCTGCGGAGGGGATGCAGTTATTCTTGTCAGACGAGAAGTTCTTCTTGCTTTTCTTGACAGGATGAAGGTTGTAGTGACTATCGTCTCCTACAACTGACCATGCCAAGTGCGTTCGTTGTGAGATACTTAGGGTCTTCTTGTGACTTGTCGTGTGGCATACTTTTCTTTAGGCCGCCAATATATTTTATTCATTCCAACAAGATATGGGATCTTGATCGATTTGGATACGGAAAGCAAAATCGGCTATTACATTTTTTGGGAATTTGAATGAAGCAATCGCACTGTTATGCCATGTAAGTGCCCGTGGTATGCCCATTCGTGACCGCCGTAGAGACAAAATGGCAGCCGACTCCGACACTGCTTTAGGCTATCATAAACAATTTCTAACTGCGTTTCATTCTACTTATATAGATAGATAGATAGATAGATAGATAGATAGATAGATAGATAGATGTACCCACTCACGAGGTATACGTTCTTTAATTAGAATCTGCATCTCCACCTCTTTTTATTTTCTCGCCTTTTTTCATATATGAGTTAAGTTCTTCGGTGAATGGGGTCTTTGACAGGTTCGGAATCATTGGGGTGCTCGTTCTTAGATAAGATGTAGTTTAGCTCTTAGACGAGATGCACGACACGTGCTAGAAGCAAGACAGCCAAGAAAACTACGAGGATATCTGCAACTAATAGTCTGCAGTAGACCGATCTCAACGCAAACAAAATACTGAATTTTATTCGGTATCGCCACCGATCATTAGGTGATCACCGAACAACCTTAGGTGATGTTGACCGACCGATGGATATAGACGATGGCCAATGAGGTGAGGATGGCAGATGATTAGTAGATGACCGGAGCTTATGAACCTCAACCGCAAACCGAAGATTATGAACCTGAACATGCTGCAACTTTTCTCGAGACTTTTTGTTTTTCTCCAGGCTTTACTACGTACTTAGTGGTTATCAGTAATCCAATGATCATATTACAGGTGGTCGGTGAGAAGAGCTGAATGCCAGTCGTAGTTGGAATCATCATTCTCCACTTTTTGCATCATCTTTCGTTAGAATTCTTCATCTATGGTTGTAACAGATGATTGGTTAACGAGAAAATATTGCAATGTAAATGAAAGAATCTCAAATCTCATAACATCATGCTGCTACTTAGTTGTTGTGACGGCTGTCATAGCTCTTTAGTCGTGAAGATCATAGGGAATTCAAATTCAATCTTAATGCTGTTGTTGTATTTTTGCGTCAATGTTGTTGTTGGCGACAGTCGTGCGTCTAAATGTAGGAGTGTTGCTCAATGTGTTGATAAGTTGAGAAAATAGCTAAATAAATTTAGTCTGTGTTTGTCGATGTTGCTTGTGTGGAATGATGTAAGAAGTATGCTAATGATTATGTTGATACTAGTACAAGCTTTGCCTTTGGATTTGTGATGTTGTCATAATTGTCATCCTGCTAATGTTGTCGTTACGTTGTCATAATTGCTGTGAGAGAGTAAAGATTCATCAAATTGTCATAATTGCTGTCCTCGTGATAATTGTTGTCGAATTGTTGTCGTGATAAGTGTTGTCATCTCCATGGTCTTGATCTTCAATGAAGCCGTAGATGTTTGTAAGTACATGAAGATTTTCAAATGATCGTAAATACAAGTTTAAAATATAAGCACAAGACTAGTAGACAATGATAAATCCATCCAGAACCTCTGAACCCAATCCTTATTTAGTGACCCCTCTCTCACTAGGTGGAATGTAGTCTCTTGTGCTGTTGGGCCTTCTTCTATCTCTACAAGGTGGAACAGGTGATTAGGTTGTTGTATTGAAATTGAGGGCTCTGTTGATCTCCTTCTATGAATAATATCGGTGGAGCACACCTAACTAGCAAATCTCCTTCTATGAATAATAATATTTGTCGTCTCACCGACCTCAGTGGGCATCAACACACGACCACGGAGGCCACGAAAACCATGTCAATCAATGATCATCCTATTGAAGGGTCTTGTTTAGTCTGACGACCCCGCAGACACAGCCGAACGGCCCCACACAGCCACCCTGTTTCTAGAAGCAGACCACTTTGTAGGCTGCGAGTCAGCATCGCTGGCCCGCCCTGTCACTGTCTTCTGAAAAATAAATGCCATTCCATGGGGATTGAGGTCAAGAGTATACAAATCACTACTTTGAGGGATACGATTCTAGCACTAGAAAACGGCGACTCTTCTCGATCAAGAGAGGGGATATTTCATGAACAACAGCCACCTTGTTTCTAGAAAAAGACCACTTTCTCAGATCTTAGAGTGTTGTAGGTATCTTTAAGCAGACCACTTTCTCAGATCTTAGAGTGTTGTAGGTATCTTTAAGCAGACCACTTTCTCAGATCTTAGAGTGTTGTAGGTATCTTTAAGCAGACCACTTTCTCAGATCTTAGAGTGTTGTAGGTCTAGGTATTGCACCGAATTTCATGTGATGTGTATATGTCCCTGATAGTACTGTCCGTAGCAAGACAGAGTCTGGATGTGATCCTGAAGACCGCGGAGTCAAGACACAGACAGCGGAGGTCGAATCAGATCGGTTAGAAAGAAACTGGCTGTATCGTACTTCTCAAGTTCTTCTCTAGAGTCTAGACCTGCTTTTGCACCGCCTTTCCTAGTTGTATCGTACTTCTCAAGTTCTTCTCCAGTGCTTTTCCAATTCGGTCACCACACTTGCTCTACTGCTCAGGGTATTAGAAGAATCTCTTGCACCTGAAAAGTTTACTAGTCCAAAATAGAAGTTTAGTTTCTGAAAATAATCGAAATTCAAGTAAGTTGTACCTAAGCTAGTTGTAGCATCAGTATGTTCTTCATGTTTAGGAGCACTAGTCTTGTTCAAAAATGTATATATAATTATGATACCGAGACATATCGAATTAATCAGTAATTAGAAGATTTTACCGAATATTCTAGTACGACTTGTTCCATCAAGGAAGCTATTCAATGAGCATAGAATCTATCATCAAGCATGCAATTACGTGCGGTCGTCCCACTACGGGCGGCGGTGCCCGATAAAAAGGCTTTGAAGCGGAGGGAACAGTGCTAGAAGAGAGATATAAGCCACCGAGATGTAACGTACCTGAGCAGCAGCTCAAGCCATCATTTACCAGCACCGCCGCCCGTAGTGAATCAAGAATAAGTCGCATTTCCAGCTAGTTGTTGCAGTAGTAGGACTAGCACTAGTAGTTCTGTAAACATGCTTCACGATCACGGGCGGGTAAAAATAAAACTGACAGTCTAATGGTATTTCTCTAGTCAGTCAGTCAGTCAGTGATGGTCATGGGCATGCACTTCGAGTCTAGTGACCCTCCCTGGTCAAGTCTGAAGCAAATCATACACAGAGCAACGGAGACCGGCACATAGTAAGATTTTACAACGCATTGTGGTTTAAGATAATCACAGATGTCCTCGTCAGAGAAACGGAGCAGTGAGTCACTCTACTATGATGCTGAGGTGAGACCTTAAAAGTCGTATGCACAGAAGTCTCCGCGCTCCCCGTGATCCGGAATCTTGAGATACGCGCGGTTGATTGCGATGCTGCAGAGGATGAAAGGCTCTTTTATCTATTGACGATGATTCGAGTTCGACTTCGAATCTATTCGGCAATGTAGTACCTAAAGATTCAACCTGAAAAAATTTTTGCATGCTTACACCACACGACAGGAGTCCTCGTCTGTCCATCTGCTCTTCGAGTGAAATACCTATTATATCTTGGAGGGAGAATACAAGGGCTCCCTCAGCGGTAGCTTTTCGTCTTCATCGAGTGCTGCAGTAACTGCATTTACAATTACACAGATAGTTCGTTGTTCTATTAACAATAATTGTTATTGTAGGCAACTACTGGCCATGATGTGGTCGTAGTCGTATCTATGACTCATAGTGAGTGAGTGAGTGAGTAAGTAAGTGAATGAATGAATGTACTACCCACTGCAGGAGTATAGAAGACCATTAAACTACGTCATAAGTTTGACTTTGTTTATGAACGCACCCTGGATCTTTTGTTAGAGGTTGAAGCCATTTTTTCATCCTTTTTCATCTGAGTGTCTCGCATTGTTCTTTGCTGGCTGGAGAAACTCAGTGCAAATGAACAAAAAAATTTCAAAAACTTATGACTCATAAGTTGTCAACCCACTGAGAAACTCGGGAATTTCTTTTTAGAAGCGCTGCAGGAAGGAGACCACGCCGAGGTGGACCATGGTCAACAACATTATACAACTTCTGCTCATACATTTGTTAAGTACAAACATGACGTAGTTCTACTACATTTTAAAAACCGATTCTATTGAAAATAAGATAGACGGTATAGATTATTCGACGCTACGAGAAGGTCGTGGAGCATTGTTCTCGAATTAGCGCGCAAACCACTTCCCTTCTTGCTTCCAGGAGTAGTAGGAGTAGTAAGTAGGGGTCGTAGGAGCAGTAGGTGTAGGGGCGTTAAGAGAAGCTAGTATTAGTAGCAAGAGTAGTAGGGGTAGCGAGACTAGTAGGGGTAATAGGAGCAGTGGGAGTGGTGGGAGATGTAGGAGTAGCAGCGGTGTATCCATTCGTGGGGTATAGTTGCTATTCTAGTTTTTAGCTGTACTCGTTCTCGCAAATCAAAGGTGTCGATTGATTGATTGATTGATTGATTGATTGACTCATGTGCCTGGCAA